AATTTTTGTTTTCAATGACTATTGTTCATGGCAGCAGGAGTCCAGATACATCCAGATCAGTAGCGTTCCACTGAACTCAACTCAAGGGGTGAGCACTGGACAGGACTTCCACATGACTTTGGTTCCATTGAGCTGACACACAGCTGCACCTAAGGAACTAGATTGTTGGTCATTAGTTCAAAAACCTAGAGATTGAACACATCTGACACTGAACTTGATATTGTTTTCCTAAGTTTGTTTTAGAATTACAATAAATCGTACATCGTTGTCTTAGATTGTGGTGAAGTGAAATGGCTTTAACATGGTGTTAAAGATTAGTTCACTTAAATACTCCACTCAGACATAGTACACTGACGCCAAAAACAATCGTTGTTTTATACCCTTAATGCCAAACTCCATGCAGGGAAACAACAATTACCATATTACAACATCATTGTTATGACACAGCCTGGGGTTCAACCCTGCAACTGACATGACAGTTGCCTGAGTGAGTGAGTGAGTGAGTGAGTATGGTTTAACGCCGCTTTTAGCAATATACCAGCAATATCACAGCGGGGAACACCAGAAATGGGCTTCACACATTGTACCCATGTCAGGAATTGAACCCGGGTCTACGGCGTGATGAGCGAACGCTTTAACCACTAGGTTACCTGACCGCCCTGCAGTTGCCTGAGTGTTCTTGTATGAGACAAACACAATTAGGATGACAACTTTCTTAGATCTGGTGGAAATTATGAGGAAACATAAAATGACCAAATATTCATATTGTAGCTTCCCCTTGTAAAATGTTGTTCCATATGCAAAAACAGCAATATAATAGTGAGTGAGTGAGTGAGTGAGTTGGGTTTAACGTCGCTTTTAACAGTATTCCAGTTATATCACGGCGTGTCAGCTTAATGTGGGAGGAAAGCCCGAAGTGATGCAGGTCTCAGACGTTTACCACTTCGGTGAAACCCACGAGCACGGGTATGGTGCTGACAAACCTAGAAACATAATTGGGGCGAACCGGGATTAGAACCCACAATCATAGGTTTCTGGCGTGCCTAAGGGACGCAACTCTGCACAGCGAAAGCAATATAATAGCTGCCACCATGGTAAAATGTACCAAAAAGTCAACACTGACAGGCAGCAAATATGACCAGGATATAACAAAAGATGTAGGATTCATACTTTAAATCATTCCAATAACTATAACAATCATTTCATAATCTTATGAACAAATATACAATTTAAGCAAACATATACATATCTTAAACAGTGCAAATCTCTTATTTGAACCCCAATCAGAGGGTTCTGGCACACCTAAGGGACAACCCTGCACAGTGAAATGCAGCACCTTAGAAGACTGGGCCATCCATTACTGGACAGCATATGAAAATATTATATAGAATATACATAGGAATATGGCAATCAGTGGCAGACCGCCTCAACCATGGCAGATTCATAAATTCATTGTTTTAAGATGTCATTAAGTTTATATCAAAACTAAAGCCTTCATAATGTGATGTGGCACAATTACAAAGTTTATTAAGTATTGTGGTATTTTTGGTTCAGAGGAGTTATGAAATCGACTTAACATTCAAAGGCAAGTCAAGGAAGAAAAGACATCCAATCAATATGGTTTGCACTTAAATCAGCTGAGTGAAGTGAGTATTGTTTTACCCCGCTTTTAGCAATATTCCATCAACATCACAGCGACGGACATCAATGGGGAATCAAACCCAGGTCTTCAGCATGAAGAGCAAACACTTTAACCACTAAACTACCCCATTGCCCCTGTAAACAAATGCTGAGACACAAACAATCATAACATTTTGCCAGAATGTGACAATATGTCATTGTTGGGACTGCTCATCTGTTTACTGTAGCATGTCCAATTCGTTTTCTTTGATTCAAAATCAGACTCTCTCACAACTCAGATGCATGTGCAATGTCCACCGAACACTAGCAGTTTCCATCTGCCCCATGTGTGGACATGCAGTAGCAAAGATTCGCAATGTGACAGAAATCTGAGAAATACGCACCAGACATTAAATCGCATCATCATTGATATATCATACAACAACTGACTCCTAAAACTGCCTTGAAACAATAGTCATAACGGGTTTTGCATTTTGCCAAATTACATGATAAAACATTGTTCCACATCTCACTTGAATAGATAACACACATTAAATAAATATAATGAATAACATATTAAAGTAGATAAAAATGTTCAATGCTTAAAAACATAATGTTTCAGTGTGGTTATAATATTGATCATAATTATTTGAGGAAACTGGATCATCTGGGAAATTTCACAATGATCGGATTAACTGGGCCTAAATTCATGAATCACAAATTCACGAAATGAACACGTCCATTTTCAGCCCAATGCCTGTGTGCACAGATCAAATACTGGTATGTATGCTAATTTGTAGATCTGCGCAAGAGTACTGAGAGGGGACTTGGAAATCATCATTGATTATTGGACCACCTCAACTGACTGATCATTAAGTTAATCAGTAAGTCATTTTGCTGTTTTTCAATGTTAAATTATGTCAAACTAGATCACGCCTAACACCCTTTGTTCTCCAAGTGAATAAACTTCATCAGGAAACAAACTATCTTAAGGAATGTTTGAAATTAATACGGAAAAACTGGCACACACATTTCCTTTGGCACTTCCTTTGTTCGATTGCTTGGTCTTTGGACATTAGAGAAAATCTTTGATTATAATATCTCACTGAAAAAGCACAAGGAGTAAACGGCTTGAGTTTACCACACCTTACTGCATTTCGGTTATTTTATGCCATATGGTGACTGAGTCACTTGGCAACAAAATGAATGATGAAAACTAGAAACATAGAACTCCAATACTGTAAACCTTGAATGTTTTGTGCCATGAAATTACTGCAAGTGGATGACAATAACCTTAACTGCGTCTGGAACGTTTTGCGACATGCTGTTAACATGACCAAATATGAAAGCTACTTTTGCAGGTGTTATATTTGATAAGTAGGAAGCAGCATGATGAAATGGTAACTCAGTGTCAGTCAGTGATTTGTAAACTATAGATGCATGCGTTGAAGTTGACAAGTGAGGTTGAGTAGTGTGTTTATCTAACAGAAGAGACTGGCTGGTGAATGTCAGGATTACTTGGTGTTATGTCAACAACTTGATGAGAGTGGCAGTTTCGTGAACTTAGACTAATTTGACTATTGACATTAAGTGACAATGGTTAATTTGGGAAACACGGGATGTGAGGGGGTATTTGTATCATAACGTACTGGCTGGTTGGACAACTTGTTGCAGTGAATTCCAGAAATATGCTTCCTTACTTCTTTTGTTTGTTGCTGGTCTGCAAAAATAACTGCACCATGAAAGTATTGTGAGTGTGTGTCCCTCGTAGTTTTCACAGTACTTTCCTGTTGCAAAACTTTCCAGATTTACAGTACCTACCAGGTTTTGAATACACTATGTTCCTTCATGAAGGAATCTAATGTATAAAAAACTCATGAAGTACAGACAATGAAAAACGAGAGTACCATTTCCTCAAACAGTTTAAGTAAAACACATATCAGAAACCATTAACCACAATGAAACACCAACAAATACTAAGTCAAGGAAGACCTTGCTGAGCAAACCCAGTAACACTATAATTCTTTGCATCACTCCCTGAGAATGTGAGGGCAGTGTTGATGCAGTCGATGAAGATGTGCAATACTGCATAGATTCAAATCAAAACAATGCTGAATACAGTCTCCAACACGTTTCATATAAACAAATTATATATATATATATATTATACAGCTCATCTTTGGACTTATTCTAATCTATCTATTTATCTATCTATTCTCTGATACAAATGAAATGCGTTGGAGAAGTATTCAGTGTTTTGTTTTACATTTTCAATATATTAGACTGTACACTCAAATACTTTTCTTAATATAATACATATAAATATATGTATGTATGCATTTAACAATTAAAATATATTTAATGCTCTGCAAGTCGCTCTGTGGCAACTTAAAGTGATAAGTCAAAGTAATTTAGTTGCAATTCACTACTTTCTGTAAGTCTGATAACTAATTCTTAAGCATAATTATGAGAAAGATAAGAAACAGCAAGTGTTAACAGCCAACAAAATTTGTGAGTTATTCTTTGTACTTGTGGAAATAGAGGACACCGACAGGTTCAGACAGGAAGGTTTGAATCAGATCATGCCACAATTCAGAAGTCAGAGCTGCCACAGCCCCAATGGTTTGAAACCCCAGGCAGTAGCATACAGCAGCATCCTACATCTCCAGTGCATAATCATACAATCCAGCATGTACATGGAATGCTCCAAGATAAAAAAAACATTAGTGAGTGAGTGAGTATGGTTTTACGACGCTTTTAGCAATATCCCAGCAATATCACGGCGGGGAACACCAGAAATGGGCTTCACACATGTCGGGAATTGAACCCGGGTCTTCAGCGTGACGAGCGAACGCTCTAACCACTAGGCTACCCGACCGCCCAAAAGAAACATTAAATTACATTAGTAAATATAATATGATTTTAATATCATTTATATTCTATGTCCAATATATATAATAAACTCAGGCCGATACACAATAACATTGCATGGAAACAGTGAACACCATCAGTCCAATATACCGGTAGTTGGGCTGTTGATGGTGTAAAATGTATACACTGAGCACAATTGATAAAAAAACAAATAAAAAATAAATAAAAAACAAATGTCCTGAAGAACATGCAGAACACTTACCTGCAGTTATATTGATACATTGCAGGTTAAATGTTGTTATGCATGTTTATGGGCGGCCATTCGGTCAAAAAATACAAAGTTGAAAAAAGGACAAAAGTACGCAATTAAGGTCACATATTACAAATAAAGAACTAAATGTTACTAGTAAAGGTCAAAATACAAAACAAACAGACGAGGGTTAAACATACAAAGTTGAAATAAATGTCAAAAGTACGCAATATTAATAGTCAAATGTTACGAAAAGACGCCCTAAGAAAAGAAAGAACAATGTGTTCGAAAGAACGTCAGTGAGCACGAAAGGATGTTTTCAATAAAGAACGTCAGTGAGCACGTAAGGATGTTTTTTCAACTTTGTATTTTTTTACCGAATGGCCACCCATACATGTTCTCCACAATACACAATGAAACAAACATATGTATGTGTGATACATTAAAGCAAAGCGGTGCATAAATGTTGTCACTTTCATACAAACAATCAGATGATGCATAGGTATTACATGATCTTTACTCAAGTCTGCTACAAAATTACGTTTTGAGATCAATGAAGAGGTACCAAGTGTCATATGTGTCGTGTGAAAGCACAACCTCTGTTTGCAAACTTCTGTTGCCCATGTAAAGGTGCCTTAAGGCAATATTAATGCAGTCAAATGAGAGAAAGAATTAAGACTTATGAAGTATTTCAACTGATCTAGACACTGATTTTATGTTCTTAAATCCTCTTAAGTTTTCTTCTACATCGGGGAATTATCAAATTGAATTACTTATCCCAATAATCATGTCATGAAATTATTTCCCACAATCATGGAAATATCCAATATTACTCCTTGCTTCTAATGTGCTACTCAACTTCAGACCCAGATAGTCCTGTTTTACAAGATGGACACAATTTTTATGGATAACAACTTCTTTAATACTGTGAAAAGCGACGTTTCGGTATAGATCCTTATACCCTTGTCAAGCAAGTTGTTATCCATAAAAATTGAGTCTATCTTGTCATCCGTCAACTTCTAAGTAATGCCTATCAAACAAGTTAGTCCTGTTTTCCCATGAAAACACAGACTGATTACTTAATACATGTTAACAGCATGAAATATCTTTGTAATCATATCTAAATTTGAGTGGTACATGTGCAGAAGCATGTCTTAAACTATCAGGGGAAAAACAAACATATTGCTTTACCTGCAGCCTTTTTCAAGGTCTTTACACAACAAATACAACTGTCTCCTCCACAGCTTGGAGATGAATCAACAATGTGATAAACAAGAGTGGGTCCATCCCATCATGATGTTGAAGATTTAACGAGCACTTCCAGAGGAGCTGATTACACAATCACGTAATTCATCCCATAGCCTGTCCAAACTTGTTACATGTATAATGTAGCTAACAGACCACAATTCAATAACATATGATGAATTTGGTCATATCTCACTCAACACAAATTACATATTTCAGGCAAGAGACTATTAAATACCTAATACCACAAACTTAATCCGTATTGTCATCATCTTCTCTTGACTCTACAGAAGAGACAGCTTCATTTTCTTCATCCTGTTCTTCATGGCTGTGGTTTCCAGCTGCTACCACTGCAGCCAGTGCAGATGCTTGGGTATGACTGCAGGGCGGGGCAGGGGACTCACTAGCAGAGGCCCTAGCTGGCTGATGTTCTGTATCTTGGTCCTGCTGCCCAACTGCTTGTTGGTTTTCTTTTCGGTCTGTCTGCAGTGACTCCAAAAAGGCGTCTAGTATTGGATGAAACCTGTTCTGTCGATCTGAAACAAACATGATTTTAGAAACTACCATTTATTTCGACATATATATCATTGAGGTTGTTGGATTCAATATGTGCTTTCATGAGTGCACTTCAACAATATTACCCTCACAATCATTTCCATATGCATGTCAATCTTTTTCATGATATAGTTTTGGTAATAGCTGGTCTTTTTGTTTCCACTTTGAAACTGTTGGCATTATTTTTACAGTGTCATGGCAGAAGTTCTGTCTGATCAACCTCTGTTTTCCCAACTGTTTCTGTGATCACAAAAATTTGGACATAAGGCTTGCATCAATAGCTCTTATTTTTTAAAGTGGTCAAGATATTATTCATTATATCCTTTCACATGATAGTTGTGTTCAACTATCCTTCTCAAAAGTCTGGGTTATCATCACCACAGTCTGTGCTAAATATATACTTTTGTGTTCACTAGCCCAAACTGAAGCTTCCTGGACTGATCAGAAGTTCACTGGGCACAGGCTTCGGACAAGTGGCTTAAGTCAAAGACTGTCACCCATCTTAGAAATTCTACATTCGTGCCACTAAATACCACAACGATGATTAAGCCGAGCACTTTTTAACTTGCCTTACAGATGTTGTACTGGAAAATACCTGTCGGTAGCAAGGGAAAAACGAGAAGCAAAAGCAAATCAATTTTTTGTAGTAGTTCTGCTCCACTACAGGTCGGCTAGAAGAAAATGGTGTAATGGGGGAAACGAGCCTGCACCATGGCCGTTGTTCACCTATGTATATACTATCAATTTCAGGAGCAACAACACATCTTATTTTGACAACCATGTTTAATATGGTTCAGTTATTAATAATTTACAGTTTGTGGATCCGTAAAGCAAGTAAAATACAGAGTGGCCTTACCAGTGAAGGTATTCATAAGGCTAGAATGTAATTTCCAATACATTCATCAACCAATCTCATTAAAATCATATCTTACTTCGCCAAACAAAGATCTGAGGACATCCCATTAGGGTCACGTCAGACCGAGCTTTCATCCGACCAATCAGAGCGTCGCTTACAAGATCATGGAAGTGACAATCGGAATGTGTTTTCAGATCATGCAACCTCGAAAACATTAACACTGGGTATTCCGAACGACAGTTACGTCCTGTACGACTGATTCTGTCAAAATTATCATCTATCTCTCGCTTAAACATTTGAAGGGAGGAGGCGTTGCACAGTACATGGGAAGCACTGCCATACAGTCTCAACCATATATTAGACATTCCGGAATGATCGTTTGTTCAGTTTTCAAAATTTTAACCGCGAACTGTGTCAACATATTACTCAAGCGTAGTCTGAAATAGCAGTCGCCAGGTTGAAACGAGTGCTGTAAAGCTTGAGAAAGCTGCTTTCTTATTGGCTGATGTCGACTTCTGGTTAGTCATTTCAGTGACCGGTCAAAGTTTCCGAAAGGTCTTTCTGACATGACCCGTAATGTCCTCAGATCTTTGTTTAGCAGCAGAGAGAACTTAGATCTGATTTTAATGAGATTGTTCATCAACAATCCCCACAAACTAATCAATCTAAACATGAATTATTAACTTATCCTTCAACTCTCACCTCTTGGAGCAGCAGCATTAAGTGTTCCGGTCATGTACCCGGAAGAGACAGTTTGGAGCTGAAAGTACACGCCACAGTTCAGGTCTGGAGACTGCAATCAAAAGCAAAACTGACTGCAACTGTTTTTGTCATAAAGTTGGAAAGAAACATGCTGATTTTATGCATCGTGAAGATTTGTAAATAATTACAAAAAAACACATTCATCATCAATATACAAACAATCAAGTATTTTAATTTATAGAATAAGATTCTTAAAATTGTAAAACATGTTCTGAGGACACAGGTTAAAATAGTAAGAGGACACTAAATTGGATCAGGAGGCTCAGTTGACTGCATCTCATTGTACACCAACAGCCTTGGATGTTGCTCATTCTCTCTATCACCGATTTGCCTCGCCAGACTCAATGTATTAAAAGCTGCCATGATAGGCCTATAGCTGGATTACTGCTGACTATGGCGTAAAACATGAAACCAACACTAACCTGCTGTTCCTCATGTTCCTCAGCTAAGCGTGATGGGACAGTTGTCTTTAATTCTGTCTGTGCCTCCCGTCCAACTGTCATACAGTACTCTGCACCATCTGGCAAGGTGCTAGGTCCTTGGTCATATCTTCCAGATGTGCACAACTCTGCACCAGTGCATCCCATCACTCCCTCTCCAGCATCCAGTTGTGCACAGTTCGGATTGTCATTCAACCTGAATTCATCTGATGACCCACTGTTGTAACTGCCATGTGCCTGGTAAGGTAGGTCACTGAATCCATAACTAGGGTCATTGTCAAAGTCATCACCACCTCTATCATCATTATCATCATCATCAGCAGCAGCAGCAGCACCAGCATCATCATAGTCTGGTCTCTGAGATGAATCTTCCCAATCTGGATTTCCACATACTGCATGAAGGGCAATAAAGTTGTTTGTATTGTAAAAAGGTGATGAACTTGGTACCACATCAGAGTTTGCAGGTATGGAGGCCAGTTGTTGTAGGAACCTTTGGGCCGCTTGCTGTCCAGTTTCTGAAGGCTCTGTGGCTGAAAAGTGAATTTTCAACTTGCCTTTAGTGACATATGCATAGTTACCTTCCCTAGTAATAACCAAAGCGTAGGATATGCGAGCAAGTTTGCGAGGGTGAGCAGGCTAACCAAGTCTGTGTGCATGGGTTGCAATAAATATCGTAGAGGCTAAATTAAATAAGATTTATTCAGATCCACCCAATGTAATTGGTATTGTATCTTTGTTCAGTTTGTTTAAACATTTGTAAAGTAATACCAAATACTAGTAAAGATTACGGCATTGGGATTTGGAGAAAACAACATAATATTTTGTTTGTTACGCTTGCTTCTTATTTTGTAAGAAACAATTTTTAAAAGGGCGCTAACCACTGTACAAACTTCTACATTTTACATAAAATTGTATATTCATTTACTTATCCTATCTAACACTATGCATTTCTTCCCTATTCTTTTGATCCTATGTGGAAATGTGCTTGAACAAAGTTTCCAGCTTTTGAAAACAAATCACCTGAACACATCCCAGCATCACCTTGGTCACCATCAATACAAATGGGTTATGTACTGTAACCTGTACTGGTAGAGCGACCTACGCGACATTCTCTATCTTAGAGCTAACAGGCTAGAGGAGCTGTGATGCAGGGATGGTCGGAAGGGCATATAGCGTGTGAGATAGGATAAGTATATTTATATACAATTTAATGTAATATTTCTAAATTTTGAAACTTAGCCTATGTCACACTGTGCGTTTATCCCACGGTTGGATGGCGGGGTGCAGATACCCTAACCTGTAGTAGACTACAACCGTGAAATATACACAAGGAAGCTGGTGCTAAACAGTGAGATAAGGAATAATCAGTTACACTGCTTAGTGTTGTAAAGACAAGAACTTGTGAGCAGAAAAACACACCATAACAGGCAATGTGATCCCTATACGTTAGTCGGACGTAACAACATAAAATCGTGTATAACATGCGTTTCGTGTTTTCACGTATGACATCATTACATGAACGACTGCGTAGCTGAACAGAACAATCGATACAGCATATGAATTGTAATCGATCCAGAAGGGGTCTCCAGCCAATTGACTCTACACGACAGGTCACACCATTATCTCCAATGGACAATAGGGTGCATCAGCACGTCTTCTCTTTTAACGCTGTCACATCTATCAATCACGCCCAAGGGATCGAAGTATGTTTAGATGAGGAGAGGAACTATCGACAATATCCACAAGAGGATACTTGAACCAACACCAGGCAGCACATGCATAAAGCAGAGGTGAGAAGGTAAGGATTAGGGGCACTTGCAGCAACTTCAACACCACATTTTCTTGAGTATAGTGGACACCCAAGTATAATGTGCACACCCCTCTAGCGGATTCAGACTAACAAAAAGACAATAAACACAGGAGTGATTGCTCAAATTTTATTCTGTATATATATGTAGTGAGAATGAACAGGTACATGCATCGACAATCTGCACTGGTATGCAGTCGACAGCTGCTGTGTGATAGGACCAAGAGACCGAACTGGTGAAGACCCTGGCATCTGCAACGGAGATGTCACAGAGTTAAGGGGAAGCTTCAGACTTCCAGAAACACCCTTCCATTATGGTGGAGAGGGTGCAGTTACTGTGCAAGGCCATATGGTAGAGGTGACGGCTTGAGTCTTATGTTGATTGGGCATTACAAGGGGAGGCAAGCAATCGAAGGTGTAGGCCTGTAGGATGGTTGAATGAAGCCAACCGGAGACTGTAGTACGGGAGACTTCTGCTGTGGCTGCAGTAGAAAGAGGGAAGAAGAGTCTTTTCAGGGAGCGCCGAAGTGGTCTCACAGCCTCAAGCCAGATTCGGAGCGCTCAAACCAGACAAAGAGATATCTTCCAGGTCATCAGAGCTCAAGATGGATGCCAGCTATGGGAAGGTGAACAGCCGATCTTGTTGTCCAAGAAGCTGATTATTCATTAACTTGTAGGACCGAATGAGGGGCTGTAGCTCGGCAACCATAGAAATCTTTGAGATGACAGAGCAGCGAGATAGATTGCCAAGGTGACCTTGCAAGCTTCCAGGTAGATCGTATATGATAGAGGTAGTCGGCTATCAGTGGAGGAAAAGCAGTGGGGGATGTGGTGATGTCACGAGTTCGACAGTAGGCCTCAGATGCTTACCATTGATGGTCGAAGATGGTCTTAGTAGAGGAATCGAGAGTCTCCGTGAGCAACAGGCAGAGCAGTTGGGAGTGAGGCAGGAGGAGGAGATCGTCCTTTAGTGGAAGAATGGAACCTGCTTTCCTGCAAGTTGTACCATCATTGTGAACCAGCTCTGAGTTGGCCAATAGGGTGCGATCAAAATCAGTTTCAGGAGGCAGGTGGATGCTGTTTTCTGAAGGACCTGTGGTAGGGAACGGGTCCGTGAAAAGGCGTAGGTGTTAAGGCGTTGCCATGATATCCCTCTTCAAGGAGAGAGACGTTGAAGCTCGTCATGGCGATGGTGATTAATGGGCTGATCCCAATGAGAGTGGTAGTAATAAGCCAGGGGACGAAAGTCAGGATAAGAGAAAGCATAAGGGTAACCACGCCAGTGAGGATACATGTCTATGTGCAGGGTGGTAGTACGTGGGTGGTCTCCATAACCGCTGTACCAATATGATTCCAAGCATGAAAGTCCTGTCGATAAGGACTACAATCGTAGGGGCAAGAACAATCCTGTGGACAATGTCGATCTGTGTAATATGATGCCTGGGAGCGACACCAAGTCAAGAAATGGCTCCAGTGCAATGAGTAAGAGAATGATGTGGCAGGTGTATTTACATAATCTTGTCATATAGGTCGCTCTGCATAGGGTAACAGTGCTTGTCCCATTGTTTGGCTGGTGACCATGGTGATGCTTTCGATGTGTTCGAGTGATTTGTTTTTAGAAGCTGGAAACTTTGTTCAAGCCCTTTCTGGGCGGGGAGTATAAATTGCTTCTGATCAACATTTTGACTCTGATCATTGGTGTAAACATGACACAGAAAAGTGACTTTGGAAAATCAATCAGTTTATTTTCCTCTGTTAATCAATTCAATTATAAATATTTATAATATGTTCTAAAGAGCACCAAAACAGTGTGTTGAGAATTGTATCATACAGGGCAAAATACTACATCACATTTCACTCATAGTGATTATTTGAGCCTATCACCAGTAATTTATGTATATGTAAGCAAACATGTGAATAAGGGATCTTTTGGGTGAAAAATCACATTTTGACTGTTCATCATATTTTAAAACTACAGTATCTTCAGAACACAAAAATACAAGCTTAAATTCATATTTATTACAGAGATATGTGGCATCAGACATGTGGATTTGGACATTTGGACTGTATGTAATAATTACAGTTTTTAGAAATAATGTCTGATGAATTGAAAGTAGACATGATTGCTGAAAGGTTTTGGAATAATGTTTTTATTACATAACGAACTAACGTGAGAAAGATACAATATTATTGTACAGTCAGCACACATGGCATTCTTCACAGAAGTAGGCTGATGTCAAACACAATTGTGTCCTAGCACCCATAAGGTCCCTTTTCTCCTTTTGGATCACATATGTAGTTGACTCCAACCAAGTCACTTTTGGAACTGTAGTTAAAGACTATTGCTACAAAAGTGTAGCTACTGGTTTTAAGACATCCTTGGGCCACACTGAGATATGTGCATGTTAAACCACTAGAAGTAGTGGTCGTAGAAGCAGTAGCAACTGTAGTATTTAAAGGGCAGCTTTGGCCATCTGTGATAATTTCACGGCTATGTTGTCAACCATGAAATCAAACTTAAAATGAAAGTCAGATAAAACATATCATCAGATATCACAGCAATTCACAATGCTGGATGAATACATGGCTCAAAATTTATTTCACAAGAACTACAAGTACCAATTACTGTAATTACACGTTTGAATTCTATAAATTTAGCCGTTGTGATAAATTTTTACAAACCTGTAGAGGTTATGAATTCTCTAATGAAATCCTCCTTGGGGCACCTATTGCATTTTCCTTGCTCAAGAAAATCTACATGACATAGTTGTAACCATTTTCCTTAATAAAAAATATTACCACACAAAAAACTTCGTTTTTGTATGATATACGACCACCCTTACAGGGCCTCACCCACTACGGTGTCTCACGCCAGGGGGAGTAACTCTCACCCAAATCACTTTCCATATGTCTAATGCTGACGGAATGTGGGGAGGTGGGTGGCCGTGCCCAAAGGTCGGATTTCATCAGAGAATTCATAACCTCTACAGGTTTGTAAAATTCTCTTTCAGATTAAATCCTCCTTGGGGCACCTATTGCATCAAGATAGACTCCTAAAGATAATCAAGGAAGTGGCATCCGTCAGCAACAGGTGTAAATAAATACATCGTATTCGATTATTCAACAGAATAAAATATAGAGTTCAATAAATGGAACCAACGTTATCGTGAGGCACCACCGTCGAGAGGTGGTGGCTAGAGACAGGGCGTGGTCAACCATATATTATGATAAAGCCTGTGTTTGCGGCTTGTCATAAGTTGAGAACTCGAACCCCCCCCCTTTTTTGAACAAGTGATATAGGGGCGTAGATCACGAGAGACTATAACCCGCGCTAAGCTAGGCCAGAGGGTCCCGGATGATCGAAAGAGTGGGTGTGCAAATACGAGTATTATTGAGTAGTAAGGACTGATATTTATCGACCGCAGAATATTAAATCCGGACCATTACCGAGCAGTATAACCGGAGAACGGTCTAAAATCTTGAAGGCTCAATAGGCTTGAGATGTAGAACTTTGCCCAGTTCGGAGAACTCACTGACCAAACCGAGCACGCTCGCTTGAGTGTTTGTCGAGTCCACCTGGGGCTCTCCGGGCGCTAATGGGTCTGCCTTGCCCCGGCCCCTGCCTCTCTTGCTCCTCCCGGCGCCCTTACTTGAAGGAAGCGGCTGCTTCCAAGCAGGTGTGGACTTCTGACCCGGCGCGTCAGCGTAGGAGGAGTTAAGTGGAGAGGTCCACTTACACGGCTTAGCGCTGGGTACCTCCAACAAGGCCTTAGAGTCCTTGATGGAAGCATACAACTGAGCGGCCTCTCGGACCACCTGCTGAGCCCCAGGGAAGAGGGTGGCACCCATCTTATACGGCAAAGCAAGGAGGTCTTGGTGTGTGGAAGTCGAGTATTTAGATACCGACATCCACAGCCTGTGCATACCCATAACAGCGCACATCATCTGCAAGGCACAGCTACTAATAGTGTCTCGCGAAAGATGACGGTGAACTTCCGTTAGTTGCGCGGCCCACGCTAACTCCCTCTGTACAGCCGACAGCGCTAAGGTGTAAAACCCGTAGTCCAATGCTGTATGATAAAACAAAACCCCAAGCCGTTTCTAATGGCCTTGGTGTTACGTGTATCAGACCGTGGAACTACAATATGGACGCCATTACGTAATTCAATTGAATTCAAATGTACCGTGCACGTGGCGTATAATTACAACTCTATAACTTTACAATGCGAGGTATTACGCCTTTGCAATGAAAGAAATGTACCATACATACAGTTTGGTCAGCCATGGTTCTCTTCGAACAATTATATTTCTCTTATTGGTCTTGTAGAAAAACAGCACGTCTGTCTCATACAGATGACATTAGGAAAGTGATTTGGGTGAAAGTTACTCCCCATGGCATGAGACGCCGTAGAGGGTGAGACCCCGTAAGGGTGGTCGTATATCATACAAAAACGAAGTTTTTGGTGTGGTAACATTTTTTATTAAGAAAAATGGTTACAACTATGTCATGTAGATTTTCTTGAGCAAGGAAAATGCAATAGGTGCCCCCAGGAGGATTTAATCTGAAAGAGAATCCAGTACCTAGATGTCAATACAGTTTGACAAACTTAATACTGTACTTATTGCATCTTCAAAAAAACAACACACCTTTTTCCCCCACTGAATGAATAACGTATTGATCAATGACCTATTAACATTAGAAAGTTTGAATTTCCGCTTGACTAGGACTGCACAGTATTACGCTTTACCAATGACACTGTTGCAATATTCTTTCTGGGTTCTCATATATACGGATAAAAATATATACCGATAACAAGTTTAGTTATTATTTGTATCCGATAACCTAAAATCTGCACAGAAACTAGGGGTGAAACAATACAAGTGGAGACCTACAGATAAGCAGTGTATTTGCTTAAAATACCCCCAAATATATTAAAAACTCAATTACTTTCAATTAACTTGCATACAGAAACGCATGCATTAAATGAAAAACTCAAATGTATAAAATCAGCACGAGTAAATACCCAATGAAACTTTTTCAGCATATATAGAAAGGAGCTAATTTCTGAAACACAATTATGAGCTAATTTACTTTCAGAGTCAAGCCTATATATTTGGAACTGCTATGTATGTCTTAAACATTATTTCGGTTTTTTTTAAATCTTAATATGTTCACAAATTTTGGGTAAAACCCAATAGAGTGATGAATAGATTAGTCAAAAAAAAAATGGTTACCCAATGAAAAATGTAATTAAAATCGAAACCCTAGAGTAAAATCCCAATTGCTCAAAAAGTTATCTGGAGCTCTGTCAGTGCATCGTAAGTTTCCATGTGATGATACGATACACGATACGTTTTTTTATGTGTCGATGCAAGACGATACACTTGCTGAAGTAAATTACTTACTACTCATTTAATTATCCCTGGCATTTTTGTCAGTCAGATATAGCAAAATGTGTTGTAATTAGTGTTTCAAGTTCACTATCAAAAACAGCCGCTATGAACATGTGTCTACAGACAGTCGCTTACATGTATTTCAAACACTGAGAATGGTATGTGCCAAGACAACCATTTTTGAAGATGGATTAGTAGGCATGGTATAGAGACAACATAGCTGGGATCACTTAAACAAAATTTCAGCTTTATGATCCTGAATATAAATAATTGTAATAAAACTACTAAAAAACAGCCGCTATGAGTGAGTGAGTGCTTATGGTGTTACGTCGCTTTTAGCAATATTCCAGCAATATCACGGGGGGGGGACACCGGAAATGGGCTTCACACATTGTACCCATGTCAGGAATTGAACCCGGGTCTTCGGCGTGACGAGCGAACGCTTTAACCACTAGGCTACCCGACCGCCCCAGAGCCGCTATGAACATGTGTCTACAGACAGTCGCTTACATGTATTTCTAACACTGAGAATGGTATGTGCCAAGACAACCATTTTTGAAGATGGATCAGTAGGCATGGTATAGAAACAAAATTTCAGCTTTATGATGCTGAATATCAAAAGTGCAGTATAACTTGGGTATATGGAGGCCAAATGAAGTAGCTGGGTCAATAATAAAAATATACTCCAAACTGTACCATGTGTATATGTTATTCTACATACAACATACAGTGGGTGAGTGAGTAGGGTTTAACGCCGCTTTTTAACAGTATTACAGTTATATCGCGGCGTGTCAGCTTAATGTGGGAGGAAAGTCCGAAGTGATGCAGGTATCAGACGTTTACCACTTCGGTGAAACCCACGAGCACGGGTATGGTGCTGACAAACCTAGAAACATAATCGGGGCGAACCGGGATTCGAACCCACAATCATAGGTTTCTGGTTACCACATACAGAATACCGAAAGGGATAATGATACATGGAGAAATGGCTGGGTATTGGGCAATAAATGAAATTTATAATATTATTGCCATGGCAACCATGGTGTAACAGAATTATCTGAATCCATAATAATCCATGAACTATATAGAATTTGCTCCTCAAGCAAAAGATACATATTTCCTTCTCCACATGTCCCTCCATAAAGCTGGAATAATGCTTAAAGCAGCATAAAACCACCGTCACTCCTTACTGGTGGGACTATCACTGCGTACTAAAAATACCTTCATTTTGAAGATGATGATGCCCAGATGCCATCAGCTATAAATCTCCATTTTGATCACTTTGTTCTTCTGATGTGGATAGAGACTGGAGCTAAAAAAAATAAAATTATTTAAAGTGCTCTACAATCAACATTTTCAAAAACTTACTGATAGATTATTACGAGACTGGGACTTTCAGTTTCCAATGTATTGTAGACCCAAACAAACCAAAAACATCATGCATCGCTTTCAATTTTGTGTTTTTGAAAACAATTTTGTTTGATGTCATCACACTCAACAATATTCCAGCTGTATTATGGCGGTCTGTTAATAATCTCGTCTAGACCAGACTGTTAGTTGCCTCTTCGGAAAACAATGGGTTGCTGAAGATCAATTCTAACCCAGATCTTCATGGATCAATTCTAACCCAGATCTTCATGGGTCTTGTATTAAATAAATAGAGCCACAAAATCCTGTATCTCACCTTATTGTTTTTCTGTTTTATCATAACCAGCAATCAAATGCAATTGTGGTTGTTATAAGAACCAAACAGAGCCATGGTATGTTTCTCTAACAAATTCTTACATAAGACAAGCTCTACATTCAACATTTTCGAAAACTTACTGATAGATTATTACGAGACTGGGACTTTTCAAACTATTGATAAATTAAATATATTAATTTCATAGCGAAATAGCTTAGTAACCATCTGTGTCCAAACCATGCATTAGTGACAGCACATACTGAGTTTTTGAAAACCCCTGAATACATGTAGTTGATACATGTGTCTGTGGGGATTCCTGGTTGGAATTGGTCCCCAGCAACCTATGCAGGTTGAAAGTGGTCACTTAATGGAGCGGTGGCCAGGTTTGATGACTTTTTGGGTGGTGTGTCATCGTACCCAAATTATGTGGATTGTTGCTCACAATATGACATAACCAAACACTGGATTGTCTTGTTGAAACATATTACTTACAGGCTGACATCATACAGCTTGAATATTGCAGAGTGCAGCATTAACAACAAACAGACACAGTACCAGATTGAGAAAAAAGAAGATTATGATGACCAAGGCATATGTGTAAATAAGTCATGCATGTTATGCATAGGTGTTTGGAGCTTAACATCATGTTCAAAATGATTGCACTTATATAGCAATGTGCATGTGCATGTGCATGTGTGTTTGTACATGTCCGGACTAATGCTGTTTTTATAGTGCTAGACAAATGAGATACCATGCCGCAGTTTGATATAGTAAACAGACTCAGAGATGACCTGTCCTTGTTTTATCCCCTGAATGCCAATTACAAGGCAGGGTAACAACAAGTACAATATTTTAACACCTTTTGGAATGACACGGAAAGGAATTGAACCATATACCTTCCACTCTCCATTCAGATGCCTTATCCACTAGACCAATGAAGCAGTCTTTAACAAAATAAGGTGAAGTAAATATGTATACAGTGACTGTAAATAAAGATATACAAACCAATTATCAACATCAGCTAAGCAATAATTAAATTGGATGTGTTTCTGATGTTAAATAAAGAATATGCTTTGTGTATTTATGTTTGTTCAACCCTCATGTTATAAGTATATCTTACATGAATATAAGCACTAGACATATTTTGATATAATTGTTTTTTTAACCAAAGCATGACTTTCACTGCATGTCAGTGCAGACACAGTGACAAACTAGAATTTATACTTTCAAAAGCATTATCAAATTATAATTGGGTGTCTTATAATTTATTTTTGTTTGTTAATATGTTGTTGTTTCCAAGTACAAAACATGCAATAATCACACATATTTTTTTACAAATGGAGTGCTCTTGTGTCTAATGTTTTTGATAAGGTTAATAAAATTGAGACCTTGAGAATGTGTTTTTGAAACAATAACTATGCTGTCTTCACCCAATAGCTATAATTGGTAAGTAGTGACTATATATATATGGACCACACCCATCAATCATACACCACAATCCAAGAACTAGCCCATGGGTATAATGGCAGATCATTCCTGGCATAGGAGATTTTGTTCGCGTTGTGATTATCCACAGTAATTGTTTTGCCTCTGGTGAGAAGTGCACAAAATATAATGTGATTTGTCATTTGGATTATATTCAAATTGAACTAAAGTGCTAAGAGCATCTATCAACTGTACCAGGGAATTGATTCATCGCAATCTGTCAATACCGCAAAGTCGATGCTGACCACAGTCCCCTGAAGCAGGATAGTGATATTACTGAAACACTGGACACATATATGGGTCCAGTGTTTTAGTGATATCACTATCCTGTTTCGGGGGCCTGTGTGCAGCTGCTGGTTTCGCGTTACAAGCCCCTGTGATTCCTATAATACATTTTAAAGTTACCCTTTTAATAGTAATTGCATGGGTTTAGTGCTAAAACGGCCCCTTATCATGCTGTGCGAAACTGGTTAAAATTTTAGGAAATCGTCTGCTTACCTGCGAAGCGTTCCTTTCACCTCTCCCCACTTGGTATATTTGTAATTTGGACTATATATCAGTCACATATAAAGACATGCTAATTTCTTATTTCTAATTAATGCAAGTTCAAAAGATTCACGGCCAATCCAATAACGGGATTTGCAAAAGCATGCACGTCGGAGACACAATCGAAGAAAGAAGCACATAAAATGGCCATGTTCCACACACATAAACTGCACTTTGAAGTACGTACTATTGCGATTAAAACTAACTGTATCAACAAGGATTAAAACACACTGAAACGAAATTCGAAAATTATCATATCCATATAAATGTTTATATTTTACTTGTCAGCGTAATCATTGTCTGCAATGGACACAGAGCCACTGGCACCAATATAGGAAATAGTGTCCATCAGTTAATACTCGACTTTCAAAAACTAGTGGACGCACCACCGCGTTTTTAACAAATAATAATTCACCGTTCTCTGAACGTAGGCCTGGTGGTAAACTTTCTAAAGGCATAAACAAAGTTAACCATATTAAAACCGGCTCCTCCCTTAACAACTAGCTTCACTGTATTATCTTGTTCTAAATAACACTGCATCGATCAAAATACACTCCTCACCAAAATGTTTAAAGTATACTTAAGGGAGAAAATGAAGAAAAGAGCATGAAAAGTCAACGATACATACAAAAGTTGGGTCAACTAGTAAGCTGATGACGTCATAAAACATGAATGACGTCGTGTATTGTTTTCGACTCCGCGATATATTACTTCGTGTTGCCACAACTGACCAATCCGCTTTGAGAATCGACTGATGCACATGTGCAGATATCGCAGTTATTACATCTTATCTTTCTTTTGAATTTCCTGTTGGGGCTTAATGACAAATGATCTGTATAGCCCCATAGTTGGTTATTCTCTTTATATATTCCCTATACAGCCTGCAGACGGGTTCATAAATAACGTACGTTTTTAGCTTTTACCATATTATTGTAACCTGTGCCCAGAAATTGACAATGCACGATTAACACTTAAAGGAACAGAACTGCCAAACGTCAAATTCGGAGAAAAACCTGAAAACCAGATTTCGAAAATGAACGGTAACACTGAAATACCCAGACCAACCGCACCCGCACCCGCATCCGCACCCGCCCCTGCACCCGAACCCGCACCCGCACCCGCACCACACCCGAACCCGAACCCGTACCACACCCGCACCCGAACCCGCACCCGCACCCGTATCCACACCCGTACCCGTACACGAACCCGCACCCGAACCCGCACCCGAACCCGCACCACACCCGCACCCGCACCCGTGAACGCACTTATGTACACACACTCCACATTTTTAACAAACGATTCTACGTTGACGAAAGCAGGTTCTTTTGGAACACATACATACATACATACATACATACATACATACATACATACATACATACATACATACATGCATACATAAAAACAATTATTGACATATATAATGCTTGAAAATGCAATATGAATGCGGTGATAATTTTACTGCACACTATGATATAAGGCATCATTGGTATTTATTTAGAAAATAACTGCAATAGAATGTAGACGTCACAATTGCGGGTAACGTTTATTGGGTGAATATGTATTTGGTAGCCTTGTTATTTACTGAAAACATGTCACAAGTGATGAGTTAGTTATTGTGTATTGTATGTTCTGCTTAGACACCAACACAACTCCTCCCCCACCCTTACCTCACCTCCCCACCCGTCATACAATATTTACCTTAATAGTAAGCAAATATATAGATGACATTTTCTTTGTTTACTCAGATGGAACGTCTGGATGCAGACACAAGAAACTATATCAAGCAGTTGACATTGTGAAAATATATATTGGCACTGAATTGAATATTTTTTTGGGGCACGAAAACTGCGGCCACTGGTTTTGCACCAATCGGGTCTCCTCGATTTTATGGGCTTCCTCTGCAATACTGCATTGAGTAGAGCCAAATCACAAGCTGTATAATAGCACTGTTTGATTGGCATTTTTAGGAGTTGTAAGTAACAGTAAACATTTATTTATTTATTTATTTATTTATTTATTTATTTATTTATTTATGACAACCTTCTATATCTACCAACCACGATCCTTTGCTGTTGTTGTTGTTGTTGTTGTTGTTGTTGTTAGTCCCTTTCATGTGTGCTCTCATGGTTTTGTTAATCCTTATTAGATGTATATAACCCTGTAATGTGCTGTCTTACTTCACTCTTGCTTGACAATGGTATAAGTATCTATACCGAAACGTCTCATCATAAGAAGGTGTCATCTATAAAATATCTTGTCTTTACTGAGTAACATCAGACAATCAAATGCGGCCCAAATCTATCAGATCAAATGTTTATGTTAAAAATGTCAGTGGAGGTACATGACACGAGTTCAGTGTTTGTTAGGTAGTTGACAACAATCAGTTTATAGTATTACCTCATAGGTGCATGCGCAGTACGTACAAGCGAAGAGCGCGATCACCCGGAACACTAGCTGTGGGTGTGTGTGTCCTGTACTTGCATCCTGTCGAATCTATGGGAAATGTTACATTTTACGTGTACTGTAAACGAAATATATGTTAAGCTCAAAGTGGCCATATTCCAGCTGCGGAATCATATATATAGCTAGAAGAAGAAATCGCAAAGGACAAAGAAGGACGAGGCGTGGTTTATTTTACGATAAAACATTGAAAGATTACAACCAAAAGTGGGCAAGATATGACAATCTGTAATGGGAGAAAAGGTGCATATAATGGCTGTCAATTGTTTTTGGTGTTTGTGTGAAATTACAGGAAATACAAAACTTAACCCCCTGTTTATTAAATGGACTTGTCCGACATTGCCGATGGTCGAATTCTATTCAGGGAGTCATCATTATTTAGACACGGGTAATTATTTTTAAAGTTTGTAAATTATATTAACGTCCTTAAAGAGGCTAATGATAATGCCCTATATAAGAAATCGATGACTCGTGGTCGTTGTGTATAGTAAAATAAAACACTACAGGGATTGTGAACCCTGTCGTGTCTTATTGCACGATAAACGATAATCGATATGTATACATGTTACAGTCAATGCGTTAAATGTAATAATCCCCCGCCCAACAAAGTTGGCGGGGGATATAGAAACGGGCTCCGTCCGTCCGTCCGTCACGTTTCGTTCCCGGAGCATAACTCAGAAACCGTTCAATATTTTTTCATGAAACTTTGCAGGTCTGTCAAGTACATGCTGAACTGGTGCCTTTTGCTATTTAGAAATTTTAGAAATGTTTATTTTTTACGTTTCCATGGCAACGAGATGGACTGAGGTTCCCAACTCTTCTTTTTTTTACAATTTCCATGACAAGTCCCACCTCGGTTAAAAAAGGTTAGGGTTTTGTTTAGATTTAATTATGTCATACATTCTGCAACAGGGGCGGGGGATATAGCCACGTCAGTGGAAAATTCTTGTTTCCTTTGTATTGGCAATGTGCAAAATGCCTGAATGTTTCATTCTTTTTTCAAATTGACTGCAAAATCGTCAATGCATTTGAGATTGGCTACAAATTATTAAGAACTTTTAAAGGTCTTAAAACATAACAATAGACTAATTATTCTAGGATTACATCACATGATATATATACTTGTGAAGTCAACTTTGATACGATGAACCATGTAGGTAAAGTTCATCATACAATAGGAGGAAATTACAAGGACGTTAATTGTTATTGGTGTGTGTATATTTGTATATAAGATCGGTATGGTCTGGTATAGGACGCCAGCCAATAATCGCTGCTTTGGGCTATCGTGCAGTCTATCCTATAACAGTCAGACTAATAAGCACATCAACTGACAGTTGACAGGTACTGTTAAAGTTATTGTTCCAGAGTCGTCTTGTGCTCGGACATCATTCTATCACATCGCTATTTTCCCACAAAACTGTCCTGCACAAGTTTATTCAAATCAGTAACCAGAAAGCACTGACATATAGAGAATCTCACCCGAGTGTCTTTTGATATCAAATATATCAACATGAGTTTTCCACTTTTATCAACGAGTGTTGATATATTTGATATCAATAGACATGAGGGTGAGATTTTATTTATCATCCAACATCATTATTCCAACTTTTTCAGTTTGTAGACAGAAAAAAGCAGTGACCTAAGTGTAAAAAGTACTGCTAACAGCATCAGTAGCAGAGCCATTAGTGATGTCATTTTATTGTGACGTCATGGTAACAATGACGTCACAATGGTCTGCACAGTATTGTGATGCAATTTCATTGTAGAAATATCTTCAATGTGCATACAACATTAAACTTGTAATCTAGTCTTAATCCAGTCAGATATAGCTTCACAAATTGATTAGTCTTCTTAATGTGTACATTTCAAGCCACTTTACGTAGCCGAGTTGGGTAGCTTAATGCATTGTCGCACCTCAAATTCTTTCGCTTTCATGAGGAAGAGTGGTATTCGGATCATGCTACATGTTTTCATAGACAACCTGATATATAACAACGAATACAAGTTAAAATGTACAGTTAACATGTTTTCCGTTTTCTGGGTGTTTGATCAAAGTGATAACATTCTCACGCATACTGGTTACATTTAACTCTCCGATTGCGATATTAAAGTACCAAGTGTTAAGATTTTCAAACATGTCAAATTTGACATGACTTTTATACCAAACTATCGGATTAATAATGATTGAAAACAACCCTCAGTATAGCTGCCTGGATTTGTTTTACACACAATGACGCGACATGAAAGTAGTGATTAATAATACTTGTGTCAGGGAGGGGGGAGGGGGGAGGGGGGGAGGGTGCTTTATAAACAACGAGCTTTAATGCTGATTGTAGAAGTGGCGAAAGCGGTAAGCATTGGTAGAAAGTTGTCTTTCTTTCTTTCTCAGTCAAATTACTTTGCGTTTGCATGGTTATAACAAAAGCTAATTATATTTCATCACTTATATAAGCAATGTGGTTTATAAATCTTTGATCTCAAGATGGAAAGGTTTTCTAAAGGAAACTTAGATGATATCTGCCATACCAAAACTGTGTTGCACTTGCAGTTGTTTCAATTCATGAAAAGAATATTTGGAAAAAATACAAACCGAGCAATCAATAAGGAGATAAACCATTTCTTTCTTTTTTTTAAATTAGAGGTAGTATAACGGATTTATAGTAGCTCTAGGAGATAAACCTACTGTGTTTTGAAATTAGAGGTAGTATAACGGATTTATAGTAGCTCTAGGAGATAAACCTACTGTGTTTTGAAATTAGAGGTAGTATAACGGATTTATAGTAGCTCTAGGAGATAAACCTACTGTGTTTTGAAATTAGAGGTAGTATAACGGATTTATAGTAGCTCTAGGAGATAAACCTACTGTGTTTTGAAATTAGAGGTAGTATAACGGATTTATAGTAGCTCTAGGAGATAAACCTACTGTGTTTTGAAATTAGAGGTAGTATAACGGATTTATAGTAGCTCTGAATTTATTTTAAAACCGAACGCGTTAGCGTCAATTAGAATCAAGTACGAGTGTACCTAAGTCATGGTAGAATTTACACTAACATACGTGAGTACTTTTACTCATGTGAGTAAAATGGTTCTATGTGAGTAAAATCTGGGATCTGGTATCGAAATTAAGTATATTTTCAACTGCAAAACCAGATATATTTGTTATTAGCATGAATTGTTTTTTAGAAAGACACCTTGCAGCAATGTTATTTTGTAGCAGACAATTTCTAATTTCTTGTCCAAGACCTGAAGGGCATTTATAGAATTTAAATAGCAAATGTTTATTATTCCGAAAAATGTAGCTGCATTTATGTGATTTTTTGTTCAAAAATCAAAGCCATGTCCTAATGTAGTCAATGTTTTGTTTTAGAGACAGGATTTGTGAAATGATTAATCTCTTGTGGAAGGTTGTGAACCAAACAAATTGATGATAGAATTCAGTAATACATATTTCTGGGTCTTGCAGACAGAAAGTTTAGTTGGATTTTGATGCTCTGGCTGCACATAAATGCCTCGCTGAAATTTACATCTCAGATAAAACATTGCCCGAATCAACATGCAGTTGAAAGTAAATACCATTTATAAGCATATGCGGGTCAGCTAAATATACTATTTTAAGAGATCTTTTACACACCGTAAAATAAGGTCCAAACTTTCAGAAAATTTCAACATGAAAGGAATCTGTGTAGCCGTGTGTGCCCTCCTGACCCTGGCGTCCGGCCATCCTTACCATCCACCACCATCTTCAAACTACTACGGGAGCTTGGTTGGAGCAGGAGGACTGGGCGGAATGGTTGGACTCTCAGTGTCTGCCAGCAGCTCCACGGGCCCTGCGATGTCCGTAGTGTCCACCCGACCTGCCGCATCAGCTGTATACCCTGCTGGAACTGGGGTACTGTACCCTTCTCTCCCTACAGCTGGTACCCAGTGGTCATATGGCTCAGTATATGGTTCAAGGTACTCTCTCGTTCCAAGAAGGCCTACCATCGATTTCCCACCAAGGGGTACCGCCAAGGGCGGATATCGCCCAAGATACTTTTAAAGAAGGCGATATGGTACGTTTGTTTATTTTACTTCGTTGTCCAGTATCTCATGATGTTAATTCTGGGTTTCATTCCACGAGCAATCGTTTCGCTACGACCATCGTATCTAACTTACGATCGTGATAACGCTTTGATCGCTTTGTGGAACGGGTTCCTGGTACGTTAATGTGTTGAATGTAATGACGGAGGTGAAATGGATGGGCGCTTGTCATCGTACAGAGGCGGCGTGGATCGTTGCTCACAATATCAGTAACAGGATTGTCTGGTCCAGATTCGATTACCGTATTTGACGTAATAAACGCCCCGCTCAAATAAGCGCCCACGGCGATATTTGATGATAATTGGCTAGTGAACAATCTCAATTAGCACCCCTTCCGATTGATCAATGTACAAAAGTCTTATTTATTCGCGTATAATACGCACTCGTGTGTTATATGCACCCTTAATTATGGGCAATTACATTCTGGAAAAATATATCTGTCGTATATAAACATTTCAGGCTGTCAGCATAAACCTCGAAATTTATCTTTCAACTCTGTTTTAAGTTTCACCAAAATAATATTCTAATAAGAGCCCCCTTTTTCTAATTTTGAGAGCGCTTTGGGCGCTTACTACGTCAAATACGGTTTTAACAGGCCGCCGTCACATAGTATGTTTGGTACTGAGTGGGGCGCACAAAACGCAGACAATCAAATCAAAGGCTTAAGTCGTTGAATTCGAATGAAACTCACACGACTGAGAACATTTTGCAAACATAGCCGTCTTCAATCTCGTCAGATAAATATTTTTCTGCTTGTGTGTATGGTTAGTTTTATAATACAGTGGAATTAATTCATTGCAAGACACTTTAGTATGTATCAATGGTATTTTGATACCCCTGGAATCAGTCTTATTTTCAATATTAGGATTGGGATATCACACAATATGTCTTCTTCTTCACCCGTAACTTATGTAACCGTGTTATAGCAAGATCTGGGGAGTCAGGTACCCTGGTACAATGTGTGAAGCTCATGTCTAGTGTCCTGGAGTATTGCTAAAACTATATACTCTTCAAAAAAAGAAACGCGTAGCCAGATTTGTGTGAGGTGGGAAAATACATTTATACGAGGAACCGTACAAGGTATTTAGCCAAAATGTTGTGGAGAGAACACTTGGCGATTGTAGTCATCTCGGTTATTGGTCCATAGGAAAAGTCCAAGGTGGAAATCAGCTACCATCAATAACACGTATGTCCTCCGTTGGTATCGATAGCGGCAAGACATCTCCTATCCATGAAAGAGACGAGTTTGCGAATCACATCATGGGGAATGGTAGCCCTCTCGGCCTGCAACGCAAAAGCCAACTGCTGCAACATCTGGGGCTAGGGTTGACGTCGGCGTAGCCGTCTATCCAATTCATCCCACGGGTGCTCTATCGGGTTCAAATCCGTTGGCTGCAATTGGGAGGACGTGTGGTAGGAGAATTTGGTTGATGTATCGTTGAGCCGTAAGATTGTCCTGGATATGGACCAAACCTGCCCTGCCATAATGAGAGATACCATAACGCTTCCCCCACCAAACCTGTCCACTTCCTGTACGCAGTTTCCGGCGTAACGTTCTCCCCGACGTATATAGACCCGTGCTCTTACATCCCCTTGACGGAGGAGAAATCTTGATTCGTCGCTGAACCAGACATCTCTCCATCGCAGTTGAGGCCATACCCTTTGTTGACGACACCAATGCAGTCGTTGTTGACGATGCTGTCGCCTCAATATGACGCGTCGAACAGGAAGTCCTGCTCGTAGACCTGCTGCTCTTAAACGGTTTCGTACGGTCTGGTCGGAGATCCTGCGCAGTCCGGGGAATTGGGATGCGGTTGAGGTGGCTGTGGTCGTCCTTTCACGTAGGTGGCGCAGTCGGATGTAGCGATCTTGCGCGGGGGTGGTTATTCTTGGTCGTGCCTACCTTGGCCGATCACGTGCTGTCCCATGCTGTTGAAACCGATCCCATAGCCTTGTGGTGGTGCTGGACGCTACACTGAAAACCCTTGCTACAGCTGATCGAGATTCCCCTGCCTACAAGCGGCCTATGGCGTTGTTTCTTTGCACTGCTGTTAATCCTGGCATGTTGTTGAACTGTCACTGTTCGTTTGACGCAGATGCCAGGCAATCAAAAACCCTGTACTTTAATACCGTTCATAGTGCTGCTGCACGTGCAGTGCGTGCAGCTCCATGGCCCTTTTGTTAATGCACTGGATGCGTTTTTCCGAATCGAACGTATTTCCCGACTTATTGTTTGCATGTCCTTGTTGTGATCATTTTGATCCGGGAAATTTGTCACTGACACTATAACACATTAAGCCTCTTCATTTTGCACCTCTTGGTCCGCTAATTTTGCTTTTATGGCCAAAAATATCCGTATTGCGTTTCTTGTTTTTGAAGAGTATGCTAGTATAGATGCAATAGATATGAAAATCCTTCTATGAAGGATCACTGACTTTCTTTTTTACTACATTATTGACATTTGCAATTATCAGACACCTTATTGAATTGGACAACATCCCATGAAGATTGACATATTCAATGATTGTATTTCAGGACAGCTGTGACGATAAAGGTTTAAGACAGAGTCTTGCTGAATGGTCTCGTCCGTATATGGAGCAGCAAAGAAGGTTGAATGAACAATGTGTCTTGGATGTCGAAATGCAATAAATGGTGCTTCAATACATTATACGCATTCCTGTTCTAAATGCATTCCAGGGACCCGTTCCACAAGGCGATCGTAGCGCTACGAGAGTCTTAAGGCTATGTTTAAGTATGGGAGTTACGATGACCTTAGGGCAATGTGGAATTGGGCCCTATACAATATATCTGTTATATATAATATAACACCAATATAGACATAATGTTGTTGTAAGACAAGCAACGTAATGGATCAGCAACAAACATTTAAATGTTACGTTCGAATCAGCCATCAAGTTGTTTCGTCATTTAAACAATATTGTTAAAACAACCTAAAAACGATACACTCATTCAGAAAACGACACTCTCATTAGTAAGATTTTCTTTAGGCCCCATTTTGAATAACCTTTTGAGTGAGTGAGTATGGTTTTACGCCGCTTTTAGCAATATTCCAGCAATATCACGGCGGGGGACACCAGTAATGGGCTTCACACATTGTACCCATCTCAGGAATCGAACCCGGGTCTTCGGCGTGACGAGGGAACGCTTTAACCGGCTACCCGACCGCCCCGAATAACCTTTTGAGCTTTTTTGTGGATGCACAAAAGATCAGAGTGAAAGACTAGAGAGATTGCAATTGGAAGTAGCTCGACCCGTTACTGGGCTGCCAATATACACATCGCGAGCATCATTATATTTAGAGACTGGTTGGGAACCATTGCAAGAACGAAAACGCTGTCTTTTACATGAAATGTATCACAACATAGTCCAAACTTACTTAAAAGATATTTTACCAAATTCCGTTGCTTCCAAGTACTACATACGCCCTAAGAAATTCGGAAAACAACACAATTCCCCGCAGTAGACTGAAACCTTAGCTGATTCTTTTTCCCCATCTACTATCAAGCTGTGGAATGGTATACCGTTAAATCAAGAACAATTCAACACAACATTTTTATAAATAAAAGCGACAAAACCCTTTCCATATTTATAAGAAATCGATTATACGATTCCGGATATATCATGAATATGTGTTTATTAATCAGTATCAAAATAGTGATGGTACCAGGTTGCACCTTTCACCAACACATGCCAAGTCAAGTCACCTGAACAAAACACGGGACTTTAATGTACAATACATCTTCCCGAGGCAAGAGAGTTAACTGACTTTAAAAGTCCAGTTTCCACCCTTGCCGAACTAGGCTGGAATTCCTGGGCTCGATCGTAGCGCCACCAGTGGCTATTACGAGTAATGTCCTTTCTATGCCTCTCCTATGGACCAATCAGATTCAACCTCTCGTATCACTTGCATTTGCTTCAAACAAAACGGTGGCGCCCAGTCAAGACGATCTGATTGATAATCAAGATCTATATTGTGATAAAACGAGTCTTACATCGCGAAGTGCATCAAATCACGTGAGCACCTCGATTTAAAGCATGAAGAGATTTAGAAAATATCTGTTGACAACGAGTTAGCGGTGCACATGCTTTGCAATTCCTGCAGTCGACCGAAATCTGCATGACAATTTACGAACCGGATTTCGATTCAGTGCGCGATTTTGATTGGATTATGCATAGACTCGTTAGTCCAGCCAAAATGTAATTCCATAACACCAGCCTAGTTCGGCAAGGGTGGAAACTGGACTTTTATAGTCAGTTAACTCACTTGCCTCGGGAAGATGTGTACAATAGGGAATTGCATCAGACATTATTTTCGTCATTGCTACTTCAGATTTGGACATATCCTACACACATCTTTTATAAAACGTTTTGAAAAGCTTTACCAAGCCTTAACCACTGATTCTGATCTAACAATTTTTTGTTATCCTGATCAAATCACGGTTACCCCTATGTCCTCAATAAGTGTAATTTATATCCATTTTGCTTTTATATCAACTTTTCTTTTAAAACATACTAGGTTTAACATTTTAATAATTACATATTTTTTTCTTCAGACATAATTCCGCGCAACATTTTGAATGTTAACATTTGATACGTTGATTGTAATTTCTTTTGCCTGCTGCATGCCCTCATTAATATAAAAATTCCATGTTTTTCTCCTGTTATCTTTACATAAATGTTTGTCATGTATTAAAACATTAATGTCTCTCTCTGTTGTTCGTGATATTGGAAACGCCTACGTGGTCTAGTGGTAGTGCGTCCACCCAGAGAGCGGCAGGTCAGGAGTTCGATCCCTGGCCGCGTCACACCAAAAGACGTACCAAAATGGTACTAGTTGCTACCCCGCCTGGCGCTCGGCATTTAGGGGCTAAAACAAGGACTGGTCGGCTCGGAGTCAGTATACTGTGTCTGAGTGGGGTATTCATGTTCATCTGCGGCATGGTATCTCAGTGGGTTAGCACTATGAATCAGCATCAGCCCGGACTAGTACAAGCAGCCACGCACACACACACACACACAAACACATACACACACACACACACACACACACACACACACACACACACACACACACACACACACACACATGCATTCACGTCTCTATGTAAGAGCAATAATCTTGGACGCGACGTTAAACCCCATTTCACCTCACCTCGACAACACCGTGTCGAATTACTGTCACAGAAACAGTCTGCAGATGAAATGCCCGTGGCCGATTTTCCGGCAAATAATGACGAGCTGATTTACATCGTGACACAGTCTCGGCATGCCTGAGTCTTGCGACCAATGGTTCATAGGAATCATTGTGAGAAAATCAAACCATAAATTTTCGTAAAAAAGTCCTTTCTGGATAAGCTTCAAATATCTTCAGATTATCCCGAGACATGCTGTGCATGGAGAGTTTTTGGTCAGATGTCAGAAGCTTTCATTGCCAAAGTATGTGTGATTATGGAATTTACTCTCTCCTGTGAATAGCTACTGAGTGAGTGAGTGAGTATGGTTTTAAGCCGCTTTTAGCAATATTCCAGCAATATCACGGCGGAGGACACCAGAAATGGGCTTCACACATTGTACCCATCTAGGGAATCGAACCCGGGTCCTTGGCGTGACGAGCGAACGCTTTAACCACTAGGCTACCCGACCGCCCCGAATAGCTACTGAAATAGCATTATGACGCTCAGTCATTCGCCGATCCATCACCATATCGTGGACACTCGGGATAGTTTCTGGTGTAACAGTTGATGATGTGACAGGCTGTCTAGGACGGGCGTCGTCTTCAAGGCTCTCCTTGCCACGCTAAACTCTGCTGCCCACCTCTTTACGATGACATAGGTAGGGACATCCTCTTCTAGTGTTGTACTCATATCTTTGTGGATGGCTCAACTGACTCAAGTTTTGAAGTTATATACTCTGCAAATGTATGTGTAAAGATGTATATTTTATATATATGATATAAATAATCAACAGATGGTAATCGATTGTTCAAATCACACATCATAGTCACTGACCTAGCTTCCGTAAGGCACACATCGAACAGTAGATTTTCAAGGTGAAGATCATCTGTACTCAATATAGTGTATGCCAACATTATAGTCCAAAACTGACTTGCATCGTCGTCCCATGGAAGCAATCATGGAAGCATCCGGGAATGTTCACCCACCCCATGGGCGGATACAGCTTTTTGAAAGGGTGTGTGGGTGTGGGGGGGGGGGGGGTGTGTGTGTGTGCACAATTAAGATCTATTTATTGTCTTTGGTGGTAATTTATACAGAAATAAAGATATGTGTATAAAAAATTATAACATAATGAAATATATGATCAACGTGCACTAAACATTTTGAACTTGTGGCAGTGCTCATCAAGCAGTTACATAATCATAATGATGGGCGTGCTATTGGTTTCAGAGACTACAGTAAACTACGGTTATAACGAACTCAAAGGGACTACTAATTTTAGTTCGTTATAACCGTAGTTCGTTATAAACATATATACAGCATAACTACAGCAAATAGTCGGGACCAAAAAGTAAGTTCGTTATATCCGTCAGTTCGTTATAAGCTTGTTCGTTACAACCGTAGTTTACTGTATATAAGTATTTTGAATAATTACACAACTTTCTCAGATTAACATCAGAAACTATTGGAAAATGATAATACCTAAGTATACTATTTAATCCTCCCTCAGTTTGCCTCGGTTATATAATGACAGATGTTACCAGACGAAGGTAATATTTGTGGTTACATACACATACCACCATATACATCTATGACCATGTCATATGAGGAACATTTTTATAGCTTCATCTTTATGCCAAAGTAGTGGGATTACTCATCATCTATTGTCTATTTAATATCCCTCAAGCTTGCAGACTTGACAACAAGCAGGGCCCCGAGTCAGAAAATGATTGACAACATGTTCAGAGAAACAGTCGTGTATTTGAATGGTGACTGCCATACCACATAAACGTTACGACTGTTTATCGGAATGTCCCGAAGAAACAATCGCCACGGATCAGTTTATTTGTCTGATACTTAAGGCTTTATTACTTTTATATATACGTCTAATCTATTTTATGTACAATTCCAGCCTACCTTTTGTGCTACTAGATACTTTTCATTTACAAACACTACATTTTACGGTATAAATAATGCTACTCGTGCAAATAGTAGTATTTGCGTGACATATCTGCAAAAGGCAGAGTTCATTGCGGGGGGGGGGGGGGGGGGATACGATTCATACACAAAGCCCAGGCACCGAGCCTGACCCCTCGAACCATTAAGTCGCCTTTAACGACAAGCAAGGGTTACTGGGGAGCTTTGTTCATATCACAATCACGACGGGTCAGGAAATTAATGAACTCATGTTTCTCGTCAGTGATAACTGGGATATCGGAGTCCTCACGTCATCCCCGCGGGGGTTCCTGAGTAAAAGTGGTCTCACACATAGCCTACGATAGTCGTGCGTGCCGCCGCTCGTGAAATGACGGCTGTTCACTGAGCCCAAGCCAAATAGACAGACAATTCATATTAGTCTCACCTTGAGGAAATATTTAGCATGATTTACAGATGATACATACAGTGTTTAAAACTCCAAATGGAGTTACGAGACATTATGTGTATACAGCTAAAAAATTACAATTTAATAATAAATATTAGAAGATAAAAAAACATGGCATTTGTATAAAAGCCATTTTCGTTGTTGGAGAATATTAAAACAGGTTTCTGCACACAGTAGGTTCGGTATTTTGATTAAAAAACACTGAACGTTTTTTCTTTATCTGATAACATAAAAGGAATTTCATAGACTATCAGCTTCAATTAAAAGAATCTCCTCAGATCATCAAACACTGGACACTGATGAGCAACATGCACTTCGTCTTCAACAGAATTATTTTGGCACACATGACATAGTCTATCTTCAACTGAGAGGTTTTCATATCGTCCAGTTTCAAGTCTGATTGGTGCAACCCCATATCTAAATTAAGCCAAAGCACGTCTGTAACATCCCGGCTTATTCGACTTTACATAGAGCTCTGTACAGTTTTAAAGTTCTTATATATTCTCAGTTTTCCAATGTTACTACTCCTCCTGTAGTTCCACGCTGCCTTGTGCTTTATGAACATAGTGTCTTTGATTTTGTTAACCATATCTGGGATTACAAAGTCGACGTTATACACGCAGCTACATTCCCCAAATAGCTTATGAGCTTTAAATTTCAGGTCTTACACCCAGAAGAAGCATTCCTGTCGGAACCAAGCGAGTATATTTCTTTTTAAACGAGATCGGTGATCATTGTGATCACCAATAAATAATCGGTATGAGTCCACTTACAAAATGTTACTTTGAGTGTAAGTGACAGGTAATGCGTATAGTACCGTACTGAGGAACGGCACGCTTGGCCTCCATATCACTAGGTTGTGCTAATATGGCCTAAGGCCTGAGTTTGGGCCTGAGTCTGAGATTGAGCCTGAGTTTGGGTATGAGCTTGGTCGTGAGCATGAGCTTGAGCTTGAGCTGGAGACGTCGGATGTTCCTTTTGAGCAACAAATTATGACTGCAAACGTAAATACATGGATGTACTTCAAGAAAGTTGTTCATTCACATGATCACATATATGTCAATAAAAAGCCCTCCTCTAATATATGTAAACCATTAAAGTCTCTTATCTAGATCCATGTTGCGGCGGTGTGTTGATAGTCTAACCTGGACTAGACACACCTGGAAAGAACAACCGTGGGAGACGTTGACACGCAGTTAGCCACGTCACCGAGAAACCTGACCACCCGATCCAATGAAGTCCACAATCGTAGGCTAAGTGAGACCATTCTCTATCAGGAATCCTCACGGGGATTCCGAGAGGACTCCGATATCCTAGTTATCACTGACGAGAACATTAGCTCATTAGTTTCCTGAATAGCGTTTAAGACCCATCGTGATTCTCGTTACAAACATAGCTTCCCAGCAACCTATGCTTGTCGAAAGAGGGGTCATGCTCGGTGACTTGGTTGATTAGATATAATTGTATCCCAATTACGTGGCCCTATGAGCATGATGTCAATCACTGTGTTGTCAGGTCAAGACTCGATTATTTCAGACCGCCATCATATAGCAGCAATATTGATTAAGGGCGGCGTTAACCAACAAACTATCAAACAGACAGACAATAACACTGTTTAATATTTATTTTCGATGCAGAAAGCAGTATAAGAAACTGACAAATTTGGGGAACAAATTATGTACATATAATATTCTATTGCATTGCAATCAGTGGTTTGTGAAACTAATGTGCTGTGTGGTCATCGTGGACATCCTATATCGTTATTATTATTATTATTTTTATTTTTATTTTTATTATTATTTACAGATTAAAATAAAAAATGCAGCAAAGAGGAGTCGGGTGATCCCGGTACAGTCAGGCTGGTTAGGCTCATCATCAGCTCAGGGCCCTTTCCCCCTCTACACGCAGCCGAGACAGCGAATGGGACTTCTCCCAGCAATCGCTGCCTAGTCAACTTTTCGGAGACCTTTTCGGAGAATGTGAAGACTCCCCAACATTGCAGCCTTCTGCATTACCCAAATTGTCAGAAGGGCTGTATTCCTGGTAGCAAACCCGGGTACTCTCCCAATGTCAGTCAACAGATTGGGAGGTACCAAACCTAAGACACCGAGAACAATATGGAGTCGGACAACTTGGCACTTGGGGATGCAAGCGTGACATTTCGAAAGCGAGGTCCGCATATTTGCCATGTTTTTCTTCAATCTTGTCAATCACATTAATTAGTGTCAAAGGGGACAGAAAATTTAATGATATAAATTGTTTCATTGGATTTATCAAAAAGGACAAGATCAGGTTTCTTGGCCTGGACACGCCTGAGGCTGTATACGGGCCTATTCCAAAGCATTTTGTATTTATAATGTTCCATGACGCCCTCTACATATTCAGGGACGTACCATGGATGGACCTCTGTGTCAAAACCACAAGCATTGCATTATTATGATTATGATGATGATGATGATGATGATTATTATTATGATTATTATTATTATCTCTCTTACACATGCTTATGATATCAATGTAGTCGCAATTGTACAATGCTTTTTTGTAGATATTTCAACAAATACTACTAATTTCACGAGTGGCAGTATTTATACCGTTATATGTACAAACAGTGTTTGTAAATGAACCATATTTAGTAGCACAACGGGTAGGCTGGAATTGTACATAAAATAGATTAGACGTATATATAAAAGTATTTGAAGCCTTAAGTATCAGACAAATAAACTGATCCGTGGCGATTGTGACTTCTCTGCACAAACGCATGCCCAACACATGTTCAGTGTTGAAGCACATGATATCACGTAATTGATGACTGTCACAGAAGTGAAGCATGCAGGTGATTCCGGCAAACAATCGTAAGGTTTATGTGGTATGGCAGTCACCATTCAAATACACGACTGTTTCTCTGAACATGTTGTCAATCATTTTCTGACTCGGGGCCCTGCTTGTTGTCAAGTCTGCAAGCTTGAGGGATATTAAATAGACAATAGATGATGAGTAATCCCACTACTTTGGCATAAAGATGAAGCTACACAATATGTTCCTTATATGACTTAGTAATAGATGTATATGGCGGTATGTGTAACTAACCACAAATATTACCTTCGTCTGGTAACATATCTGTATATAACCGAGGCAAACTGAGATAGGATTGAATAGTATACTTCGTTATTTTCATTTTCCAATAAGTTCCCATGAAATATTAATCTGGGATGCGACAAACATATGCGTCTACCTCATTTACTTAGTGTGTTATTAAGAGCGATGCTTGGTATTCTTAACGTGCATGGGTGTTTTGTTTACATGAATTTGACATTTAAACGGTTGACAATTGCTAACTTGAAATGGGGTGGTTTAACATATTGAATACGTATCCGCATTTATTGCTGGCAAGACGGATCCCGGTACAATTATGCGTGTGCGTGTCCGTGCGTGTATCTGTTAATCACTGTGAGTGAGTTGGGTTTAACGCCGCTTTTAACAGTATTCCAGTTATATCGCGGCGTGTCAGCTTAATGTGGGAGGAAAGCTCGAAGTTATGCAGGTCTTAGACGTTAACCACTTCGTTGAAACCCACGAACACGGGTATGGTGCTGACAAACCTAAATACATAATCGGGGCCGAACCGGGATAAGAACCCACAATCATAGGTTTCTGGCGTGTACAAGGGACACAACTCTGCACAGCGAATCGCGGCGCCTTGGACGACTGGGCCACCCGTGTCCCCTGTGAATCACTGTGTCCCGAAAAAGAAGTAATTGGCCTGTTTAATGTGGTCTATTTTAAAGTCATGAAACATTAAACACATATTCACAACATATACTATTTATTCTAAATAATATAATGCTCCATTTGCAACCCCGGGAAAATCCATCTCGTTGTTTCAGTCCTCCATCTTCATGAACGGCTTTGCGTGGCCCTAAACGGAAGACATTGCATTGAGTAAATCAGTATGATGGTGCATTCCATTGTTCTGTTTTTTGTCAGTGTTTTGTCAGGATGAATTATATTTGAAGCTATGATCGAATACTACCTTTTCAATGATAAAACCTGAAATCTGTACGTCATTATTCACTGCACGTTTACTGACATTGTGCTCAAACTGACATTATGTCAATGAGTGAATCATCAATGTATCTTTTGAAAACTGAAACTGCTTATCCAAACGATTGCCCGCTTCCCAAACCTGCTTTGTTTTGACAAAGTGATGGTATGTTATTTTTCATAGGTATTTGATCACCGAAATATAAAGTATTAACGTACCAAATGTTATTTTTGAAGATCAAAAGAATCCCTTTGGATTGGCAGGATAGAATCGCCTCCTCATTAGGAATGGCGGTCGGTACACGGCTGGGCTACTCATAGAAAAAGCCTGAGCTTGTGCCTGAGCCTGAGCTTGTGCCTGAGCTTGTGCCTGAGCTTGTGCCTGAGCTTGTGCTTGTGCGGCCTGAGCTTGTGCCTGAGCCTGAGCCTGAGCTTGTGCCTGAGCTGCTTGAGCCTGAGCCTGAGCTTGAGCCTGAGCTTGAGCTTGTGCCTGAGCTGCTTGAGCCTGAGCTTGAGCTTGTGCTTGTGCCTGTGCTTGTGCCTGAGCTTGTGCTTGTGCCTGAGCTTGTGCCTGAGCTTGTGCCTGCGCTTGTGCCTGAGCCTGCTGAACACCAATGCTTCCAAACAAAGGAGGGCCAGCAGGGGTCAGAGATCCAGCAAAGGGAAATGTTGGTCCTGCCACGAAATAAGAACCGGCACTAGACTGAGATTGAGCCTGGGCTTGTGCTTGAGCTTGTGCTTGAGCCTGAGCCTGAGCCTGAGCCTGAGCCTGTGCCTGAGCCTGAGCCTGAGCCTGAGCCTGAGCCTGTGCCTGTGCACCACTGGAGCCAAAATATGGAGCGGTCTGAGGGATCAGAACTCCACCAGTGGGAACAGCTGGCACATAATGCGGCGTAGCAACCGCAAGGAATGCGCACAGGACTACACAGATTCCGTTCATGCTGTGGAAAGAGAGGAAGCAACATATGTGAAAGATGTTAAAAATAAATTGTAATGAAGTTGAATGTCCTATAATTATACAGTGAAAAGATACCAAGGCATATTGCTGATGTAACATTTTGTTTAATTGAAAAGGAAACATGAATGTAACTCTACCACAAAGAAACACACGCACGAATCATTGTAAAGGTTCAATATTGACAAAAAGTGTTTGCGAGAAGTAGATGAATATGTTCAGGGCCCACTTGCATAACGCGATTTTAGAGCTAAGATGATCGTAACTCCCATACTTTAACATTGGCTGGCAATAGTCGGAGCGCTAAGATCGCTTTGAGCAAGTGGGCCCTGATCTATCGGCCATATATTTGCTAACTAAAGTCGACTTTCCCCTAGTAACATTCTATGACTGCAAAAGTAACCAATGAATGTGACCCAAGAAAGTTGTTCATTCTCATGATCAAACTCCATGCCGTCAAATCTCTCAGTCAAACTTGCAGGCACATTCCTGCAGCTGAGCAGTCGCTTTGTAATTCCTGGATGAACTCCAGTCAGTTTAGCATTATTTCTGTCCTTAAAATTTCCAAACAATACTATCTTCAACGTGCACAGTGGATGCCATATCAAAGAAATAATTTTATTTGTATTCATGACCTTATTTATTTCCGTTGTTACGCACAAACTATTAGTAAATGAACTGATCTTGTATTTGAGTACTGGAGCAATACACAACACTTACATTTACAAATGATAGAATATAGCCTTATGTAACAGAGTGCCTTACCTGATGAGTGATGGTCCCGTTAGATGTCTCTGATGCATAAACGCAAGTCTTATATAGGTTAGAAGCGAGCAAAATGAATTGATTGATGACTATTTAAGAAGTGAAGTTTTTAGTTATCAATGTTAACCTTTACGAGGTATTGTAGTCATCGATGCAATAAATCCGTGTCTCTCTAACTGTTAAATATGTTATCAATCACGTTCTGACTTATAAAGACTCGGGGGCCTGCACAGTCAGACCTACATGCGTGACAGTAACAAAGAAGGAGCAATTGATGTTTAATGTGAATAATCACCTTACTTTGGAATAAAGAAAATGCCGAAAGAATGAGATAAATCTTATTCATGACACGATTTAAATGTTTTTAGTATCAAATTACATAGACACAAAAGGCGGCCTTAGTCCTTTTACTCATTTTACATATAACTAGTGCAAAATTAGAGGGTTATTTCGAAAACTTACCAATTATCAACATGGCACTTATCAACCTACAATTTCTCAAATGATATATAAATCTGTGAAGGTCATTATATTATTGAAAAACTTATATAGACTTCTGTTACATAAAATAATCCAGACCCAGATGTTGAAAACAGTGTGTGTACATCGTTTAGATCCCTCTGTGGTCAGTTCTGACGTACATATCTTCCTTTTTGTGTATGCAACTGTTGAATATGGTTCCTACATATTGAATATATGAAACTGTACTGACAATTCTCCTTGGACATGTTACGAGTTATTGGGGAGTCTACTATGATATTGAAGAATGCTTGATTCGGATTTGTCCTGCTGTCACCGCTTTTAAATACCAGTATCAAGCCTTTTCACACAAAACCGTGCGCATGAACACATTGATAGCCTACATATCAATCCATAATACATGGCTGCCTTCGGAAAGGTAGTGCGTTGCCACTATGCCAGCATAAACAGCATAGACGTTGGGCTTCTGGTTGCCGCCGTGTCATCGGCTCGAGGGAAATTAATAGACGCCCGTGTTTCTAATAGAAGAAATACGGTAATGTGACATTGGGTGCTTTGGCCGACGATTTTGACGTTTGGTTTGATGATGAGATGACAACGCTCAACGAAGGGATATCGTTTGCATACAAATGATAACGTTTAAAAATCTCTTAGGGGCATAATCGGTAATTTTCTCATTGAACAAATGATTATAAAAGTGAAATATAACACAATAAACAGTGTTTTTATAAACTTTATTCAAGAAAACATGCTGTTTATAAACCATTTTGTGATCAATAAGTATCGACATCTCCGTCAACCACCATTGTTAGGATTTAGCAGAAGGGGATTTGAAAGTCCATCAGAAAACATTGCTCCCTTCCAAAGGCCACGAAAATGCACAAACGAAAGTACCGACATCTCTGCAGAGTCACAATGCCGGCATTTGGTAACAACAGTTTATCAAACACGCACAATAACAGTCCGTTTGGCTCCAAATGAGAACGATGACTTGCAAAATAACTATAGTCTATTAAATATCAATGCGGTACACGGCAATGAATACCCTGTACCCAACAATATCTGGTGTTTGTTATTTTTATTCTCATCACTGGAAAAGGTGTCTAAGAAACCATCATGTTGTTATGTGTGCAATTAAACATCTTGAACAGAGGGGGGCACAGTGATAGGAGGAACAGCACAAACTAGTACTGCACGTGTTACGCAACGGTACTGGGAATGACAACAAGATAGGGGTCGTCTCATGATAATTTTAATCGCTATCTGACTCGCTCATGTCACAGCCCTCATCGTCGGAATTGGTCGTTCCATTGGCAATCATGTTGTACCAGCAGGCTCATTCCCAGTACATTTGTAGGTTAATGTTGAAGCACATCATAGATCAGGGTTTTCATCTGGCTTTATGTAACATGTCAGGAACACGGAGACAGACAACAACATGGGCAGCCAATGACAGTTTTGATGAGTAACCGCGATGTAGGTCAAGTGCAGCCACATCCCATTTGGGGAGGAGATGTATGTATTTTGATTTTTCTGTTTGTACTGCTTACTATCTAATATGACTTACACATTTAATAATAAATAACAGAATATCAATTAACAAAGTTATCAATTCATTCAGATGTTTTTTTCCCTAATTTTGCAACCTGTCACCCCTATCTACAATGGGAGATACCATGTTGATTTCCAAGAAATGATTTGTCGCGTTGATTTCCAAGAAGTGAATTGTGAGTCCATGTGGTGCAAATACGCAACAGGTTGGGATGAAGTAAAACATATATCTTCGAACTCATTTTGGAGTGTTGCTTATCAACTTTATTTTGAAAATGTATGTATTTTGAACAAGTCAAGACTATGATTATATTAATCTTGAACTTCAACTGCCTGCGACCTCTTTTTGGAATGTTCTAAGATAGCGGACCTTTGCACCCATGTGTAGTTACACGTTCCAAGAAAAGGTTCCGTTTGTACAGCACTCTTGCCATCAAAGTAGAATAGAGATAAGCCAACTGTGTTTTGAAATTTGATGTAGTACCCCTGTAGAGTAGATTCCTCCTAATTATACATTTGAAATTTCAAGTTACAAACGAGGTATCTACTCTTCAGTGAGACAACTTCAAATTCAAGAACGCCGTAGCTTATCTCCTAATTGTACAGTACATGTAGAACGGTGCATGTTAAGGGTGATATATTGTTTAATTTTGTATATTAATTGATATTTATTTATTGGTATCTTCTTCTAAACAGGTTGGTATAGCAAAGAAGCTAAATAGACAATATAAATATGGGTAATGAGGTGCAACGTTTGTGTCAAACCATCTTCCTTGCAAGACATTTCTTTACTGTATACATTGGCGAGTGCTACATATAGGATGCACTGCGAAAATCATTATCAAACATATACACTCATCGATAAAGGTTCAAAAGTCCGAAGCTTGCCGAGGGGTGTCAGCCTTTTATCGATGAGTGTTCATATATTTGGTATCAGAACACACAAGGGTGAGATTCTATTTATCATCCAACATCATTCTTCCAAATGTGTCAGCTCATAAACAGTAATAAACAGTGTCATGTGTGTATAGCTGACTTAGTGGCAGGGTGATTAGACATATTGTCATAAGAACACACAGCAACACTTCATTAAAGAGCAATGTTGCAAAATGGAGCCAGACGACCAGCGTTGAACCCAAAGCAGTTACATTTGTTGTCTTTGTTCTGGATATATAGTAAAGTTAACACACCAGTTATTTCGATTATTTCGTTGCTCCTTTATCCAACACCCCCAAATCCTTCCCAAATTCCAAGCGTCTCTTCAGCAAATGTTCAAACATGCATCTGAGTTATATTGGTTGGTTGGTTGGTTGGTTTGTGGTTTAACGCCGCACTGAGCAATATTCAAGCTTTATGACGGCGGTCTGTAAATAATCGAGTCTGGACCAGACAATCCAGTGATTGATATCATGAGCATCGAGCCACACAATTGGGATCGATGACATGAATCGACCAAGTCAGCGAGCCTGACCACCCGTTCCCGTTAGTCGCCTCTTACGACAAGCATAGTCGTCTTTTACGGCAAGCATGGGTTGCTGAAGACCTATTCTACCACGGCTCTTTGCGGGTTTTGAGTTATATGTGAATCTGGAAAGCAGTGTTCTTATTACGTAATGGTTAATACGTATCTAGGTGTTCTGTGCTCTGACATAATCACACAGCTTATTTACTGGCTCGACAGTCTTGTTGTTAGGGGTGATAAACTCGCTTACTTGGCAGATCGCATGTCATCGAATGTTTCTTCATGTAGACATAGTCTTTAGTTTGGCTTCTTTCAACACAATATCTACCCTGTAACATTACCATCGGACATTTCAACACTGGACACTGTCTGTTTGTCTGTGCGGTCAAATGGCATGATGTGTGTGACGAAAAGCTTGGAAAAACTCACAGATTGTACAGATTGGTTTAATTCCTGGGAAGACGATTATTGAGACAACCGATTGTTTCATTTATTAGACCATTGGTCCTTTCTACAGATCAAAAGGACAACGTTTGTCACGTTTTATTGTCAAATTATGATATAAGCTAAACAAGGATATCCAAGTCACATAACTATTTATCACATTTCATACCAGATTCCCCTCGTAATGATACATATTGACGACAGTTGTCAGCATTTTTCAACAGGCTGGGTCTTTTGTCACACACTTACTGGAGGTGTTAATATGTGGATATTGAGTTGGTGTCCGAGTCAGAGGATTGGACAGAAAAACTAGGTTTCTTGTCCCCGATTTAGTGGAATGATTGTTATACACAAAGTTAAATGACTACTGGGTGTATTCTCGTTAGTTTGCACAAAGTAAGTAAATATAATGCACGTTTTCGAAAATCGTTCAGCTGTATTTTGTCTTTCTTTGATACACGTTGCGTGTATTGTTTGAAATTCGTGTTTGTGTACTGTCATCATCGTGTCTTTATGATTGTAAATCTGCAGCCTATTGATGACGGGACCACAATTTTAAAATCATTACAGATTTTCTCAAAGTGTATGTCACAAAATGGGGCAAAACGAATCTGTTGATCGGAATGGGTTGGATAAGTCAGTGTGTGGTGTTGGTATTGGTAGAATGCACAAATTGAACAATAGCAGAATTTAATGAACCTATATATCTATTCCTTCCTAGACAGCCGTCATCCAAAGTCTAGCGGCCCTCCACGGTATGCTGACAGTTTCTCCCACTGACAGGGCCTCAACTAATTTTACCATTTTATGTAATCATCAATACATTATGTGTTTGATCAAAGAACTTGTTGACACATATAGATAATGCGAATGTATTGACCAAGGAAGATATCTGCCAAAACAACGCATCAACATTTGACTTGACTAAAACCAAAAGGCATATCTTTTCCTCTTTGGTACTGGATTTCAAAGCTCCATAAAATTATGCACGAATAGACATTTTAGTTGGGTTCAGCAAATGTACCACAAAAATGCCTATCTCTAAGATTAACCACCATTCTTAATTCAAGAAAGGAAGGGCTTTTTTGTATTCACAGAAGTTATTTGAGACAAGTGGAATTAATAGAATAATTCTTAAAACCTCAAAGGATTTTCTTGAAGTTTTGCAATCACAGATAAGAATCACGTTCAATTCTGCCAAAACATGTCATTATTCAACTTTGTACAACACTATCCAACACGACAACCTTAAGGGCAAACTTCATTTTTTGATCCATCACATACTTACTACTAAACGTGGGGTCAAGAGATATACATGTGGTTCCATCACTATCTTCAAAGGTCCAGGAGAATTTGTCAAACATGAAAGCAAATGTCATTTGAAGTTCACTGAGAAAACAATATGTGAAATGCTGGACTTCCTCATTGACAACATCTATGTGTAATTTTGGCATAAGACATTTAGGCAACAAGTAGGCATCCCCATGGCCACCAATTGTGCTCCCCTTCTTGTTTATCTTTTTCTTCATGCATACGAATCGGAATTTCAAAATCGAAACAAGGCAATTGGGCTAAGAAATTTGAAAAGGTTCAGGTATATCATGAAATACTGCCGATGTATCGTTAAATCTTAACTCACTCACTCAGGTATGTCAATGATCTGATATCGTTCAGTAATGGTCAAATAGCCAATTCCCTTACACTAATTTACCCTTATGAGATAGAAATAGAGAAACCCAGTGTCACAGCCTCACCTGTTTTACATTTAGATCTATTTGTGTACGTGCGTGCGTGTGTGTGCGTGCGTGCGTGCGTGCGTGCGTGCGTGCGTGCGTGCCCACAAAAAGAAGTAATTGGGCTGCTTTCGATAAAGTCTATCTTTAAGGCATAACACGTAAAACAAATATTCATGGCATATGTTATTTATTTTGAATAATATAATGTTCCGTTTACAATCCCAGGGAGAAGAATCCATCAGTTTGTTTCAGTCCTCCATCTTCATGAACGGCTTTGCTTGACCCTAAACGGAGAAGACTGAATTGAGTAAATCAGTATGGTGTTACATTTCATTATTCATTGTATGGTCGGGATGAATGTTTTTGAGAGCCATGGTCGAATACAAATGCTGGCTGTAAATACCAACCTCTCTATGATAACTCCTTTACAACCTGAAATATGTACGTCATTATTCAACACGCGTTTATTGACATTATATTCAACTGTTAATTGCCTTTGTGTCACATGGTGAATCATCAATGTATCTTTCTAAAACAGAAACTGCTTATTCAAATGCGCCCTTTATTCAAAGGAATCAAAACATGATTGTATTGACATTGGGATAGCAGATGACTATTATTCATAGCCATTTGATCATCAAAATATAACCTGAGTATTAACGTACCAAGTGTATTTTTGAAGACAATATCCCTTTGGATTGAGAGGATAGAATACTAACCCTTACCCTTGTGCCTCATTATTAGTATTATAGATTATTATATCACCGAAATATAAAGTATTAACGTACCAAATGTTATTTTTGAAGATCAATAGAATCCCTTTGGATTGACAGGATAGAATGGCCTCCTCCTTAGGAATTGCGGTCGGTACACGGCTGGGCTACTCATAGAAATAGCCTGAGCTTGTGCCTGAGCCTGAGCAGCAGCCTGAGCTTGTGCCTGAGCTTGTGCTTGTGCAGCCTGAGCTTGTGCCTGAGCTTGTGCGGCAGCCTGAGCTTGTGCCTGAGCTTGTGCCTGAGCTTGTGCGGCAGACTGGGCTTGAGCTTGAGCCTGTGCAGTAGCGAAACTCCCACCACTGGTTCCGAACAAAGGAACGAAAGCAGGGGTCATAGATCCAGCAGCAGGATATGCTGTACCTGGGACATAATAAGGCCCAGTAGCAACAACACCTCCAGATGCCTGTGCAGAAGCCTGAGCTTGTGCCTGAGCCTGTGCAGCAGCCTGAGCTTGTGCCTGAGCCTGTGCAGCAGCGGCACTCGGGTCGCTAGTGCCAAGCAAAGAAGTGTAAAAAGGAGTCAGCACATGAGCAGCGCCCACTGCAAGGAACGCACACAAGACTACGCAGATTCCGTTCATTCTGGATTGGTCTGTGGAAAGAGGGGTCATATTTGTGAAAGATCAAAATAAGGATAATCTGTTGAAGTTAATTCATCTTACTTAGAAACAGTACTTATTCACCTTGCATTATACACTGAACATCTAAACATGATCCAAAACGGGTGCGTCAGTGCCTTATAAATATCTCTTTCATGTTAAAAGATGAGTGGGTATGGTTTTACGCCGCTTTTAGAAATATTCCAGCAATATCACGGCGTGGAATACCAGAAATGGGCTTAACACATTGTACTCATGTCGGGAATCGAACCCGGGTCTTGGGCGTGACGAGCGAAAGCCTTAACCACTAGGCTACCCCACCGCCCCCATTTTAAAAAGGAACTGAAACCGAACAGGAATGGAACCATACAAAGCACGTATGAATCACTGTAAAGGTTCAATGTTGACACAAGAATATGATTATGTTCTGATCTATCGGTCACATATCTGCTAACAAAAGTCGACTGTACTGTAGGGCTGTCCCGAGAAACATCCTATGACCCTAAGAGTAACCAAATGGATGAAACTCAAGAAACTCAAGCCGGCAAGTCTTTCGGATAAAGTTGCAGTGGCATTCCCGAGGAGTCATATGAACGTAATAAATCTAAACGGGTGTCAACAATTAGCATTATAAGTGTCAATAACGTCAACAAATACCACCACCAGCGTGCATAGAAGATGCCATGTCAAACAAATGATTTTATGTGTATAATTCCTGTAAGAAAAGTACTATTTCCATTATATGTACACATGATGTTTGTGAACTGCGCTAGTAGTATAGGACAGTACTCGGAGGAATGCACGACACTTACATTTACAAATAATGCAATTTTGCCTCATGTATCAGAAAACCTTACCTGATGAGTGATCGTCCCGAAAGATATCTCTGATGCATTAACACAAGGCTTAAATAGGTAAGTCAGCAAAATTGATGACTAATTTAGAAGTGGAATGTTTTACTCGGGCACATGAATGCCTTCGCATCTACAAGCATGACAGTGACAAGGAAGGGGTGATTGGTGTTTTTTTATGAATAACATCTTTGCTTCTGAATAAGGATAAATGCCAAAAATCGAATAATTTATGGTTCTGATTCGTGACACGATAATAAATTATATAGTATTAAATTGTTATACCTGTAAAACTGATGCCTTAAACCTGTGCTAAATTGTGGGATCGTCTCGACAAGATGACAATTATCACCCTGCAAGTGAAAATGATAGATACATTCTGTGCTGACACATAAGGCACGGTGTTTGCCAAAGATTTTCATGGTAGCTATTTTAACATGTGATGCTAGTTTACTTAGAACTGGCGATGAATATGGGCTCCTTTCCATGATATATTAGAAGGTATTTATGGGTGGATAGGAGAATTGCCAGTCAAACAGGTATTGTAGTCAGAGCAGCTCGATACATATGGTTTTAGGAAGATGACAGCGTCTGTGTTAGTGTCTTACTCAAACAGTCATTGTCAATGAATTCGCCACATGTAACAAATGTTTTCATAACATCGTTTAGGTTGTATTTTTTATTAATGTCAAGTAGTTCTGAGAGAAAGTCGTTTTGTGAGCTTCTCAATCCTGCTAAATATTTACCGAGTTTTCATAGGAATATTTTCTTTGATATGAAATTTGTTTCCTGTCTACGTAAGCGTCTGGTGAACAACAGTTTGCATTTATCAATATATGCCTCCACTGACCATTACCAAAGTGTGACTATATTGGTTGCACTCGGTGACCTCTAGGGTTATTGGTAGTTCTAACGTACTTTTGTACCTTTCTTTCCTTTTTCAATGCTCATGCTTGATGTTATTTCATAAAACGTGAATATGTGAAAATGAACAAACGAATCATCTTGAACATGTAACGAGTTATTGAAGAATACAAAGTAAATGTAAGCTGCACAAAGAAAGAACAAGATTATACTCTGTGTTGTCAAAAGAAATCAAATGATTTCAGCAACTTTTGCTGACGTGTATATCAACAAACGATGTTGCTTTGAACGTATTGCAAAACCAGAAACTGAATCCACTAAATCGTAAATAGCCGCATGTTCCCGAAATTGAAACTTGCAAACAAGGGAATTGACGTTGACGTAAGTAAGATTCTCACACAAAATTCAATTTCTCTGAATCTCCCACAATATTTCATTTTCAGGAATAAACCAACAGTTTCATTTTCCTACACAAACACCATTTCATCCAAGTTGTTCAATTTAGAATTAGGATACACCTTGATACATTTCAGTTTAAAGATGTTTCAATTTCAGAGGTATTTCATCTACTCATCTTTTATCATTCTTATAGACATCTACTTCCGATTATGACAGTTCTTGTCTAATAGTGTATAACCATAACACAGCTTAAAATTAACAGACATATGAATAAGGTGTCACTTTTGAATTCAACCACATATCAAGTTATTCTAGTTTACGAGCACAGTAACTATGAGCTAAGTTCAATTTGATATTTAATGTATTCATAAAAAGTATTTGAGAATCGTACCTTTACAGCACGAATAATTGACAGCAAATACATTGTGTAGGGAATTAATTCATTTCTGCTTGTTGCTTTAACTACTGTTTGTTTTGGGATATTCTTATTCATTTCTGGCCTTCCTACTTGATACATATTGAAAACAAATAAATCTGGATTGTATTCTGCAGATTCGATTCCCCACGTGTACCATGTGTGAAGCCCTTATTTGTCTTCCCACTAGTGATATAGTATCAGATTTTCTCAACAACAAAAGTTCCTGTGACACCAATATTTTCGTGTATTTTTCAAACAAGTAAAGTTTGTTTTTTTCAATAATGTTGTACATGTATGGAATCAAGTCACAAAAACGCAATTGCTACAGAAAAGTATGCATTCTATGCAAAAGTTGACTTTTATGCAAGCCCCATGCATTTCACTACCCAAGAATGGGTATAAAAACATGTGCGTTTACGGGATTCCATATGCATTGTTTAGCATCGTTCTGACAACAACTACTCAGAAAAACAAGTTCGCAATTATTCAACATTACGAAATGCCACGCCTGTCCGAGAATGAGCGTCTGCTAGCCATTGGTATACTTGAAGCATACGTGATGTTGCAAGACAATTTAACGTCCACAAAAACACAATTTGGTTTTTATGGCAACGTTGGCAACAGACGAATGCAGTCAGAGACCATCCTCGGAGTGGCAGGCCACGCGTAACCAATAATCGACAAGACAACTGGATTCGAACAACACACCTACGAAATCGATTCCAGCCAGCAAAAGTGACTGCAAGAAGCATCCCTGGCCTTCGACGAATATCTTCACAAACCGTACGTCGCCGCCTCAGATGTGCAGGGATTGTCACCAGAAGACCCGCCAGACGTCCCATTTTGACAGGAAACCACCGTCAAGCACGTCTACAGTGGTGCAGACAGTGTCTACGCTGGACGGCCATGCAGTGGGGAAAAGTTCTATTCACTGACGAGTCTCGTTTTCACCTCAGCAACAGCGATGGACGGATTCGAGTGTACAGACGTCGAGGTGAACGTTACGTCAATCATTGTGTCATGGAAGAAGACCAGTTCGGGGGCGGCAGCGTTATGGTATGGGGTGGGATAACAGCAAGACAGAGGACCCGTTTGATGGTGGTAGAGGGAAAACTCAATGGACAACGCTACCGCGACAAGATCATCGGCCCTGTTGTTCTTCCGTTTTGGCGTCGTCATGGCATTACCTTTCAACATGACAACGCCCGGCCTCATATTGCTCGACTTGTTTCGTTGCTGAAGATTTGCACAAAAACTGTGGATGGTATTAATGAAATGAACTTTATCAATCTGGTTTCACGTTGAAGCTTATTACTTTCATTCAAGACAGTTAGTCCTATTCACATGTAAATGTCGGTATAAATTAGTGTGTTTAGCAACAATAACGTGGAAGAGATGCCCCTGCCTCTTCTCTCAAGCAGAGCGTGTACCCTCTCTTGTCTCATACCAGATAAACCAAACATTAACGACAAAGACCTTTTTTGCTTATTTCACATACTCGAAAAACGCATCCATCACCTGTTTTTGTTATCCATCTTCATCAACGTTTTTATTCCTGAAATATAGATATACTACAACGTGAAGTCATAATCGATTATACATTTCTTTATTCTGAATCATGACATTGAAGGATTATATTTGTGATAAATCTGCTGTTAACACTTTCAAACATCAACGGTTTAGATCATATTTAACTTTACATTCGAAGGTCCTCTCGGTTACATGCATATTGACTTCAAAAATATCTTTGCTAATAAATGCAGAATGAAAATTTAAACGTAGCGCTGTTGCGCTTGATTAAAAGCATATATTTTGAGGTCTGTATATGTAATAGCCCGTACGAATCTTAAAAGCGCTAACGAGGAGGCGCGGCTTAATTAGGACGGCTGGCTAGGCCTGCAAGGTGATTGGGTATCAACACCAGCCGGATACAGATTTACGTGATCGTTTTATTAGTTGTGGGGAGACCTGTTTAAAGTTTATATAATACCGGTATGTATTCAATGTATGTTAAGAGTATGCTCGTTTGGCGTGTCAATTCACCTTGATTTAACATCAATTCCTTGATAATAACATTGTGAAATATTTAATCTTTCAAGTTTAGCCCCCATTCCACTAAAGGCCGTGCTGTTATAAAGATAAACATCGATTGATCTTTGTAGCCAATTACTGCTAATTCTCCAGGTATCTGATCACCTGCCAATACGCTTGAACATCACTGAACAACCTCCTCAAGATGGACATTCTAGAGAAGCATTCATTACATGGAGAAAGTGTAATAGCGGAAATCTAAAAGCATAGACTTTGCCAAGATACAATAACATCAAAACTCGAAGCTATCGAAACACAATACCAATCCATTGTAGAATGCATAACCAAAGTAAGCTTTCTGACTCTTTCTAAATCGAAGTACAATCCACACACAAAACCTTTCCATCAAAAAACTAAAATACATCCCGTCCAGCAGAGATACACAAGACGGCTCTGGATAAGTGATGGAAGGCCGCGAGGAATAGAATACCCATACTACCGAACCTACAAACTTTTGAAAAATGACTAGCTATTCAACAAATTCTGAAAAAAATCCCTTCGCTAGAATATTATTTAAACCTTTGAGTACAGTAATGGTCTATTTTGGAAGTTTAATAACAGGAAAAACGGAAAAGCGAATAACTCCCAACAAATCAAGGGTGCGTTCTCTCCACGTTTATATACCTAGTATTAGTAGATTAATTTCTCAATCTCTTAGACCCCTCAAACCTTAGAATCAAGATTACAAATATTAACCTTGGAAATCCAATGTTAGCTGATTATCGCACACTGCAAGAACTCTAACCGCATAGTCTTCAAACACTTCTTGCCATTGTGACAATGTAGTTTTTGAACGGCATTTAGAAGTGATACACATAAGAAAGAGAATTTATGGATCTCAACGTCTTTATTATGAGGAACACGACGTTTCAGGGAATATGCCTACTCCTTCGTGAGAGACAATGTATACCAGAAAATGGAGAACCCTTTCAAATGTAAAATCATCATATATGGATGCCAGATGCGTCATGACGTATAACAAGTGAGAAGGTAACTGTTACATCAAGCACTACATCCTTGGGCATCAAGGTCAACGGATGCAGTGGCAGAAGCTTGCAGAAAAGCAAAAGTACGTTTGTGGGCATTGTTGAGTATAGTCATGAAACCAAAGGGAGTTTACCCTCAAATCTCAGCGACTACCATCTACCAGACAATACAATAAACCAGAAGTTATCATTTAAGTAGTACGTTTTCTTATGATATATCTTACCTTATATGTAAAATACTTGAATTTTACTGGTCATTGACGTTTAGATAAATTTCCACGTTGCCCCTGCACAACGGAAAAAAGTACCCCGAGTCATGGCAACAAACATCTCTCCTAACAGAGAAACGGCGTCAGGTAATTGTACGCTTTGTCCGGAGCTCACCTGGTAATAAAAATTATGTCGACAAATGTAATACAAATCTAGATTTAACCATATGCCATGTCTACAGATAGATTTAGGTCTCTATCCAGTGTCCTATAACGCCATTCTATTGTGATAAATATCCCAGCTACCACTGTCTCGTTTTCATCGTATTTGAAAGACATGCCGCTAAAAATAGCCGCCAAAATAGATTACATTCATAACCAAGGAAACCCTGTGTTGTCATGGAGATACTGACGCCAATTCCAAAACGAAGATTTGGTTGCAAGTAGGTATGAATCATAATAGAATGGAGATAATATACCGTGAGGAAACATCATGCTTAACTGTGTCACGATCACCAAGCGGTGAATGTTTTACGCCACACTCGGCAATATTCCAACGGTATCTTGGCGGCCTCTAACGATGACAAGCAATCGGCCAAGTAACTAATAGTGAAGTTGACCATTCGTTGAAATGTAGTAGCTATGGGCGGGGTGCGCTGAGAGGAAATGGGGCTTCACGTCGCGTCGCGATTATTGCACTCTTGATCGATACATTCTGCGCCTCACGTGGAAGGAATTGCGTATTATTATATACTTCAGTGTAAGAACTGAGTTTTCTGAAGTTGAGAAAGGCTGTTTTTTCATTGCAGTGAACATAACTCTTGATATTTTGCTGCAGTGAACATTACACTTGATATTTCACTGCAGTGAACATAACACTTTGACGAAACTATTGTCATACAAGAGTTACCGCCCCTCAAATTGTCTCCCTTTGTCGTAAGTGTCTAGCCCGTACACAAACTGTCCTTTCTACGGTAGTTCTACATTAACAAGGCAAAAAAATAACAGATGGACTAAATGGAGTTAATATTACTTCTTGCCGTTTGTTATTCTCTCGAAAGTGTTTCGTTATAAACTGTAAATGTTTCATTTAACTCGTCAATTGAGACTGTTCGTTTCGCGAAAGCGCCTGTTTTGTTACTTGACGACCGTGTATTCTTCCGCTTCCAACATCGGTCTCGTAATTTTCAAGAATATTTTTTGTTAGAGTCGATTTTGTATATCATTATATCTAAATGTATGATAAAGAATTTTCGTGACCCTAAATATTTTTTTATTCTTTTGTTTATATTTTTTAAGTTTTTGCAAACACGACACTACTTTTTATGTCGCAATATACAAGGGGAGGTGAACCGTCCCTGTGTGTAGGGAGAATTTACATTTCAAGGTTTTACATTTGTAATGAAATAATTTAATTTCCAGTAGACAACTACTCCCAACGTATATAATAAATAGGATATTCCATGTGTCTCGTAAAATATCATGGTTATCTCATCTCGGCACTCGTGAAAACACCAGAAGTTGCATTGCCGCGTTGTTGCCCTTACGAAAGAAAATGTAAAAAATGTCACAATTAACCAACATGTTGTGTTTTAAAGCCGTTACGATTTTAGATGGAGCGACATTGCGACTAGACATATTTGGACCTTGAAAATATCTCGATATCACCTTTTGGTAAAGGTATAAAGAAAATATTCAAAGAGCGACAATGCGACAAAATATCAGGTTGTCTCATTGTCGTGCATTGGTTATTCTTTACCCTTTTTGCTTGTTTCTGTAATGGCGACAATGCGACAACGCGACACTCTCCATCCTAGGACTCCATAATAAAACCATCTAACGATATTAGACTAACTGTAATTGCGAATAGAATGTCGGTGAGTTTTGGAAACAATGAATACACCATGATGACAATATACTACTAATGAAAACCTATTAATTCTACAGAATCGTTTTTGTCTGACGTGTATCATCAATCACAAACACCCTGTGTGTACTGATCAAAGTGATGACGACGAATAACACTTAGTTCACGCTTCATCTTTTCACATCTCCCATGATCAATTACTACTCATTTTGTCATAATCTTACCACACCGTTTTGACGTACAATACATCATCATCCTTAATCATGAAGTTATGTTAATTCGAAAACTGATAAATCGTAAAGTTAACATAAAATTAAAAAACTGTAAGTATGACGTTAAGTTTTATATTAACCAAGTCTTATAGACCTCCAGTCGAGAGATATAAAATACGTACGGGAGGTAAAAGTGAAATCGACTGAAACCTCAAAGGGATTGTATATATTATTTTTTTAAATTATTCAAACTAGGTATCTATGACAATTACAGTTTACATGAACTATAAATAACAACAGATATAATTTGAAAGTGCCTAAGTTAATAAGAATTAATGATTCTGGTAAAATCGGATATCGTGAATTACTGACCGTCTGGTGCAATGTCACTGAAACATATTTATACACATACAAGAGAGATTTATTAATTAACCTGTAAGTTTCCTATTTGTCAATATAAACAAACACAACACGGGATGATGACTAGTGTATTACCTGTTTCTGTTCTGTGGATGCAGACTAATCCAATTAAGTTTTCATTATTGTGATATTTTCTTTATTTTGTTCTTTTGACAGCAGCTGGGTGATTGAGTTGGGTTTATTGTGGCTTTGAATATTATTTCAGTAACGCCATGGTGTGTCAGCTTGATGATGGAGGAAGCCCAACGAGATGTGGGTATACGACTGCGGTAAAACACACAAGCACGGTGATGGTTCTGACACTGTTCGAAACACAATAAGGGCGAATAGGGATTCGAACCAACTATCATTGCTTGCGCACCTAAGAGACGCAACTCTACGCCTGGCTAATCAGTGAGCAGTTGCTAATGGAGTCGACATTTCCACTTGAGACCAGGAAGCCAACAGCATCTACATTTTCTCGGGATAAAAGACTATCGGTAACATAAAGGATCGATTACTTTCAACTCGGAATATGGGATTATCTTTTGAGTAGTTCCTCGTGAGGCTTGAAACTTACACACTCAGTTCAAACAGGGGCATACAAACACCTGTTTGTAATGACAGAACACCAGATGCAAAATCTGTTCTGATGGTATACATTCCTTCAAGCGATGCAATCTATATTTCTGCACTGAAGAGGTCACAGTCTACATTGCACAGCTATTGTTTCAGAGTAGTAGAGGAGAGTGGTTTTCCTACACACCATGACATGATGCATAACCATTAACAATAGGTGAAAAGTTACACAGCCAGGGGAATTTACAAAGGTTAAATGATAAGTTCTAAGTCTCATTATAAAGTAATTTTCTCTATGTGAGGCTCACAAAAACTGTCTCTGTAGACTATAAATAGTACTTGAAAACACAATTATCCCATCTGTAAAAAGTAGTATAAACAGCTGTGAAATACCCAGAATGTAACTGATTCCCGTTAATGAATTAATCTTGAATCTGGTTAGCTAATTCGTTAATAAAGAAGGAAAACGGAAAAGGAATTAATATGCATCCTTGTCTTAATCCGATATGTGAGGGAGAAAACGATTTCCCATATCACGAACAACAGAGAGAGAGAGAAGTTGATTTTTTAATACATGACAAACATATATGTAAAGATAACTGCAGATATAAACATATGGAGATATTAATCAAGCAGGACATGCAGTAGGCAAACGAAAGTACAATGAATGGATATAAATTATTGAGGACATAGGGGTAACCGTGATGTGATCAAGATAACAAAAAGTTGTTTAATCAGAATTAGAGTTTAAGGCTTGGTAAAGCTTTTCAAAACGTTTTATGATAGATATGTGGTTGGCATGTTCAAATCTGAATGGCGAAAAAAATGACTGGTGCAATTCCCTCTTTTGAATTGTACATTATGATCCAGTGTTTGTTAAGGTGCTTCAACTGATTTGCCTTTGCATGTGTTTGTGGAAGGTGCAACCGGTTGGGCAGGATGCGCTCAATTTTTAGCGAACATCTGCTATGATCACTTTTTAATAGTGTTTCATAAACACATGCTCATGATATAGTCGGAGTAGTTGAATCGACTCTGCTTTTGGCAGATATTTCTTATGGATACGGAAAGGGTATTATGGCTTCTTTTTATTAAAATATTTTGTTGAAGTGGTTCTTACTATTAAAGGTATACGATTCCACAGCTAGATAGTAGATGGGGGACAAGAATCAGTTGAGGTTTTATTCTCGTGCGGGGAATTGGGATATTTTCCGAATTTCTTAAGGTGTGTGTATTTTTTGCAGCAGCGCAATTTGATGAAATATCTTTTTAGTAAGATGGGGCTGTGTTGTGATATATTTCATATAAATGACAGTTTTCGTTTTCTTCTACGTTCTTGCAATGGTTCCCAACCCGGTCGAAATATAATGATGTTCGCAACGTATATCTTGGTAACATAGTAATTAAAGATTCCAATTGCAATGTCTCTATTTTTCACTCTGATCTATTGAACATCCACCCCAAAGCTCAAAGCTCAAATGGGGCCTTACAAATGTTATCGAGAGTGTCGCGGTTATACATAAGCTTACCTTTTCTTAATGGGTGTATCATTTTTAGGTTGTTTTAACAATATTGTTTACATGAAAAAAATCTTTTGCTAAATCCATCATGTTCAATAAATGTGTCTTGCTGTTTCAACTGTATTCATTTTCCTTTCCATCAAACTGTTATTTAATCATATCTGTTTGTTTATTTTTAAACGACACAGTCGGCCGCAGTCAATGATATTCTAGTTATATCACGATGGAAGGTAAACAATTGAGTACATTACTGGCTTACTTTGTGTAACATTTTTGAAGAAACGGGTTACCCTAACGTCTTCACATGTTCGTTTTGCCGAGGACAGTGTGATGAATGATCATTAAGTAAAAAAACCCGCAGTTATTTCAGTTTTTAATTTCACAATAAGTTCAATCATTACTAAATCTGATCATCAAAAGAATATTTAAAAAGTGCACCTGATGGGTTATGCAATATTTTATGTCCTAAGATTTACTCAGTGACAAACAATTCATCAACATAATGAGGTATGCGTCAAAGGTATTTGTGATCATGTGCTTGTTGAGACTGAGTATTGAAAAACACAAAAAACGCATCTGTTTTGTCAGACGATATAAATGTAATTGTGCTTTTCTTCATTTTTTAAACTTCAAATTGACAATCATGAAATTCTGTCCAGCAATTAATGTGATGGTATAACTGGACATTCTCAGCTCTATTAGTGATGCACGGCATCTCGAAATAGAAAAAAAAACAAGTTAAGTTAAACATGTCCAAAATGTGTTTATTACCTACCTATTTTTACAGTGTACTGGCTAATCTCCGCCAAATGATTTGCTTGTTCCGGGTTCAATGTCATACACAGGTAGAATGTATGAAGCCGATGTATGTTGTACCATGGCTCATTAACGACTGAACAGTCATGGTAACCATGTGATACATCATGGTATTCCTGGCGAGTTCATAGCAGTGTAGACCGTGTGGACATTAATAGTGAAGAAACTGTCTGCCAAGTAATGATGAAGAACAGTAACATACACGATTTCTGCCATGTGATATGTCATTGTCTAAATCAGTGTGTCGACAAGACAGCTTACTCCGTCATTATCAACGGCCATGGCAAGACGACACGTCAGTCCTAGCTTACATATGTCTAGTTAATCTCTTCAACATCTCCCCCTCACACCCACTCTCCCACCCCCCCACCCACACCCCTACAACCCCCCCCCCCCCAACACACACACACACACACACACATACACTATTAAACACCCTACAACCCCCCCCCCCCTCCACACACACACACTACCACACACCCATACCCCCCCCCCCCCCCCACCCCCCCCCCCCCCACACACACACACACACGCACACACGCACGCACGGACACACGTCCCTTCTTTCTGCCATATTGTAATTGAATGTTGAACATATTTAACAGAACATGTTCGAAGTTGGACAACTTGTACCCAATCCGTTTCACTATTGTAGTGTTACTATTTAACGCGACAGTTTCCTATAATAGTGAACAAATATAGCGTTTGTCATGGCACTGTTGTTTGTTGAAAAAGCCCTGCTTAATAGGATTCGAAACCTGGACATTCGTTTGATTAATCACATCGTATAAACATTTTGATATTAATGTTTTTACATAAATATAAAACACAGATGATCACTGTGTACAAACATGGATCTTTTAGTTCTCATACACTGTTTACAGTGGAAGCTCCGCTTTTCTTTGGCCGTCCGTCACATTCTTTGGCGATTCGCTGTGCAGAGTTGCGTCTCTTGGACACGCCAGAAACCGAAGTGGTAAACGTCTGAGACCTGCATCACTTCGGGCTTTGCTCCCACATTAAGCTGACACGCCGTGATATAACTGGAATACTGTTAAAAGCTGCGTTAAAACCCAACTCACTCACTCACTCACTATTTTTTGGCGTTCACTCGCTATAGTTTTGCGCACCATCCATCCTATTTATTCTATGGCGTATCTCTTCTCAAGTTTTGCACCCTCGCTATTCATTGCTAGTATTAAATTTAAAACAATGAAATGTTAAATGTTAAATATATGTTCTTGAAAACTAGCATAATATTGCCACTCAATTTGGGTTATTTTCTCTTATCAGAATTTCTTTAGGTGATGATGAATATTGTGAATATAATTGGTTTTGTTGTCATTATACCGCTTTCCAATTATGTTTAAAGAAATCAAAACCAGGTATTTGTTCATGACATGTAGGTCAGGTTATATTCAAAGAGTCCTATTGTTACATAAATTGTGAGTCGGAAAATAGGTCCATAGCAACTATGCTTGTAAAATGCCGACTACAATGAGTGAGTGAGTTACGCCGCTTTTAGCAATATTCCAGAAATATCACGGCAGAAATGTGCTTCACACATTGTACCCATGTCGGGAATGAACCTGGGTCTACAGCGTGACGAGCGAACCCTGTAACCACTAGGCCACCCGACCGCCCCTGTCGACAACAATGAGGATCATGAGTTTAATGTTGGTTCTGACTCGTTACGTATCATCATATACGAGCGGAGCGTTTCATACTTATTCGCGACAATAACAACCTCTATCGGGAAATGAAATATTGACCAAAATCCAATGTCTGGCTGCCTTACATGAAATGTATGATGTTGTTCCCACTGACAACAAATAATGAAGCTGTTAAATGTAAGCCTCAGTACATTAATCGTTTGATCAAAGAGCTTGGCATATGTGACATACCAAATAATGTCACATGTAAGGCCACTATCTTAACTGAGGAAGAAATCTGCCAAAAGCATGCTGGTACTATCAACTTTTGACTTGAATCTAAACCCTGAAGATATGGCTATTCCTCTTTTGTACTGGATTCTAAAACTCCATATAGATCCTCACAAAGAGAGAGATACTTCTGGGTCCAGTAAATGTACATGTACCACCATGTGGACTCTCCTAAACAGGGGCGGTCGGGTAGCCTAGTGGTTAAAGCGTTCGTTCGTCATGCCGAAAACTCGGGTTCGATTCCCGACATGGGTACAATGTGTGAAGCCCATTTCTGGTGTCCCCCGCCGTGATAATGCTGGAATAATGCTAATTCCAAGCGGCGTAAAACCATACTCATTCACTCACTCTCATAATCACTCAACATTTGCTTGAATTTTTCCAATCCCAGAAAAGAATAAATCTACACCTTTGTCAAATTTTGGGGTAAGACATTTAAGCAAGAAGTAGGAATCCCCAGGGGCCCCAGTTGTGCCCCCCTCTTTGCTGATCTGATTCTTTATGCATAAATACATAAGCATGACCATGCATGCGCATTTTATATCAGAATTACAATTTGGGTGTTTCCTTTTGTATTTATATGATATACAAATAGACAGACATTTCCGATAATATCAGTGCTCTACTGCCTGATATAAATTAAATGATTAATTATAGGATATGTACTAAAATGTGTCACAACGAACCTGTTCCTCAATTCAGAGTAGGAGTCACTTGCATAGGAGATGTGCAATTCATTCTTCAACAGCAATGTAGCCTTTAAGCTTGCATGACATCCAGTATCTTTCATAATGAATACATTTTCATATCTGTCCGATTCAACAGCAATTTGCAACCTCTAAATTACAATATTGAGGAAGGCCAACTATGCTTAAATACTTAGGAGGGATTCAAACTAACTATTGATTTGCGTGTAAGGATGCTTGTCATGACAGAATAACATCATCAGGAAAAAGTGCAATGACAACTGGTTTGTTTCCTATTCCCTGACTAATCCAGGCAAAGCCAAATACAAGTAATTATCTTTTGTTGGATAAATATGTTGACGATATTTTGGGGCCTACACCATCCAAAGATGTATAACAAGGTTTGGGTAACCTATTGTTTGCTAAATGTCATATTTTGCTCCTATTCTCAATAGCCTTTGTTATATAGAACCATAGTATTTTATTATCAACCAACTTTTAAACAATATTTAAAATATTTAATATGTACAGATTCACTGGTATGACACTATGTGGTGTCCTATTTGCAGAACCGTAACATAGAATAGGCGTTATCATGCAATAAAATGTCATATTATATCTGGACAATGGATATTACCGAGATTCCGTTGTTAATTATTAACAGATAATTAGCTTGTGATACAAGTCAGATCTGAATGTTGCTTCAAATCAACTTATTGGTGAATACATAATCAAGGTATTTATATAAAGACACTGTTCCTATACGTGTACCATCATAAAACTACTTTTCATAATGTGCATAATATCACATTTCATAGGATCTTAATGGATCACAATTTTTAAACATTTATTTTAGTTTTATTCAGATTTACTTTCATGTCAGTATGTTTACAAAAGCTTTCTTGTACAGTTATCTTGATACATCATCAGCAAACATGAGAGAACTCATATCATCAATGGAAGATGTAACAGTATAACCTTGACCCTCTCTTTCCATTAGTGTATTAAATTTGTATATGCATATGTTAAATATTTATGGATTTAAAAAACACATCCTTGACTGGTGCCGCTGTTACAGGTAAAACACTTTTCCCAAAAGATACCTTTAGTACCAACTCCACACTGTGAATGCGGGAGGAAATTATGTCTTCGAGTGTCAAATGCTTGGCAAAAGGCCAGTGACGGGTAGTAACATCTTCTTCTTTTGTAACCAATGCATTTCAGAATTACAGCCTGTATCGAAGAAAACAATTGTCAAATTAAATAAATGTGTAGGATATTAAAAGATTTCCAAGGTGAAGCTCTCATAGAATAATCATGAGAAGTTTGTATCCCTTCAAGCATTCATAAAATGCTCATTTGAAACGTCACAACTTAAATACATTTTTCTTGAGCAGAGCCACTGATTTGCACATTGTCCGATTTTAAAATATATGGAAGTGTTTGTTTGCTTGGTCATTCTTGGCAACTATTTGGTAAGTATGTGTTTCGTAACGAAGACATTTTATTACATTTGAATAGATCTAGAACACGGTGTTCATCTTAAATTTCTCCAAGATTACAGTTAGTCCAAACACAGTCAAGACATTTTAAAGCTAAACACGAAGAAAGGACACATCACACCTTTATTACCTTTACATGGCTTGTAGTATTTACCTTTACACGGCTTGTAGTATTTACCTTTACACGGCTTGTAGTACTTACCTTTACAAGGCTTGTAGTATTTACCTTTACAAGGCTTGTAGTATTTACCTTTTACACGGCTTGTAGTATTTACCTTTACACGGCTTGTAGTATTTACCTTTACACGACTTCTAGTATTTACCTTTACACGGCTTGTAGTATTTACCTTTTCGCGGCTTGTAGTATTTACCTCTACACGGCTTGTAGTATTTACCTTTACACGGCTTGTAGTATTTACCTTTACACGGCTTGTAGTACTTACCTTTACAAGGCTTGTAGTATTTACATTTACACGGCTTGTAGTATTTACCTTTACACGGCTTGTAGTATTTACCTTTACACGGTTAGTAGTATTTACCTTTGCACGGCTTGTTTTATTTACTTTTACACGGTTAGTAGTATTTACCTTTGCACGGCTTGTTTTATTTACTTTTACATGACTTGTAGTATTTACCTTTACCAGGCTTCTAGTATTTACCATAACTCGGCTTGTAGTAATTACCTCTACACGGCTTGTTATATTTACCTTTACACGGCTTGTAGTATTAACCTTTACAAAGTGTGTAGTATTTACCTTTACATGGCTTGTAATATTTACCATTATGCGGCTTGTAGTATTTACCATTACGCGGCTTGTAGTAATTACTTTTACACGGCTTGTAGTATTAACCTCTACATGGCTTGAAGTATTTACCTTTACACGGTTTGTAGTATTTACATTTACACGGCTTGTAGTATTTACCTTTACAAGGCTTGTAGTATTTACCTCTACACGGCTTGTAGTATTTACCTTTACACGGCTTGTAGTATTTACCTTTACACGGCTTGTAGTACTTACCATTACGCGGCTTGTAGTATTTACCATTACGCGGCTTGTAGTATTTACTTTTTCACGACTTGAAGTATTTACTTTTACACGGCTTGTAGTATTTACCATAACTCGGCTTGTAGTATTTACCTTTACACGGCTTGTAGTATTAACCTTTACAAAGTGTGTGGTATTTACCTTTACATGGCTTGTAATATTTACCATTATGCGGCTTGTAGTATTTAACATTACGCGGCTTGTAGTATTTACTTTTACACGACTTGTAGTATTTACCTTTACAAGGCTTCTAGTATTTACCATAACTCGGCTTGTAGTATTTACCATTACGCGGCTTGTAGTATTTACTTTTTCACGACTTGAAGTATTTACTTTTACACGGCTTGTAGTATTTACCATAACTCGGCTTGTAGTATTTACCTTTACACGGCTTGTAGTATTAACCTTTACAAAGTGTGTGGTATTTACCTTTACATGGCTTGTAATATTTACCATTATGCGGCTTGTAGTATTTACCATTACGCGGCTTGTAGTATTTACTTTTACACGACTTGTAGTATTTACCTTTACAAGGCTTCTAGTATTTACCATAACTCGGCTTGTAGTAATTACCTCTACACGGCTTGTAATATTTACCAATACAAGGCTTGTAGTATTTACCTTTACAAGGCTTGTTGTATTTACCTTTACACGGCTTGTAGTATTTACCTTTACAAGGCTTGTAGTATTTACCTTTAAAGGATTGTACTATTAACCTTTAAAGGCTTGTAGTATTTACCTATAAAGGCTTGTAGTATTTACCTTTACACGGCTTGTAGTATTTACCTTTACGAGGCTTGTTGTATTTACCTCTACACGGCTTGTAGTATTTACCTTTACACGGACAGCAGTATTTACCTTTAAAGGGAAATGTTGACTGGCGCTACATTTTGGTCAAGGAAACAACCCCAGTTGTCCCATAAAAGTTATCTAAGTGTCATTGCGGACAAATATTTCTAGCAGTACAATGAACTGATACACACAACATGTATGTCACGAACTGGAGTAAAATTAGTGAGGTATATGTAAGGTCATTTACAACAATTGTACCTTTACCACCGGATGTGCTATTCAGAGGGACACAAGATCATAGGAATCTACCCAATCAAGGAGAGTGATGTTTATTCCTCTTTCCGGAAAGACACGCCTCTTTCTACCTTACTAAAATACGGGCTCATATCTATTTTACTGTGATATATTATGATGAATAGAGCAATATTCTAATGGAATATGGTAGGGTTGCGACTGAACTCGAGTACCCGGCAGACAATACCCGAACCGGACTCGAGTACCCGTAGTTCAATGTTGTCCCACTTGTTTGTAATACTTTTGCGAATAAAAGGTCATCAAACATCTATTGATCTATTCTAAGGTATTATGTTTTTATCAAATGCCTGCATGGCTTACCTAAAACATTTGAACGTTTGTCCGCTTTGTCGTCCATTTTGAAGTGACTTACGAGTTACAAAAGGCGAATAGAGTTATCTCCCCTGAACGGGTACTCGCGTCCTGAAAATTGGACTCGAGTCCTAAGCTACCCGACCCGTTATCGGGTACTCGAGTACCCGTCGCAACCCTAGAATATGGTCACGCTGGTGTTGTTCAATTGTCGCTACCAAACACGTTTACAATCATTTTTTTATAATGAATATATTGCATACAATGTATCTGCTTGATAACAACGTCCATTTAAGACCAGTATTGATACATAAGCAATCATATATGTTCAAGTGGGATTGTATATAGTGTCATACCATGGTTATATCAAAAACAAGCATGTACATTATTTAAGACATAAACGACGAGTGGGAGTTGTTTATCGTACAACAAAACACCGCAGGGAGAATACACCATGAGGGACGCAGCCGTATGTAATCGATATGTTCATACATATTTACACACACGATTCAATGTAAACATACAAAGTGATCGTCAACATGCTTTGCCATACCTCTACCACCCGTCGCGACATGCCTTGCCATACCTTTACCACCCGTCGCGACATGCTTGAGAACGTTTTGACAAAGAGTCTAATATCGGTGGGTGTATGACGTATTTGTAAAACATGATGCACAGATACTTAGAAATCATTCATCTTATCGTACCTGCGTCATACAGTCTCAAACAAGTTGTTCTTATTTATCGTCCACATGTTGCTGTTTCTTTATAGTGAGGGTAAACTATGGTACGACTCCATGCCGTGGAGATACGATGACCCACAATGACATTCTTGCTAACTGCAAACGCGTTGTAAAGGTCCACTTTAAATATGCACCTGAGACCTTTGGGAGCAATTTCTTGTGCTGATATTTATGCATTTTTCTTGTGTATATAATTATACATTATAGATAAAGCGAAAGAACCAGATAAGTCCAATGTCATACTCATATGCGTTGGAATATAAAATAGATTTTAGAAAATGTGTAGTTAAATTACAAGTATATTATGTTATATTACACGGAACATGTATATTCATGGAATACGACTATAATAAATCCCTCTTTACAACATACCAGTGAGTGAGTGAGTAAGATTGGTTTGAAGGTATCCATCGAATGTCCATTTCATAAGCGACGTGTTTGTAAGTTTGTGTATCAAAACCAGATATCAGTAAATTAGGTGATTATTTTCGAGATACGCTGAATCAAGGTGTTGCACTGATGACTGATAAATGGAATTCCATTGTGACGTCTATAGGTAACTTTAGGTCTTTAAACAGCATTTTCATCGATCAGCTTTTGAGACGAAAACCCGACGTGATACAAGTGACAGACGTTTACACCTTTAGAGGAACTCACAAACAGCCGTGCCCCCTGTAACCGTGATGAACCACACATGATAGCATGTTTCATTCTGTGTAGTTCTCTACGTACCAAAATGGACCCGTGTACTCTGTACTTCCAGTATATACATCAATCTACTTTACAGCTACACACTCGTCCTTGTGAAAGGCCACACGTTTCAAGAGGTTCAATTCAATGATAATAAATGTAGTATTTTGCCAAGTTCCCGTGGGGATTCATAAGTTCCCGTGGATATTCACAAGTTTTCGTGGGAATTCTCAAGTTCCATGGGGATTCCGGATTGAAACTGGTTCCAAGAAACCTAAGCAGGTCGGCAGAATGGATCGGTGACTTGTGTGTCATCGTAACCCGACTGCGTGGCTCGTTGCTCACAATATCAACCACTGGCCTGTGGTGTTAAATATGAATCATTCCCATGTATGTACCGGTATGAATATAATCTATGAGGAGTCTTCAACGTACGTGAATATGTCTAAAAAACGAAACCGGAGATTTGAGTGTTCACTTTTTAATTATATCGGTAATAATAATTACACAGGTCTAGGCACTCACATGGACAGTGGCGTAATGGCATCTGAGCCTTACACGTAATAACAGGAACCGTGCAGATATTTCACTTTTTTGTTCCAGTGTAAGGATTGCGTATGAAGGTTCTACATAATATCAAAATATTTCTGAATAATATGAAAACTGGAAACGTATAAGAAATTCTATTTTGTAATTCAAGTATTTTTTTCAAATTATTACATATTTCAGGTAGAAATAGAATTTAATTGTTTAAAATATCGCACGTCTATATGTCTAATCAACACTAACAACACCACTTAATCATAGTTCACAGTACGTTATCACCAAAATCCCCAGTGCAGTGTACCAAGAAAGAAAAAGCAATACTGAATGTTCAATGGGACATTACAAAAGAAGGGCGGTAAAGCAGAAATGTCTGAGTGAGTGAGCATTTAGGCCTTTTGAGCAATATTCCAGCAATATCACGGAAGGGGATACGAGTGAACGCTTTAACCATCAAGTAGAAGACACTTACAAGACTAACATTGGCACTGACTTTACTTTGGAAATCGAAAGACATAGTCAGTAATGCCTAACGTTACCTCCTGACATGACAACGGTCCAGTCAAATGCACCGAAGAAGTCTTTGAGAAACCCAAAATGAGTAAGAATTTCCTTTTAAACATTTATTCAAATTGCCTCTTTCAAAAAAGGATGTGTATTTGATGTTAGTCACATATGGTGAAGATGTGGTGCTGTTGACTTAATCAAAGAAAGTAAGACTGAAAGGTTTGAATACTGTTGATGAAAGAAGCATTTAGGGTACACACGAAACATTGATCACTAAGAGAACACACAATGCAGTGTTGGATATTTCATTTGAACACGTCAAAACAAGATCAGCACAATTATCTGAAGTGAATTGAGGCTGTTTCCCTGTCAAAGATTAAGATCAATGAACGTTTTTAATTCAGTTCATGGGAGATATCAAACAGTTGCGCTGAATGTTGTCGCTGGTCACTTCCAATGCAATGGTCAAACCATATTGGTGAATGTTCGATAGCTTGGATACCACGTAGTGCTGGCAGCATTCATATCTGCGGTCAAACGAGTAAATGAATCCTGAAAAAGATGGAGAATATGGAATGACGCATTTTTCAATTGGGTCCCTTATGTGATATGTATTCTAAATTGTTGGTATCAAAAATACTTCCTGAAACACGAAATTATGTTCGTTGTTTAGGACCTATTGATATTTGGGGCATATTTATTGCCACTCGAAGTTTCTAAATGTTTTAAATCATACATTAAAGACATCAACGCCGGAGAATAACCTGTCTGGATTATCTGCCGAAACAGATTCCATTGGGCATACAAGGCAAAACAGCAGTGAAAACTATATGAATGGATCAAAGAAAATTCTTATGAATCGTCTATACATGAAGCTTGTCATGCACGTTGGATTCTATCAATTGACGTACCCCGCCTATGGAATGATTATCTTCCATGTTCTGCGGTGCTTGTGGCGTCGTCACTCTCTTCTTTACGACATAGACAACTATTACAATGACAGCTATCAAAAGAGCTGCTCCGACCCCAATGCCTGTTCCCATAGCAACAACTGCAAAGACAATAATTTAAAATCAGAATCAGGAAATCATGTCGTATCATAAGGGGATATCAAACAGTCAGCGTATGTTGTTGATTAAGTCCATAACTCTGACATTTTTTCGAAGCTCATTTTACTCAGAACTTTAAGAATAACATATAACGCTGGTGATGAACATGGACCGCGAGTAAAGAAAGGAATGACCGTGATCCATTTTTTCCTTTACGAACACATGAAAAATCGGGGTAAATAGGTCTTCAGCAACCCATGCTTGCCGTAAAAGGCGACTGTGCTTGTCGTAAGAGGCGACTGGCGGGATCGGGTGGTCAAGCTCGCTGACTTGGTTGATGCATGTCATCGTATCCCAATTGCGAAGATATATACTCATGCTGTCAATCACTGGATTGTCTGGTCCGGACTCGATTATTTACAGACCGCCGTCATAAAGCTGGAACATTGCTGACTGCGGCGTTAAACAACAATTAAACAAACACATATTTCTTTACGTACCGTTGGGACTATCCTGCTGTGAGCCAGATACCCCTGTTCCTGGCTGACCAGTGGTTGTATCAGGTGCTTGTGCCGTTGTTGTCCCAGTACGTCCTCCTGTGTTTGCTGTTGTATCTGACTGACCAGAGGTTGTATCAGGTGCTTGTGCCGTTGTTGTCCCAGTACGTCCTCCTGTAATTGCTGTTGTACCTGACTGACCAGAGGTTGTATCAGGTGCTTGTGCCGTTGTTGTCCCAGTACGTACCGCCGTGATTACTGTTGTACCTGGCTGACCAGTGGTTGTATCAGGTGCTTGTGCCGTTGTTGTCCCAGTACGTACCGCCGTGATTACTGTTGTACCTGGCCGATTACTGGTTGTATCAGGTGCTTGTGCCGTTGTTGTCCTAGTACGTACCGCCGTTATTACTGTTGTACCAGGCCGATGACTGGTTGTATCAGGTGCTTGTACAGGTGTTGTGCTTTCTGATGGAAGATTCACGGTAGACTGTGGTCTGTTTGTTGTTGGTGACGTGGTCCTTGTGGCTGATGTCCGGGATGTTGAAGTGCCTTGTCCATTATTTGTCCTAACGTCCTGTGAAGTACTGAATGTGGAAGTGTGCGTTCTCGATGGCCGAGACATCTCCGTGGTCCTCTGATCAATTGGTGGTATTCGTGTAGACGGTTCTATCGCTGATCGGGTTGTACCTTGGCTGGTTCTTGGAGTGATTGAAGTCGTTGGTGGTTTTTCCGTCGGAAGAAAATTTGAACATGTCTGACAGCACGACAACAGATCATCGGCGGTCATCAGTGAACAATCGTCTCTGCGGCACCCATCCGTCCTGTCACCATAGTTGCATCCTGAAAGTGCAAGAATCGTTACAGGAACTTTACCGAAGAAGATCCGTTTCGTAAAGATCCGGGTTAGAGTTCATCAATGCTTGTCGTATGAGGCGACTAACGGGTCTGGGTGGTCAGCCTCACCGACTTTGTTGATTAATGCCATCGTTTCTCAATTGCTTTGATCGATGTTCAAGATGTCAATCACTGGGTTGTCTGACCAAGACTCGATTATTTACAGACCGCCGTAATACAGCTGGAATATTGCTGAGTGCGGCGTTAAACAACAAACACACAAGTAGGTTTGTTTATTCACACATCAGGAAGTATTTGCATCGTAAGTAGCAACAGTAAAGCTAATTGTAACAGTAAGGAGGTCCACATTGTGCATGAGCCCCATCGCCCCTCCTAATTATCAAATTATTCATATAACGTCAGAGGATATAGACATATTTGTAAACATTATTATACCGATGCTAAAAAACGTTGCGTTGAATACCTTTCAAGAAGATGCTTACAGCTTGACAAGATTGACAACACGTTTGTTCTATGGTTGCGTCATAGCATAACTTCTTGTCACGTGATATCATATCCGGACACGATATTCCGATGCCGCTGGTCATTGGCGAGTCACCAAATGGACAGGAATCTGAAAAATATGTATACTTCTTAATGCCTCGTTGTGAACACACGCAATCTTTAAAGATAACCAATAAGAATAATACTTTGAATCATACTATTTGATCATGTTCTTTGTCTTAATGGCTAAATTGTGATCCCTTTTCAGGAAAGTGGGAGTTGATAATAACTTATAGAAAAGTATGAGAAACAAAGGATCATAATCAGGGCGAATCTGAGACTCGAACCTACGCTCATTGGATCCTGGAGCGCATACGGCACGCAACTCTGCTCAGCGAATTATAGCGCATTACACGCGACGATGGCCACCCGTCATCGATCATCGAATCATATTAGAATTAATATCAAATGAACCTCTTAAAATTAAGGAGTAGAATAGGTCTTCAGCAATTCATGCTTGCCGTAAAAGGCGACTATACTTGTCGTAATAGGCGACAAACGAGATCGGGTGGTCAGGCTCGCTGACTTGGTTGATGTATGTCATCGTATCCCTATTGCGTAGATCGATGCTCATGATGTCGATCACTGGATTGTCTGGTCCAGACTCGGTTACTTACAGACCGCCGTCAGATAGCTGGGATATTGCTGATTGCGGCGTTAAACAACAAACAAACAAACAATTCTTAAAAGTTAAAAGGTTCTTGTTGAAACAATTGAGAGTCACCACAAGAAGATGTATTATATCATCATGTTTTCTATCTCTATCAAATAAGGATTGTAACATGTAGCTTGCGAATGAGATCAAGACATGAATATCTCTTTGAAATTTAATTTTCATATTCATGTATAATAAATAAAATATTAAGTAATGCTCACACATGGCAACTCTCAACTTACTTGGAATGGCGACGGCTTGATCAGAGAAGCGGCACTCCCCGTTACGGCACCACTGTTGACAATGAATGTGCACATATCACAAACATTAACACATTTAATAAGATCCTGTTAGAAAGTAACTGCCATTATCAATACTGTATGTTTTTTCCGCTTGTAGATGAGGTGAGATAAGGTTGGTTTAACGTCGCGTTCAAGGTTATTGTACTTGTATACGCATATAGGCCTATAGCGACGTGCATGTGCATGTGTGTGGGGTTGCCTATGTCCGGATGTATGCCGGTCTTTGAGTGCAAATCCACTAAGAAACCAATGCCGCAGGTTATCATGAATATCCTATTCAGTCACAGTGACTCCGAGCCGATCAATTCTTGTTTGATATTCCCTCATGTCGAACGCCGGACAGGTGAATACCAAAGACCAACGTCTTTTAACGTCGTGTGGTGCGACGTGACCAGGGGACCGAACCCCCGACCTTCCGCTCTCCGGCAGACGCTCTATCCACTTCTGATTTGGGAATTCGACCATGTGGAGGAAAGCAGTTTGGACTCCCCTGATCCCTGGTCAGTGAATTCACTGTACAATTGTCGCTGAACAAAATGTCATAAAATATATGAAGCTTTACTCATTTCCGTTTATTCGTCAATGTATTCGTGATTGCAATGTTTCTCAATGTATTTAAATGTATTTCAATGTATTTAAATGTATAGGGGATACAATTAATGCAACATAATTAATTCTGAGAACATGCCACCTGGCGGTTCCTACCTTCTTATTCCCACACTGTACGCCGTCATTGGCGTCGACGAGAGTGCACTGTCCGCTGGAAGGGTCCCCGCACCACACCCCTCCACAGATGCTGCTGTAGTTCCCGCTGTACTCATCCTGATATAAAACACATCTGTGACGTTGTTTAAATGAACCATTTTTTGTTCACGATTTGACAGGTTGTTAGATATCCACGCCAACACAATCTTGTGCCCGTATCTCAAATATTTACACATATAATTGACGGAACTACTTTATTGTCCTGACATCCAAAAGTATCATTTTCAATTAAGCCGGAAAAGATGCGTCACCAGCAGGTTCGTTTGATTTGAGGGCATGGTCAAGTCGACCTCGGCTACGGATACAAATGCTGGAACGGTGTGACATTAACTGTTAAATATGTTTCAAATATTTCTATAATCCTTGAAGGTTTAGAACGTGTTATGAATAATGTTGTGTTAAATAATGTTAAATTATGTTCGTGTTAAAGTAATAAGACAACATGTTGATGAGTAGCACAATAAAATACAAGAGAAACATAGTTTTACATATCCTTGTTCAGGGCTCTACATTTCATATCATATCCGTCAGTATGGTCTCAAAATATGCACGCGATGGTTACATTATTTGTTGTGGACCCCACGGAAATGTAAATAATTCAATCAACTCTCGACAGAGCATGGTGCACGTGATCAAATTCATTTTTCCGGACAAGGTAATGTTAAATTTGAGAAACTTAGACAAAAATTACCCGTATATTTAAATGACAACTTTTCATGCTATGTTACTTGGGGTGACGTTTCTTTTGCGGTTCAGTATATTTGTGCATGCGTTGAGAACCTGTAAAAAATATTTATACTAACAGCAAATATACCCACATATCCTTAAGTTTCAACCCTAGGACTCCACAATGGTGATTCTGTGACATTTTCGTATATATTTTTTTTCCCTGATTTAGAACCTTTACATTTCATGAACTATTTTAATCATTCCTTATCTTCGATGTCAAATCGTTTTAAGACAACAGACATTTTGGTGCCTTTGGTATTTTCACGAGTACAGACCAACGTACATGATACACATTAAACAAGGGGTGTTTTGCCGCTGTCGTATTGACATTCAATAGACTTTACCCGATTTTGAGTTATTATGCAATTCATCGTTTTCATTTGGTTGGTTGGTTGGTTAGTTTTTTAACGCCGCACTCAGAAATATTCCAGCTATATGACGGCGGTATGTAAATAATCGAGTCTGGACCAGAAAATCAGGTGATTGACATCATGAGCATCGATCTACTCAATTGGAATACGATGACATGCATTAACCTGTCTGAGAGCCTGACCAACCGATCCGTTAGTCGCCACGTACGACAAGCATAGTCGCCTCTTCCGGTAAGCATGGGTTGCTGGATACCTTTTCTCTACCCGGATCTTCACGGGTACATTAAACGAGGAATGAAACATTTTGCAATATATTGTCCTATAGTCCTAACCGTCCAAAATATTATCCAAACGGCAACGTTTACTTGTGACTTGAAGGCAACACGAGTTGGAACAGCCTGTTTATGTATGACGCGGAGTTCAATATAGTACCTGAAATGTAGCTGACATGATGGTAGTTGTCAGTACACATTCTATCTTTTAAACAGAGGGCTTTTAAAACAAAATCATGATTTACATGTAATCAATATATACCATCTCTAACAATGTCATAATGATCATAAATCCTCATAAAAATAATTTGAACTGACAACAACAGCCCATTCAAATAAACGTACAGTGTTCACGGGGTAGAAAATAATACCTTTAGTCTGAAAGCGTGACACTCACTGATTTGCCGTTTCATTCTCATCATGTTCAAAAGCGTGTGTGCTACATGTATTGCTTGTCTATTATGTCCAATTGTTAAGTGAATGTTTCAACCACTTTATATGTAATACGAGCATCAAGTAAAAGGTTTCATAATTCCATAAAACTGACAGCTGTCGGAGAGAAAAGAAGTTACATTGAACGATTGTGTTATCACGCTGAGTGAGTGAGTATGGTTTTACGCCGCTTTTATCGATATTCTAGCAATATCACGGCGGAGCAGCTTCATACCTATTCCCCATTAAGGTCTGTGGCGTGACGAGCGAACGCTCTACCCACTAGGCTACCTCACCGCTCCCAGTGTTGTCACGAGAGTGAATGAGTTGGATTGAAGGCCCTTTTGAACATTTAGTGTCTTACATATGCTGGATTTCCTTATTGATAACACCTATGTGAAATATGGAGATAAGACAATTCGGCAAGAAGTAGGAATCCACATCGGTACCAATTGAGCTGCCCTTCTTGTTGATGTTGTTCTTTATGCATATGAATCAGAATTTCTGCTCGGATCAAAACAATGGGATTTGGCAACATTCTTAACTTTTTGGCATATCGATGATCTCATATCGTTCAATAATGGTCAAATACCCAACCTTTTCACAACTTTTGAGGTGCAATCGACCAGGCTCTTTTTATGAAGATTTCGAAGAGCGTCATTTTACTCTTGCTCAAAGGTTGTTTGATCAGGGTTGCAGATTCAAGGCTTTCGATTGGTTCCCGTGTCTTTTTCAGGTGAACACTTAACTTGCATGTGTTTGTAACATATGCCAACGGTGGGGCTGGATGTTACGCTCACGTTTTTAAAACACCCTGTGTCACTATTTGATAGTGGTTCATACGCATGCTTATTATATAGTCATAATCGTACAATATGTATGGCGGGAAATACGTGAATCCGTATGATTTATACGTAAGTTTATCCTCTCGTTATGAAACTTCCCTTGCGTTGAAATGGGTAATTTTACCATCGGTACAGGTGAGGAATCAATTCAAGAAACCGGCAATGTTCCTTGTAACATAGCATAATAAAGACATGCGTAGTTATAATGCGCTATAAATACGTACTCGACAGAGATAGGATCCCTCGCCGAGCTGTGTCTCACATATGTCATCCGGGTTCGTGAACGTATCTGGCATCCATTTCAGAACGATGTCCAATTCATCAATGCTGAGGATGCCATCTCGACCGGACACACATCCGGAGAGAGGGTAGGGGGTAGCAGCTGAAGACAATGATTCATGTCAATAAGCATTTACTGTAAATGATGAAGTAAATGCGTCACACAGTTAATGCGAGTGCAGACCAATGCGTCATGAAATTGATGCGAGGAACCCTACATTTGAAATTATAAACACTCATCACCATTTTTCTACATTTTCTCAGAAAAAAATATTGGTAATGATAAGATTAACCTCCGAGCCACAAGTAATGACGGATTATCTGTCACTCGAGAAGGCTCGGAACACACAACATTAATTCAGGATGTACAAATAGTCCGGAATGACCCGTTGCTCTCCATGGTTATTAATTGTCCATCGCTTGTCAAATGAACCTGAAGTGGCAAATAAACCCCAATTAGTCAAGCTAATAATGCGGTATGTTATACATACAAGCATTTTTCGCCTGAAGTTCATGCTGACAATAAGTTCATGGTTTACAGTAATAGTGTGTTGAATAGTCTCTTGAAGTAATACTTGGAAGTATAACTAAGTTACTGGCATAACTTTCGTCCATGATTTGAATGCATGAAAATTGAATTAGTCAGGGGTCCTATTTTCACTTTAATGGATATTTGAGCACCTTTGGAACTAACTTGCCATTCACTCATTTCAGTGGATTGGATGTCACTAAATAGCGATATATACATTCAAATTGATCCTGTGGATGACCTACTGTACAACAGAGCTATTTACTAGTATTTTGATTCGGGCGAAAAAGATTCATTACGCAAATCGACTTTTGTTAAACGATGATTTGTAGTTTCATCGAACGCGGCATGTATTAACCTTCTATTGGCGGATTTCCTGCATGGTGTATTTGAGCAACGAGAGATTACTATGCAATGCAGTATTGATTAGTCCATGATATAGCTGCCGTGTAAATGTTCACAAGAGTAAATTAAATAAGGAATATATACACGCGGCGGTAATGCCAATATTGACAAACTGAAGATAATACGCTTTGATGAGCCATACCTGGGACAAACACTGTTTACACATCATGTTCGGGGAATACAATGTGCTGGTGATATGTAGATACAGGTAGATCAGTCATGGGGACGCAGATGTCATGTATTTTTACGCCGCTTTGAAAGTATTGCAGTAACCGTTATATTTCTACGAATATGCCCGAGGACAGGCCAAAGTGATGCAGGTCTCAGATGGTTACCACTTTGGTGAAACCCATGATCACGGATATGGTGCTAACAAGCCTAGAAACATAATGGAGGCGAAACGGGATTCGAACCCACGACCATAGGTTTCTGGCATGCCTAAGCGACGCAACTTTGCATGTCAAATGTTGCCGCCCCCCAGTGCAACGGAAAAGCAAACTGTTGTCCAGTAAACTACGATTATAACGAACTCAAAGGGACCACGAATTTTAGTTCCGTATAACCGTAGTTCGTAAGCATCTATACATAAATCCACAAATGACCGGGACCAAAAAGAAAGTTTGTTATATACGTTAGTTCGTAATAAGAGTGTGTGTTATAAACGTCGTTTACTGTATGTTTGGTGGGTATGTGAAGACAGGCAGGTGAGCCGTAGGTAGGAGGTAGGTAGATACCTGGCTGGCACATATAGACGGTAGATAGACAGGGGGTAAAAGGTAGGTATGAACAGGAGGATTGACAGAGGTGTAGGCATAAAAGTGGATACAGACGGATTGAAATGGGGTTTAACGTCGCGTCCCAGATATATTGCACTTATATAGCGACACGTGTGCGTGCGTGCGTGCGTGCGTGCGTGCGTGCGTGCGTGCGTGCGTGTGTGTGTGTGTATGTGTGTGTGGCTGCTTGTACTAGTCTGGACTAATGCCGATTTTATAGTGCTAGCCCACTTAGATACCATGCTGCAAATTAACATGAATTCCCCACTCAGACACAGTTTACTGACTCCGAGCCAGTCAGTCCTTTTTTAACCCCTGAATGCCCAGCGCCAGGCAGGGTAACAACAAGTACCATCTTTTCAAGTCTTTTGGTTTGACGCGGCAGGGGATCGAACCCTCGACCTTCCGCTCTCGGGACAGACGCTCTATTCACTAGACCACGAAGACGTTCTCGGTTGCAGAGATGAGTGATGTCATTTTATCGAGGCGTCATGATAACCGATGATGTCACAATGGTCTGCAAATCATTGTGATTCGGTTTCATTGTAGCGCTTTCTTCATTGTGATAAATAGATAATAGGCTGTATGAACGTATAACTGAGAATATAGTATGTATGAATGTATAAACTACTGAGAACATAGTCTGTATGAATGTTTAAACAACTGAGAACATAGACTGTGTGAATGTATAAACAACTGAGAACATAAACTGTACGAATGTATAAACAACTGCAAGCATAGACTGTGTGGATTTATAAACAACTGCGAATGCAGAGACCGCATGGACGTTTAAACAACAGAGAACATAAACTGAACGAATGAACAAACAACTGAGAACATACACTGTATGAATGTATAAACAACTGAGAACATAGACTGTATGAATGTATAAACAACTGAGAACATAGACTGTATGAATGTATAAACAACTGAGAACAGAAATTGTATGTATGTATAAACAACTGAGAACATAAAACTGTACGAATGTACAAACAACTGAGAACATAGACTGTATGAATGTACAAACAACTGAGAACATAGACTGTATGAATGTATAACAACTGAGAACATAAAATGTATGAATGTATAAACTACTGAGAACATAGACTGTATGAATGTATAAACTACTGAGAATAAAGACTGTATGAATGTATAAACAACTGAGAACATAAACTGTATGAATGCATAAACTACTGAAAACATAGATTGTATGAATGAACAAACAACAGAGAACATAGACTGTATGAATGTATAAACAACTGAGAACATAGACTGTATGAATGTATAACAACTGAGAACATAAAATGTATGAAAGTATAAACTACTGAGAACATAGACTGTATGAATGTATAAACTACTGAGAATATAGACTGTATGAATGTATAAACAACTGAGAACATAAACTGTATGAATGCATAAACTACTGAGAACATAGATTGTATGAATGCATAAACAACTGAGAACTAGACTGTATGAATGAACAAACAACTGCAAGCATAGATTGTGCGGAATTATAAACAACTGCGAATGCAGAGACAGCATGGACGTTTAAACAACAGAGAACATAAACTGAACGAATGAACAAACAACTGAGAACATAGACTGTATGAATGTATAAACAACTGAGAACATAGACTGTATGAATGTATAAACAACTGAGAACATAGACTGTATGAATGTATAAACTACTGAGAACATAGACTGTATGAATGCATAAGCAACTGAGAACATAGACTGTATGAATGTACAAACAACTGAGAACATAGACTGTATGAATGTATAAACTACTGAGAACATAGACTGTATGAATGTATAAACAACTGAGAACATAGACTGTATGAATGTACAAACAACTGAGAACATAAATTGTATGAATGCATAAACTACTGAGAACATAAATTGTACGAATGTATAAACAACTGAGAACATAAACTGTACGAATGTATAAACTACTGAGAACATAAATTGTATGAATGCATAAACTACTGAGATCTTAAATTGTATGAATGCATAAACTTCTGAGAACATAAACTGTATGAATGTATAAACTACTGAGAACATAAATTGTATGAATGTATAAACTACCGAGAACATAAATTGTATGGATGCATAAACTACTGAGAACATAGACTGTATGAATGTATAAACTACCGAGAACATAAATTGTATGGATGCATAAACTACTGAGAACATAGACTGTATGAATACATAAACTACTGGGACTATAAACTGTACGAATGTATAAAATACTGAGAACATAGACTGTATGAATGTACAAACAACTGAGAACATAGACTGTATGAAGGTATAAACAACTGAGAACATAGACTGTACGAATGTACAAACAACTGAGAACATAAATTGTATCAATGTATAAACTACTGAGAACATAGACTGTATGAATGCATAAACAACTGAGAACATAGACTGTATGAATGTATAAACAACTGAGAACATAAATTGTATGAATGTACAAACTACTGAGAACATAGACTGTATGAATGTTTAAACAACTGAGAACATAAATTGTATGAATGCATAAACTACTGAGAACATAAACTGTACGAATGTATAAACAACTGCAAGCATAGACTGTGTGGATTTATAAACAACTGCGAATGCAGAGACCGCAATGGACGTTTAAACAACAGAGAACATAAACTGAACGAATGAACAAACAACTGAGAACATAGACTGTATGAATGTATAAACAACTGGGAATATAAACTGTATGAATGTTTAAACAACTGAGAACATAGACTGTATGAATGTATAAACAACTGGGAACATAAACTGTATGAATGTTTAAACAACTGAGAACATAGACTGTATGAATGTATAAACAACTGAGAACATAGACTGTATGAATGTATAAACAACTGGGAACATAAACTGTATGAATGTTTAAACAACTGAGAACATAGACTGTATGAATGTATAAACAACTGAGAACATAGACTGTATGAATGTATAAACAACTGGGAACATAAACTGTATGAATGTTTAAACAACTGAGAACATAGACTGTATGAATGTATAAACAACTGAGAACATAAATTGTATGAATGTACAAACTACTGAGAACATAGACTGTATGAATGTTTAAACAACTGAGAACATAGACTGTATGAATGTATAAACAACTGAGAACATAAACTGTACGAATGTATAAACAACTGCAAGCATAGACTGTGTGGATTTATAAACAACTGCGAATGACGAGACCGCATGGACGTTTAAACAACAGAAAACATAAACTGAACGAATGAACAAACAACTGAGAACATAGACTGTATGAATGTATAAACAACTGAGAACATAAACTGTACGAATGTATAAACAACTGCAAGCATAGACTGTGTGGATTTATAAACAACTGCGAATGACGAGACCGCATGGACGTTTAAACAACAGAGAACATAAACTGAACGAATGAACAAACAACTGAGAACATAGACTGTTTGAATGTATAAACAACTGTGAACATAAACTGTACGAATGTATAAACAACTGCAAGCATAGACTGTATGAATGTACAAACTACTGAGAACATAGACTGTACGAATGTATAAACAACTGAGAACATAGACTGTATGAATGTACAAACTACTGAGAACATAGACTGTTCGAATGTATAAACGACTGAGAACATAGACTGTATGAATGTATAAACTACTGAGAACATAGACTGTATGAATGTATAAACAACTGAGAACATAAACTGTACGAATGTATAAACAACTGCAAGCATAGACTGTATGAATGTACAAACAACTGAGAACATAGACTGTTCGAATGTATAAACGACTGAGAACATAGTCTGTATGAATGTATAAACAACTGAGAACATAGACTGTATGAATCTATAAACAACTGAGAACATAGACTGTATGAATGTATAAACTACTGACAACATAGACTGTATGAATGTATAACAACTGAGAACATAAATTGTATGAATGCATAAACAACTGAGAACATAAACTGTACGATTGTATAAACAACTGCAAGCATAGACTGTGTGGATTTATAAACAACTGCGAATGCAGAGACCGCATGGACGTTTAAACAACAGAGAACATAAACTGAACGAATGAACAAACAACTGAGAACATAGACTGTATGAATGTATAAACAACTGAGAACATAAATTGTATGAATGCATAAACTACTGTGAACATAAACTGTACGAATGTATAAACAACTGCAAGCATAGACTGTGTGGATTTATAAACAACTGCGAATGCAGAGACCGCATGGACGTTTAAACAACAGAGAACATAAACTGAACGAATGAACAAACAACTGAGAACATAGACTGTATGAATGTATAAACAACTGGGAATATAAACTGTATGAATGTTTAAACAACTGAGAACATAGACTGTATTAATGTATAAACAACTGGGAACATAAACTGTATGAATGTTTAAACAACTGAGAACATAGACTGTATGAATGTATAAACAACTGAGAACATAGACTGTATGAATGTATAAACAACTGGGAACATAAACTGTATGAATGTTTAAACAACTGAGAACATAGACTGTATGAATGTATAAACAACTGGGAACATAAACTGTATGAATGTTTAAACAACTGAGAACATAGACTGTATGAATGTATAAACAACTGAGAACATAGACTGTATGAATGTATAAACAACTGGGAACATAAACTGTATGAATGTTTAAACAACTGAGAACATAGACTGCATGAATGTATAAACAACTGGGAACATAAACTGTATGAATGTTTAAACAACTGAGAACATAGACTGTATGAATGTATAAACAACTGGGAACATAAACTGTATGAATGTTTAAACAACTGAGAACATAGACTGTATGAATGTATAAACAACTGGGAACATAAACTGTATGAATGAACAAACAACAGAGAACATAGACTGTATGAATGTATAAACAACTGAGAACATAAACTGTATGAATGTTTAAACAACAGAGAACATAGACTGTATGAATGTATAAACAACTGGGAACATAAACTGTATGAATGTTTAAACAACTGAGAACATAGACTGTATGAATGTATAAACAACTGAGAACATAAACTGTATGAATGTTTAAACAACTGAGAACATAGACTGTATGAATGTATAAACAACTGGGAACATAAACTGTATGAATGAACAAACAACTGGGAACATAAACTGTATGAATGTTTAAACAACTGAGAACATAGACTGTATGAATGTATAAACAACTGAGAACATAGACTGTATGAATGCATAAACAACTGAGAACATAGACTGTATGAATGTATAAACAACTGGGAACATAAACTGTATGAATGTTTAAACAACTGAGAACATAGACTGTATGAATGTATAAACAACTGGGAACATAAACTGTATGAATGAACAAACAACTGGGAACATAAACTGTATGAATGTTTAAACAACTGAGAACATAGACTGTATGAATGTATAAACAACTGAGAACATAGACTGTATGAATGCATAAACAACTGAGAACATAGACTGTATGAATGTATAAACAACTGGGAACATAAACTGTATGAATGTTTAAACAACTGAGAACATAGACTGTATGAATGCATAAACAACTGAGAACATAAATTGTATGAATGCATAAACTACTGTGAACATAAACTGTACGAATGTATAAACAACTGCAAGCATAGACTGTGTGGATTTATAAACAACTGCGAATGCAGAGACCGCATGGACGTTTAAACAACAGAGAACATAGACTGTATGAATGTACAAACAACTGAGAACATAGACTGTATGAATGTACAAACAACTGAGAACATAGACTGTATGAATGTACAAACAACTGAGAACATAGACCGTATGAATGCATAAACAACTGAGAACATAGACTGTATGAATGTACAAACAACTGAGAACATAGACTGTATGAATGTATAAACAACTGAGAACATGAATTGTATGAATGCATAAACAACTGAGAACATAGACTGTATGAATGCATAAACAACTGAGAACATAGACTGTATGAATGTACAAACAACTGAGAACATAGACTGTATGAATGTACAAACAACTGAGAATATAGACTGTATGAATGAACAAACAACTGCAAGCATAGACTGTGCGGAATTATAAACAACTGCGAATGCAGAGACCGCATGGACGTATAAACAACAGAGATCATAAACTGTATGAATGTATAAACAACTGAGAACATAGACTGTACGAACATATAAACAACTGAGAACATAAACTGTACGAATGTATAACAACTGAGGACATAAACTGTACGAATGTATAAACAACTGCGAATATATTATTTAATGTGATTAGACTATTTGAACATTGATAATGCTCAGTTTCTGGCTGTTTGGACAGTTTGTTCACGAAATCAATTTGATTATAAAAAGGTAATTGATAAGTAGTTGACCGTCCACGTTGTCTACGACATTACACGCTTCAAATATTAATTTTTATCGGGGGATATTTTCCCTCTCCATTCCAACCAGCACTATGGTGACACATATTACGAATAGGTTTACATTATGCTGAAAAAGACTGTTTGGCCCTCTTGTGAACTTTCTTCGTCGAGGGAAGTGTGTCGACGAGTGTAATTTAACCGATTTCTACATTTCATAACATCATCGGAATGTTTAAACAAGTCAGTTGACATCAACAATCGTTAAAGACGTGAAACAGATGTACAAACCTTGCGTATACAGTACTACATGGTGAAGCAAAGTTATACAGATGATAATCCGGATTCCGGGCGATAATCCACTAATGTGTACTCTACAATAATCCTTCATTGATTTATGATGTCGCCTTTACATTGTGAATCACAGCGTCCATGAGCCGTACACAATCCGCAGCCGTTCTCGGGTAAACATAAAGCACTAACGCCACGGTCACGGAGAGACCGAATGTGCCTTGTCAGGGTGCACAACCGACCCCACCCAGAATAGATTTCGTTTACATACTCACATGCTCATGACGATCCTTTTCTATCCGAAGTAGGTTAGTCAAAATCGTGATGTCTTGTCACGCCTCCAATGAGGCACAGTTCATAACAAACCAGTTTGTAATGTACAGCTGCGTTATTCTGGTCCTTTGTGACGTTCAGTGTTGGTCTAAATCTCGTTTATTAAACCGGTTTTATTTGAACGATCCGGTTTGTGAAGAGGGTATGTGTGAGTATGTTTGAATTTCTGATTAAGGTTTTTTCCCCGACGGGGAGTGTATGTATATGTGGTGTTGACGCGAATAACACAATTTGAATGTAATGTTTGACAGAAACATGTTAGCTTCAATATTATGTAATACATGTTTTGTGATACACAAACCTAAGGAAAAGCTTTTGACATAAAGGCAATAGCATACGAACATATAGCCAAGTAAACCAGATCTAAAGTGAAATTTAAACATGATTGCACAATTGTAAACACGACGATTTTGCCATGGCGCACACCAGTAGCTGGGGGCACGGGTGGCCCAGTCGTCTAAGGCGCCGCGATTCGCTGTGCAGAGTTGCGTCCCTTGGGCACGCCAGAAACCTATGATCGTGGGTTCGAATCCCGGTTCGCCCCGATTATATTTCTAGGTTTGTCAGCACCATACCCGTGCTCGTGTGTTTCACCGAAGTGGTAAACGTCTGAGACCTGCATCACTTCGGGCTTTCCTCCCACATTAAGCTGACACGCCCCGATATAACTGGAATACTGTTAAAAGCGGCGTTAAACCCAACTCACTCACTCACTCCCAAACCGTCCTTCGTGATATTGCCAACAACGAGTGTACTCAACAAAGGACAATGTTAAGCCCAATTTGCCGAAAATATCCAAAATACACCAGAAACACAATCGGGTACAGATCAGTTTATTCCACGTGTATCAAGTACGTTCCGTTATTATCATAGATATCATGGCAATAAATCACCTGGGCATGCATTAAACCAGTCTAGCGTTCTCTTTCGAATTACAGAACCATTGTACTCAAGTCTATCCACGCAAATAAATAGAAAACATTTGTCTTCTCTTGTCAAATAACAACTTCACAAAAACAGACACATGTTCTAATTATCATATTGTTCTTGCATTACTCCCATGCTCTTAATCTGAAAAGCACAGTGACAAAAGGTAGGCTGAGAGTAGTTTCGGCATAAACTGTTATTTCATGCGAGTGAAAAGAGGATTATATATTTGGAGAGAAATATGTTAATTTATCACAAAATACATCATGTGTGATTATGTGGGATATCTATGTGTAGTATACAGATAGGCCGTGTATGGGCATAAATTGTAAGGTATTATAATGCCGCTATGTCCCTCTTGAAACGTGTGTTGCGGGGTTTGGGAGAAGTACAGGTAACCCTGCCATTTAAGACGTCGCAATTTGCCATTCAGAGTTGCGTGTGAGTGTACTAGTCCTGACTTATGCTGGTGCCATAGTGCTAGACCACTGAGATACCATGCCGCATTTGTCACACACATATTTCTGACTCCGTGCCGACCAGTCCTTGTTTTCTCCTCATAATGCCAAACGCCAGGCTGGGTTACAAGAAGAAACATCTTTCAACGTCTTTTTTATATCGACCACTCTCCGGTCAGACGCTAATCATGATACCATTGAGTCGGTCTACTATTTTTGGTGAATGGGACGTGATTACATAAACCGTGATATAAGGTATAGTCGTAGTTCTGATAATCAAAGTAGATCAGCTGAGATCAGAACTTCGTTATCTGTTCTCTGGACTATACCCCATCTCTACCATCATCAATTCCGCCACTCCACATATCCCAATGAGAGTCTTATTTACAAACAAGAATGAGTTATATAAGTCCTTGAAGGGCATTTAGAAGTGATACACATAAGGAAGAGAATTTATGGATGTCAGTGTCTTTATTATGAGGAACACAACGTTTGGAGTATATGCTTACTCCTTCATCGGGTGAATGAATGCTATGAGGCAAAGAGCATATATATCTACATGAAAGAAACGTATGTACTCCGAAACGTTGTGTTCCTCATCATAAAGAAGTTGACATCCATAAATTCTCTTCCTTAGTTATATAAAGCATAACAAATTCTTTTCCTCAGTTATATAAGGCATAACATAACATCTTGGAGTGCTAAAGACAACAGAACAAAGTCTGGGAGTCTTACTCATGCATATCGGACGCTTATCTCTGCATCCACTAGAACTGCCAAACAGCAGTAGCATTAAAGCCAGAACCAAACATTGCGAAGTTAACAATGAAAGGACGTGAATCTTTCGCTACGAGGATCTGTCTGGTGTACAAGGTTTTGCCACGACCAATCCTCAAGATCCTGTCACTCCATGTGATCCAGAAAAAACGGAAGTCATCACAGTCAAGCCTACTGACAGTTTTATGAACTAACACAACAGGAGGAGAGCCGGCCCACAGCTTCCTGATTGACATTTCCGTCTCGTTGCCCCGTCTTCTGTCCAGTTCAAAAAGGTACAATCGTTTCCCCGTCTCGGCCAAAGCCACACGAGCGGAGTGGCATGCCTTTACCCTCAACCTCAAGGTCATACTTGGTGGCACTGAGTAGTCCGATGCCAAGGGTTTCTCCCAGGACCTGGCTTTGGTTTCTAGTTGTCCTGAAAAATCTGTGTAAGAGAATCAGGTTATTATCTGGTTGATTGCTGCACATACCTAAAGTTACCCGAGCTGAGGTAATGGGTGATAACAATAGAAGATTGTCTACTGAAAACTAAATACTAATAGGACCTGAATAGCAAAAGGTACCACTGATTATCATTAACCCTAAAAAGCAACATTTGTTCAGATCGATAATTCTATGAAAATGTTTGATAGCTTACTTTTAGTTCTGCTTTGAAAAGAAAGCCTACTGTATTTTTCTGTTATCTTTATTTTATTCAGATAACAATATTAATCTGAAGAGTATAAAACGTTTCATTTTATATCTCGGTTGCTTACGTGTGTGCATATATATAAAAGTCTATATTATAATAGTTTACCCTAATTCACATATTTCATTGTAACCCAGTCTTACCTCTTCTACAGGTTCTATTGTTGCTCTGTAGTGTGAAGTCCAGGGCACAAAAACAGATCCTGGTGGTTGCATTGGCAGGAAAGCAACCGTGGTCGCAGTCACTCACAGATCCACTGCATACATTCGCAACTGAAAATAAACATCACATTGTTGTGTCTAACCTAAAAAAAAGCAATATAATTTTAATATTTATTTATCAATGTATTTCACACCACAAAGACATTGCCATCTTGCACCATTCCACAATCAGTTGATTATAATCGATATGTATTGTGCCCACATCCTCCAATCATTTAAATATCATGGCTATATATGGTGCCCACACATGTGAAAATGTAGAGGATATTATATGTGTCGAGTGAAATATCTCGTGACGGGGGAAAAAGAAGATATTTTCTCGCGAAAATATCTCCTTTACCCCCGTCAGTCAATGAGAGAGACATGTTATTTCACGAGACACATGGTATATCCTGTATATTATATACGTTTGTGTAAAGTCTACCGGAAAATGAAATTATTACATATGTACAACCTTGAAACGTAAATTCTCCTTACCTAACACACAGGGACGGTTCACCACCCCTTGTATTTGCGACGAAAAAAAGTAGTTTCGTTTTTGCAAAATCATTTTAAAAAATCATACAAAAGTAACAAAACATATTTAGGGTCACGAAAATTCTGTATCATACATATAGACACGATTATATAACAAAAAATATTCTTGAAAGCTACGAGACTGCTGTTCGAAGCGAAAGAATACACGCTAGTCAAGTAACAAAAATGGCGCTTAGCGAAAACAACAGTCTCGGTTGACGAGTTAAATAAGAAATTTACAGTCTATAACGAGACATTTTCGAGAGAATAACAAACGGCAAGAAATGATACATAAATGACCATCTGTCATTATTTTGCCTTGACAAGGTGGAACTAACGTAAAAAGGACGTCAACATTTTGGAGAGACACTTTAAGGGGAGGTAACTCTTGTATGACAATAATTCCGTCAAAGTGTTTTATTCACTGCACTGAAATATCACTTTTCTCAAATTCAGAAAACTCAGTCTCTCTCACTGAAGTATATAATAAACCTCCCTATATAGGATATATATGTTGCCCACGTCCCTCAAACATGTGAATATACTGGGTATATATGGTACATACCCCCTCAAACATGTGAATATACTTGGTATATATGGTACCCAGGTCCCTCAAACATGTGAATATACTGGGTATATATGGTACCCACGTCCCTCAAACATGTGAATATATAGGATATATATGATGCCAACGTCCCTCAAACATGTGAATATACTGGGTATATATGGTACCCACGTCCCTCAAACATGTGAATATATTGGATATATATGGTGCCCACGTCCCTCAACATGTGAATATATTGGATATATATGGTGCCAACGTCCCTCAACATGTGAATATACTGGGTATATATGGTGCCCACGTCCCTCAACATGTGAATATACTGGGTATATATGGTGCCCACGTCCCTCAACATGTGAATATACTGGGTATATATGGTACCCACGTCCCTCAAACATGTGAATATATTGGATATATATGGTGCCCACGTCCCTCAAACATGTGAATATATTGGATATATATGGTGCCCACGTCCCTCAACATGTGAATATATTGGATATATATGGTGCCAACGTCCCTCAACATGTGAATATACTGGGTATATATTGTGCCCACGTCCCTCAACATGTGAATATACTGGGTATATATGGTACCCACGTCCCTCAAACATGTGAATATATTGGATATATATGGTGCCCACGTCCCTCAAACATGTGAATATACTGGATATATATTGTGCCCACGTCCCTCAAACATGTGAATATACTGGATATATATGGTACCCACGTCCCTCAAACATGTGAATATACTGGATATATATGGTACCCACGTCCCTCAAACATGTGAACATACTGGATATATATGGTGCCCACGTCCCTCAACATGTGAATATACTGGGTATATATGGTACCCACAACTCACAGCTTGGGTCATTTGTGGTGTTGACGACCCGCATCCTGATCGCAGACTCAGGCAGAGAGAACACAGCTGCCCTGGCACTCTGGTCGCGATTTACTCGCATAAGTCTGAGGAAGAAGATAACGAATCGTTGGACGTCAAACATACCCCAGTAAGAATTCCTTGCTGCTTTTAGAAGTGGACTCTAAGTGGATATAAACTTAAATATAAAATTCCACGCTGGTCGCCAAGGAAACACTACAACGCCTTTTCGAATCTCACGGGATGTGTCATGAAAATGGTTGTATGAATTATTCTTTAATTATTACTTAAATCAGCGTTAGAAATTGGCACTAGCCCTGTAGTCCTTGCCAAACTGGCCAATAGTATCATGAAGACTAGTAGAAATTTGCCATTTTTTATGGTTTTGCTATGTCTTATCATTGTAAGGACTAGTAGACTAAAAATGTTTGTTTAAAATGGACAATTCGCGATAGTCCTAACAAGCACTTGATATGCAATCCACACATGTTAATCACCTGTACATGATTAAAATGTCAAGATTACTGTTTATGTTTTGATAAAGAACATACATCTTTATCAACTACGGTCAGTGTTGCATACTTTTATGGTGTTTCTTTTCATATGATACTGACTTTCCTTTGAACATAATTTAAAATTAGATGCAGGATAAGATGTGTCATTGTATTTCATCAATAGGTTTCACCTTTTTATCTACAGGTAATACAGATAAGCATATAATGTTCATTTATTTTTAAAAAAACTATAATTATACTAAATACATAAAACTGTCCATACATTTAGCGAAACCGCGTTTATCAAGATATTGTTTCAAATAAAATCGTTCGGTTCACACGTATTCATATTAACAGGTGATGGCTTAGTAGGTATATATCTGTGCATAACCCCTGACGTCCCTACAAGTCATCATTCAGAAGGAGGGGTTTCTTGATTAATGGGGTCCGGACTATACAGGTTTTACCGCTTTCGTCTTTAACTGTTGCATCTATGATATCTTAAAAATCCGGCACAAACGTTTCGACAAAAATTCATAGAGTATGTCTTGGTAATACAGTTTGCGGTATCCAATAAACATTTGTTCTGTTTATATATTAAGAGCGGTTTGTTAGAGTAATGTCATGAATTACTTTTGGATGACCTTTAATCGATGACATTAGTTTAATCTTGAATGACTTCAAGAAGACACTTTGTTTGACATGGTCACCTAATGTTATTTGGTTACCGCCTGAAATGATAATAATAATGTGTATAATTATCGCATATTCACAAGAATGAAGTCCAAACATTATAAAATGTTTTCTTCTGGCTTTAGTACTTCCATAAGGTAATACGAAAATAATAATAATAAGTCATATTTCTTACGCACACTGCATTTTTGTCCAGGTAGAAGTAAAATTCGTCTGTGTATCCGAATCTGGATGTGAAGTTTGAAGCAATTGTCTGTACATTGGAGCCATTGATGTACGCTTCCCGGAGTCTTGTGTATGTGTTCCACGTTATCTTATTTCCTGGAGCAGGAAAAGTGAGTGAGTGAGTGAGTGACTTTGGTTTAACAATATTCAAGTTTTATCGGGGCGTGTCAGCTTAATATGGGAGGAAAGCCCAAAGTGATGTATGTCTCTGACGTTTACTACTTTGGTGAAACTCACAACCACGGGTATGGTGCTGACAAACCTAGAAACATAATCAGGCGAACCGGGATTCGAACCCACAATCATAAGTTTCTGGCGTGCTCAAGGGACGCAACTCTGCACAGCGAATTGCGTCGCCTTTGACGGTTGGACCAACCGTGCCCCCGACAGGGGAAGTAACGAAACAAACTACAAACATGAACTATGTATAACATCATCCGCAAAGGACTAGATGATATTTAACTGACATTGTTCTTGAGTGTACTTTGTGTACAAGGAGTTTGGTTTAACGTCGCTTAAAAATATTTCAGTTACATCACAGCGTGTAAGTTATATGTGGGAGAAGAACCCCAGCTAGCACTGGTCTCAGGCCACTTTGACAAAGCCAAAGAGCTCGGGTATAGTTCAGACAAACCAAGCATCACAATCAAGGCGAATATGGGATTCAGAATTACAATGCCTTAGTCACCGTGTTCCCCTTTGCCTAATTGACAAAACTTTGTCCTAAAGATAATCAGGGTTCAAAAAGTCAAACAAGGCGTATATGCCTAAAGGGAGGTAATATCATAGCAGTGAGTGAGTGGTGGTGGTGGTGGAATGGGGTTTAACGTCGCGTCCAAGATTATTGCACTTATATAGCGACGTGCATGTACGTGTGTGTGTTTGTGTGGCTGCTTGTACTAGTCCGGACTGATGCCGATTTACAGTGCTAGCCGACTGAGATACCATGCCGCAGTTTAACATGAATACCCCACTCAGACACAGTATACTGACTCCGAGCCGACCAGTCCTTGTTTTAGCCCCTTAATGCCGAGCGCCAGACAGGGTAACAACAAGTACCATCTTTTAACGTCTTTTGGTATGACGCGGCCGGGGATCGAACCCCGGACCTTCCGCTCTCCGGGCGGACGCTCTACCTCTAGACCACGGAGGCGGTCAGTGAGTGAGTGAGTGAGTATGGTTTTACGTCGCTTTTAGCAATATTCCAGCAATATCACGGCGGGGGACACCAGAAATGGGCTTCACACATTATACCCATGTCGGGAATCGAACCCGGGTCTTCGGCGTGACGAGCGAACGCTTTAACCATTAAGCTACCCGACCGCCCCTAATAGCATAGCAAAGGTAATCTGTATATCACAATATACCTCAGGGAACATCCTACTGTTTATGACGTACCATGTTTGTGTAGGATCGGATTCCACACTGCGTTGGTGTCCACGAAAACTGTTTTAGCCATCTTACTGCTATAGTGAAGATAGTTGATGGTATCGCTCTCCACCCAGTACATTCCCCTTCACAAAGACAAAACATTAAACGTCATAGAAACATTGTTTGCGAATGCATGTGAACCTTAAACTACACAGCGAACACATTTTCATGACGCCTGTTTGTTTGTTTGTTAAATGTATTCTTTATTTACGAGGTACCTGAATAGACAAAGGAACAAAGCAAGTGGGTAAATGAGTGAATATTGTTTAACGCCGTGGTCAGACTAACTGGTGACTGGTAGCCTGAGCAACGATCAACGGTCCCTGAACCTTGTCAACTGGTTAATATGGTTAATGTGTGTGAGTGAGTTGGGTTTAACGCCGCTTTTAACAGTATTCCAGTTATATCACGGCATGTCAGCTTAATATTGGAGGAAATCCCGAAGTGATGTAGGTCTCAGACGTTTACCACTTCGGTGAAACCCACGAGCACGGGTTTGGTGCTGACAAACCTAGAAACATAATCGGGGCGAACCGGAGTTCATAGGTTTCTGGCGTGCCCAAGGGACGCAACTCTGCACAGTGAATCGCGGCGCGTTAGACGACTGGGCCACCCGTGCCCCCTAATATGGTTTATGTACATCGCAACCTGCTCGTTGTTGATAATAATGTATAAGATACCTACAGTATTTATAAGATCGCAAAGAACAACGAAGAACGAAGTTTTTTTGTTTTTTTTCCACGATGAAACATCGTTCTATCATGACGTCAATTCTGGAGACTGGAACAATTTGATGATGTCGTAAATTGGACAATGTTATTTTTTAGAGGGAAGTGTTTCGTGTGTAGTTCCACATAGCTGGACAACGCAGATAAAAGCAATAGCCAAACGATCGCTTCCAAAAGTGAGTGAGATATGGCAATCTGAATTGGGAGAAAAGGTGCAGATAATCGACGTAAACATTGTGAGAATATGTGAGAAAGGCAGAATTTAACCCCGTATTCATGAAAAGGACTTGTCCGACATTGTTGCGATAGGATTCTATTCAGGGAGTCATCAGTATTTGAATACGAGTAAATATTTCTAAAGCGTGTACGTTTTACTAACATCCTTAAAGAGGCTGTACGTAATGTTGATATCTCATATAAGAAATATGCGCCCTCGTGGATTGTTATGCCTGCAGTGTTTTATTGTACCATAAAGAACTCCCACTCGTCGTTTATTTTTTAAATATATATATTTAATATGTTGTTTTCAATGTTATGCACGGCCTTCATTTCAAGATTCAATTTTTTTACGTTCATGCCTTCATAAGAAATATACCCTTCAAAGGGACAGCAAAATACTTGATTAAAGTGAGGTTACTTACAGCTTTTGGTCAAGAACAAGACCTCGAGGTTTAGTCAGATTGGACAGGAGAATGTACTCTGCGCCAGAACTAACGTGGAGGGCAGCCAGCACCCCATCAAATGACGTGTAGAACAAAAGACCAGTGGCAACATCTATGTCAAATCCAGTTATAATGGTGTCTTTAACAAAGAAACAAAACAAGCTCTTGACGATAACCAAATAAATTACATTTTGCAGATCGACCCAAGGAAACACAATGTTTTCTTCGTAATTACCACATGTGTATATTTTTTTCAGAGCATTTAGATTGTGCGATAAACATACTATTTTCAGTTACCTTAACATCGCTGAATATGAATTTGGAAAACGAACGCGTCACGGTGCTAATTGTCCCCAAAACTTGAAATACTCTCTCTCAGTCGATTTATATCACGTTTTCGTCCTAAAGCCTTTTGTCACACAGTTCTTTGAATGCTATAGTAACCCAAACACTGATTTTGTAACCTATAATTTTACATATTATTATTTCAGAATGCCTTCCCACAATGATTGAAAAAAGGATCTTATCTATAAATATTAGTTTCCGTCGTCATGCGGTCATCCAAACAGCTGTTGCAGTCAGTGGTAGGTATTGTGATTTGAAAGCTCTCATTGACCAATCAGAATCGGGGATTTTCCAAATCCATGGTAGAACAGTGAAGAACAGACCTGTGTGTGATGTGATGTGTTCTGAGTGGGGTAATGAGTAATATATATTTTATTGTTACATGTATGTTGATTGAAACTTTGACTGGCTAACATAAAAGACATACAATGTTTGATTATAGTGGTCCGGGGACAATGTATTATTGGATTTTCTGAGAATAGAACGACTGTTATGTTTTTGCTACTCCATCATAGTGTGCTTCCAACGTGTACGTATATTTCTCATCAATCCTACCCTTTCGGTGTTTTCTCAGCAGATGAGTTTCTAGATGAAGGCATAACATACAGGTCTTTTTAAGCAAATCATCAGGGTTTTATCATCCGAAAAAAGGCAGTTAGTACAAGTAGTGGAAAAAAAAACTGTATTTAAAAGATTCGTTTTGGTATCCAATGTTTGTTTGTGGGAATTAATTCTTCAAGGGAAAACCTGATTTAACAAAGGAAAACACCACGAAACACAACTGTGTTGTTTCTTAGGAAGTTCTTTTGACGCTAAAACTGCACTGCACCGCACCGCACCGCACCGCACCGCACCGCACCGCACCGCACCGCATCGCATCGCATCGCATCGCATCGCATCGCATCGCATCGCATCGCACTGCATGATACAGCAAGCAGAGTAAAAGCAGCTTGAGTTTAGGAAGTTCTTTTGACGCTTTAACCGCATCGCATCGCACCGCATCGCATCGCATCGCATCGCATCGCATCGCATCGCATCGCACTGCATGATACAGCTAGTATAGTAAAAGCAGCTTGCGCAGGATGGGTTATAACAAAGACATCCTATTGTTAATAAATTTAGATTTACCCTGTGGGAACCTAAACAGAGCTTCTTCGTCCAGACCTCCCATTGTTACTCTCCCTATGGTGGTAGGCTCTTGTGTAGTGAAGTATATAAACTCATCCCTCGGATTATAGGCGAGGTGGTCAACAAATCCATCAGAGATGTTCAAGGACACACTCTCAAACTTCATTCCACGAAGGTGAAGGATGCCAATTTGGGAGTCACGCATCCCCACGACGAGGTTTATGCCTTCTACGTCAGTATCTGGAATCAGAGTCCACCAAGATTTGAATGAATATGAAAGAGATATCAAGAGCAGTACATCTACCACCCGTAGGGATTCCGGGTAAGAACATATGTGTCTACAAACCTACGTGTGCTTGTAAGAAGCGACTAAATGGGTCGGGTGGCAAGGCTTAGTTGATTGAAGTCATCGTATCCCAGTCGCGTGTAAACCAGACAAATTGGTCCAGGCTCGATTACCTACAGACCGCCATCATTCAGCTGGCGTATGCTGAGTGCGGCTTGAAACAGCAAACAAACAAACAACGTGCTTTAACAAATTGATTGGGGCAATTTTTATTGATATTATAATACTTGACTGGGAACTATGAGACATTAACTATGTTTGACAATATCCTGTTATCCCTTCATTGAAAACATCCTTGCTGTCACAAAATATGCAGTCTTGTACATTTTTATTGCCGATGACCATAGAACGTGCGTGTTAAGCTATGTCTTGTAGCTTTGAGGGAAATAAAGTTCAGTTCAGAGTGAGGAGCCCCGTTGGGAGTCCAGGGTTAGAATGGATTGGGCAGTAAGGTTCCGTTAAATTACGCGTCATCGTACGCCGACGGCGTGAATCGTAGCTTATAATATTAATCACTGGTCCAGGCTCGATTATTTACGTTTCATAGACAAACCGAACTTGCAATAATGTGCAAAGTCACATGTTCCTTATCTTATACATGTATCGAACGTTTCGTTTCGTTATACTACTACTACCACTACGACTACTACTAATACTATATGCATTATATATATCGCGGCGTATCCTCGCTTTAAAGCATACTACTACAGCGACTACGACTGCGACTAATACTATATGCATTATATATATTGCGGCGTATCCTCGCTTTAAAGCATACTACTACTACTACTACTACTACTAGTATATGCATTATATATATTGCGGCGTATCCTCGCTTTAAAGCATACTACTACAGCGACTACGACTACGACTAATATTATATGCATTATATATATTGCGGCGTATCAACGCTATAAAGCATACTACTACAGCGACTACGACTACGACTAATATTATATGCATTATATATATCACGGTGTATCAACGCTATAAAGCATACTACTACAGCGACTACGACTACGACTAATACTATATGCATAATATATATCGCGGTGTATCAATGCCATAAAGCATACTACAACAGCGACTACGACTACGACTAATACTATATGCATTATATATATCTCGGTGTATCAACGCTATAAAGCATACTACAACAGCGACTACGACTACGACTAATACTATATGCATTATATATATCTCGGTGTATCAACGCTATGAAGCATACTACTACAGCGACTACGACTACGACTCATACTATATGCATTATATATATCACGGTGTATCAACGCTATGAAGCATACTACTACAGCGACTACGACAACGACTAATATTATATGCATTATATATATCGCGGTGTATCAATGCCATAAAGCATACTACAACAGCGACTACGACTACGACTAATACTATATGCATTATATATATCTCGGTGTATCAACGCTATAAAGCATACTACAACAGCGACTACGACTACGACTAATACTATATGCATTATATATATCTCGGTGTATCAACGCTATGAAGCATACTACTACAGCGACTACGACTACGACTCATACTATATGCATTATATATATCACGGTGTATCAACGCTATGAAGCATACTACTACAGCGACTACGACAACGACTAATATTATATGCATTATATATATCGCGGTGTATCAATGCCATAAAGCATACTACAACAGCGACTACGACTACGACTAATACTATATGCATTATATATATCTCGGTGTATCAACGCTATAAAGCATACTACTACAGCGACTACGACTACGACTAATACTATATGCATTATATATATCTCGGTGTATCAACGCTATGAAGCATACTACTACAGCGACTACGACTACGACTCATACTATATGCATTATATATATCACGGTGTATCAACGCTATGAAGCATACTACTACAGCGACTTTGACAACGACTAATATTATATGCATTATATATATCGCGGTGTATCAATGCCATAAAGCATACTACAACAGCGACTACGACTACGACTAATACTATATGCATAATATATATCGCGGTGTATCAATGCCATAAAGCATACTACAACAGCGACTACGACTACGACTAATACTATATGCATTATATATATCTCGGTGTATCAACGCTATAAAGCATACTACAACAGCGACTACGACTACGACTAATACTATATGCATTATATATATCTCGGTGTATCAACGCTATAAAGCATACTACAACAGCGACTACGACTACGACTAATACTATATGCATTATATATATCTCGGTGTATCAACGCTATGAAGCATACTACTACAGCGACTACGACTACGACTCATACTATATGCATTATATATATCTCGGTGTATCAACGCTATAAAGCATACTACAACAGCGACTACGACTACGACTAATACTATATGCATTATATATATCTCGGTGTATCAACGCTATGAAGCATACTACTACAGCGACTACGACTACGACTCATACTATATGCATTATATATATCACGGTGTATCAACGCTATAAAGCATACTACTACAGCGACTACGACTACGACTAATATTATATGCATTATATATATCACGGTGTAACAACGCTATAAAGCATACTACTACAGCGGCTACGACTACGACTCATATTGTATGCATTATAAATATATATATATCACGGTGTATCAATGCCATAAAGCATACTACTACAGCGACTACGACTACGACTAATATTATATGCATAATATATATCGCGGTGTATCAATGCCATAAAGCATACTACAACAGCGACTACGACTACGACTTATACTATATGCATTATATATATCTCGGTGTATCAACGCTATAAAGCATACTACAACAGCGACTACGACTACGACTAATACTATATGCATTATATATATCTCGGTGTATCAACGCTATGAAGCATACTACTACAGCGACTACGACTACGACTCATACTATATGCATTATATATATCACGGTGTATCAACGCTATGAAGCATACTACTACAGCGACTACGACTACGACTAATATTATATGCATTATATATATCGCGGTGTATCAATGCCATAAAGCATACTACAACAGCGACTACGACTACGACTAATACTATATGCATTAAATATATCTCGGTGTATCAACGCTATAAAGCATACTACAACAGCGACTACGACTACGACTAATATTATATGCATTATATATATCTCGGTGTATCAACGCTATAAAGCATACTACTACAGCGACTACGACTACGACTAATACTATATGCATTATAAATATATATATCGCGGTGTATCAACGCTATAAAGCATGCCCATGACAATGCAGTTATTTCCCAGATCAATGGAAGAGTGTGCACTCAAATTGTATTCTCAATTCCCTACAGAAATACACCGAAACTGACTTTTTGATGCTGGAAGGTCTTGTATTAAGATCACCTCATCCAACCGTGTACCGTTCGTTGTTTGGTGGACAAAAGCTTATTTCGAGCAAACGTTATTTTTCTACCGAGACACCATCCGCGACACGTGGTATGAGAATCGTCTGTGTATCTCACCTTTACACTGGGCGATGCCCGGACTTCCCAGTAGCTCTGTGGTCTGGAAGCCAGGACAAGCCACACAGGAAGACATGCCCGGAACGTCTTGGTAGAATCCGTGACGACAACGCTTGCAATTGTCACTGTCGTAGCTCTTTCCCGGTGGACACTTAACTGGAAATACACAAACACGTATTCACAGATCACTTGTACAGAGACAGCCTACACTGTTCCATAATTCCGACTCAACTTGTAAATGGTCATGCAAATTCACAGCTTACATGCGCTTGCAACTCACGTCACAAAAAAGTCGTTATTATTGTTCGTAAATGTATTGATGAGTTAAACCTATATTTTCGTGGTGATTAATGGACCTACAATTGGACTGTGTCGTCGACGGAAAAAGAAATAGTTTTCTCCACTTTAGGATCAACTAAGGAGATCATACTTTCCACCTCGGTGACAGAGTCGTAACGTCAACTAAGGAGATCATACTTTCAACCCTAGTGACAGAGTCGTGACATCAACTAAGGAGATCATACTTTCAACCCTGGTGACAGAGTCGTAACGTCAACTAAAGAGACCCTACTTTCAACCCTGGTGACAGAGTCGTAACGTCAACTAAGGAGATCATACTTTCCACCCTGGTGACAGAGTCGTAACATCAACTAAGGAGATCATACTTTCCACCCTGGTGACAGAGTCGTAACGTCAACTAAGGAGATCATACTTTCAACCCTGGTGACAGAGTCGTAACGTCAATTAAGGAGATCATACTTTCAACCCTGGTGACAGAGTCGTAACATCAATTAAGGAGATCATACTTTCAACCCTTGTGCCAGAGTCGTAACGTCAACTAAGGAGATCATACTTTCAACCCTGGTGACAGAGTCGTAACGTCAATTAAGGAGATCATACTTTCAACCCTGGTGACAGAGTCGTAACATCAATTAAGGAGATCATAGTTTCAACCCTGGTGACCGAGGCGTAACGTCAATTAAGGAGATCCTACTTTCAAACCTGGTGACAGAGTCGTAACGTTAATTAAGAACCCTACTTTCAACCCTGGTGACAGAGTCGTAACATCAATTAAGGAGATCATAGTTTCAACCCTGGTGACCGAGGCGTAACGTCAATTAAGGAGATCCTACTTTCAACCCTGGTGACAGAGTCGTAACGTCAACTAAGAACCCTACTTTCAACCCTGGTGACAGAGTCGTAACGTCAACTAAGGAGATCATACTTTCAATCCTGGTGACAGAGTCGTAACATCAACTAAGGAGATCATACTTTCAACCCTGGTGACAGAGTCGTAACATCAATTAAGGAGATCATACTTTCAACCCTGGTGACAGAGTCGTAACGTCAACTAAAGAGATCATACTTTCAATCCTGGTGACAGAGTCGTAACATCAATTAAGGAGATCATACTTTCAACCCTGGTGACAGTCGTAACGTCAATTAAGGAGATCATACTTTCAACCCTGGTGACAGAGTCGTAACATCAATTAAGGAGATCATACTTTCAACCCTGGTGACAGAGTCGTAACGTCAATTAAGGAGATCATACTTTCAACCCTGGTGACAGAGTCGTAACATCAATTAAGGAGATCATAGTTTCAACCCTGGTGACCGAGGCGTAACGTCAATTAAGGAGATCATACTTTCAACCCTGGTGACAGAGTCGTAACGTCAACTAAGAACCCTACTTTCAACCCTGGTGACAGAGTCGTAACGTCAACTAAGGAGATCATACTTTCCACCCTGGTGACAGAGTCGTAACATCAACTAAGGAGATCATACTTTCCACCCTGGTGACAGAGTCGTAACGTCAACTAAGGAGATCATACTTTCAACCCTGGTGACAGAGTCGTAACGTCAATTAAGGAGATCATACTTTCAACCCTGGTGACAGAGTCGTAACATCAATTAAGGAGATCATACTTTCAACCCTTGTGCCAGAGTCGTAACGTCAACTAAGGAGATCATACTTTCAACCCTGGTGACAGAGTCGTAACGTCAATTAAGGAGATCATACTTTCAACCCTGGTGACAGAGTCGTAACATCAATTAAGGAGATCATAGTTTCAACCCTGGTGACCGAGGCGTAACGTCAATTAAGGAGATCCTACTTTCAAACCTGGTGACAGAGTCGTAACGTTAATTAAGAACCCTACTTTCAACCCTGGTGACAGAGTCGTAACATCAATTAAGGAGATCATAGTTTCAACCCTGGTGACCGAGGCGTAACGTCAATTAAGGAGATCCTACTTTCAACCCTGGTGACAGAGTCGTAACGTCAACTAAGAACCCTACTTTCAACCCTGGTGACAGAGTCGTAACGTCAACTAAGGAGATCATACTTTCAATCCTGGTGACAGAGTCGTAACATCAACTAAGGAGATCATACTTTCAACCCTGGTGACAGAGTCGTAACATCAATTAAGGAGATCATACTTTCAACCCTGGTGACAGAGTCGTAACGTCAACTAAAGAGATCATACTTTCAATCCTGGTGACAGAGTCGTAACATCAATTAAGGAGATCATACTTTCAACCCTGGTGACAGTCGTAACGTCAATTAAGGAGATCATACTTTCAACCCTGGTGACAGAGTCGTAACATCAATTAAGGAGATCATACTTTCAACCCTGGTGACAGAGTCGTAACGTCAATTAAGGAGATCATACTTTCAACCCTGATGACAGAGTCGTAACGTCAACTAAGGAGATCATACTTTCAACCCTGGTGACAGAGTCGTAACGTCAACTAAGAACCCTACTTTCAACCCTGGTGACAGAGTCGTAACATCAATTAAGGAGATCATACTTTCAACCCTGGTGACAGAGTCGTAACGTCAACTAAGGAGACCCTACTTTCAACCCTGGTGACAGAGTCGTAACGTCAACTAAGGAGATCATACTTTCAACCCTAGTGACAGAGTCGTAACGTCAACTAAGGAGATCATACTTTCAACCCTGGTGACAGAGTCGTAACGTCAACTAAGAACCCTACTTTCAACCCTGGTGACAGAGTCGTAACATCGATTTAGGAGATCATACTTTAAACCCTGGTGACAGAGTCGTAACGTCAACTAAGGATATCATACTTTCAACCCTGGTGACAGAGTCGTAACGTCAACTAAGGAGATCATACTTTCAACCCTGGTGACAGAGTCGTAACGTCAACTAAGGAGATCATACTTTCAACCCTGGTGACAGAGTCGTAACATCAATTAAGGAGATCATACTTTCAACCCTGGTGACAGAGTCGTAACGTCAACTAAGGAGATCATACTTTCAACCCTAGTGACAGAGTCGTGACATCAACTAAGGAGATCATACTTTCAACCCTGGTGACAGAGTCGTAACGTCAACTAAAGAGACCCTACTTTCAACCCTGGTGACAGAGTCGTAACGTCAACTAAGGAGATCATACTTTCAACCCTGGTGACAGAGTCGTAACATCAATTAAGGAGATCATACTTTCAACCCTGGTGACAGAGTCGTAACGTCAACTAAGGAGATCATACTTTCAACCCTGGTGACAGAGTCGTAACGTCAACTTAGGAGATCATACTTTCAACCCTGGTGACAGAGTCGTAACATCAATTAAGGAGATCATACTTTCAACCCTGGTGTCAGAGTCGTAACGTCAACTAAAGAGACCCTACTTTCAACCCTGGTGACAGAGTCGTAACGTCAACTAAGGAGATCATACTTTCAACCCTGGTGACAGAGTCGTAACGTCAACTAAAGAGACCCTACTTTCAACCCTGGTGACAGAGTCGTAACGTCAACTAAGGAGATCATACTTTCAACCTGGTGACAGCCGTAACGTCAAATAAAGAGATCATTATCATTGTATTACGCCGAATCAAGCAATGCCAATGTGATTCTTTTTCACTTTCCAAACTATGGTAGCGGTTGGGTCAAGAGTATTTATCATAAATGAATTTGTATATAATACACTTGATACTCGATAATGTCATGTCATCATTTACATGTAACAAGCTTTGACAACATTATTCCATCTTATTTAACATTATTGCACCTGGGTTAGTGAGTCACCTGTAATGTATTGTCTTACTGTCTCTGTATAACAACCAAGATGTACACAATAAAATGATCACTTACTACAAAAAACGCCTCCTTGAACTGCACCACGAGGACACGTCATGGTCTGAATGGCCGATAAGAGTTTTGGTTGCTGTGGTTGACTCTGATTGGCAAGTGTAATTTGGAAGTCAGTGTAACTCTTGTCCCTCACCTCCCAGTTGGTGTCGTCAAGGAGCTTCCAGGTCTTCATGATGGCACCAAACTGACCAGGAACTGCACGCGAGTACATTTGGAAAAAAGCAAAAATTAATGTTGGTGACTACAAAAACGTATCTTCATCAGCGGATGAGGGACTATGTTCAATTTTAATTCTTTCCTTACTAGATTCCAACGTTCATTGTTTCGTCGCTAGGTTTCACTCTCTAAATTATGAAGTTTGTTCATCTTATTTGTCGACAATTTGTCTTGAAATCATTGCGTTTCGGGGCTCAACAAAAAGAAAACATCCATGATCTAACAGATGCATGTTTTGTCATCCGATCCCTTTCCACACTACTCTGCACGGCTAACTGCGGTCCCTAATGATTAGACCAATGGGTTGGGCAGCTCATATTAATCTGGGTTCATGTAATCTAAACACAACTCGTGACACAGATTTGTGATGTGTGAACCAATTCCTGAAAGAGTTTCTATGACCACCTACATAATGACCTTGATCTGCGCACACAAGGGCTGATACTGGAAGCTCGGTGGATATCCGCCCATACAGCGAAAACGTGGAGACATCATTAGAACTGTTGAATGATTCGTGAGAACAAATTTGGAAATAGGAATTGTATGTTCCATCTTGTGGGTGAATTTTTTGTGTGTCGTATACAGTTCTATTACGGCGTGTCAGCTTGATGCGAGAGGAAAGTCCCAAGTGATGCAGGTCTTGCCACTTTGGAGAAATACAAGTGCAGGTGTATTATGCTGACAAAGCTAGAAACATTATCAGTGCGAATCTTTGATTCGAAGGTTTCTTGCATTCAAAGTATCTCTGTCCAGAGGATTGCGGCGCCCAAGATGACTGGGCCACTGATGGTGGAATGATGATGTTTGCCCTCTTCGGAATTACCTGGGTACTGCAGTTTCTGGTTTGTACTTTTCAACTGACATGAGAGGGATGCATAGAGGATTTAACAGATATTGAGTCACGGCAAAATGCAGCGCCTTTCAAAGACTTAGCCTTCCGTGTCCGTGTTTTTTGGGACGAAGATACCAATTTGAAGTCAGCAATTAACCCAAGGAATATATTGCATTGAGTATTACGAATGTTGTCCATAGTTTGAAAGACCTATAATATCATGGGATGATTAAATCAAATCACGATTTAGGAATCTCGGTTATCTCACCTTCAAACGCCATTGACGGTTGATCATATGGATACACCATGAGGGTCTCGTTAGTAATAGACATTTCTAACTCCCGGTGATCTACCGTTGTGGCCTCATCGCTAAAGTAGGTGAAAACATTCCAGGTTGCGAACAGGGGTGAAAGGTAGGCCATCACTGTAAATTTTGACAGGTAGTATGTACATGTACATAAAACAACACTGTCAACCTATTTTCTGCAGAAAGTGCCTGAGAAAACAGCAAAAGTAACAGCAGTGTGTGCATGTGATTCACTATAACAGCAGCACACAATGTCTGTACAAAGAAAACAATGCAATAACCCCTTAGGAAATAGTCACAAAACAAACGTAAATGAAGAAGATTATTAATTGAGTAATTCGGAAGATGCTGAAATCAAACCTTTACTGTTTCCAAAAACAAAATGGGATGAATTGAAAACGTGACAAAAATATACAATATTAGAAGACATCAAATCACTAAAGATCACTCCCATTTCTATAATAGCGATATGAGGAATTGTGTTAAAACTAATACAATCAATATGCCAGAACCAAAACAAACATTACTCTCAAGTGTCAACTGAAACGTTGACATTCTATTGTCCTATAGAAAAGTAAAATTATCGCTATTGGAATATAAGATCAAACATAATCTAGAAAACATAACTAAAATATACTTTTCATACTAAAATAAACGAGTTAACAAGAACTTGACTTAAAACTAGTAACGAACCTTGTTTGTTCTTTTGCAGTTTAAAGACATCAATGGTGTTTTGCTGAATGGCCATCTGAACTAGCAGAGAACCATAGTAAACACCGTCATACTTCCCACAGATTCGTACGTGGTCATTGCACATGGAGGTGCCCACAGCAATGGAGCAGGTACGAGATTGAGTACAACTGAAATTTCTACCCACTCTGTTAAGGGACGGACTGATGACTTGGTGGCTGTCAATAGAGTCCCCAAATACCACAGTATAGTTGATTCCAACTGTCAGGGGGGTCACTGGTTCTGAATTAGCAAAAGGACAACTCAGGAATAAGAAACTGGTCAGAGAAAGTGTAAATCAGTGAGTGAAAGTAATATATATTCTGAGGCCTGTAAATAATCGAGTTTGGGACACACAAACCTGTGATATTACCGACCCTGATCACACCCCAAACTACAAACAAAAGAGTACTGGGTATGTATTTTAACCCTGGTCACAAACGGAGGCACTAAACACTGGTGAAAGTTTTGCATGTAGAATGCAACCCACCTGTACAAGACACGGTGCGTTTTGTAGGCATCCATGTGCCCTTCTTGCAGGTATAAACAAATGGCTCCTCTGGAAAAACTAATCCACGTTCACATTCCACGCTGCAGATAATCGATCCGTCATTTTTATGACAAGTCTTTATGATACCCTTTCCGAGGACAAGGTCCTTTAGTGCACATTCTGTAAAATTAAAAAAAAGAAGTGCTCCTTTTATGTCAAACTATTTCAAACAAAGACTAGTAGTGTGTAGATTGAGAAGAAATTGATTTATAACCGTCAAATATGTACGGTCTGTAAAATATGAAGCAACATATAGATTCTAGTTATATTAGATTTAACTCCTCTATATATATCACATATTACCACATATATTTGAACCATCTGTACTATTCGTGGTTGAAAATTGTAAGGTTGTAAATTTCAATATTAATTTTTGTAAATGTGTATAAATTTAAATTTTGCCAATTGCGCCAAATGGCATCTGTTTCGGCGGATAATCAAGACTGAATATTAGCTTTCATTGACGTTTTATATTTACAAGCATTTACAAGAAACTAAAAGTGAACACTTCTTCCAGTGATACCTGGACACATTTGCTTTTGACAGAAAGTCGTTTCTATTGAGTTGCCATCACAGGGCTTTCCGTCTGTGTCAGGGAAAGGATTGTCACAGTAACGATGCCTTGCCCTTGTGCCGTTGCCACAGCTTACTGAACATGCACCCCAGTCCATCCATTCACCCCAGCCACCGTCAGCTGCAATAAAATAAATGCTAAACGCTAAATTCTATCCGAAGTGAGGAAACCTAGGCGCCTATAATTCCTTGCTTTTCACATATTTCTCACTGAAAACCTACGTGTCCCTGTACTTCACCTGAATGCCCTAGAATATTAAATTGGAATTTTTTTCATTGGTAGTCTAGTGGTTGTCCTCTCTCTCTCTCTCTCTCTCTCTCTCTCTCTCTCTCTCTCTCTCTCTCTCTCTCTCTCTCTCTCTCTCTCTCTCTCCTGAGCATGAAATCCCATTACTATATTTGCCTTTATGTATGTCAGTGGCATACCTATCTTGCCTTTGCATAGATCTCCTCTGTATCCAGGCTGACATTCACACCGATATCCATATGATGTCACTAGGCATGTGGCATTGTTACTACATATGTTATCTTTACACAAATCAGGAGGCACGTCACATTTGTCACCAGAGTAACCTCCTCTGCATACGCATGTGAAGTTACTTCCAGTAGGGATACACACGTTATCTCCACAGGGTTGGTTGAGGCAGACATCAGGCTCTGACAATGAATAAAAAGTTCACGGTTATAGTTCAACCAATCACGACGTAGATCGTGATCTAGTGAGGTAGCGAGAGCGAACCAGGCGTCAGTGCGTTAACGAACATTGCAGGAAGCAGACACGGGTGATTATGCTCTGACAATTCAGTGACTTAAATCTAAGCCCTTTGGCTCAGAGTGTGTACAACTACACTTTGAGCTGGAATACCTACTCTCGGCGTGTACAACTACCGTTTGAGTGGTCATCAACAGTTTCTATAGCTACGGTCATGTCCCACACTGAAACACGTAACATGTGGTGTCTCCTGAGGCAAGTGATATGACGCTGTTTGCCCGACAGTGAATGGGTACCCGGTAGGATGATTAATTTTTTATTTACAGATTAAAATAAACAATGCAACAAAGATGGTTTGGGTGATCCTGGCACAATCAGGCTGGTGATGCTCATCATCAGCTCAGGACCCTCCCAACCCCAACCCCAACCCCCACCCCCCACCCCCCACCCCCTCTCTACACGCAGACCAGGCAGCGAATGGGACTTCTCCCAGAAAGCGCTGCCAAGTCGAGTCAATCCAGAACTTTTCGGAAAATGTGAAGACTCCTCAACACTGCATCTTTCTGCATTACCCAGATTGTCAGAAGGGCTGTATTCCTGGCGGAAAATCAATGTCCTGTTCCAATGTCAGTCAACAGATTGGGAGGTACCAAACCTAAGGCCCCAAGAACAATTGGGACTCGGACAACTTCGTACTTGTGAATCGTGACATTTCGAAAGCGAGGTCCGCATATTTGCCATGTTTTTCCTGAATCGTGTCAATCACATTAGTGTCAAAAGGGACAGACAAGTCAATGATATAAATGATTTTATTGGATTTATTAAAAAGGACAAGTTCGGGTTTGTTGCCTGGATAGGTCTGAGGCTGTAAACGGGCCTATTCCAAAGGATTTTGTATTTATCATTTTCCATGACGCCCTCTACATTCATTTCATATTTATATTTTGACGCAACATCACGCTTGACGGTTTCGAGTGGAATGTGACTGGTCCTGAGCAGCATACAGAAAGCCTTCTGTTTCACTTTTAAGGCTAGCCGACTTCATCCACTGTAAGACTCTGCATGGTTGCTGATCTTCTCAACGCACTGCACATAAACTCAGTGGTCGTTCCGATAACCTCTTCTTGAAAACCTGAATCTGGACTGATTTGATATGTCACTTCGCTCGGATGGCACTTATAACTGTTCCGTCCAGCAGTGCAGAACCATCAACACAGTCAACATGACATTGAGATCATGTCCCACATTCTTGGCTCGTTTAAGAAAACTGCAGAATGCCTTGTTTTCATTTTGAGTCACTTGCTTGATAACTGTGTTAGAACCTACACCGAAACGTCGCTCTTAATTGTAATAAAGAAGTTGTTCATCCATAAATCTTACTCTTACTTAGTACTCCAAATTCTAAAGGCCTATCAATGAAGAAACATAGTGGAAATAAGACCAAATATTTTTTAACACAAGTTGTTGCATGAGCGAAAACGCATGCAAACCACTATCAGTCAGGACACAAATGCAACAATTTCATGCTACTGGTCGGTAGTAGCGACATCATTAGGAACTAAAACCCTATTCTGGGGTCAACATGAACAAACTGTTTAAACATATTTAACATCTACACTGACTTGTGATCCCACTCAAGACACTAATGTCACTCATTAAAGCGTCAGTAAGTCTGGAGTTACAAGATATTTCATATGTGTACCTACTCATGCATGTGCTGGGTACAACCTCCAGCACCTTGTCTAAAGCTTCCATGTCTTTCCGCTCCAGGGAGAAGAGTGAGTCCGCGTTGTATGAACTGCATGAGGTAGACATGTTCCCCACCACATCCGACTTAGCCGACGGCAAGAAGTTAAGGTCTCGCAGATACATGTCTGAAAGATCACTGCCATTGGTAGTCATATGATATTTCTTAATCAAATGTGATATCTCAGATTTGTCACCACTATCCATCTTAAAGTTATGTTCTTGTTGAGAACTGTTTAGGAAGTATATATATATATATGTGGAATTTATTATAGAATCCCACTACTTTTCGTTAAAAATATTCCCCACAAGCAAATACGAAAACACCACTTTTTAGTTCATAACATAAGTTTACCAATCCAACTTGCAACTCTCAAATAATACAACAACACAAAGGTGTTAATAATTGTGCATTTACATCCCGAAGTGTCCAATTGGTTCGACAAATGGCAAATAAGAATTTACTTCCATATTGCTTCCTTTTATCGAGGTTATAAATTTAAAAACGTTAAAAAACTAAAAAAAATATTTAAGTCAATTCTTATAAATACATATATCAGCCGTATTAACTTCACAGACTGCATATTTAATCATTAACACACAATATACTGTAGATGACAATACGAAATGAGTTCAGCACATTTATGCCACCCATCCACTCTGCTCTCAGCCAGTGAGGATGGGAGTTCCCTAAACAAATTTGGTTTACGCGAAATTACACGCAAAAAACTGCTTGGTTGCAATTTAATTAGGTTTTTTTAATCAGTGGTGTACATTGGTCTCTGGTGATCCTTTCAACGCTACTATCAGCAGTTAAAAGAAATTCAATCAAGTATTAACAAACTAAAATGTAATTAAGCGTCTGGTTTTAGGCTCTGTTATTCATAAAATATTTACACCTTCAGATCATGTCATTATACTCATCTTTTAATGTTGTATAATTCCTTGAAAATGTCTTGATCGAATGCTATTATTTTACTATTACACGAACATGTAGAGGATTACCGGATCATATCCTCACCCAGTGTCTTAAGTAAAATACATTTTAACATTCTCAACAACAGATAAACACTTTGGTCAGATACTCTGGGGAAAAACTATGGGAGAAGGGGCTGTATTGATAGTCTGATATTCTACTATTCACAATGTTTTTACAACACAAGCTACAATTACAAATATTTTTTCAAGAGGGGTCAGGATATTTATGTATATTTTGTTGATTTTTGAAAGTATCAGAATCAAATTTTGAAAATGTTAAATTATGTGTTTGCACTGATGATGATGTCACAAGAGGATTTCAAAAGTGAAACGAAGAGTTTTACCCAGAAGTCGTTTGTGAACATAACTATATCAGTGAAATATACTCAACAACAAAAGTTCCTGTGACACCAATATTTCAGTGTTTTTTTCAAGTAAAGTTTGTTTTTCAACACTGTAGTACATGTATGGAATCAAGTAACAATTCCATATGCATTATTTAGCATCGTGCTGACAACAACCACTCAGAAAAACAACAAAATTGCGCAATTATTCAACATTACGAAATGCCACGCCTGTCCGAAAATGAGCGTCTGCAAGCCATTGGTATGCTTGAAGCAGGATCGAGTCAACGTGATGTTGCAAGACAATTTAACGTCCACAGAAACGCGTAACCAATAATCGACAAGACAACTGGATTCGAACAACACACCTACGAAATCGGTTCCAGCCAGCAACAGTGACTGCAAGAAACATCCCAGGCCTTCGACGAATATCTTCACAAACCGTACGTCGTCGCCTCAGATGTGCAAGGATTGTCACCAGAAGACCCGCCAGACATCCCGTTTTAACAGGAAACCACCGTCAAGCACGTCTACAGTGGTGCAGACGGCCATGCAGTGGGGACAAGTTCTATTCACTGACGAGTCTCGCAGCGATGGACGGGTTCGAGTGTACCGACGTCAAGGTGAACGTAACGTCAATCATTGTGTCATGGAAGAAGATCGGTTCGGGGGCGGCATCGTTATGGTATGGGCTGGGACCCGTTTGATAGTGGTAGAGGGAAATCTCAATGGACAGCGCTACCGCGACGAGATCATCGGCCCTGTTGTTCTACCGTTTTTGTGTCGTCATGGCCCAGGCATTACTTTTCAACATGTCAACGCCCGACCTGATATTGCTCGACTTGTTCATGATTCTCTTCAACAAAACAACGTGAATGTCATCCCCTGGCCGGCTCGCTCCCCTGATATCTCACCAATCGAGCACATGTGGGATGAGATGGATCGGCGCCTTCGACGTCAACCACGTGTTCCACAGACACTCCAGGAACTTCGAAACATGCTCCAGCAGATATGGACAGATATCCCAAAGGACTTTTTGCGACGCCTGGTCCATTCCATGAGACGAAGATGTGTTGCTTGCATCGCAACCAGAGGTGGACACACACGCTATGGATTTGTAAATTGACATTTTGGCATGTTCATGTTTTTTTATGAAATCACGCATTTTCCGAAGTCAGTATGGCAAATTAAACCAATTGAACACTTACAGAGTCTTTTATCTGTTGCAAACAGAAATTGTTTCAGATTTGGTTAAAAACATAACTTTGCATTAAATCTTATTTAATGTCACAGGAACTTTTGTTGTTCAGTATAGTTGAATGTACAGTTTCGGTTTACAACAGAAAAGGAAATACCATCATGATAGCTCAAATAACTTTAGGTAGCAATAAGTAACCGATTTAACGTAAGTGCATGAATGTTCAGAGCATTGTCACTGTTGAATGTCTTGAAAGAGGCCTGTCACTGTGCTTGAATCCATTATAGTAGCTGGCAGGAATTGGGTGTTTCCAGATACGTATCCAAGCCTCAAATCGCACAAGTCGCTCTTATCACCAGTCTTCAAGAAATTCTCCCATCCAGCTTTTCGAATGATCCCATCTGCCATATTCATGTATACAACAAGGGACAAACAACTCTAATACCTGGGACAAAACCCAATTCTGGTTACCTTTAGTCACAGATGCCAATTATGTTTCAAATCTGGCCACGACAGCACTTGATACTATTTTACCAGCAGTTCAACATTTGCTGCCACTGACAATAACTCAATGACATACACATTTACAACATGATGCTTTCCTCCTTTAACAGGGGACAACTTCACACTCAATTAAAAGAACACAAAATACATGCATTATCAGCAAAACTTCATTTGTGTACTGATCTAATCAAATGATTTTAGAAATAGCATCCACAATGACATTGTTGAATGTATTCAAACTGGGAATTGTGCTTCTACGTTTTCATTGATCGATTGTAGTTGACACAACATTTGTCCAAGCAAATATCTTTTTTGCAAGATTTTGCAGTCGATGTTGCCAGTAATAAGCTGTTGGCCTACCCTGGGAGACTAGCCATTAGTGATTGTGTGGTTTGACTCGAGATGTGTTCATCCTCTCAGTTCAAGTAAATTCTGCCACGTTGCCTTCGGAAAAGTAGTTTTGTTTCCTACTCAGTCTGTCAGTTGTTCTGAAAAAATCAGATTCCACCATGATTTTAATTAAAATCATTGTTGTTTCAATTGTTGTGTTACAGCACGGACTTGAAATAATAAATAAGTTTTATTTACACACACATAAAAAAGACAATACAACTGATCATACAACAGACCCTAGAAATAATGTAAGCACATGAATGTTCAGAACATTGTCTCTGCTGAATGTATTGAAAGTGACCTGAATTCAGACTCAAGCATTAGAAGCTGGCAGGAGTTCGGGGTTTCCAGATAGGTATCCAAAGCACACTTGGCAATCATATTGAAACGGCTTCGAGGAGGGCCTCTAATATACCCGGGAAATTAATCATGGAGAAGGAATTGCGTAATCGTTAAATCGTTTTAAATCAATTGAGCAAATCGTTTCACTGTCACAAGCCAGTGACATAAGCAGGGTTTGTGACCTTTGAAAAATGGACAAACTTGCAGAACGTGCAGTGATCAAGTACAGGCAGAAGAGAGGGCCTAACACCAAAAACCATCCATGAAGATATCTGTACAACACTAGGGAATTATGTCCCTTTCTATCCCACCACAAGGTGGTGGGCAGCTCAGTTAAAGCCTGGCAGGGAGAGTCTTGAAGAGTCTTGAAGGGCCTGTGACGTCAGCAAAACCAGAAATGACCCAGACAATCCACAATATGGTGATGGCCGACCTGCGAATGATTTAGCGTCATTATGCTCTTTCGGTGTCTCCGAAGAGAGTACATTCCATTATCACAGAAACTTTGGCAATGAAGAAAGTATGTATCAGCATGTTAGGTTTCAAAGCTTCTGGCATCGTTTCAAAAATGCACCAGGCACAACATATCACATGATTGAGCCGGTCCAGAAAGGATTTTCTTGTGGTTTGTAACTATTGATGTAATCTGGGTTCACCACTTCAGAACAGTGGATTTGCCATCACCGCTACTATAGACAAAGACTTACCATCAGCTGGAAAGGTTATGGCCTCTATCTTCTTGGTTGCCAAGGGAGTTGTCACGGTTGACTATCGTCCATAAGGCCATACAATAAACGTGGCATATTATGTTGCGCTTTGGACTAAGAGGCGTGGGAAGCTGCGAAAAGGTGTGCTCTTCTATCTGCACAATGCTCCAGTGCACAAATCAGTCATTGCCATGGCTACAATCCACGAGTGTGACATTGAACTCCTTCAGCACCCTCCTGATCTGGCTCTGTCGTACTTCCATCAGTTCCGAGCTGGAACCATTTTGCATTCAGGAAGTGTATCCAAGTTGTTTGGTGGGGTGATGGTTTGGAGCACTTGTTATCATCCGAGACAACATCAGCACCTAGATCTTCAGGGATGACGATCTTCAACCCGTGGTGTTACCATTTCTTCGCTAACAACATTAGGGTGTAACTGCAATGGTTGTCCAGGATTTCTTGGCTTTGCACAACGTCACAGTTATTCCATGGTCAGATTTAAACCCAACTGAACAGTTGTGGGATCATCTGGGTCGCCAGATCAGGAGGTGTCCTCATCCACCACAGAACCGTCAACAGCTGGAACCCTTATTGAGGTATGAGTGCCAATGGATTTCCAATGACGTAATCAGGCTATTAACAACTTGAATGATACGGCGAATTTGGTGCTCGTGATGGTCACATTTGCGACAGAGAATGTCGGGTATCCGAAAACCAATTCAATCTGATCATGACAATACCTGCCTCACTCTGTTTATTACTTTGTAGTGTGAAATTGTGACCCGTTATTTGTGAGATACTCATTGATATGATGAATGTGACATCTCCTATGACCAAATACCATCGAAAAACGATGTCTTGCTTGCCTCGTTATAGCTACCATCAAACAGGGATGTATACTTTTTTTCCCCCGGCAATATGATGTATCTGATGCTCCAGAAAGCAAAGGAATGTATCACGACTCGTGATCGTTGTTTTATCATATTTCACGCCCATCATGGTTTATTCTCCCAGCAGTGTTTTATTGTACGATAAACAACTCGTCGTTTATTTCTTAAGTAAAGTAAGCTTCATTGAAAGACTAGCATTTGTACATGTTGTACTCCTAAGAGTGTAGAATCCGAATTTCACTTAATGCTCATATGTAACACTTATTGTGGGGAAATTTAAGTACTATCCATCCATATGTATTCTATATACGTTCTAAATGAAATGACAAACAATTCCAAAATATTGGTCTGAATGTTCACCATGATCTGATAAGATGAACGCATACTCACACCTTGTGAAACATGTGAAACATTCACTTTGGGCCTGTCGTCTATCAGTTCTGTGAAAAAACTTATTCTATACACAAAAGTGGCATTAACATTCACTGTACATAAAAAATATAAATGACAAAACCTAATTATAAGAAAGACGAGGAGCAGACAAACGTTCTACTTGCACAAGTCAGGACATCCACCATTCTGATTTCACAGCATTACGCCATTTGTGAGGACTAATGTTATGGAAAATGTATTTAATTCTGTATCGGGTTGAAATTCTTTGCGTCAGGTATTTACTTGTACAACATGGTCTTGTATGGTTACATCAGGTGTAGAGTATAACCTTACAATGGGCCATATAGCTCCGTAATTGCTCTGTATTTGCTACCCAAGCCTGGTCTGTTTTCGACATGCTAACTTACACGCATGGCCCCGTATGGTTATCTCCATCACAGATGGGGTTGATGAGGGACAGTCTTGGGCTTCTTCAAATACCTCTTCTGCAATGGCTGCACCTCCGACATACACTGTGAGCTTCGGGTGAGACCATGCAACTGCTACATGAACCCATTTGTTTTCCATAACGTTCTCAACATGCAGTTCATCCCTATGAAGAAAAGAAAAAACAAGTTACCCTTTGGAACTTGCCTTGTCACTAAATATGTATTATATGCTGTTTGTATGGGCTACTTAAAATGAAAGTCTTGAAGAATGCAAACATTCTCTCGGTTTTCGATTTCAAAAAGAAAGGTCCATGGTATAAAAAGAATAATTATTGTTTACTTCTACAGACACATCTTAAAGATGCATCTTTAACTGAGCTGTTATAGAATCTTAAATTGAGAAGTTTGATATCCCTTTATGCAAAGTGTCAGATGACGCTCATCCAGCCAAGTCACTGAACATGACTTCATGAATCTTTGTCGATTTCTGCAACAAGCAGTGGTTTCTGGGGACCAAGTTTACCATTGAATGCATTCGTTTCTTGTTGACAATACGTATTTCCACATCGAAACAATTAAAGCATATACAGGTTTTATTACCACTGGTAAAACTAACTGCATTGGTTGAGATTTGTGACATTAATATGTACGACAGAAATAGCGCTTTAATATTTCTTTTTGTGGTGATCCCCTTTTTCATAATTTTAAGATGTTCTCAAATGTTTACGTAGTTTCGATTTCAAAAATTGTTTTTGTACTTCTTTTTTTTGATAACTATTGGATCATAAATAAAATCTAACACTCGTGACTTTTGATGTCAAATATTTTAAACACACAAATGTCCAGTTAAAATAAACCAGTTCCTCTGAAACAAAAAACTATTACACACATAGTCCAATAGATGCAATATTTAAGATGCAACATTTCAGGTTTCGGATTTCTGATCGTTCGTGGGGAGATAATGAGTACGACTACGACTGAAACCTGACCTGATGTTGAACCAAAGTGACAATAACCAAAAGATGATTTATCAGCTTTCTGTTTTATGATGTTAGTGTTAAATCAGTTGCCTTTAGCACTTTTGGCTCAAAGCACTCTAAGTACTCAAGAATCATACATTAACGAGATGATTTAATTAAATTGACTGACCATCTGACCATTGTTAGATATGATCACATTATCACACATTCAAAAAGAAGTTAAAAAGCTTCCCCTTAAAGACATTGCCATGAAGAGTAAAAGAGAATGTTGTCACAGAAAATAGTTGTATGTATGAAGTATCCATTATTACCTCTCTCTCAGTATCACCCGAATGTCTGAAGAGACAGATATATCTATGGCCGTTCCAACAGTAGGACTGTACACCTGGAACTTGATGCCACCGTAATCTGCGTCTACGAGCTTGATCCAGAGGGCGAATGTAAAGTCGCAAATGCGAGATGGTTTCATGCCTTCTAATGGGACTGTAATTGGCCCTTGTAACAAAAAGTCGAATGCTGGAACATAAATGCAGATAAGTGCTTGATATTGTGTATTTTCCATTACTAGTGATAATTTCCTGAAAATGAAAGGATACCTTGATATATTTTTTTTCAATTTCATAGGGTAGAACCCCAACAGACACATAATACCTGTGTGCATGAACGTTCCATTCAGGATATCAACATGTCCACTACACCAGCTATACTAAAAATCAAAATGCATGTCCGTCTACTGTTTAGTTTTCATATGTGTTACATATTGGTTCAAATAGTTCTTTTGCCGCGTTTAACCCTTTAGTTACCACATACGTACATTATTTCCCTACTTTGGAAATGATAGCCCTAGTTAGGGAAGACTAGTAAAGGTTCAAGCTCACAGTTCAGGTTATAGTAAATGTATACTGGCCACATAAAGAAACTGTGCACGGAGAAAATATAGATATAAGGGCACACCGTCCATATATGAAAGATAGGTTTGAACACAGCAATTATTGAAGAAAGTCAAACGCTCATGCACGTGCCATGCGATATGACGTCATTGATGGGGGCCTATGGACGTGCAATGTGTTACTGCACGTGAATCCTGTGCAGCTGTACACAGCATGTGCAACTCAAAATTCGCTGTCACTTTGGAAAGCATGATCTGTGGTCATTCAAAAATTCAAAACTTCTCAGGTGCAGACACAAGCATATCACAAGCAAATCATGCCAAGATTGACAGCTGCACAGCGTCATGAAGCCTTTGGAATGATCCGAGCGGGCATGAGGCAACAACAGGTGGCAACACATTTCCAATGCCATCGTAACACGATATCGGCATTGGTGAGGCGTTATCAGAACACAAATGACGTTGCCGACCACCAACGTTCAGGACGTCCCCGAGTCACGACGCCAAGACAGGACAGATGGATTCGAGTTACACATCTCCGACACAGGTTCTAAACGGCAGTAACGACGTCCCAGACAATTCCTGGACTGCGCCGTATCCATCCCAACACTGTCAGGAATCGTTTACGTCAGTACGGGATTCGACCACGACGCCCTGCCATACGTCCCATCCTGACACACCGTCATCGAGTCAACCGTCTAAGATGGTGTCGAAATCATGTTCGCCAACCTCGAATATGGTGGAGAAATGTTGTCTTTACAGATGAATCGAGGTTCAACATTTCCCACAGTGACGGGCGCCAACGTGTCTACCGGCGTTTGGGAGAACGTTATGCACGCAACTGTATTGTGGAGAGGAATCGTTTCGGAGGTGGCTCTGTGATGATTTGGGGTGGGATAACAGCACGGCACCGAACCCCTTTGGTGGTTGTTCAGGGCAATCTCACCGGTGTTGGCTACAGAGATCAGATTCTGAAGCCTGTGGTCATTCCTTTCCTGCAACGTCATGGCCCGGGATTGACATTTCAACAGGACAACGCTCGTCCTCACACGGCTAGGGTCGCAATGGATTTCCTTCACCATAACAATGTCATGTTACTGCCATGGCCTGCAATTTCTCCAGATCTCTCCCCAATAGAGCATGTGTGGGCTGAAATGGAGCGCCGTCTGCGTCGTCTTCCACATCCTCCAGATAACGTCCGTGACTTGGCACAGGATTTGAGGAGGATATGGCAGGCCATTCCCCAGGCCTTCCATGCCCATTTGGTTGACTCCATGCGTCGCCGATGCACTGCTGTGATTCACGCACAGGGTGGTCATACCCGTTATTGACTTTGTGACTTTGTCGTTTGACCCCCTACTCCATTTTGATTTTCTGACGTCATCGTAACAGATGTTGTTCAGGTCCCGTTGACATTTTCTTATGGTCCGATCATTCAGCTGCTACAGCGTCTGCATCATTTTGTTCTTGCTGTGTTGTATTTCAATCTAGAATATATTTTCTCCGTGCACAGTTTCTTTATGTGGCTAGTATATATTGTAAATCCAAAATAACCAGTCTAGATCATAAAAATGATTACAATTTGTTTTTTTACTAATGAGGAAACAGGAAGTCTTTACTTTATAAGCTGAAATAACTTCTGACCACAGCGAAATCACAATTCACTCAATTACTGTTGACATTTTAATCAGTTGACTATACTTCAGGCATAGCTAAGTATCATGGCACTATTTGCTTTTGATGCTGAAGTGACCATTCTAACACTTGCAGCAGCATTTATAGATGTTCCTCTAACACGATTAGATGCGGGGTATTGACAGGAATGAATTAATTCATACCAACACAGTGTGATGTTGAATTTGCACCATCATCCTCTGTCGTTGTACCAACTGGACATTGGATACATTCATTCCTGTTTCGCTGATGTTGGTAAGACCTTAATGGGCATTTGAAGCATGGTACCACTCCGTTGGTAGAATATGTTCCTGGGCCACACATTTCTGAAACATTGAACAACACCATTGGTGGAATATGTACCTTAACCACACATCTGAAACACGTCTAAGACTCTCCTTCAAGGACGCTCCAGGACACGTCTTGCTTATATGGTTGATAAATTAATTACAAAATAATAAAGTGTACTTTAAATACTTAGAATCCTTAAAAACCCTATTATTCCCCGTATGTAAATGGAATAGGAAATGCACTTGACAATCTATTTTAGTTGCTAAAACTTATTTATCAAGACAAAGAGAATCTCAAACAGGATAAGTCTGAACCAAGGATAGACACATATCGAATGGAACAGTAGATTTCTTCTTCGCATCGAGATTTTGTAGTTACGTCGCTTCATTATAAAAAATAACATGATGAGATAGATGTCATGTAGTTTTTGGTGTTGAGGTGAGTGGGTGAGTGAGTTGGCTTTAACGCCGCTTTTAACATTAGTCAAGTTATATCGCGGCGTGTCAGCTTAATGTGGGAGGAAAGCCCGAAGTGATGCAGGTCTCAGACGTTTACCACTTCGGTGAAACCCACGAGCACGGGTATGGTACTGACAAACCTAGAAACATAATCGGGGTGAACCGGGATTCGAACCCACAATCATAGGTTTCTTGGGTGTCCAGGGGACGCAACTCTGCACAGCGAATCGCGGCGCCTTAGACGACTGGGCTACCCGTGCCCCCTTGGTGTTGAGGAACTAGCACACAGATTTTACTCTGATGCTTGAAGCATGATACGTACCTTTGCAAGAAGAAACGTCTACGTTAGCAAGAGTGATGGTGGTTTTGCCTTCTGGACATCCCGTACAACTGGTCTGTCCCTCCTGGCTTTGATACTGTCCGTATCCGCACGCCATGCATTCGTCCCTCGTGGAATTGTGATAGGACCCCGCTGGACATGGTACTGTATAGTAAACGAGATATGATTTAATGTGGCATGGTGCTGTGAGGACCCAGATCAGAAGTGATTGAATAGGTCCCAAACCTCCAAAGCGTTCGCTTATCACGCCAAAGGCGCGCTTTCAATTCTTCAAATGGGTGCAATGTGTGAAGCCCATTTTCGCTGGAATATTGCTAAAAGCGACGTAATATCAAACTTATTCACTCATGATAAGGGTTAATCTGCAATTGTTTTTGCATTATCGGACTCGTTAGTAGATCATGGGACTACGCAAGGCCTTATATTGTTTTGTATATACTTACAGTGACACACAACGTTTCGCGGCAATGGCGACAGCAGCTTTTCGTCGGACAGAACCCAGCTACTCATAATTGCTGAATACATGTCAAGCATTTTGCATAGAAAATAATAGTGCAAATAGGTTATCTGTTCAAGTCGTGCAAATATCAGTACATACATTTATACTGCATACCACATGAATCCTTATTGAAGTATCCGATCTTGTGTCCTGATCGACAGATCGGTACTGCATCTCTTACTCTGGCTCTGGTTGCCCGGATCAACCTCCCGCCAGCACGGAAAGCTGTTTTAGCTATTCGTCTGGCTATGGCTTTAAGCGTGAGTGAGGACGATTTCATGTTTGCAGCAAAGTTTTGGTTACCGACGACGACATTCAGTATTACTACATCAAACATGATGTAACTAGGTGGCTTTCTGTTTCTTCGATTGGGTCGTCTTCTTCGACCATACCGGCTCCCACGCTTGCGACGGTTCAGCAAATCATAGTCATCAACTTCGTCACAACATTTTACCTTGACGTTTTCTACTGTACAATGGACTTTTGTGGTACAGAGATCTTTGTTGGATATTACTTTCAGGAAGTTCTCCTTTATTTCTTGTTGTGCCTCTTCACATGGACCCGTGAAATAATAGTACTCTGGCATTCTCACATTTTCACCATATTCACGGTCTGCCAAATGAATAGATTTCTGGAGTTTAGTCTCGAATAATATAAACAGTGATACACAAGGACATTGTAAATATTATACTTACAAGAACTGTACCACAACATTTCCTACATGAAAGAAAGCATCGCTAATACCGCCCATTTTGAAACTTGATGCCAGCATGGAAAATGGACAGTCAATGTCATAGTATTTGTCAAGATGTATACGTGATAACAACTAAATATGGAAACAGCACATGTAAATAAAGGAAACAAAACCCAATTCCTGTTATTTTAGCACACATTTCTAAATGTTAATAATGACATGTTTCATGGACAAATGTAAGAAATTCTGCTGTTTTGTAACACCTCTGATGACACCACTTCCTCTCAATCTCTGAACAATCCACAGTTCACACGTGCCACAATATGGCTGTAATACCGCCGATGTGACGTTGAATTTAAATTGTTTTAACTCCTTCATTCACACGTGTCGATCCATAAACACAACTTGCAATCTTATCACAGCAAATGATCCTCAAAATAAGTTAAATGACCATTCTGTGAAAGCATTACAATCATCTTCCCAAGTAATACTACATTGCTGATGCAAATAAATAACTCACAACTGCAGTTACTGACGGTATCTGGAATCCAGACTCCCTTATCCATGCCGCATATATACTGGGGTGTGAACGTGGCACTATCCGGAATGTCATACCCTTCTTGACACTGCATTTGGCATACAGCACCCTTGCTCCAAGTGTCACATACCATTGCTCCATTATTTGGTGCTGGAAGTTCTGTACAGTTATGAACTGAAAGTGACACCAATAACTGAGCATGTGAAAAGCATAGACAAAATATCAAATATGTGGCAGATATATTTTACTACTGACAAGAATTCTTTTTTTTCTATTCTTTTATGTGACTATAGTTATCTGTCATGGCATACGAGATTACTGTGGTAATATGAAAGAATGTGTTTCTTTAACTTCTTTTGAGTAGTATATTTCAACAAATTGATTACCACCAAATTATTTTCACCACATGGAAATACGATAACAATTTCGTTAGAAAAAATGAAGACACTAATAAAACAAAAACATAACACAACGGCCATGAGTGACGTCTACCGACGTACTGCTTACTATTTATTTTATAAGTGACCCTACACAAAAATGTTTCCGCCATATCTGTGGATTATAAAGGCGATGATGCTAATGCAAACTAGATAAGATCAAAGAACCCGCTTGATGCCGAGTTAATAATTTTCACCTCAAAGAAAGTACCAAATATGTACATCAATGTTAACTTCCGTATAACATCACTATCGGTGACTATCGGTCTTTTACACAATGGCGTGTTCACTGACAACAGTACACGGAATTTTCAGAGGAGAATTTTTGTCGATGGGCACGTGATATACAAAAAAATGTAAGTAATCAGAAACAATGAGACATTCTGCGTGCTGTTATTTGTTTATGTTTTCCAATGTAACCAAGAGAATTAGTCAGAAATGCAGATAACTACCGTCGTCGTTGTGCGCGAGTTTGCGTCAGGTATTGCGTCCACAACATTCATAACGTTTCAGAATTATTATTGGTGATTTGATGAAACACAGATACCCGTGATTACTAATATGCTATTTTTGGAAGTCAATTCTTCGAGTAAATATCCGATATTTGGATTTCTAAACACAGTAAATAACGCCGTGAATGTTGATGTCGTAATGTACCTATAAAAAATGGCGAGATTTACGATGTACCAAACTTCAATTTCAGGTCAACTTCAGTCATTTTGCTTTGCGTAAAATGACAGAAGATGATATCACAGTGGAGGGAACTTCGCAAAGAATTCCAAACTGTGACGTGTATTAGTGTGCGTGATGTAATTTCAATTTTATTCGACTTCGAAGTGAGGGTTGAGGATAAGGGACATAAATATCGCTGTGGCATCCAGGGGTTTAGCACTCTTAACCCATAGACGAACTAGTCCTTGACATACCCCGCACTGAAAAAAGCCAGCTATTTGATTGGCTATAAAAAAATCCTCTACATCCCTGCTCAATGAATGGCGCGACCTTTTTCCGTGCGGGGTATGTCAAGGCCAAGGTCGTCTATGGCGAACGGGGCACGACAGAGTTTCAAAGGGGTTATTGAGACGAATAAATGTACGTAAGCTCTTTAATCCATCAGGTTTGTGTCGCGGAAAGAATGACGAAGGTCGGGCTGACAGGTGCCATCGATTGAACGTGTTTTGGCGCGTGGTGTGTGTGTACACGACCCAATAAACCAAAAAATCGGTAAGTTAGCGGTACAAATTCTGAGAAAGGATTTTGGCTCGGAATCGAAAAATCACGATATTTTGAGCTACTAAAGACGCTAGCTCCAAAGGTATGGCTACGAATTTCCTCATCTTTGTCTCATTGTGTAGCTGAATGTATTGGCTTGAAATGCGAATTGTTGAATTTGTCCTCGAACGAACTTATTGAGTAGGCCTCACTACAGCTCTTTCCTTTTATATCGCATACTGACACTGGGTGGGACCATATATCTTGTAACTGCTATTTTTGCGTTACAAGCACCTGTGGACTGAAGCATGAGTAACGTATCAATGGCATACGATCAGGAAAGTAGTCCATCTGACCTCAGCTCATCACCATGGAGTAGCCAATCACGGGTCTGGAATTTGATCTCATACATATGTTTGACACTAGTTATCGCAAATGGGTTTCTCACCTACAGGTGTGAACATATATATGATACTCACCACGACAAGATGGTTTATATTTCTCCACATCTGTTCCATTCTTCCAGGCCCAGTAGCCTTCAGTGGTATTCGCTATCAATGTGCACATGATAAACTGTTCGCCTATCCTCTCAAGGGATAGTTCACAGGTCAGTTCACATGATTTCCCAATTGACATGCCTTTACCACAATGTGCAGTTAGGTATTTGACATCAAACCAAGGATTAGGGCAGATAACATCTGTGAAAAAAAGAAGCAATATAATCTGACAGCAAAGGCCTTCTATTCTAAGGGTAGGAAATCTCTGGAACACACACCATATATCGAGACATCAATAAACTGTCAAATTACTTTGTTGATTTGGTAAATGGAGACCCAACACGGTTGACTGAAATGATTTGGTTTTATCTGTTTCTACTGTGGAAGATGATGTTGTGAGGATTGGAGGAGCTTCATAAAAACAGCATTGGCATTGAGGTTCGATGACATCAACCAACGATACCTCACCTTTACGGTAGATGGAACAAGAATAGGCAAGGATGCAGCAGTGGTTCTGACCAGGACTTATCGGATGTCAGAATATATGACAATTCATCCAGCAGTGAACCATTTCTACTTGTCCGAAAACTCCATCCCGACTAAGACTTCTTGTTTTAGTCACCAGCCAAATGCTTTGAGAAGAAGCATTTGGTACAACAACACTCCCATCCCAAGACTTTCGGCACTATCATGCAGAGAATATCTAGAAAAGCAGCTCCATCGCAAGTGTACACTTGCCAACCCGTCGGAGCTATAACCATTACACACCTGTACCACGCAGGAGTCGACACCATTCAGATCTGCAATATCACATTACACGAGTCCAAAGAGTCCTTGAAACATGATATTTCTAGATCCAGCAGAGCACAGAAAAGAGCCTGGAACGAAGTTCTGCATGGCGATATTGCACAGAAGAAACCTACGTCAGCTGTTCATTGTCACAGTGGTTCCCATGGTGCTTCTGTATTCCGACGTAGTGTTGAACTTGAACAACATGTAGGAATGCAACACGGACTATTCTAACACGATAGCTTTGCCTGTGCTTCAAGTCGATGTGCTCATATAAGTGCAATAAAACATTAATACAGTAAACTACGTTTATAACGAACTTATTTTAACTTAGATATAACGAGACATTTGTTGTATATATGCTGAATATATGTTTATAACGAACTACGGTTATTGCGAACTTAAAATAGTGGTCCCTTTGAGTTAGTTGTAACCGTAGTTTACTGTATTTCTTTGACATTACACACAAATGTTGCATGAAGAATAGGGAAATTGAAATATTTTCTCATCCAACCGACCCTTTTAACGAAAAAAAACCCACCTTATTGAAGAGTCCAATTTTATTTGGATTTATTTTTCACCATCGACCGAAGTTTTTGAGAAAACATCCGTGAACTAATATATCCAGAAAAGCTTAATGAGCTCAAAGCCCAAAGAATAACACACCATTATAGCTCATGTTACCAACGCGTGGTGTGGGTTTCTTATTTTATAAATGCAGTAAATGGCGATTTTAAAAGTTAAATTGGATAAAGAAATGCTAAATACTGAATTGATCCACGACGCTAGCCAGATCGGAACTAAAAACATAGTGCAACTGGTGATTATGACCCACTGGCGCTTCCAGAGAAGCTTCATCGCTTCTTAACATCATGACTTTGGTTGTGCTCACTTTCTTATCCGACACATTCCTAATCCGCCCCTGTCACTGAATATCGACCAATTGAATTTGAAACATGTAAGCCAGCACATTTAACCAGGGCGATGGGATATATTCGTCAATATAATCCCCAACTAAAACACTGGTAATTGAAAACATGATATAGTCAAAACGATAGCATGAAGACTTACTTTCGACAACCACGATGAAAACGCATGACATCGCCCGGTTTTTGCTTTTATCTTCAGCAGTGAATTTGACCAAGGTAGATCCCAGTGGAAAACTACCCACGCCCGGTGTTGCTACGTTGCTCTTTGGTTCGATCGTCTCGTTTGAGTTGTCTGATACGGTGATCACTGGCCACTCTACCATCGTCACGTTTTCACCGCTTGCTGCTTTGATGATTCTCTCGTCGGGGCAGTTGTTGAACTGCGGCGGCTTTGTATCTTTAAAAACAAAAGCGCATTAGATCTAGTGCAGCGGATTCTTACAAAAGTGTGCACATCGTTTTTTTTATTCATACCTCAATGAATATATATACTTCTTATAAATAATTATTACGAGGGCAAACATTTCAGGATTGACTGTGTATATATATATATATATATATATATATATATATATATACAGTCAATATACAGTCAATCCTGAAATGTTTGCCCTCGACTTCAATATATACTCAAAAGCATTGAAAACGCACCACCATGAAAATGGATGTATTTTTATCCGGGCTTAAGTCATATGAAAATATATAAGTGAATGAGTAATATTCGACGTTCTGGACGAAACATGAAGAAGAACAGCACGTCAAAACACATTTCTAATTTTTTTGCGAGCGACATCGCCAAAACGCAACAAATTGCGTGCACATCATGGAAAACGTGTTTTGTTTCACGGGAAGCATGCACAATAGGGCTCTAAAAGACAGACTTTTAAAGGCCACATCACTTGTTGCTGCAGACGTAAAGGGTACTGACACAAGAAATGCCAAGATTAAAAGCAGAGGAACGTGAACGTGCCTTGGGCATGCTTCAAGTTGGTACGTCAAGTAGAGTCGTTGCACAACGGTTTCAATGCCATCATTCAACAGTTCTCAGGCTACTGACCACATACCAGCAGACAAGAACCACCAGAGATCGACCACGTCCGGGTCAACGTCGTGTAACTACACCACGTCAGGATTGCCATATTGTTCGTCGGCATCTTCATGATCGTACACATCCGGCTACTAGGACTGCAGCAACCGCACAAGGCCGACGGGGTTTGATCAGCGCTGACACCGTAGGTCGACGTCTCAGCTCAGCAGGGCTACGTGCTCGATGTCCATATGTTGGACCCATACTCACTGATCGACATCGAAAAGAACGTCTGCGTTGGGCCTAAAGGCATCGTAATTGGAGATTGCGGCAGTGGCATGGTGTGCTGTTCTCTGATGAGTCCAGTTTTCATTTACGGAATGCTGACCGTCGACTGCGAGTGTGGCGTTACCACAATGACTGCGTTGTACAGACAGATCGATGGGGGGAGGGAGTGTCATGGTGTGGGTCGGCATCAGTCATAACCATCGAACAGAGCTCCATGTTTGTCGTGGAAGAGTTAATGCTCTTTACTACAGGAATAACATATTGGCAAATCACGTCATCCCATTCTTTCATCAGCACCAGGATATGCACACCTTCCAGCAAGATAATGCAAGAGCGCACACAGCACGTGTTTCAACACAGTACCTAGCGAACAATAATGTGCCTCTGCTTCCATGGCCAGCCCTGTCACCCGATCTATCGCCAATTGAACATCTATGGGATTACCTGGGTCAACGCCTCATTCGTCGGCCGCAAATACAGAACCTGAGAGAACTTGAAAATACATTACGTCAAGAGTGGAATGCCCCAGAACACTATTCGCAGACTTATTCGATCAATGAGAAGACTTTGCATGGCCTGTGTTGCTGCCAATGGCGGATATTGACTTTTCACTTTAACCCTATGTGTCTTCCTTACACTGATGACGTAATTGTAATAATTACTGTGTGGTGTTCCTGTTTCCTTTGTCGTCTTTCTTAATAATCCGCCTATGTCTGTTCTAATTAAAGTTGTTGCTCAAGTTGTTTTTGTAATATTTCAAGATTTATTACTGGTGCGTTTTCAATGCTGTTCAGTATATATTTGCATTTATGGAGATATGATAGGATATAAATGTAAATACCGGTATGCAAAGAGTGCGATACCTCTATAATCGCAAAAGAAATATTGAAGTCAATTCTTTGTTACGTAGAGAAAAAGACGTTCCCAACAAGACCGTTATACTGTTCATCTTACCTTCACACTTAACATGAGCAGGAATCCATTGTTGATTAGGAGTACACTGAGAGAAACCTGGAGGAGAAGGGGTGTAGCCATCCTGTGTGCATTTTCGCCATCGTAACGAATGCACCCCTGTGCCATCTGGGTACGTGAAATGTCCATCCTTCGACTTCTTACACTGTTTGGCTTTAAACAAACAAAATGTGCGTATGAAATTTTATCATAGGACGTCATGGTACTTTAATTATTACACTCTTTTGCTGTTGATTCTGTTCAACTGAATCTCATAAGGAGAAATCCACGTTGGAATTACATTTATTACTTTTACTAGTACACGTGACTGTCACAAAACGCAGAATCATGTAATATCACAACTCCAATTGCATACTGATGACCAGGCCCCTGCATATACTTCGTACAACATATGTGTGAGGAGGAGGGTGCACACGTGTGGCCCTGTCGCTTGCTATAAATTAGGCATTCAGTTTGATATGGAGCAACGTTTATGTAAGTGTCAACGCTGCCACAGAATTGTCACGTGACATAGTGATCCTAGATAATTTACTTCGATATGGACTCCTGCAGAGGAATGCGAAGTTCTGATTTAAAAGAATTTTATGGGTTTTTAATCAAAATGAGAGTTTATCTAAGCAAATTATTCATGATGACATGGATCTATCTCTGAAATACAACACCATAGAAGCGGGCAGGGTACAAACGATTTCACGGTCTCAACTCATCCTTAAGCTTTCTTGCATCTTCCAGAAGCAAGGGAGTAAACTGACTGTAAAAGTCCGTTTTTCATCCTTGCCGAACTGCGCTGGAATGTCTGGGCTCGATCATAGCGCCACCAGTGGCTATTACAAGTAACGTCCCTTCTGTGTCCCTCCTATTGACCAACAGATTCCACCTCACATATCACTTGCATTTGCTTCAAAGAAAATGGCGGCGCCCTGTCAAGACGATCTGATCGATGATCAACATATATATTGTAATAAAACAGGTCTTACATCGAGAAGTGCATCAAATCCCGTTAGCACCTTGATTAAAAACATGAACAGATTTGGAATACATCTGTCGAACCGGATGCCGATTTCGTTACCCGATTTGGATTCGACTATGCATTAGTCCGGCCAAAATATAACTCCATAATTGCATCCTAGTTCGACAAGAGTGGAAACTGGACTTTTACACTAGTTAACTCCCTTGCCTCGGGAAGATGGATTGATAGGTAAATCCCACCAAATTTCCTTACATGAATTATTCCTGTGATTCCTCTCAATCGTAGGATTAAGGTGAGTTGGGAGAACTCAGCTTTTCACCACAGGCACGAGCTACTTTGCTACTACTATAACGCTAACCAACGTCGAAGTACTGAAATCAGAGTGGTCCATGCAAATGAAGTATTTCAAGTTTATTGTACGGATTTCGGTATAAAAGGTTTAGATATATAGCATTAGGTTAGAATATATACCTATGCTTGTTGTAAGGGGCGAAAGTGAGTGAGTGAGTATGGTTTGAATCTAATATGGGGCAGAGAATCAGTGGTTGATATTATGAACAATGACAAAGACGAGGAGCATTGGTTGCTGGGGACTACTCTTTAACCCTGGTCCTCAAAAGTTATGAACATATATATGTTTGAACCATGTCCATCGACCATGTCAAGTACGACATTTTTATACGATATGGAAAGGGGTTTTTACACGTGACCTGTCTGTGGCAGATTAACCAGGTTGATCGAAAGGAACAGTTATTAGAATGATCAAACAGCAAGGATCGTTTCAATTTTAAAGTTCATCTCTTTATTCACACGATTAACAGGTGCACGGCATGCAGTAGGGTGGTGATTCCTATTCCTGTATAAATAAAAAAAAAAATTAAAACATATATACGTTTGCAAGTTCCGACGCTGCTCCAGTCTGTACCATCATTGCTACATGTTGCACGCCCACTTCCTTCAAGAGTGTAGCCGTCGCGGCATGTATAGTCGCATGTACTACCAGCGATATACGGACCGGTGGAACATCTAAAATAACCATCTTCAATCAATGGTGGTTTCTTTTCGCAATATACCTCTGAAATGTAAATAGAGTCCTATTTGATGCATGTATAGTTTACTTCAACGCAGCATCGGCTATAGCTCCACTACCATAGAGAATACAACATATCGTCGACACACACAAACACACACATTCATACGGTTTTATGGAATACCAAAAATCTTACGTATACACATTATAAAATTGTATCTTTCTTAGCCTTTTATTAAATCCATACCCTGCTAAATATATCCCTACAATTGAGTGAAAGCTTAAAGGAATATCTTCAGGAAGCAACGCTTGTGCAGGCAAGCAAAGTATGCTTAACGATTCTGTGTTACCCATACAATATCCACCCAACCTGACGTACTCTTTCGATGGCTTCAATTTCTAAAGTATTTTGACACCTACTTGAATTTCCCCATTTTTTTGCATATAATCCTGTGAATATCTAGAGTAAAATTGGTCGTAAAGGGCGACTAAAGGGATCGGGTCGTCAGATTCGCTGACTTTAGTGATGGATGTCATTGTATCCTAATTGCATTTATCGATGTTTATGGTGTCAATCACTGGATTTCGATCATTTACAGACCACCGTCATGAAGCTTAATTATTGATGAGTGCTGGGTTAAACAAAAAAAGAAACAAAACAAAGCATACGATCCAGCTTCAGAATCCAACTTTGATTGTGTGAAAACAAGGAGAATTAAATAGTTCGAGCTCTAGTGAGTGTTCGATCTAATTATCCACCTGATTGTGACTGATTAAGAATAAATCAAAGCGACAACACCCTTTCCCTTTTAATAAGAAATTTCAGACCCGTGAAGATCCGGGGTAGAATAGGTCTTCAGCAACCCATGCTTGCCGTAAAAGGCGACTATGCTTGTCGTAAAAGGCGACTAATGAGATCGGGTGGTCAGACTCGCTGACTTGGTTGACGCATGTCATCGTATCCCTATTGCGAAGATCGATACTCATGATATCAATCACTGGATTGTCTGGTTCAGACTCGATTATTTACAGACCGCCGTCATATATCTGGAATATTGCTGAGTGCGGTGTGAAACAACAAACAAACAAACGAATAAGAAATTTCAGATAAAATCAGAGTTGATTGTACGATTCCGACGATAACGTTAGCGAGTGTTAAGGAATCACCATCAAATAATGATGAGACCACGTGTTCGCGAATAGTTGGGTGTATCATGTTAAACTTTATATGAAACTGAGCGAAAACAATTGCACAGATAATGAGATTCGGTGATTTTCAAGTTGTAGCTTATATCAGTATCTTGTAATTTGAATCAAAAATGCAGTTTGTTGGGGGTGGTTGGTTGAGGGAAGCGTTTTTACTTTTTGGTCACTGTGTAACAACAAGCTACCGTTCATAATACTTTGCATTTTTCACTTGTCCGTCTTGAAACTCTCCTATGTATTCGCTTCACTTCTTGAAACTGTTGAAAATATGCACCAACATATTACTTACCTGTCACACGAAAGGACATGGTGCATGTATCGGGGACCAGTTCAACAGCTGAAAATAAGGAAAACAGACAGAAGAAACATACACTGCCATAAGTGTATCTGGTCAATGCAGCAACGTAAGAGGGTCGTGTTTTTATTGGAATATTGCAAAATAGTCGTGAAATGATATCTGAGTAGAAATGTTATTGTTTTTATTGGAATATTACAAAATAGTCGTGAAATTATATCTGAGTAGAAATGTTATTGTTTTTATTGGAATATTGCAAAATAGTCGTGAAATTATATCTGAGTAGAAATGTTATTGCATTAAATGAAACATTTTCCATTCTCATTTTGCCTTTGAGTGTTCAAATAACGGTTCATATTCCCTGACGACGACAACATATTTCAAGTTCCCTGATGCGTTTACATACATGGGTCTTTGAAAGGCATTTAGAAGTGATACACATAAGGAAGAGAATAGCATTTATTCACTCGATGAAGGAGAAAGTACATATATAGAATACTAAACGAGCTCCCGTGTAATACCAATTTTATGAAACGAGTGAATAGTTCTGGTATCTGACGAGCGAAAGCGAGTCAGATACCACAACTATTCACGAGTTTCATAAAATTGGTTTTACACGAGAGCGAGTTTAGTATTTTATTTATTACTTGTCATTTATAATGTTTTTAGAATTATACTGTTGAGTGTAAATAGGCTGACACCTACACGATCCGTGGCATAATCCAATTGAGTTTAACAGAATAATACTTCAAACACGTCAAAAGTTGAAACGTATGAATTTAATATCATACAATGGTCCACCTTTAGAATTCAGGCGTTCGTCCCACAAAATTATCGTAGTGCTAAGGCTATCACAACTCACATAATTTAACTTAGACTAAAGACTCTCGTTGCGCTAGAGTACGATCGCCTTGTGGAACGGGGCCTTGCAGCTCAAAGTTTACAATGACGTCACAATACCCGATGACGTAATTTGTTGAATTTTGTTGCAAGATCCATCGGCGAAACAATGCCATGTGACGTCAGCCTAGCAACAAGGTTGCTGGGGTCATCGAGGGTGCATAAGCTCCTCACAGTGATCTATCATCTCCACACACAATGTCGTTGAATACGCCAAGGGATGTTGAGAGCTTTCAATATTTGTTCGTGAAACGTGTTCCGAGAGTACATAAGCACGCGTTTTGGTATTACACAATGTGTAATAAAGCTGTATGTTTATTAAACGGGTGATCTCTTCACGGGCAAGTAATAAACTCCGAAACGTTGTGTTCCTCATAATAAAGAAGTTGAGATCCATATATCAAACGATATGACTTTCAAACGCGGATGGATACATTAAATGATAATTAGTGGCAGTGAAAAGAACACAGGATCTACTCTTTGCACACACAAAAATGTTGGCTAAACGTTCAAGGTCACTACAGGTTAAATTATGAAAAAGGTCACATCTAAGGAAATTTTGCATAAACTTATGAAAATTCAAAGCGTTTGCCAATCAGTTACATGTATGATTGACGCAAAATAACTAACGCATAACTTGTCACATTGAAGGTCACTCTGAAGGTCATTTAGTCGTGAAGTGACCTTCAAACAGTTTCAGTAGTCTCGGTGGAGTGGGTGAGTGAGTAACAATATTCCAACAATATCACTGCGGGGCACACAAGAAATTCTTCACAAAATGTACCCATGTTGGGAATCGAAACCGGGCTTCCGTCGTTCCCAAACGGACGCTTCAAACAGTAGTGTGAGCAGTTTCCTAAAAAATCAGGTAAAGGAATTACTAATTTTTGAATTTTGACACTTTTCGTGTTTGTTCGCAGGAAATCCAAAATTCGGCATTGTTTCTTCTCAACAGATAACCCACGTATAGTGGTATGGATATGCGTAGTTATTCCCTGACAGAACCTATAACACTTCCGTTTACATTATGAGGTTATTTTATCGTAAACATTTACAATATGATGCGGCAGACAGAATGATTAGTCACATTTAAATAGGCACAGTTATTTCCAGTCAACCCCTTATAATACTTGTACTGGTCCTGGTACTGGTACCTATACCGTGGAGAAGAAGAGACATGATGATGAAGGCTATCACCTGCCTCAAAGAATTTGCCCCCATACTCGGGGCATTAACCAATCAATCGATCAATCAAATATATTTCGTAATTCAAGTCACATGGCCCACAGTACAGTTGTAAGATAAATTATTTTTAAGGTCACATGTCCAGAGTGTTACATCTTTGACGATTTCATTTTAAATAATGTACATAAATACAGAGCTATTAAGTACTCTTATTTCACAGGAGTTAAATAAATTTGCAAACGTAATATTACCTAAATAATATTTCTGTTATGAGGTAAAAAATAATATTTCTCAAGTGAATATATTTCTTGCATACAAAAAAGACATGGTTTTCATCCTCTACTAAATATGGTCACATTCTTTACATATAGATTCTGTATGAGGTATATTTAACAATGACCTTTTACGAATAATGTTGACTCAAAAGTTGTGGGGAGATCGTCGAAATATACACATTGCTCTAACTAATCGTTTGTCTCTGAGTACAGTTATATATAATTCGGGTTCCAGAAGGGATTTTATGTCAGCATTATGCAATAAAAAAGTAGACGCTTCCCAACTGTGGTACCATGATTGAAAATAGAAATATCTAAAGCGTCTTCTAAATGCAGACAAAAACATGTTCTTATCACCAATATCTTGGAATAACCACACATACGTCAAAAAACCCGCAATTAAATAACATTTGTCTCACATACGTTGCCCAATTGACTTTTCCATTCCCATCTGATATTTTAAGCACAACATAACGTCGGAAGGGTATCCACTTTCATTCATTCGCAAAAGCTTTATTTGCGTATTTATAAACACACAGTGACGTCCAATTTCACCAAGAATATCTTTGTTTGCTGCAAATTTACCCAAACCAAGAAAACATTTGTAATAGCATGTTTGTATCTTTTCAATTGTATCATGACATTTAATACCCCATATTTCCAACCATAGTTCAATATTGGAGCGAAGTTACTGTCACATACATTACAAGCAGTCGAGAAATCTATAAATCTGTAAATAAATCAACAAATGAAAAACTAGCCGTATTGCCTTCCGTGCTTGCAGGGCAAGAGTTTCACATGCTTCAGACCATATTAACCGTGAGGATAAAATAATTCCAAGATATTTATAGTACGTTACCGTCTTTATCTTCACATTATCCAGTGTCCAAACTGAGTTATTATCCTTCGATTTCGAAATACGATAACATCTGATTTATCAAGATTTACGCACAGTCCCCATTTCAGACAATATGTACTTAAGACATCTAGCTGTCCCTGTAAGCCGCGAACAGTATACGAGAAAAGTACAATGTCATCGGCAAATAAGAGTAACATCAGATCTTCAATATTTTGGGTATCAAATATACTATGATCACAAGCAGCATACATTTCAAGCACAGGCTCATTAATAAAGAATACAAATAAGACAGGGTTCACAACGCAGCCTTGTCTTACCCTATAAGTGTTTAAATAAAGAAGTTTTAAAGCAACCAATCTTTACACCTGCTTTTACAGATGCATACATACTTTTTAACAGATTGTAAATTTTACCATGGCATCCATTTTGTAAAAGTGAGTGAGTGAGTATGGTTTTACGCCGTTTTTAGCAATATTCCAGCAATATCACGGCGGGGGACACCAGAAATGGGCTTAACACATTGTACCCATGTCGGGAATCGAACCCGGGTCTTCGGCGTGACGAGCGAACGCTTTAACCACTAGGCTACCCGACAGCCCCCCATTTTGTAAGGGTAAATATAGCATTGTATCATCTCGCCGTTTAAGTCTTGAGATTTTCTCAATAGTAATAATCACTAAATTACAATGGGACTTTGAAAAGAAAAAAATGTTTTCTAACTTACATTCCAGTTGTAAATGATCAGACTCTGTTCGCGGCAATACAGCCATCATTGTTTAATACATTATCACATAATATTATTTGTTTAGCAAACAAATCTTCATGATATAATACTTCATCAAAAGGTACATCGTCAAGAAAATAATCTAGTTCAGAAGCTGTTCTAGCATTAAAATCTCCACATATGATAAACATAGTCAGCTCCGTATTCATGTTTTAACTCTTCAAGTTTATCTTCCAATAGGTCGACACCACGTATCTTCCGAATTGTCATACTCTGTCGACCCCACCGGGTGTATATAGAAGAATGCAAGAAGCATTGGTTAAGGCAAATAAGCATTAAGTAACTGAAAAATGACACAATTTCCCCAGTTACACTTCATCTGCTTGACATGATTTTGATGCTTTATGCAAATAGAAATCATCCAGGAAATCGCTGTTGAGAAAGCGACACGTTGACACTGTCTCCGTCTCATCATTCCGGTAAACATTCTTACAAAAGTGTTGCAAATTAAGGGTTTAAATACAACTAAAAGTGATCAACTAACGAATATCGAGAATTGTAACAAATGTGACATGTTTTAAACAATTGTTTTATAATGAAAAGGCATGTACTTTCTATTCAATTACCCATGAGGCCATATTGGTGGTACACGCTTCGACAGTATCTATAATGACAACACAGTATAATTCAGAAAACAGTTACAGTGTGGTAACATAACTATTCATTTGTAACACCACATCTGCTTCCACATGTCTTGTCTTCACATCTTTGTTAAAAATTATGGTAGCTACACGCACGGGACTTTCTGTTTCAAGTGCATTGCACTGAGCATATATTTTCCCAAACCGGAAGGGTGTCATTAAACCGGAAGTGCTGATAACATTGCCATTAGAATAGCTAGAGGTATAGGGATTTCTGTTTTAAACTTTACTGCGTTTGGCATATGTTTCCAAAAGCCGGAAGTGCTAAGATGAAAGGGGAGGTGCTCATAACTTTGTTATTCAGACAGCTACGGGTGTGGGGCGTTCCTCTTCACAGTTTCACCGCATTTGGCATGTGTTTTTGAAACCAGAAGTCCTTAAACTGAAAGTGCTTATGGCTGTGGTGGCTAGAAGCATTGGACATTCGTAGTGCATTTGACATATGTTTCCCCAAACCGGAAGTGACATCAGTAATCCGAAAGTCATGCTATTTGTTATACGTCAGCTGGTCGTGCAGCATAAGACAATATAAGGTCTCAGAGATGAGAAAATACAGACACGGGTGAGGCCATCTGACTTGGTAAAGTCAAAATGGTTCATGGCACGTGTGTCTGGTGGGAAGGTTTTGGGGTATTCAGAAAAGGGTAGGTATGTGGCTGTTTCTGTTTCTGCAGTTCAGTGAATAATCATACTATACTCACATGTTTTTGCTTTTTCGACGCATTCTGAACAATATCCAGTGTTGCATGTCACTGCTTTGTGGAGTTCAGAGCCGTAACTTTTGCCACTTTTCGAGTCACATGTTACTGAACAACATTCGTTCAGATCTGCCACATCGATATAACTTGAATGTAAACAAGGTTAGATGATAATCGATGTTGTTCATCAAAATACGCTATTGATTGTGTGGTCCAGACTCAGCCCACTCCACCCAAAAAATCCATAAGGTATACCAAACGTGTTAGGTGAGGTGAATTGGGTTTAACGTCGCGTCCAAGATTGTTGCACTTATATAGCGACGTGCATGTATGTGTGTGTGTGTGAGTGGCTGCTTGTACTAGACCGGACTGATGCCGATTTATATGCCAGCTCAGTGAGATACCATGCCGCAGTTTAACATGAATTAACATGTACAAACTGCACAGTATACTGACGCCGAGCCGACCAGTCATTGTTTTAGCCCCTCAATGCCGAACGCCAGACAGGGTAACAACAAGTACCATCTTTAACCGTCTTTTGGTATGACTCCGGCGGGGATCGAACCCTCTCCGGGCGGACGCTCTACCACTGGACCACGGAGGCGGTCACCAAACGTGTTAAGTGATGTTGGATGACATGCATGGGTGACTGTGATATTGGAATTAGTCTATTTTTTACCATTAAGTAGTGGTACAGCAAAATCCATTGATAATTACAAAAATAGAAAAGTATTGAATTGTAGTTAGTTCAATCTAAAGAAGAATTACGACATTCAACCAGTAAACATTTTTGTCTGTGACTGATGTGATACATTTTTATTAATCATGATTTCTTAAATGAAAGTCCTTGTTAACTCACATTTATTACTTTTAAAGAAGAATTTCTCAATCAACACCATAATATAAGTTGTAATTTATTACGTCATCATAAGTATGACGTCATTCATATGTCATTGTCAGTTACACTGAAGAGCTGTCATTAGACAGTGAAAGTACTTTGTCTGAAACATCTTCTTAAAATCAGTCTCATGACAGCTCTTCAGAGGACAAATTCGTTAACCACTAACTATATAAATTACTTAAACCGACGGTAGAAACTAACAGTTTTAGCCAAACTAGTTTGTTTTGTTTGTTTGTTGTTTATCGCCGCACTCAGCAATATTCAAGCTATAAGACGGCGTTCTGTAATAATCGAGTCTGGACCAGACAATCCAGTGATTGGCATCATGGGCATCGATCTACGTATTGTGTCTAAGTGGGATACAATGGCATGCATCAACCAAGACAGTGATCCGGACCACCCGATCCCTTTGGTCACCTCTTACAAGCATGAGTTGCTGAAGACCAATTCTAGCCCGTACTTTTTCACAGCGTGATGCCCTGATCAGCCCTCTCACTAGTTCATAGTCTGTACTGTGTATTTGTGTTTTCCTGGAGAAAATAAACATTCAGCTTTGCAGAAAAATGGTCATACTTACTCCTTATATTTATCAACAACGAAAGCAACTTTTGGGACGTCCCACACTACACTGGTGCCCGTATTCCATGTATCCTTAAGTTCAGGACAGGTGAGATTCAGCACAACGTCAATGGGCTCACTTGGTACTGAAAAACCGGAAATCCGTTCCACATTTTGCGCTGACTTTATGGGTGAGTCTTTATCACATACATGTCAAGCATGCATTCTACTATGCATTTGGAAAAATACCGATTCTTATTACATAGACAATTAGACGTATCCCATCACAATAGCTACCTCTGATTGAAGCGGCATCGCGATAATTATATTCATATCATATCTCAATCATTGTGGGTAGGCATTTATTTGTCACAAAATGTAAATTTACGCTTACTACGATATTCATAGTGATAGAAATCGACCAAAGGGAGCTGCATGCTGCCATTATCGATGTACAAACAAATATGTGTTGTTGTTACGTCGTTCAACATGGCGTCTCCGATGAGCATCTTGTCCCAGTGGAAGGTAAGGAAAATCGTGGAGGCAGGATTATTAATATCTGTTTTTCTTCGGAGAAAACGCAATAGAAAGAGATGGGAAAAGAGGAAGATGTTGGCACACACCTGTGTTTTAAAAATTGCATCCTTGTAAGTAACTACAGGAACTGAAGGCTAGAGACTGACCTTCCTTCAAGAATTATCGACGTAAAGATGAAGCCTGCTTTGATGAGATTTTGGATCATGTCAGACCAAGTATTATAACATAGGGCAGAAACATGCAGTAGAGCATACCAGCTGCCGCAAAATCTGGCTCTTACACAAAGATATCTTGCTTCAGGTGTGTCATAAATCAGAATACTGTGTGTACGTAAGTGATGCACCATAAGTCAGACCTTGAACATGAAGGCAATTTTCATAATTATTTAACACCTGATCGAAAGAAACTCAAAATCAAAAAGTCGTTTAATCAACGGATACTGCAAATTATGAATTTGTCAATACCAAACTTTTACTACGATATTGTTTCAAAGGAATCATTCTCTAGTCTACACTATGGATTTAGAACAGGCACTTCTGCGATATATAGGAATCTGTTCCGCAAGTGTGTCAACCATCTACCTGTGTCTGAAGACGTGTCTTGAAGGTTTGACGTGGTTAATATTATTGTACAACTTGCCTGTTGCCTACAGATAGGTTTGAAATATATTTGTGTTCATTCTCAATAAGTCTAAACATAAACAAATCATTTTGGGAAAATACTGGTTGTTAAAGTTTCACTTTGATCCTGCATCGTCATGACTTACAATTTATTTATTTAAAATAAGATCATTGTTAACGGGAATAGTTTGCACATAATATTTAATTCATGTCACGACCATCCATGTTTGTCAACTGTGATAATGCAGCCATGAGCCCTCTTTCGCTGCTCTCAGCTCTGCTCTTTGAATTTCGATTTCATTTCAATTATCAAGTAGATGGTATAATAAGAATGTAAGGGGGCAGTTGGGTGCTTTTCCGTTAGCAATCACGAACCATTTTTATTAAAGAAACAAAAGGTAAATATATATCCTGCAAATGGTAAGTCAGTCGTAAACGTCTTCAAATTCCACTCTCAATGTCTCCACATTTGGGATTAGAGGGCAAATTTCAAGATTATACAAATGACCGCTTGCACACCGGTCGAAGCAATGATACCGAGTAACGAAGGAACTTGGACCATTTCTTGTCAAGGGCAGTTAATTTATATAGTTTTGCAGGACCCCATGTTTTTTGTCTTAAACTTAATTCAGTGATAAATCAGCTTCGAATATACTTAGATAAGATTATTTCTGCTACGACACCCTAACGACAATCTCAGCGCCAAAAAAGCTTCGTGATGCTACGTGACGTTTAAGCCCTGTCGCAAACATCGCTCTTTCCAAATCTCCTGTTCGTATTCGTATCAGTTGATAAGGATGCAGTGGCAGCATGGTTAGAATGTAAACATACCTTTTATCTCTTCAATGTGTTTCTTGTGACAGCCCCAACTGGAATCTGTAGTAAGTGCTGAAAGAAAGACATGATTTCACACCTAACAACTATTGTATTGTAACGTATAAGGTAACAAAAAAACTTATGCTATTATGACCCATAACTGAGTGCTGCTGTAACGTGCAAGCAGCGATAATTGAATTTGAGTGGGCGTGTGCTTGCGTGTGCGTACGTGCGTGCGTGCGTGCGTGCGTGCGTGCGCGCGTATGTGTGTGTGCTTGTACTAGTCCGGGCTAACGCTGGTATTATTTTCAAATTAATTTTTATTATAAGCCATAGTTAATACTGGAATAATGTCGGTTATATTGTGCTAACCCACATAGATGACATGCTGTAGGTTAACACGCATACTCCAATCAGATACAGTCCTAATTTTATCTCCTTTATGCGGAGCGCAAGGCAGGGTAACAACAAGTACCATCTTTTAACATATATTGGAATAATGCGGCCCGGAATCGAACCATCGATCTTTAGCTATCCGGGCAGACGTTCCATCCACTAGACCACGGAGGCGGTCCTTGATATATATGGATCGAGTGCTCAGGTTCGCTGACTTGCGTAGATTGATATTCATGTTATCAATCACTAGATTGTCTGGTCAGACTAGATTATTTACAGACCACCGTCATATAGTTGGAATACTGCTGAGTGCGGCGTTAAACAAAAAACAAATAAAAAAATATTGATAGAAGAAGGACTCTTCAAGTGGGAAACGGGAATTTGGGAAGAAGTAACGAAATATTCATTGCAGATGCAAATAATATTTTCAAAGAACTGGAAATGATTCAATGCTTGCAGGCCTCATCACATTTTGGTGGAGTGTGTGCGATAACTTCATACGTTTGCTTTATATTAACTCAGAACAGATAAAGCAAATAATCCATACGTTATATATATCACATCTTAACTTTCGTAAAATTGTATTTACATATTGTTGGTTGGTTTGTTGTTTAACGTCGCAATCAGCAATATTCCAGCTATATGACGGCGGTCTGTAAATAATCGAGTCTGGACCAAACAATCCAGTGATTGATATCATGAGCATCGATCCACGCAATTGGGATCGATGACATGCATCAACCAAGTCAGCGAGTCTGACCACTCGATCCCGTTAGTCGCTTCTTACGACAAGCATAATCGCCTTTTACAGCAAGCAAGGGTTGCTGAAGACCTATCCTACCCCGGATCTTCACGGGTCTATACGACTAGGACATCCATGAGCCGAAATTTGGGCTTCAGAGACATTATCCTTGTTTCATTTTACCATTAATATTTTACTGCAAGCGTTCAACGGGATTTTACATGCTTACTAACGAAGTACTGCATCAAATATACTTACCAAACAGTAGAGTAAGGTAACGTAAATACATTTTGCCCTTTGGCACAGTCTGAAGCTCTGTAAAATATGGACGATTCGCAAAAAAATGTTTTATTTACAAAGAGTATTCTCTAGAATCTATAATTGCGCTCCGTACAGTGTTATGAACACGGAGAATATTTACTGTATTAAATTGCAAAACCAACACAATTCCCGAATATAAAAAGGCTTTGGATTCGCTTCAGCCATACTGTGACTTCACACAGTAAAGAATTTAATTTTTGAAACCTGTCACCAAAGGACAGTAAAGCAAATGGTAACATATCCCAGATTCGTATTAAAAACTAGTGTCAAAACAATAATAAGATTAGACCATTAAACAACGACATTTTTCAAAACAAGTATTATAAATCGCAAGCAATCAACGTAAGCCAAGCTATAAGGGACCTCTGCAATCTGCTGGGACCCCAGCAGGATATATACCATTCTTTCAGCTGCAGTCGACTTTTTGAGCAAAATCATGCGATATCAAGTATTTCCTGAAATCAGGTAAATCGGATTAACTCTATCATGGATGTATATATGCATGTACTTACTTACACTTAGGCCCGCTCCATCAAGTTGATGTCAGCGTTGTTGGTAAAATGCTGCTAGCAGTTTGAGGTTGTATTATCAACAAGTATCAAATGTCTGTTGTCATTAGAAGTACATATGGTTCTAGTTATAACACATTATGATACTGATAATAAGTGCACTCTATCTGTTGACCTATTTAAGTGTTTACATTGGAAAAGTGCAAATGTTTTTGCGCACACATTTGGGCAAATATCTAACAGAATGTCTTTATATAATTTGTGTAAAGGTACTGAGGTGTTTTCATTTTCCTTAACAATGTACAAGTAAATTGCTCATTTTTCCAAACGACCCGCGAAGATCCGGGTTAGAAAAGGTCAGGCTCGCTGACTTGGTTGACGCATGTCATCATATCCCTATTGCGTAGATCGTTGCTCATGATGTTAATCAACGGATTGTCTGGCCCAGGATCGAATATTTACAGACCGCCGTCACGTAGCTGAAATAGTGCTGAGTGCGGCGTTAAACAAACATTTTTCCAAACACGAAAAAAACACTGGGAGGTCAAATATCCAGTGTTAATGTATCATTGCAGGCTGTAAATAGCCGAGTCTGAGCCAGGCAAACCAGTCATCGCTGGCATGAGGAACGATCCGTGTCATCTTGGCACGACACCCTAACAGCAATAAGACGTTGTCACTATAACGAGACCTGAAACATCTTTTCGTCTTTTCTGGAACCAGTTAACCCATGATTTGCTGTTGTTATAATATAGTCACCAACATCCCAGCTATATGACGGCAACCTGTAAATATTCCAAACTTGGCCAGACACACCACATCTTCCCGAGGCAAGAGAGTTAACGGACTTTAAGAGTCCAGTTTCCACCTTTTCCGAACTAAGCTGGAATTCCTGGGTTCGATCCTTGTGCCACAAGTGGCTATTACGATTTATGTCCCTTCTAAGCTTCTCCTATGGACCAATCAGATTCCACCTCTCGTATCACTTGCGTTTGCTTTAAACAAAATGGCGGCGCCAAGTCAGGACGATCTGGTTGATAATCAAGATCTAGATTGTGATAAAACGTGTCTTACATCGCGAAATGCGTCAAATCAAGTGAGCACTTTGATTAAAAACATGCAGAGATTTGGAAAATATCTGTTGACAACGAGTTAGCGGTGCACATGCTTTGCAAATCCTGCAAACGACCGAAATCTACAGGACAGTTTACGAACCGGATTTCGATTTCGTTTGCGTGATTTTGATTGGACTATGCATAGACTCGATAGTCCAGCCAAAATATAACTCCATAATACCAGCCTAGTTCGGCAAGGGTGGAAACTGGACTTTTATAGTCAGTTAACGCCCTTGCCTCGGGAAGATGGACACACCAGTGACGTGACGTCACTGTAGGTGACGTTACATAAGCAGCATCCCACGCCGTTGGGAGCGACCAAACAGTCAACCATCCCTAAACTTGCCAGGCACTGCTGATAAAACGTAAGCTGCACATTTATAAGGAAGCATTTAGGGCCATTTTGTTTTTCTTGCAATTTCAAGATACTAAGTTGAAACTTCAAGATACATACTAAGTTGACTAAAATGATGTTGAAATTTCAAGATAATAAGTTGAAATTTTAAGATTATAACTTGAAATAACTTATTATCTTAAACTTTCAACTTTGCATCTTTATATTTCAACATAACATCTTGTAATTTCAAGTTAGTATAATAAAATATAAAAAATGGCCCTAAAACACTTCCGTTCTAAAAGGAATCCGTAGATTCGAATGACAGGATTTTAAAAATAGCCGTCTCATCAAATTAATTTGTGATAAGAGAGATGAAGGTGGCGACGTCCTTTCGAGACGAAGTTATGATGTCGAATGTTCCATGTGATAGAATGGAGACAGAATACACTGGATAATCGAGGGTGATGGCATAAGGTGTGGTTTCAATTATCGATTTGTTCATTGGCCATTAAATAATTGCAATTTTCGTTTATCCGTTTCCATTTTAAATCTATAATACCGTATTCGACGTAATAAGCGCCCTGGGCGCTCTCAAAATTAGAAATAGGGGGCTCTTATTAGAATATAGTTTTGGTGAGAGAAAAAACAGAGTTGAATGATCAGTAAATTTCGTGGTTTATACACGACAGATATATTTTCCAGAATTTAATTGCCCATAATTAAGGGTGCATATAACACACGAGTCCGTATTATACACGAATAAATAAGTGTACATTGATCAATCGGAAGGGGTGCTAATTGGGATTGTTCACTAGCCAATATACTAGCAAATATCGCCGTGGGCGCTTATTAGAGCGGGGCGTTTATTACGCTTATTACGTCGAATGCATATAATCTTGGCCTGGCGTCTGACTAATCTTAGTACGTGTGGTCCATTCTTTTAAGGCGCAGCAGAGTAGCGTCTCCTATGAGTGTCAGAAACCTACGATCGTGGGTTCGAATCCAAGATTCCCCTGATTGTGTTTCTAGGTTTGTCAGCACCCGTGGGTTTCACAAAAGCTGGTAAAGGTGAAGGTGAATGTCAAAACATTAAATAAATGTTTGATACGTGTTTTTATTTTACATTTTCATACAATTGTCTCTTTACTTGTTAATACACTTGCAGCATCCGGGTACCTGTACCCATTCTATTGTGTACTTCAGGTTGTCATGGATACCACGTTGTGGGTCTTCAGTGACAGCGGTTGCAGACTCATACCTCTGTAGGCACTTTCCGTACATGAAGTTCGACACATGTCTGGAACAAGAGCAACGTCATATATACTGTGGATCTCGATACGACTGAACATCGTGGTAATTGGCGACCCAATACCACAGTGATGAGTGTTGATTGTTTAAAGAGGTTCAGTGAGTTGGAAAAGTATTCCAGTAATATCAAGGGGTTTTCTCGAAAAAGAATTTTCCCCAAAATTCTTGAAACAACTATAAATGATTTAAAAGGTGGCCTGCCACACAAAAAATACAATGTTGCAAGGTGTTTTTCCTTTTTTTTAAATAAGGCTCATAGCTTTAAATTTAGAAATATCTGGTTTCGTAGTTGTAACTAAAAAAATATCTAATCTCGATCAAAATCCCACGAGTGTGGTGCTGACAAACTTAGAAACAAACATAATCGGGGCGAACCGCGATTAGGGCCTACGATTTGAGCCCACGATCACAGCTTTCTGGCGTGACCAAGGGACGCAACTCTGCACTGCTTTACTTTGCTTTGTTGTAAAATAGCAGGTGCGGAAATAGAGCCTCGAATACTACAAACATGGAGCTTTTGAAACATATAACTGCTTAATATAAACAAAATCATCAATGGATTGTATATTTCGACTTTTAATTAAAGTGAATTGAAACGCCCCATACTATGTGTAGACAGTCAATGCCATCTTGCCCTGTCACGGCATCACACGTATTGTTGTGTTGTCCTTGTTATACTCACTGACATTGTTCGACCTTGAAAAACTGCTTAAGGGAATGAAGTTGGGCTATCTTCTTCTTCTTACCGAACACATTTAGAAGATATTGTTCAGACTTAAAAGACGTTATCCTGCAAACAAAAGTATACACAAAAGTCATTATTTTTTCTGGGAATAATACTTCAGGTTGATAGCAAGCAATAGGTACGAATCTTTACGGGTTGTTTTTGAAAAAAAATATCGTGAACGTAATTCATATCTAAATTTTGTAGCTTCTCTAGTTGGGATCAAGCCATGTACCCGGGGCAAGAGAGTTTACTGATTATAAAAGTCCAGTGTCCACCCTTGCTGGATACTGGACTTTTAAAGTTAGTTAACTCTCTGGTATCAAGGTTATAACTGACATAACTGTGTCCATGACGAATTGTTTGATAGGCATTACTTAGAAGTTGGTGGATAACAAAGTGGACACAATTTATGGATAACAACTTCTTTAATTACTGTACATTACTGTAAATTACTGTACACTATTGTGACAAGGACATCACGTACGGCACACATCACTCCTGTCCTCAAGCATCTACATTGGCTTCCGGTTGAGTCAAGGATCATGTACAAAATGCTGTCTTTGTCTTACAGGTGTGTCAACAACCAGGCTCCAGCTTATCTCTCCACTCTGCTCCAGCTTCATCATCCACCAAGAACTCTTCGATCAGCTAATCAACACCTGCTATCTGTTCCTCAGCATAGACTTTCCAGCTATGGACTAAAGACTTTCAGTGTGGCTGCCCCAAAGTTATGGAATTATCTTCCACTTGAGATTAGACTTTCCTCAACATTTCAGACATTCAAAGCAAAACTAAAGATACGTTTGTTCAAAAATGCTTTCCAGATAGACATTTTAATGAAGCGCTTTGAGCATGAACTCTACATGGAGGCTAACGCATTATTATTATTATTATTGTTATTGTTGTTGTTGTTGTTTTTGTTGTTATTATTATTAATAATCAATCAAGAAGTTTTTATCCATAAATTGTGTCTACCTTGTGTGTCTTTGATGTCTTATGATGCCCAGGTGACTTGAAGTCACTAGCAGTCGGGGCATATAAAAGAATAGGACTCCAGGGTAGAAATGGTACCCAGTAACATATGCTTGTCGCCAGAGTTGACTGAAAAAGATCACGTGGTCAGACGCGTGTACTTGGCTGACGCTGACGTTTCAATCAGTTATTTTTCCTGGCCCAGATTCGGTCATGTACAGATAGCAATGATATCGCTAGAAAATCGCGGTGTTCAACAACATTCACTCACTCTCCCCAATGATGCGCATCATGACGTACGTTTGACAACAGGCATGGTATGTAATGAGGCCCGGTGCCATCCTCCGATCTCTGTCGTACTCCGGTGAGTGCACCTGGTGACAGGAGACATGACAGGAGGCCTCGTCCTCCACGCTGGAATTCACCTCGTGGTACTGTGAGGAGATGTTGAAGAATGCCTGCTCGAAGTCAAACTGTTGCTCCACCGTCCGGAAGAACCCAGGGAACCGCTCGTTCACCTCTGCTTCGTGGTCCCCAGTTGGACTACAGGGGAAGAGTATTTCATATCACACATTCATTACTTAATATTCATGATTATGTAAAAGGTACTTAAGAAGAGCTATAGCCACTTCACGTGAAATAGTGATGACATCTTGTGTATATGCACTTCACGTGAAGTAGGGATGACATCTTGTGTATATGCACTTCACGTGAAATAGTGATGACATCTTGTGCATTGCCACTTCACGTGAAATATTGATGACATCTTGTGCATTGCCACTTCACGTGAAATAGTGATGACATCTTGTGTATATCCCTTTCACGTGAAATAGTGATGACATCTTGTGCATTGCCACTTCACGTGAAATAGTGATTACATCTTGTGTATATCCCTTTCACGTGAAATAGTGATGACATCTTGTGTATATGCACTTCACGTGAAATAGTGATGACATCTTGTGTATATCCACTTCACGTGAAACACTGATGACGTAGTTGTGCATTGCCACTTAAAGTCGTAATGGATATTTCCACTGCCAGTAAAGACTACAGTAAACCTCTCTCCCAAAGGCGTGTGCCACCATGTTTTCGCATGATTTACAATTCTGTCCACATAAGGATTGTCACATCTACTTACACTTCTCTCCATATAAGGATTGTCACATATACTTACACTTCTCTCCATATAAGGATTGTCACATATACTTACATTTCTCTCCATATAATGATTGTCACATGTACTTACACTTCTCTCCATATAAGGATTGTCACGTGAACTTACACTTCTCTCCATATAAGGATTGTCACGTGTACTTAAAATTCTCTCCATATAAGGATTGTCACGTGTACTTACACTTCTCTCCACATACGGATTGTCACGTGTACTTACAATTCTCTCCATATAAGGATTGTCACATGTACTTACAATTCTCTCCACATACGGATTGTCACGTGTACTTACAATTCTCTCCATATTAGGATTGTCACGTGTACTTACACTTCTCTCCACATACGGATTGTCACGTGTACTTACAATTATCTCCATATAATGATTGTCACATGTACTTACAATTCTCTCCACATAAGGATTGTCACGTGTACTTACAATTCTCTCCATATAAAGATTGTCACGTGTACTTACAATTCTCTCCATATAAGGATTGTCACGTGTACTTACACTTCTCTCCATATAAGGATTGCCAAGCTGGTTATGGTTATGGCGCAGCACAAAGTCACAATCAAAATCTGTAAAGACGTAAAAAACAACATACACTACAAGTAATAACTATTGTACACTCATTGTCGGTTACAGCACGGTGACAACCCAACTTCGATGGGCATACAAGTAGTTACACAGTATACCTGCCAGTAAAGTGACACAGGGGAGAGAAATTATTCTTTTACACCAGTCAGCAATATTCCAGCTAAATAAAGGCGGCCTGTCTGTAATCCAGCCCGGAACAGCCACACCAGTGGTTGAGAGAGTGAACAACAATCTGTTCAGTTTTTTTCATTGTTTCTATACCCCCTCCACCGATTCCTACCCATACACGTGTCGTGCAGCATGTCTGACTGGGCGCAGCGGACCATGCTGGGATCTTGTCTGATGCAGGTGTCTGAACATCCCGTGGCCCCATCTGGCCCGCACTGAGCGCTCGGCTCCCTTCCTTGACCATACTGCTGTTTCATGCACTGGAGGACTGCAGCAATCTGGAACTGATGGGGAGTGAAGTGGGATCTATGGGATCCTGCTGCACCAACATCACAAGAGATGAGTGAGTGAGTGAGTGAGTTGAATTAACGCCGCTTTTAACACTGTTCCAGTTATATCACGGCGTGTCAGATTAATGTGGGAGGAAAGCCCGAAGCGATGCAGGTCTCAGACGTTTGCCACTACGGTGAAATCCACGAGCACGGGTATGGTGCTGACAAACCCTAAAACATAATCGGGGCGAACCGGGATTCGAACTCACAATCATAGGTTTCTGGCGTGCCCAAGGGACGCAACTCTGCACAGCGAATCGCGGCGCCTAAGACGACTGGGCCACCCGTGCCCCCGGATGGAGATAGGAGGCTTGACATGTGAAATAGATTTCACTGGGAATGTTGGGAATGGGTCCCCGAAATAACAAAGACAGAAGGCGACCTCTTAAACACGTAAAGCAACAGCATTGATGGTATCAGCAGGGCTTGGGAGGATACCTCTGATTCCTAATCGCGTTGTGATTTAGCGTGGAAACTGTAAGATTAACTGAACATGATGGAACATTATGAAGTTAAGTGACATATTTTTGTATATTTATGTTTTAATGTAATTTTTTATGCATGTTATTTTACTTGACACACCATTTTCCGTTTTCTGTTAAGCATGATGATCGCTTATCCAACCGACCATTCACGATGAACAATTCACTTGATGTTATTGCAGTCAAATTTGTGTATATTGAGTAAATAAATGTATATACTGAAAGTGACCTTTGTTTTTTTAGCAAATAATTGCATATTAGGAAGTGAATTTAATAACGGACATACATTCTGGACAATTCTGTACATGATATTAAGACGAACAAACCGATATTATCAAAAAACATAGCAATATTAACGGATGGTTGCTAAACATATACCTGCAAACCATAGGATGGTCACAATGCACACTTCAAAAATTCAGATAGGTTTCAGAAGAAGGTAGGGGCGGTGGGGTAGGCAGAGGTTAAAGCGTTCGCTCATCAAACTGAAGACCCTGGTTCGATTCCCCACAAAGGTACAATGTGTGAAGCCCATTTCTGGTGTCCCCCGCCGTGATATTGCTGGAATATTGCTAAAAGCGGCCTAAAACCATACTCACTCACAATCAGAAGAAGGTATGAGGGAGTGTACGGAAGCATATCCCATTTCATTAATTCCAAACAACTAAAACATAACAATTAGTGATTAGATAACTGTAACGTACTGCTAACTTAATTCCTGTGCACCAACATTATCTAGGAATCTTTTTTTAACCCGGTGATGTTATGACCGAAAGATATATATCTGCTAAGTTGTTGATAAAAGAAAATTCAGTTATTATGTGACTCGAAATATACAAACGAAGCTGTTCAACAATTGAAAGTTGGGAAAACAAATAAAAAGCCATAAACAATCGTCATTTAAGTAGCTTAACACTTCCCTTACCTTTATACAAGCGATACTGCAAGAAAAGCCTGCATGTGATTCTCCTACGAATCTGTCTAGCTTGAATGTATATGGGACAGACGCGGCCTTCAACATCCTGTTATTAAATAATCAGGTTGTCTACGCTTTCAATGCGACCCTGCACGCGTGACACACAACCAAATATATCACAAGGTCAAATCATATTCATTATTGTGCACGATAATGTTTTCAGGATCGTTGGCATGTACATTTACCGAGAGGCTGAGGAAGTAGCCATTGCGTACATGGACAAAGATACTGTGAACGGAAAGCCTTTGTTTTGTTTGTTGTTTAACGCAGCAATCAGTAATATTCTCGAATCTGGGCCAGACAAACTAGTGATTGGTAGCTTGAGCAGTGTCCCGTAGTTTTGGTGGGATTGCACACAATCAGTCAAGTCAATCAACCTGAGCATCTGATCTTAGTCTGCGCTCACAACAATCATGAGATTTGATTACTAGTAATTGGTCATGCAGAGTTGCGTCCCTCGGCCTTGCCAGAATCCGCTAGTCTAGGGTTTAAATGTCAGGCTGGTCCGGATTGTGATCCCTTGTCTGCCATCACAGCCGTAGGTTGAGACATGTTACATTAGATCCACGAGTATGGCGCATCAATTCACATTGTATAGTTGCGTCCATCTTCCCGAGGCAAAGCAGTTAACTGACTAAAAGTCCAGTTTCCACCCTTGTCGAACTAGTCTGGTAAATCTAGGTTCCATCTTGAGCGAACAGTTGCTATTACGAGTTATGTCCCTTCCTTGTCCCCACTACTGACCAATCATATTACATCTCTCATATCACTTGCATTGATTCAAACAAGATGGTGGCGCCCAGTGAAGACGATCTGGTCTATGATTTAGATTTTTATTCTTATAAAACGGGTTTTAAATCGCGAAGTGAATAAAATTACTTGAACACCTTTATCAAAAAATTAAGGAGATATCTATCGACGCCCAGTTGACGGTAAATCCTGTAATCGAACGAATTCGGCACAGCAGTTGCCATATTATTTGGGAAACCGGATATCGATTTCGTTACGGGATTATAACGGACTATGCATAGTCTCGTTAGTCCTGCCAAAACATAACTAAATAATTCCAGCCTAGTTCAGCAAGGGTGGAAACTGGACTTTTAAAGTCAGTTAACTCCCCTGCCTCGGGAAGATGAGTTGCGTCCCTTCGTCTTGCCAATATTGCCGAAACAGATTGGGCGTACTCCTGGATACGACAACTACCTGTAAACAATCGAGTCTCAACTGATCAGACAATCCAGTGTATGGCTGTTCAAGGCGGCGTTAAACCACATGTAGGCTCATTCACTCAATGACGTCCTTGGCCGTCAATGGTGAAGTGAGGTTGTAATATCCATACCATGCCGCAGTTTGACAGTGAATAATCCACTTACTCACAGTATACTGACTCCGAGCCGACCAGTCACATATCACATTAATACCGAGCGCCAGGCAGGGTAGCAACAAATACCATCTGTTTACGATGTTTTGGTATGACACGATTGAACCACCAACCCATCGCTCTCCAGGCAGGCTCTATCCACTTGACGACGGAGGCGGGACCTTTTGTCGTCAACGGTGCATGGTATGTTTTTTAACTTCTAAGAGAAAACCTATGTGTAAGAAGGTTTAATCAAGCTGCCCGTTGCTGTATCTGTTTTTCTTCACCTTGAGCAGTTCCTGCAGGGCACTGACATTTCGTGAGGTGAGGTGAAATGGGGTTCAACGTCGCGTTCAACATTATTGCATTAAAATTGCGACGTGCGTGCGTGTGTTTGTACATGTATCCCGGGCTAAATTGTTTGGGATATCTGTCCTTCAAACACACCAATGAGTCGATCAGTGGGTCCACAATACTTTATTTGTGATATAATAAATACAGCATCTATATAATCATGATTATGGTAACGAGACAGACATGGCCAGGCAGCATCTCAGAGGCGTCAGAGAGCAATCTGCCTAGCCGCTGTCCGAGGGTCAAGTCTTGACCAACAGAAAGTATTCTAAATGACCAGCTGCCACGTGTCGAATACGATACCTCTCTCGGCAGCATTCAGTATCCCGTACCTCATTCACAATGTTAAGATTCAATGGCCAGCCGGCCATTCTCTAGTGTTTATTAGATGCCACTGACTCAGACATGACCACGTGCTGTTGGCCATCGTTATAATAGCCCTCTGCTGTTATAATTTGTATTGGGCAGCACTGTGAATATTTTGATATATATATATTTTAATTACTTAATATATAAGACATATATAAACTCCCTGTTAAAACCTATATACCCTGCGGGGGCGGTCGGGTAGCCTAGTTAGCGTTCGCTCGTCACGCCGAAGACCCTGGTTCGATTCCCGACATAAGTACAATGTCTGTACATTTCTGGAGTCCCCCGTCGTGATATTGCTGGAATATTGCTAAAAGCGGCGTAAAACCATACTCACTCACTCACTCTATACCCTGCCAAAGGGCCTAGGATACTTGTCTTGTGCTAGTCCGGACGTATGCCGATTCAGGGTTCATTCAGGTTTGGACTCTAAATTCAAGCACTTTTGAAACACTTCAAGGACGAACATTTGTTTTTAATGAAGACTTTTATTCTTAAAAAAGAACATCCTTTGTTCTTTGCTTTTACATTAGGTTCCACGAGTTTACAACAGTCCCAACAGGACCACGTTGCTGGCCTAACGGGTCGTAGTATGTGCAGACTTTGTGGACATTACTTGGGCAGAGCTTCTGATATTTGCTCTGAAGTTACATGGTCCATTTTCTGATGTCTGTTAATAGTATGTACGTGAAACTCTAGCTCCTTAAAATAGAACACACTGAATGCCCAAATCCTGTAAATTTACTTCCAACAATGAAAGACTGCTCCCTCTAGTAGATTGTAGCGTAATTTCCTTCCTGTAGCAATAACAAATTCCTTGTCCCTGTCTTTTGATTTGCGCACCCATTCGTACTTTGATACCCACGCATGATGCAAAACACTTCCCAATGATCTGAATACATTTCGAAGCTAACTTCCTTCTTTTGTCACATGTCGGGGGTGTCGATATAGCATTCATGACTTAGTTTCGTCTTCAGTGATGATAACGTGACAATTCAACTATATTCAGTAATACAATGCGCAAAGAATTTAATGCACCCATTTACGTTGTGAGTGACCGGAAGTAAACGCATTGAAACGCGATTGATATTAAACTTCAGTAGCGATTTTGTCCTATCAAGACCAATTTATTTACATTCCAGCACTTTTCAAGTACTGTCAATAAGATTCCAACACTGTTCCAGCACTTCCATGGCAGAATCATCGGACATGGTAAAATTCAAGTACTTTTCAAATCTGTGCGAACCCTGCAATTTTATAGTGCTAACCATTTGCTGCCATAGTTTCGTTTACTCTTCGCTGTGAGCCCCATTTCGAATGGTACGATGCTAAAAATAGCCGTCGACTCAAACTACCCTCATGATGGTATGAGTGAAAGGAGAGATCGAGAAGTGGACATCGCTCTGAAAGTGCCCTTTGACACAGTCTACCGACTCCGATCCAGCAAGTCCTTGTATTTGTTTGCTTGTTGATTACTGCCGCACTCAGCAATATTCCAGCTATATGACGGCAGTCTGTAAATAATCGAGTCTGGATCAGAAAATCTAGTGATTGACACCATGAGTATCGATTCATGCAACTGGGACACGATGACATGCATCACCCAGGTCAAGTCTGACCAGATCGGTAAGTCGCCTCTTATGACAATCATAGATTGCTAAAGATCAATTTTAACATGGATTTTCACCGGTGCCAGTCCGTGTAAGTCTGAGTATCATCTACCGTCTTTTGGTATGACACTGCCAGGGGATCGAATCACCATCCTTATGCTTAGTCCAGCTGCCAGTAGAGATACAATACACTTGACAAGAGAGGATGGGTTTTATGCCACTTTTAGCATTATGTCAGCTATATATCACTGGGAGGACAGGGTTAAGGTCTTTAAGTTTTAAAAACAATGACAGCAAAGTCGGAGTACAAATCTGACAATTTATTGTCAACACTCACAGAATGCTTTGAGTAAAGGCGCAGGTTACATACAAAATGATCAAATCCCTCACATTCCCACTGAATAATTGTCTCATTCATTTCAAACAAATACTCACAGAAATTTAAGTGTTCACAGGCTGTCAATACAAGGTCATCAAATCAAAATATATTCAAAAATCAATATTCACATGAAGTCATATTTTCAACCTGGGCCTTTGTTAATTCAAACACTTCAGGAGTGCAAATGATTTTAAGAAAAGTGAACAAAAGATGATATGGGTGAAATGTACAAGACACATTTGGGGCCCTAAATATGAATAATATGAAAATCAGCAGAAAAGCATACAACTGAAATTACATTATGCATACAGTCCTCCCAAAATATTATATATATGTATATATATTTTCAAAGACTGAACCAAAACTTTTCTCTTAAAAAAAATATGAAAAATATACATCATGTTCTCCAATAGTTTTTTTTATGAAATAGAAAATACCAGTTTATAGTAAAAATAATTTGCCAGACAAATGTTTACAACAAATGAAAAAAACATAAATAACTACAATAAAGGGACACTACTCTGCAGTCCCAGCCAGGTTGTTTGGTGCATTTCAAAAGTTGCCATGTTTGTACTCTAAATACATGGAAACAAAGTTTCGATTCACATAAGACACTATTGACATGGTAATGATGGTGATAGTCCCCATTTTATCAACATCTATAGCACTAATAGGATTCACTGTCACGTGGTCATAGTGTCTGCAAGTTTAACACATATACTACATCCCTCCTATTTTCTCCAGGCTACAATGTCAGATGTGCAACCATTGCAGCCTGCATCAATGGGCACACACATTGATTCACTGATTCTTTTCAGTCTGAACACAAACAAGTCAATCATGAGTTAATCAGGGGTCAAAATAGTGACTATTTACTTCATGTCTAACATAATTTCATGACTAACATAGAACAGATTGGTATCTCATACTTTAGTCAGAAAAATGACAGCAATTTCACTATGGGTTGTAAAGGAATTTGATCAGGACCATGATGAGTGTTTGTTTGTTTGTTTGTTGTTTAGTGCTTCTCTCCGCAATATTCCGTAATTATTGAGTCTGGACCAGACAATCCAGTGATTGACATCATGAGTATCAATCTACGCAATTGGGATATGATGACATGCATCAACCAAGTCAGCAAGCCTGACCAACGGATCCCGTTAGTAGCCTTTTACGACAAGCATAGTCGCCTCTTACTTCAAGCATGGGTTGCTGAAGACCTAGGCAGGATGAGTGAGTTTAACTTTGAACAGTACTTCAGTCTTATCATGGCATGTCTGTTTGACAATTGAGGGCCAGATGCAGGTCTTCTAGGTTTGCCAATCTAGTGAAACCCACAAGCATGGGAAAAGCGCTCACAAACCTAGAAAATATTTGTCACTGATGGAATTCAAACCCCAAGATGATAGGATTCCCGTATGAACAAGGGCCTCAACTCTGCACAGACACCAACTACTGGTCATCCATACCTTCTAACCAGAGCCATGTGGGGAATTGTATGGTAACCCATGTATCATGAAACACATTGTACGATTACCCATGTATTGTGACATATAACATATCACATCCGAATTGACAATTTTTGAGCAATAGATGTACACCATATCAGTAGACAATAGGCAGTAACCAAACAATGCCACAGTCTGGTACAAAGACATACAATCAGCCTAATACTACTCATAACAGAGGACAATAACTTTCGGATATATTTAAAGTCTGTCTCAATGCTGATTGGTCAGTTGAAGTGACAGTCACATTGTTTCAGTAAACAATGCACTATGACATCATCCATTGTTCATGAGGTTACAGACTGAAAACATCCTTTAGTAAAGTTTCTGTTGGGTTGAAATTCATGTTTTACAACATTTCTACCTTAGAATGTCAATGAGCAATGTATAAAATAACCTACTCTGAATTCCAGATCATCAGACCCTAGTGAATGAATGTCATGTCTCTTGCCAAAGTCTCAGGGCAAACACCATTCTGTAACTTTCTCTTAGCTGGCTGTTATTATCTAATTTTCCCCCAGAACCCCTACAGGTGCATCAGTGAAGGAGCACTTTAGTCTCGGGGCAAACACCATTCTGTAACTTTCTCTAAGCTTGCTGTATTTATCTAATTTTCCCCCAGAACCCCTACAGGCACAGTAAGGGCACACACAACAGTGCCCCCACACATCACTGACTTGTCAAGCTTTGATAACTTACACCAAGATATTGCTGAAATGTTGCTGAACATTTGCAAAGCTCTATTTCCTCACTCACTCTGACAAAGTCCAGTAATTGTGATAGTAAATTACACCAAACTGTCTGAAATAAGGGATATAAAGAATAAAGAATTGCTTAACAAAATATCACGGTCATGATTAACAATGTCCTTACTTGTTTTCAATTGTCATCACACCATTATCTTAAAACAAAATTACCAAGAAACTTCATAGCACTGACCTGAATATAGTCAGAATGATCAGTAGTCACTAAGACATGCTGAGAAAAGTTGTGACTTAATGCCTAAATATCACATTTTCAGGAATATACATCTCACGGTTGTCAGCACCTCTACAACTTGCTTATTTACAAGAGCTGATACAGCTTTTTCTTAAAAGAGGTGCTATTTTGGGACATAGCAATTTGCATTCTTGTGTAATGTTGATGAAAAAAAATCACCAAATGTAAGTATGTTATTTAATCCCACATTCAACAATATTCCAGCTATACTACAGTGATCTGTAACCATACAGGACCCGACAATATAGTGACAGACATCATGAGCATAAATCTACGCAAATAGGATACAATGACATGCATCAACCAAGTCAGCAAGCCTGTTTGTCACAATGTTTCTGTAAGCTTACCTTTAGTAAACACGATCATATTAAAACTCCCTGATTGTATAAATGTTACCATGCTTCAAAGAGGCGAGTGCACCCCATGCATCCCTTCTGGATCTGCGTACAATTTATTATCACATACACCATGCCACTGATCAGTGAGTGAGTGAGTGAGTTTAACTGTCAATATTGTTATTAAATCCAGCATACCATATATTCATCGTAAGACTTAAAAAGCAGCGTGAACATCACAAATTTCAAACAAGATTGATTTTCACTACCAGGAAATAAATAAATTAAGTCTGTCATGAATTCTTCAAGGTCTTAGGCACAGTGTCAAATCTTATTACACTTAAACAACCTTGGTTCATAACTATTATTTTCATGTGTTTTAATACTTTTATAAATAAAGTATGCCATTTTACAAATTCAGGGAGTTTCAAGCTATTTTGGTGATTTTCAGGCTTTTCAAGTTAGACACTAAAAATCAGGGAATTTCATGAGGGATGTTAAAATTCAAGGCCTTTTGCAAGCCTGTACGAACCCTGCTTCAGTATAATGTTGAGGTACAAGTTAATGTTATACCTAAATACAGTCCTGATACCCACAGGACACAGTGTTGTTTCCTACAGTGCACATCTAACAACTGATTCAACAAACAATACACTGTCCATGACCTGATGGCACGACATTGCTTCAATTTATCGATAGATGTAGTAACCATAACTACCAGTACTGATTACAAATTTAAATGAACACTTAACAATTTGTTATCTGAAAATAATCTGTAAGATTGAAAAGTGGCATCTTCTTATCCATTGAGTAGGCATTCAGAACTGCCCAGGAATCTACTGAACGATTAAGGTATGAGTGTGTGTGTTTGTTATTTAACGCTGCACTCAGCAATGTTCCAGCTATATGATGGCTGCCTGTAAATAAGAGTTTGGACCAGACAATCCAGTGATTGATATTATGAGCAATAATCCATACCATCCACAAACAATCCAATCCATCAAGTCGCCTGGAAGACCAGAATAGCTTGCTGGAGACCCGTTCTAACCTGGAATCCCCTCAGGTGGATGGAGATAGGAGTGAGTGATGACTGAATGAGTGAGTTGGGTTTAACGCCGCTTTTTACCTTATTCCAGTTATATCACGGCGTGTCAGCTTAACGTGGGAGAAAAGCCTGACGTGATACAGGTCTCAGACATTTACCACTTTGGTGAAACCCACTAGCATGGGTATGGTGCTGACAAACCTAGAAACATTATCGGGGGGAAAGGGGATTTGAACCCACAATCATAGGTTTCTGGTGTGCCCAAGGGATGCAACTCTGCACATCAAATCGCGATGCCTTAGACGACTGGGCCACCCGTGCCCCCGGATGGAGATAGGAGGCTTGACATGTGAAATAAATTTGTTTGTTCATTTGTGAGTGACTTGGGTTTAATGCAGAATTTGGGACTGTTTCATTTCAACTTAATTACTTTCACTGATTAGTAATCGTCTACACTGAATTCATTAGAAAAGATGTCTTGATTAGTCTTAGGTGTTCTGAGAAGCTGTGAACGCCAGTCTGTGGACACCATTCTGTGTACACCATGCTGGGAACACCAAGCTGGGAACACAAGTCTGGAAAAACCAAGCTGGGAACACCATGCCGGGAACATCATGGTGGGAACACCATTCTGTGTACACCAAGCTGGGAACACAAGTCTGGAAACACCATTCTTGAAAAACCATGCTGGGAACACCATGCCGGGAACACCATGTTAGGAACACCATTCTGTGTACACCATGCTGCGAACGCCAGTCTGTATACACTTAGCTGTGTACACCGAGCTGTGAACACCAAGCTGTGAACACCATTCTAGTAGGAACATTATTCTGGGAACACCATGCTGGGAACACCATGCTGGGAACACCTGTCTTTGTACAGCAGTCTGGGAACACTAGCCTGGGAACGCCATACTGGGACCACTGATCTAAAGTACTAAAAAACACACCATAACTAAGGAAAACTTGAACTGTCATCCTTGGATATATAAACTTTAAGTCTGTTCAGATTGTAACAATAGTGCATCCTGCCAGGAACCAAAATGTGATCAAAACCTAAGAGTGGTTAAATCTTTTAAAAGCCAGGGGTTGAAAAATCATTTTTCAGTCTAACAAACCTTAGATATAATCAAACTGTTTATGGTATGGATAAGTCACACCACTTTTGTTGTATGTCAATGAACAATTTCATGATCTCAAAAATATCAACATGTCTAATTCAATGAATGACAAGAGGTACAGTAGATGGTAACATGTTCCAACATGAGTGAGGTTCTCAACTGTCTTACTGCACAGTATCAACCATGTAGAGAAACTCCTCAGATGACAATTACATAGGACTTACTATATATTTCCAACATTATCTTCATCACAACCACTTAATATTTTGGGGCGGAGGGGGGGGCTGTAAAGACAGAGTATCGTGTTGGTCACTTCTTCACTGGGAACTCAGAAAGGAGAAGCCAAACTATTTTTGAAGAACATCTAGCATGTCCAGTGCACAATTATTTATTTATTTTTATAAATTTTCTTCTTTTGAAATCCCAAGACCCAAACACCAACAATATCTAATGGTTGGACCCAAAATCACAGTTGAGTTTTCAAAAGTATAAACCCCTGAATAAATCTGACTTTTGTACATGATGTGTACAAACTCCATCGCATGAGATGAAAATGAGTAACAAATGCACCCTGATGGTTCATACATGTAAAATAAAATGCAAGATACTAAAAAGAAAAACATCCAGGAAAAAATATATTCTAAATGTTCAACAAAGTGCACAAACAATCATCACTTTTGTCTGATGGATGGTATTTTTATTGTTCATGATTCCAAGGGAACATTTCAGGGGGGAAACCTGATTATTTTTTGGTGTGAGCACATGATGGGGATACCAGCCCTTCCATCCCTACCCATGTGGCTTCAGGACACTGTCAACATTCGCTCTCCTGCAACCCACGATCGCAGACTTGAGCACTTCCTTAATACAAGCTGAGATTTACCTCAGCAAAATTAAAATCACACATTATCATCCGTGATCGGCACAAACGGAAGTAATCAAACAAGATGCCTTGGTGGTCAATCTTCCCTCCCTCACGGTAAGAAATCACTTTCATATATATTCCTACATACACATAGAATGATTTATTTCAAGCAATCAACAAAGCACTTGTACCTTGTACCAGCTGCATGCAACATGGAATGACAGCTGGGGCACATGTCAAGACAGCCTGTGAACACACCATAGTCGTGATAATCAAGGAAAATCAAACTCAGTGCCTTCGCCTATTTCTTTCATGATCACGGTCCCTACCAACATCTTTATCAAACTCACGATCACTTCTATCGCGATCAGATGTTCGTTGTTTTTGTTTCAACTTGCGCCTGTCCTCCTGTCCATCAAAGCGTCCGTCATTCTGTCTGTCTCGGCGCATTTCCTTAACAGGCGACCTAAGTCTTTTATCATTTCTACGGTCTGTCCTTTCGTCAAACTGATTGTCAGGACGATGATTTCGATCGATAGGTTCTCGATTTCTATCTCGTCTGTTTTCAGTATCACGTCTACTGTCAGACACTCGATTATCACGAGTCCGTCTATCCCAGGAATCGGTGTACATTTCGTCATCACGCACTTGTCGGTAATTGTCATTTCGGAGTCTTCCCTTCTCGGTTCTGTCGTAGTCCATGTCTTCTTCCTCCTCTTCATTCTTCCTTTTCTTCTTCCTGTTCTCTCTATTGCTGGAACGACTGTAGTCTCCATTGGCATATTCTTGTCTGTGTCTTCCGTTGTCTTGGTCGGAGTTTTCCTCTTTGCTGCTGCGCTTGGCCTTGGCTGCTGGTTTGCTCTTCTTCTTCCTCTTTGTCTCTGGCTCTGACTCAGACGAGCTGCTCTCGGAGTCTGAAACAGATGGAAACATTGTTTAGACATTTGGATTTAACAAAGACAAATACTAGTCCTGAAGAAAAGCTCCATATTACTATAATTAGCAAACAAGAAAGCTCTTCTGACCAAGTATTCTACAAATCATAGAGTTCCTTCAACCAAGGAACTAAGCAAACAGAGCTCTTCAACCAAGGAATCTGCCAATCACAGAGCTCCTCAACCAAGGAATATACTGATCATAGTTTTTTTTCCAAAAAAGGACAACCCAATCATAGAGTTCCCTGAACCCGGGGAATATACACATCACCACACCCATATCACCACATCCTCATCACATCCTTATCACATCCTTATCACATCACATCACGGCAGCCTATCCTGCTACATTCTCAACCCCCCACCATCTACACATGATGAACACCGACCTATGCTGCTGCATTATCACACCCCCACCATCTACACGTGATGAACACCGACCTATCCTGCTGCATTCTCACACGCCCATCATCTACACATGTGAGAAATGCTGGCCTATCTTGCTGCATTATCACACCTCCACCATCTACACGTGATGAACAACGACCTATCCTGCTGCATTATCACACGCCCATCATCTACACGTGATGAACACCTATCTATCATGCTGCATTATCACACCCCCACCATCTACACGTGATGAACATCGACCTATCCTGCTGCATTCTCACACGCCCATCATCTACACGTGATGAACACCTATCTATCATGCTGCATTATCACACCCCCACCATCTACACGTGATGAACATCGACCTATCCTGCTGCATTCTCACACGCCCATCATCTACACGTGATGAACACCGACCTATCATGCTGCATTATCACACCTCCACCATCTACACGTGATGAACAACGACCTATCCTGCTGCATTATCACACGCCCATCATCTACACATGATGAACAACGACCTATCATGCTGCATTATCACACCCCCACCATCTACACGTGATGAACACCGACCTATCCTGCTGCATTATCAAACCTCCACCTTCTACACATGTGAGAAATGCTGGCCTTTCTTGTTGCATTATCACACCTCCACCATCTACACGTGATGAACACCAACCTATCCTGCTGCATTATCACACCCCCACCATCTACACATGTGAGAAATGCTCGCCTATCTTGCTGCATTATCACACCTCCACCATCTACACGTGATGAACACCGACCTATCCTGCTACATTATCACACACCCATCATCTACACGTGATGAACACTGACCTATCATGCTGCATTATCACACCCCCACCATCTACACATGATGAACACCGACCTATCCTGCTGCATTATCACACACCCATCATCTACACATGATGAACACTGACCTATCATGCAGCATTATCACACCCCCACCATCTACACATGATGAACACCGACCTATCCTGCTGCATTATCAAACCTCCACCTTCTACACATGTGAGAAATGCTGGCCTTTCTTGTTGCATAATCACACCCCTCCCATCTACACGTGATGAACACCAACCTACCCTGCTGCATTATCACACCCCCACCATCTACACATGTGAGAAATGCTCGCCTATCTTGCTGCATTATCACACCTCCACCATCTACACGTGATGAACACCAACCTATCCTGCTACATTATCACACGCCCATCATCTACACGTGATGAACACTGACCTATCATGCTGCATTATCACACCCCCACCATCTACACATGATGAACAACGACCTATCCTGCTGCATTATCACACACCCATCATCTACACATGATGAACACCGACCTATCATGCAGCATTATCACACCCCCACCATCGACACATGTGAGAAATGCTGGCCTATCCTGCTGCATTATCACACCTCCACCATCTACACGTGATGAACACCGACCTATCCTGCTGCATTATCACACGCCCATCATCTACACGTGATGAACACCGACCTATCATGGTGCATTATCACACACCCATCATCTACACATGTGAGGAATGCTTGCCTTTCCTGCTGCATTATCACACCCCCACCATCTACACATGATGAACACCGACCTATCTTGCTGCATTATCAAACACCCATCATCTACACATGTGAGGTATGCTGGCCTATCTTGCTGCATTATCAAACACCCATCGTCTACACATGTGAGGAATGTTGACCTATCCTGCTGCATTATCACACACCAATCTACACATGTGAGGAATGCTGGCCTATCCTGATGCATTATCACACACCCATCTACACATGTGAGGAATGCTGGCCTATCCTGATGCATTATCACACACCCATCTACACATGTGCGGAATGCCGGCCTATCCTGCTGCATTATCAAACACCCATTGTCTACACGTGTGATGAACACCGACCTATCCTGCTGCATTACCTGAGTCAGAGCTGTTGCTGGAAGAGGAGCTGTCACTGTCAGAACTATCACTATCTGATGAGTCAGATGACGACTCTGCCTCCTGCTGCTGTTGCTGTTGCTGCTGCATCAGCTGTTTGGTCATTGTCTTCAGGTGGTCACGAAGGTCATCCCTGTGATGAAGATGATGTTCAAATCACAATGTCAAACCAGATACACGTAGTGACTGGATACATGCTTACAAACATAGCCTGTAGAACCTCTAGATTAGTCTCTAAACTACATAAATGTCTCGACAAAAAGTAGGTCTCAATATTGTGTTGCTACATACACAATTAATTTCAAATATGTTTTATACTTTACTAACAGTCTTAAACTTAAAGCATGTTTAAATGGCTGAATTGAATTATTAGTCATCACTGGAAAATAAGAGGTTTTAGGTGAGAAATACTTACGTTAGTCCTCCAAGACCGATTGTTGTAAAAAAGTTTATAGCAAAACGCGTGTTCTTGGGATTATCCCGCGGCATGATTCCTTCGAAATATTCTTGAAGTGTTCTGAAACCAGAAACAAATGTATGATATTGACAGCAGAAACTGACCACACGAAGGCTGACAAATAATATAAAAACTTACAATGGGCCATAGATAAATGGGTTTCACTGTCTTCAGTCTTTCATCCTATACACTACTTGGTTAAACAGGTGCAAACAAATGCACCAGTTATTTTCTAAGTATAATGATATTGTCATACAGTGATATTTACAGAACAAATGTTGCTGAAATAAACTGCCATACACTCAATCACTCTCTTCCAGGGATATACAGAATGCTAACAAATTGCATTCAAAACGCATAAACTATAAGAATGGATGCAAATATTATTCTGTGACAAGTCCCTTTGGGACGTAAAGTAGAACAAGTGTTGAAATGATCAAATTAAATTGAAGCACATATTTCTGGTTATCTGATATTTCTGTTCTTTTGAGAAACATATTCAATGTTGAGACGATCCATGTTTAGATTTTTCCCTTAATCACTACGTTCTGATTGTAATCCCATCACACAGACATCCCATCTATAACAAGCATAAGGCATCACAATGTTTAGTATTTTATTGGCTCTTGGTACAGTAGTCACCCTTGGACCTCCATTTCAATTCATATGACCCCCAAATTGATTCATACCTCTACAAACGGCATTCTCAGGAGTTACTTTATCACAGCCTATTACAATACACAATCAACCCATGACACAAACTCACAGTGAAGCCCACAGTGAAACACTGCTCTCAAACCTTGGCTAGCAAGCCATCATTGATATTTCAACATATCCTTCCACGCCAGCTGGTAAATGGCCTTCAAGCTGTTTCAATACATCTTCAGTGAACTCATACATGAAGCATGTGGTACTACAGATGAGTGTTCCTTTTACAACGTTCTTGGTTTAACTGCTGTACCATCAGACATAGAAAAAGAGCTTCCATTAACTGAACAGTGTCAGGAATCAAATCCTTAATCTCACATGTGGGCTTATCCCACTGCCCAGGTAAAAGGTATCCCTTTAATCCCACGACTTTTATTTGCTGAGTTTACATCAGACACAGGAATTTTCAGACAAAAATAGAAGAAGTCACAATAACTAAGATTTCTCTAGCAGCACAAAAAATGGCATCAGTTCAACAAAGTCAACTCAAAAGCAGGAGTATGTGATAACATGGAACTAATTTACTTACACGTCTTTCAGACGATCATTGAGCCTTGGCAAGCCCATGTATTCCGATAATTCCTGGAACAAGATCTTGATGAAGATCCTGCTGGCTGATGTCGTGTCGTCCTCATTCAGCTTCACACACACCAACACCTACACAGAAATAATCATCATCAAGCCAATTGTCCTCAACTCCAGCTTCACACACACCAACACCTACACAGAAATAATCATCATCAAGCCAATTGTCCTCAACTCCAGCTTCACACACACCAACACCTACACAGAAATAATCATCATCAAGCCAATTGTCCTCAACTCCAGCTTCACACACACCAACACCTACACAGAAATAATCATCATCAAGCCAATTGTCCTCAACTCCAGCTTCACACACACCAACACCTACACAGAAATAATCATCATCAAGCCAATTGTCCTCAACTCCAGCTTCACACACACCAACACCTACACAGAAATAATCATCATCAAGCCAATTGTCCTCAACTCCAGCTTCACACAGACCAACACCTACGCAGAAATAATCAGGATCAAGCCAATCGTCCTCAACTCCAGCTCCACACAGACCAACACCTACGCAGAAATAATCAGGATCAAGCCAATTGTCCTCAACTCCAGCTTCACACAGACCAACACCTTCACAGAAATAATCAGGATCAAGCCGATCGCCCTCAACTCCAGCTTCACACACACCAACACCTACACAGAAATAGTCAAGATAAAGCTGAACTCCAGACACAACAAACTTAAAGTGAAATATGTTACTTCTTATGACAGAACTGATGGTCAGATCCAGAAAATAATAAACCTCATCAGTGTATGACAATTATTGGAAACAAAAAACTACTGACAGAAGTGTTTGAGCAAGTGTGGACTAAAGCTGCTTTGAGCTTCATATCACATAGATCACAGGTTGAGTCAGTTTAATGTGGGAAGAAGTTTGAAAGTGACACTGTGTTGCAAAACCTGAAAGCAAGGTAAATGGTTCATAACTGGCACAAATCTGGGACTCAATCGAACATTCAGGTGCTCCTGTCACAGCTAAGGGAAACAACTCCACGCGTCAAGTTGATAGAGCTGAGCTGGTGATCATCACCTGGGATAAAATGGCTCCTACACATCCAAGGGACACAACTCTGCACACATAAATATTTCAATGATCCATAACTGGATGTTATGCCAAATCTATGTCACTTATAGATCAAGATATAAACTCTTTCATTTTGAGAGAAGTCAAGAATTTTCTGACTCACAGCAGCTCAGCTGAAAAAATCCCTGAAAAATCTTTTTGAGGGAGAGGATGTCTCAAAGTCAATTTAAACTGGCAGTGGCTTTGGTTTTTGGCAGTACGACTTACCTCTCTTAGCCATTTTGTTTTTCCTCATCTCAGTGTTTGATTGGTTAGTAAAATGTTAATGAAAATCAAGGACAGAAAACTTAACATCACGAAAACCTCGCGAATTGATCCAGGGGGTGGTGTAGGTTTACCGATACATGGGCCCTGGAGATGTAGAGGATGGTGCTTGTCAAGGTTGATATTAAACATACAAACATCTGGAAAAAACATCATCTAACAACATAAACAAGACAACTCACCCCCCAGCTGATGGCGTCACTGTATAGAAGATGGCCAAAGAATTTGGCAACATTCCTCAGTTTGTTTGTCTCCAGCCGGTGAATGGTCTCGTACTGTTCTATAAACGTAGTCTGGAATGGCTCAACATACTTCTTGTCCAGTTGACAGAAACGCTGAGAGAATAAAATAGGTGTCAATTTTTTACAAAAAATTCACAGAGAAGCCAATTCATGAACTTATTTTTAAAGATAACATGCTTCAGTGGCATCATATAATTAAGAATGTTAGTTGGATTTAACAGCACACTGAATCGAATTTCAGTTCTACCAAGATTTACGAGCTTAATGTGTAAGGAAAATCTGAAGTCATGCGGGTCTCAATTCTTTACAAATAAAGAGGACACACACACACACACACACACACACAAACACACACACACACAGGTATGGTGCGGTCAAACAATGAACCATAATTAGGGTCAACTTGGGATTCCAACCAATTATCGTAGGATTGTGGCACACATACTGGAAGTAATTCTGCACAGTTGATTGCAGTGATCTACATAACTGGACCACTCGTGGCCTCTGTATTGATGACAATCAAGCTTCGACATGTATTCCATGCACTGACCAAATCAACTTTGGCAGATGCAAGGAGTGACTGAGAATGGTTTTACGTCGCTTTTAGCAATAAACCAGCAATATCATGACAGGGGACACCAGAAACGGGCTTGACACATTGTTCCCATTTTGGGAATCAGCCTTATGCGTGACAAGTGAACACTTTAACCACCAGGCTACTCCATCCCGCAGATACAAGATAGTATACAATGGTAGTAATCTGTAGGAACCCTGTCACACTGTTACAATACCTGTGCTAGCAGACCAAAGAACTTTTCATATGTTCTCAGCTGGGCGCAGCAATCAAGAATCATGTTGCACAGTTCCACCTGACAAATGAGACAAACAGTAAAAAGGGGAATTTCATACAGGAAACAGGCTGAATAATTTTCCCCTCAGGAATCAATTAAAAAGCAAAATAATAAAAAAGAATTCCAAAATATAGAAGTCAAGTGAATCTGTAGTGAAAGTTTGAGTTTACTGCTTCTTTGATTAACATATCAGTTCTATCACGCATCAGCTTCATAGTTACAGATGGGGGGAAAACCCAAAGTGATGCAGGCCAGGTTTTAGCATCTTTGTGAAAGGCAAGAGAATGGCCACAGTGCTGATCATCAGGGCAAGCTGAGATTCACTGGATTCCGGAACACCTACGAGATGCACAGCAATTGCAGCCTCATAGATGACTGAGTTACCCATGTGCCCTGAATCCCCACAGGGCTACACATTAACTACAGTAGCTGGAAGGAAACTATTTACTTCTTGTCCTGGCTTCATCTCCATGCGGAGCAACTTGTGGGCACACTCCTCGAAGTCCAGACTTGACTGGATGGTCAGGTAGATTGTCCGGCGCAAGGCCACCAGGTTGGTCTCAGTGTTGTCAATGATTATCTGTTTGGCTTCCTCATCTGGAAATAGGGACACTTTACATTGTTTCCAAACTCTTTACAGTGTTTCCTGACTCTTTATAGTGTTTCCTGAACTTACAGTGTTTCCTGACTACTTACAGGGTTTCCTGACTACTTACAGTGTTTCCTGACTCTTTACAGTGTTTCCTGACTCTTTATAGTGTTTCCTGACTACTTACAGTGTTTCCTGACTACTTACAGGGTTTCCTGACTACTTACAGTGTTTCCTGACTCTTTACATTGTTTCCAAACTCTTTACAGTGTTTCCTGACTCCTTATAGTGTTTCCTGACTGCAGTGTTTCCTGACTACTTACAGTGTTTCCTGACTACAGTGTTTCCTGACTACTTACAGTGTTTCCTGACTCTTTACAGTGTTTCCTGACTCTTTATAGTATTTCCTGACTACTTACAGTGTTTCCTGACTACTTACAGTGTTTCCTGACTCTTTACAGTGTTTCCTGACTCTTTATAGTGTTTCCTGACTACTAACAGTGTCTCCTGACTACTTACAGTGTTTCTTGACTACTTACAGTGTCTCCTGACTACTTACAGTGTTTCTTGACTACTTACAGTGTCTCCTGACTACTTACAGTGTCTCCTGACTCTTTACAGTGTTTCCTGACTACTTACAGTGTTTCCTGACTACTTACAGTGTTTCCTGACTACTTAGTGTTTCCTGACTACTAACAGTGTTTCCTGACTATAGTGTTTCCTGACTGTTTACATTGTTTCCTGAACTTACAGTGTTTCCCAACTCTTTATAGTGTTTCCTGACTACTTACAGTGTTTCCTGACTATAGCGTTTCCTGACTACTTACAGTGTTTCCTTACTACTTACAGTGTTTCCTGACTCTTTATAGTGTTTCCTGACTACTTACAGTGTTTCCTGACTACTTACAGGGTTTCCTGACTACTTACAGTGTTTCCTGACTCTTTACATTGTTTCCAAACTCTTTACAGTGTTTCCTGACTCCTTATAGTGTTTCCTGACTGCAGTGTTTCCTGACTACTTACAGTGTTTCCTGACTACAGTGTTTCCTGACTACTTACAGTGTTTCCTGACTCTTTACAGTGTTTCCTGACTCTTTATAGTATTTCCTGACTACTTACAGTGTTTCCTGACTACTTACAGTGTTTCCTGACTCTTTACAGTGTTTCCTGACTCTTTATAGTGTTTCCTGACTACTAACAGTGTCTCCTGACTACTTACAGTGTTTCTTGACTACTTACAGTGTCTCCTGACTACTTACAGTGTTTCTTGACTACTTACAGTGTCTCCTGACTACTTACAGTGTCTCCTGACTCTTTACAGTGTTTCCTGACTACTTACAGTGTTTCCTGACTACTTACAGTGTTTCCTGACTACTTAGTGTTTCCTGACTACTAACAGTGTTTCCTGACTATAGTGTTTCCTGACTGTTTACATTGTTTCCTGAACTTACAGTGTTTCCCAACTCTTTATAGTGTTTCCTGACTACTTACAGTGTTTCCTGACTATAGCGTTTCCTGACTACTTACAGTGTTTCCTTACTACTTACAGTGTTTCCTGACTCTTTATAGTGTTTCCTGACTACTTACAGTGTTTCCTGACTACTAACAGGTGTCCTGACTACTTACAGTGTTTCCTGACTACTTACAGTGTTTCCTGACTACTTAGTGTCTCCTGACTACTTAGGGTTTCCTGACTCTTTACAGTGTTTCCTGACTCTTTACAGTGTTTCCTGACTACTCACAGTGTTTCCTGACTACTTACAGAGTTTCCTGACTACTTACAGTGTCTCCTGACTCTTTACAGTGTTTCCTGACAACTTACAGTGTCTCCTGACTACTTACAGTGTTTCCTGACTCTTTACAGTGTTTCCTGACTACTTACAGTGTTTCCTGACTACTTACAGTGTCTCCTGACTACTAACAGTGTTTCCTGACTACTTACAGTGTTTCCTGACTCTTTACAGTGTTTCCTGACTACTTACAGTGTCTCCTGACTACTTACAGTGTTTCCTGACTACTTACAGTGTTTCCTGACTACTTACAGTGTCTCCTGACTACTAACAGTGTTTCCTGACTACTTACAGTGTTTCCTGACTACTTACAGTGTTTCCTGACTACTTACAGTGTTTCAAGACTATTTGCACTGTATTCCCTGACTCTTTACCATGTCTGTCAAACTCTTTACATAGTGTTTCCAGACACTTTACAATGTGTTACCGTAAGAATTATGCCATATGCCACACCAATCTCCATATATCAATATCTACAACCAGAATAGCTGCACCAATCATTGTTAAAACAAAACATGTATTATTATCAAGAATGAACCACCACACCTTTAAATTAATGCTATACAAGCATCATATCTAACAGCAAGCTGTGAAGCCTGGTACAAAAATGTTACAAATGTTCCTGAAACAATGTAGAAACAAGGAATGTTGTTAGACACACAATTTCTTTCTTCAGTTCACAATAATAATAATAATAATAATAATAATAATAATAATAACATTGTCATCTTTCTTTTCACAAAAACAAATTCAAAGTACAGAAGATAACAAAGACATCTGGCCTGGGAAAAGGCAAGAAAGCAGACATTTCTACTGCAATTACTGAAACAACCTTGCTATACAGCCACTTTACACTGTACCCACCTTCCTCATCTTCATCACTGTCTTCCTCACTGCTGGACCCAGATCCACTCTCCCCTTCGTCGGAGCTGCACTCTTCAAGGATCTCTGCAAGGAAAGGGTGAGAGGTTTAACAACCAGTACACCTGCGCTATCGCACTGAGAGCATTTCCACAGGTGGCAGCCCTCCTCCAGCTGGTCCTTCAGCCTGTGGCTGTCAGAAATAGCAGAGGGCAAACTATTATTTATAGTCCAAGATCCTTATGCTTAGCCAACTTGCACATATGTTGGATATTCATTTTACAAAATATTCAAGAAATGAATTTTTACCTGTTCAATATTTTGAAAATGCAGATTATTGTGTATTAAGTAATAATAAATGGGAGTGTAAATGTTGACAGCAAATGTTGGCAGGAACAGGCAATCTATTGGCTGACTGCATGAGCACCAGCCATGCTGTCGGGGCACAATGACCCACAATCAAACAGGTCACACACTGTAACCACCCTATCCTCTTAAAACAAGCATGGAGTATAGATAAAGCAACTATGTAGGTGCATCAGCACATTAGTTTCTCCTCCCCACCTCTCTTGAGAGATTTGTACTTGTCTTCATTTTCCAAATAGTCTGGATCGGCTCGGAACACATCTGAAACAATTACAGAGTTGCTGTTAGCAAAAATATCTTGCCAAATGTATACATAAAATATTAACCATATTCAATGATAATGAAAGACATATTTTCAAAATAATCTATAGTTACTTTCATGCCCAACTTATAAAACAACTTGACAGTCCCAATAAAAATATTGCAGTGGCATTTGGTTTTGTAGCTCTTGCTAAAAACAGTCTTGGCAAGTTAGACTATTCCATAGCCTTATGCTACAGACAGCTCAAGATATAATTGGAAATACATTAACATACCAAAACAGTTACTGCTACTAGTTCAATACACATTCAGCCTTTGTGGCCATCTAATCCCCAATCAAGTTCAAGTAACTCTTAGCCACTGAGCACATCTAATCCCCAATCAAGTTCAAGTAACTCTTAGCCACTGAAGACATCTAATCCACAATCAAGTTCCAGTCACACTACGCCACTGTGGCCATCTAACCCACAATCAAGTTCCGGTCACACTTAGCCACTGAGGACATCTAATCTCCAATCATGTTCCAGTCACACTTAGCCACTGAGGACATCTAATCCACAATCAAGTTCCAGTCACACTTAGCCACTGAGGTCATCTAATCCACAATCAAGTTCCATTCACACTTAGCCACTGAGGACATCTTATCAAAAAATAAAGTTCCAGTCACACTTAGCCACTGAGGACATCTAATCCACAATCAAGGTCCAGTCACACTTAGCCACTGAGGACATCTAATCCACAATCAAGTTCCGGTCACACTTAGCCACTGAGGTCATCTAATCCACAATCAAGGTCCAGTCACACTTAGCCACTGAGGTCATCTAATCCACAATCAAGGTCCAGTCACACTTAGCCACTGAGGTCATCTAATCCACAATCAAGGTCCAGTCACACTTAGCCACTGAGGACATCTAATCCACAATCAAGGTCCAGTCACACTAAGCCACTGAGGACATCTAATCCACAATCAAGTTTCGGTCACACTTAGCCACTGAGGTCATCTTATCTCCAATCATGTTCCAGTCACACTTAGCCCCTGAGGACATCTTATCCACAATCAAGTTCCAGTCACACGTAACCACTGAGGTCATCTAATCCACAATCAAGTTCCAGTAACACTTAGCTACTGAGGCCATCTAATCCACAATCAAGTTCCGGTCACATGTTACCACTGTGGCCATCTAATCCCTATTCAAGTTCCGGTCACCCGTAGCCACTGAAGCCTAATCCCAAATCAAGTTTTGGTCACACGTAGCCACTGAAAGCATCTAATTCCAAATCAAGTTCCAGTCATCGCTACTGATCCCAAATAAAGTTCTAGTCAAACCTAGTCATTGGGGCTTGTTACATTGTGGGGAATCGAACCCGGGCCTTAAGAGTGACAGGCAAACACTTTAAACACTCGGCTACCAGACCGTCCCCAGCCATTATGAGCACCTTGGGAAATACTCCACTTCAGCAACTAATCAAATATTTTTTTCCTTGTAAAGCTGTATGAAAGAAGTGGAGGACAATAAATAGTGATAATTACTCAGGAGGTCCTCTGACTGGACAGCATCTTCCAGGGTGATGAGATGTGTGAACTGATCCACCTCCTCCACAAGGTCAAGGTCATCCACCACAGCAACATGATCCTAGAAGTCAGAGATGGTTTATATGCAGTGTTCCAAAATAAAGGTGGGGTGGCTGTCCAGGAATATTTGACGTTTGCTCCAATGGCATTTGGATCTTAGGACGCCCTAAATCTTTAACAGTTATACGAGGCCTATGACAAGGTCTCCTCTCATGCTTATTCCTCAAACCCAATTAATGTCAAACCATGCTATAACAAGGCAGGACATAGTGAATGATCTTGATAATAAGCAGCGGAAATCTAAAAAATTTGCTTCCTCCCTTATAACTTAGATTGATAAAATCCTATTCCAATTTCTGAATTCCCAGGTTTATTTTATGAATCATACTCTCCATTAAGCATGTGACACATGTTTATCCCAATTACTTTTGTGAAAGAACATTTATCACTGGCTATGTATCATGAGTGAGTGATACGCCGCTTTTAGCAATATTCCAGCAATATCAAGGCGGGGGACACTAGAAATGGGCTTCACACAATGTACCCATGTAGGGAACAGAACTTGGGTCTTCGGCATGATGAGCGAGGCTTTAATCACTAGGCTACCCAACTGCCCTTTACAATCATGAGTAGGCATTCTGAAAGAACAGACTTCTAAATGTGCCTTTCAGGCACAAGGAACTAATATTAGCTTTGCCTTACAATTTTAACTGTACCAATGGTATTCTTATACAAGAAAATTTGGAAACAGTAGGTGATAACATCACATGGAAATATGCTTATATACATGTACATCTTAATAACCACCTAACAATTTTCATGCACATTTTAAGGATTATATGAATGTAAGTCAATAATTCATCAAAATAAGCTTATGAAATGTTCACGTACAAAAATCATAAAAACAAGCTTTTAAACTGTATATGTCAATAATTCATTAAGACAAGCATTTGAACTGTACATGTCAATAATTCATAAAACATGCTTTGGAACTGCATATGTCAATTATTCATAAAAACAAGCTTTTGAACTGTGTATGTCAATAAATCATTAAAACAAGGCTTTAACTGTATTAATTCAGCAATTACTCACTATTAGTTTAAAATAAACTCATACCTTGAAGCCATCTTTCCTGATGGCAAACATGACCTCCACCATGTACTGGACCCGAGTGTCAATCATGCCTTCGTGCAAAATGTTACGCAGGCGCTCAAATATTGCTGAAATGAAAAACATGACGAGCTAGTATTTTCACTTATCAAAGACCAAGTAACCAGGTAAGTACTCCTGTGGATCTCTTCTGATCCAAATGAATCAATAAATAATGTGAGTGAGTGAGTGTGGTTTTACGCCACTTTTAGCAATATTCAAGCAATATCACAGCGGGGGACACCAGAAATGGGCTTCACACATTGTACCCATGTGAATCGAACCTGGGTCTTCGAGTGACGAGTGAACGCCTTAAAGGGGAAGTGTACACGCAAAAATCACTTTCTTTCTTTTTCTAAACAAAACGCAATTTTAGAATTAATTAGTATCTGTGTTTGAATTGGTGCCAATATCAACTGGGTCCCTGTCTATTCTCAACGCAAAAGATATCAAGTACCAGTTTGCGGTAAAACAACATGGCCTACGACACACTCCGGCGCAGTGGTGACTCAGCATAACACTATGCTGGCTGGCATCTGAGACGCTAGAATCACACACCTGGACCTACACCACGTGAAGCGGCTCTAACAAAGCATGATGACGTCATAATGTTTATCAATTGGCACCAATGACGTCATATTGCAAGGGGCATAAGCCATGGTGTTTTTGTTGTGGAAATAGAACACTTGGTAAATGTGAAAAATATAAATCGTTTTAATGCGAAAAATATGTTAATTAATTGTGATATTTTTATATTTTTGTCTATGACACTTCTATGTTAACACTTTTAATGTGGAAAAAGTACAAGAAAAATAGGTTCATTTCCGTGTGAACTTGCCCTTTAACCACTAGGCTACCTAACCGCCCCAATTGAACAATGAGACCACCGCATCACCTGGATGAAGCTGTTTCCAATCCAACTTACCATTGATTCCTCGGGGAGAGACCTCCGTCAGCTTCTGTCCACATTCTTTGAGGAAGCCAATGGCCACTTCCACAGAGTCGTCTGTCGGGTTCTCCATGAGCAGGGTGAGGATCTCCAGGGCTATCACTTCATGGGCCTGGCACAACAGGGCAAACAATATGCAGCATGTACCACACAGAAGTCCCCATAATATTCTAGTGGGACCTAGAAACCCATCAGTTTTAACAGCCCATATGTATGAATGTCAAACCTGCATCCATGAATAACCATATCTTCATTATATTATGATATACACCTTGAACCCATTTTGCCACCACAGCATAGTTTTGAAGTGACTTTTCACTAATAAAGCACAGTATTTCTCTCACTCATGGACTCGAAATCAACAACCAGCCAAATTGCCTCTTCTGAGTACAGCATAGATCTACATTCAAGCCCAAAATCAAAGAACAGTCTGAGCTGGAACATGTGTTTCCCTCAGTATTAACATTAATAAGAATGGTTGGTTGCTTTGTTGTTTTACGCAGCACTAAGCAATATTACAGCTAGACGACAGCGGTCTGTAAATAATCGAGTCTGGACCAGTCAATCCAGTGATTGATATCATGAGCATTGCTCCACGCAATTGGGATCGATGACATGCATCAACCAAGTCAGTGAGCCTGACCACCCGATCCCATTAGTCACCACTTACGACAAGCTTTTACGGCAAGCATGGGTTGCTGAAGACCTATTCTACCCTAGATCTTCCCAGGTCCATTATCAAGACAAGGGAGGGATGTCACTATGATACAAGAATCCTTGATTCTACTACTGTCTGCCATCACCAATATTAGGGATGACTTACAAAAGCTGAGTCAAGCACTGGTCATGTTGCAGCTTGTTTCAATCGTGAAAGAGTGAGTGAGTAAGGTTTTACGCTGCTTTTAGCAATATTCCAGCAATATCACGGCGGGGGACACCAGAAATGGGCTTCACACATTGTACCCATGTCGGGAATCGAACCCGGGTCTTCGGCGTGACAAGCGAACGCTTTAACCACTAGGCTACCCGACTGCCCCAATCGTGAAAGAACACTGTAATCTTGTTACACATCAACTAAAGTGTCACTTTAGTTGAACCAGACTCCAAATGTCAAAGTAATCATAAAGAACTTGGATCTATTCTACATGGAATCTATTCTACAAAGAATCGCTATGGGAGTACTAGGTCTCAAACAGGCAAACCAGAGGTTGAGAGTATGAGCACATATTACCGATTGTACATAACTTCACACCAGTTTATTAATCCGGAAATAGATTATTTGTTAATCAGCATGATTTCACTGGGTACATCAGTGTCTGGATAAACAGGGTTTTACTGTACCAGCTCACTGCCCAAACATGCCTGCCTAGGAGGACACTCATAAAGGTAGGTGCTGGTGACCTATTCTGCCCTGAATTCTATATGCATTTTGGGTACAATGACACTCAGATCATGATTTAATTTCAAGAGGGTCACATTTTGCATAAACTCTCATATATGAGTCAACAATGATAATGTTTAAGTTACAATAAGTGACAGGTGACACTCAACTTGAGACTATACATCACACAAAACCTACCACTTGCTGATTGACCAGGTGAGCTATGAAGCGTGTAGAAGACAGGCACACAGTCTTGTCATTTCTCCGGAATCCCTTCTTAAACAGCAGAATCAGCCTGCGCAGAATCAGCTCACCATTTTGAGGAAACTGAAGTGAAGGCAAGAAATAATGAAAATTAACACATACAGATCCAGCTGCTGCAGGTTAGTGTATTTGTTTACTTACCGCCACACTCAGAGATTCCAGTTATTATGAAGGCGGTCTGGACCAGACAACCAGTGATTGGTATCACGGGAAACATCCTACGCATTTTGGGTACAATGACACACAGATCATGATTCTATTTCTATGTTGTCGAAGATAACTTCTAATGAGCATGTGTTCACCAAGCGAGTCACATTTGGCTTAACCTCTCAACAGTGACACATGTCTGAGTTACAGAAAGTGAGATGTTGCACATCTGTGCATCATTCACTGCAGTAGAATTCACATGTACATGAAGTCTACAGTCAGTCAAGAAGAAAACATCGAACCCCCAACCATCCTCACTCCAGGCAGACGCTCCCCAGGCAGACGCTCCCCAGGCAGACGCTCTCCAGGCAGACGCTCCCCAGGCAGACGCTCTCCAGGCAGACGCTCTCCAGGCAGGCGCTCCCCAGGCAGACGCTCTCCGGGCAGACGCTCTCCAGGCAGACGCTCTCCAGGCAGACGCTCTGCAGGCAGACGCTCCCCAGGCAGACGCTCTCCAGGCAGTCGCTCTCCAGGCAGACGCTCTCCAGGCAGACGCTCCCCAGGACGACCCTCTCCAGGCAGACGCTCTCCAGGCAGACGCTCCCCAGGCAGACCCTCTCCAGGCAGACGCTCTCCAGGCAGACACTCTCCAGGCAGACGCTCCCCAGGCAGACACTCTCCAGGCAGACGCTCCCCAGGCAGACCCTCTCCAGGCAGACACTCTCCAGGCAGACGCTCCCCAGTCAGACGCTCTCCAGGCAGACGCTCTCCAGGCAGACGCACTCAATTCAAAGAGGACAAATTTAGTAAAATCTAAATATTTTTTACATTTGTATACTTATCCTGCATTACTCCGTATTGCATTTACTGCTATGTTTGACAGAGAGACGAACTGTGTGAGATCCAGCTGCTGAAGAAAGTTGTCCCAACCAGCCCAGGAGGCAGCGCCCTCTCACAGTCGGCACGTGACCCGGAAGTCATGACGTCACACAAAAAGACATAACTGCTTTAAACATAACATCTGAAACTTCGTGGGGAGGTAGCGTAGCGAAAGGGAGGGCACTTAGACTTCGTAATGCAGGATAAGTATACAAATGTAAAAAATATTTAGATTTTACTAAATTTTTTAACTTATCCTGCATTACTCCGTATTGCATCTTTATCAGACGGCTTGGCCGGTGGGCATACTTGCAGATGTGAACCATATTAAACCCTCGTCAAGGTCCGATGAATCCGCACCGCATACAAGTGATGACCGGAACCTCTACGACCATTCCTGTCTTCAGGAAACAAGAGTCGATGCAAAAACGAAACGCCCGAATAGGTAACCGAAATACAATGAGGCGTGTAGCCAAAATATATAACTTACCGAAGAGCGAAAGCGAAACGCAGTAGAACCTAGAGCTAATCTGAGGTGATAAACACCAGAGAGTTCGACGGGCCCCGCTCGGGGAATCGAAGAATCAGCGGCGTCGGCGGCAAAATCTACGACCAATCCCAAGAGCGAATGCGAAACGCAGGAGAGCCCTCTAGGCTGGAGGCAAGGAACACCGGTGAGGTCGACGGGCACCGCCCAGGTACCAGAGAAGCAGCGGCGTTGGCGTCGGCGCCGGTGTCCACATCTACTACCATTCCTGTCGTCAGGAAACGAGAGTTGATGCAAAAAGTAAAACCCGGATAGGTGACAGCAATAGAATGAGTCGGGTAACCCAAAACTAAAACTGACCTAAGAGCGAATGCGGAACGCAAGAGAGCCGTCTCGTCTGGGGTGATAAACACCAGAGAGGTCGAAGGGGCCCGCTCAGGGTATCGGAGAATCAGTGGCGTCGGAGATAGATGACCTGTTGGGCTACAACCAGGGACCAAAACTGTGAACGCCGGCGACAACTTTCAAGGCTACATCACGGAAGTAGTGGTTGGTGAAGGCGGTGTCCGATCGCCACGAACAGGCTTCCCTGAACGACGGGATGGAACAGTATACCGTGAAGAACCAGTGTAAATACGATCGCCCTGATCTCATTTTATTTCAGGTAATAGCCTTTGGGGGGAGGGTCCAATCCGGCGGCTCATACGCTTTAAGGATGACCGCCCGGAGCCACAGGGAAAAGTATTCCGGCTGACCAACGACAGCAACGAAGGGGAGACCGGCAGAAAAAGGTGTTTCCTAGACTTGCGGCAGTCTTTAGATCGTAGAATAACCTTCAGTGCCCTTACTGGGCATAATGACGCTCATCCTCATCCTCGGCACCCGCACTGGACGAGGGGGGAGGGGACAAGGAATGATCTATCAGGCTGTCCTGGGAGTTGAGTCTTTACGCTGACGTCCCAGTACGGTCCATGATGAACGGCGCCCTGGGTACCGCATTCGAACCGGGCATGGGAGACGTCGAGGGCGTGCTGTACATGGACTCGAGCGGCAGTAGTCAAAACCAGTAGAAACACCCGTCTTCTACTTAAGGTCGTAGAAGGAAGACGAGGGGAGTGGTTCGAAGGGCGTTGAAGACCACATTCAGATCCAACGCAGGCGGTCCAAACTTGGTCTTCAAGACTGAACGAGCGCAGCCAGGCCCGTAGGTCGGGAATTTTCGTCTTTCTCCGATCGTCCGGGATGGCCAGAACGGAGTAGATGGCGACCAGGTATGTGGGGGTGGTAAGCCCTTCAACCGATGGGTGCTACACAAGTACAGAAGGAACTGATCCAGGATCTGCGGTGACGCTGTCATCGGATCCTGGTGTTTGTCAGAACAAAATGCCTGGAACAAGCATCATTTATCAGCATACAGTCCCCCTGTAGATGGACGGTGGGCTGAAGCAATAGCTTGGTCGCTCTAGCCGAATAGCCCTTGGCTTTCTGCATGTGTGTCAGGCGTGCAGACGATAACATGCGGGTATGAGGGTGTGGCTTCTCATTCTAACAGACCGTGTGGATGGAGCAGAAGGTTGGACCACACCGGAAGTTCCAGGGGTTGTCTCTGGCTATGTTTCGGAGGTCGATAACCCAACTTCTGGCTGACCAATAAGGCGAGACCAAAGTCAATGGCAGGGGTCGAGTGGCCTGGATCTCTGAAGAACCGTGGGAGGGAGAACCGGAGTCGGAAAAGCGTACGCGCGTAATCCTTCTCAGGAACGATGGAAGGCTTCGACTGCCACAGCGGTCGTATCCGGCACAGGTGGAATGGAAGACGACAGCTGGCCACATTCAGATATGAGGCAAACAGATCTAGGGTTGGGGTGTCGACCGTTTCACATAGTCTGGCCCGAGGCGCCGGAGAGCGTGAGGCGTCGGAGAGCTTGAGGCGCCTGGAACGCCGAAGATGGTGATTCTCGGGTGCGCCGGTCGAGTTTGTGGCGCCGGGAGAGGGGCGAGAACTCTGGGTCCGCAAACACCACACTACGGTGACGTCGTCAGTGGACACGATCAACAGGGCGTGACCGAGAATGCACTGTCAGCAAGTGCCGTCCTGGATAAGCATTTATCTCGAGGCTGTTGCTGTGCCAATGGTGTTGATCTCTGGATCACAGGTGGTCACAATGTGGGCTGGCGTGGGCCACTAGCCACTGACAAGGTGGCAGGGGAGGTAGTCAGCAACAGGGGTCTGCGATTGCGTACCGTCGGTACGATTCGGAAAAAGGTGTGATCGCCTGCGAGCCAACCTCAAGTAGACGAAGTAAACCAGCTTCACAATCGACCGCCGGGGCATCGACGTAACCGGGTAGTAGGAAGTCGAGGCAATATGGCCATTGCACGAAGTAATGAGATCGTTTTCATCCCTGAAGCGGCGTATAAGTACTCCTGTTCTTATATCGAGGTGACGATGGAGGACGACAACACGATACGAGGCAGGTATGCAACAGGGGTCAGTGGGACGGCCGAGGGACTTTAAGTATCAAATCGACACTGTGTCCGGTAGTCAAGGCGGAAGATAGGAAGGTGTCGTAGTCGAAAAGATCAAACCGGACGAAGGAAGGCGATCTCTTCCATCCCTTGAACGCCTATAGGCGCTATCGTTCTTATAGCGAAGGGTTGATGAAACAAGGTTCCTCGTGACAGCCGTGTTGGTAGAGGAGGTCTATTGTTTCCAACATCCGTGCATGGATGGACTGCGACAGGCGCCTGGTTGAGTGGTATCACCAAGCGTACAGGTAGACATGGAAACCAATCTGTAGAAATACATGGCACCCCTTGCCATGGTAAGTTGACCTAAATCCGGTCGGAGTTGTTGACAGTCCGAGTACTTGACACGTGACATGTAAATCACTCTGCGCAGTAGCCGAGAAAACCGCCTTGGAGTCGGAACTGAGGTGCAAACTCCACACACAGACAATCCTCAATGAACTGTGTGAGAGACGATCAAGTGGTTTACCCGAGTTTTGCGATAAAACACGGAACCCCATGGGCGTCGTGCAAAACCCGGGGAGCGCCGAGGAAGAGTCTCTCTCAGGAACGCTGGCGCTAGGGTAGGGTAGAACAGCGTTGATGTCTGCGATGTCGACGAAGTAAACTCTTTGTAAGTGGATGTCGTCGTCGAATCTGATACAGACGCTGTTCACATGACGCTCTGTTTCGATGGAAACCCGCAGGTCATCTCTCCGGAATCATAGCGCTTTAAACGACGGGATTATGGATAACGTCTCAGCGGGCAAGTTGAATCAGACCAACTGTCTATTGGTTGAAATGATTCCACCCAGGAAGTAGAACGATATTTACGATCCCGAAGACCGACGGGAGAGTGGCGAAAGGAGCGGCGACAGTTGTTTCACCATGCTTCTCCGTGTGACGAGTTATGAGACGGCAGCAAGAGAAGAGGGCAGTGGCGCCGGGGAGGCGATTGCCGATGATGCCCCTTAAGCCGCAGTAGAAGATCGGATGGTCGGCTCGTTGATCTGAGCTTGATAAAGCTTGTTGATCTGAAGCTTGTTGAGCGCCGAAGACATCAGAGGATGCGGAGGCGCCGGAGCGCGGAGACATCAGCGGCGCCGGTGGCGCCGAGTCATCGGAGGCGCCGAGTCAACAGCTTGTCATGAACAAGTCATGAAGCTTGTTGAGCGCCGAGACATCAGCGGCGCCGAGTCATCAGAGGCGCCGGTGGCGCCGAGTCATCAGCTTGTCATGAACAAGTCATGAAGCTTGTTGAGCGCCGAGTCATCAGAGGCGCCGGAGGCGCCGGGAGCGCCGAGACATCGGAGGCGCCGCGTCATCAGAGGCGCCGGGAGCGCCGGGAGCGCCGTGGGCGCCGTGTCATCAGAGGCGCCGGGAGCGTCAGAGGCGCCGGGTCATCGGAGGCGCCAGAGGCGCCGTGAGCGCCGTGTCATCAGAGGCGCCGCGTCATCAGAGGCGCCGGGTCATCGGGTATGTCGTGCCATGGGAGGCAGACTCTACGTTGGGAGCGCTGGAGCCGCCAGTGGAGTAGGAGACCGTCAACGGTCGTATGTCGTGCCATGGGAGGCAGACTCTACGTTGGGAGCCGCCGTGAAGCTCCGCTGAGCGCTGCTGCCGTCAACGTAGGTGGGGGTCGACGAGCACGTTGAGCGAGGTGTGTCCTGGATACTCGCATGAGCTGAAGGATCACAGCTACGAATGACTGCAACATCGGCACTGCCTTGTGAAAGTACAGGGCGTCGTACAATCACGGCAGAAAGGGGCGGCCCCGACCAGATTTGTTCCCGCGGAAACAAGTGCAGCGAGGCAGAAAATCTGGAATTTAAGCAAAACATAACTATGTGGCAAAGCCACAAAGTGCGGGAAGCATAATGTGTGGCCAATCACAAAGTATGGGAAGCATAAAGTAACTCAAAAACAGTATATTTTATTAAAGTTTATGAGATAAACAAGTACGCTAAAAGGGAGCGAAAGGCAAAGCCTTAAGCAAACACGTAACCATGTGGCAAAACCACAGAGTACGGGAGACATAATGTAACTCATAAACTTCGTATTATATTGAAGTTTATGAGAAGAAACAATTACGCTGAGAGGTAGTGAAAAGGCAAGGCTTTAAGCACACCAAAACAACATACATAAATGTAATGTATTACCCAAGCCAAAGAGAGAATTCAAAACGCAGAACACGACATTACGTGGCCACGTGGTGAATGGCCAAAATGGCGGGAAAGAAAACAAAATGGCGGGAACAACATTGCGCCCGTAAATTACTGTGACGTGAGCCACAGACGAGCGATAAACGTTACAATTTACGAATGGGAAGACCCTAAGGTCACGGCCCATATCAGGTAACAATGTAGCAGCATATAATGAATGTAGAAACACGCAAAATATAAAAAACAAATAATAAGCTTTAATTTCCACAAGGGATACAAAGTACGTCCGTCCGTGGAGGTGACAAAGCAGTTATGTCTTTTTGTGTGACGTCATGACTTCCGGGTCACGTGCCGACTGTGAGAGGGCGCTGCCTCCTGGGCTGGTTGGGACAACTTTCTTCAGCAGCTGGATCTCACACAGTTCGTCTCTCTGTCAAACATAGCAGTAAATGCAATACGGAGTAATGCAGGATAAGTTAAAAAATACTTACTTTAGTGTTGATGATGGCAACTAGAGCAGCGTAGACATGGGTGAAGGTTGGCGACAGGGTCTGTGCTTGAATGACTGATCTGGCCAGGAGACCTCTGTAATAGTGAGTGTGTGAGTGAGCCTTAAAAATATATTCTAAACAGATCAGGCGGTGTCAAGCTAGTGAGGGAGGAGAACGCAAATTGTACAGGTATTACCACTTTGGCAGAATAGGTGAAACCTCCAAGCAAATACTTGATCAGGCATGTCATTGAAGGATGACAACAAAAAATGAAGATGAGGTTTGGGGGCCGCAAGCTGTCAACCAGGGTCATTGTGGAGACCTGGTTAGGATGCTCAAAAAGATGGAATTCCAACTCAGGAAATATCACATGCCTGCATAATAGACATGGTGCTGACAAACCAAGAATCGGGGCAAATCTGGGATTCTAACCAATGTTCATGGGATCACGATTTGCCTTAAGGACACCACTATGCTCAGCAGATTGCAATGCCTACGGCAATCAGGGCATGAGTGGCCAATTAACACTAAAGAAAAATATTCGTAAGTTGGTGACAGCCATAATCAATGATGGGAATTCATTGGGATTTTGTCATCAATCATTTGTTAAAATCAATTTGCTCTAACTGATCAATTGATCATTTGAAAATTACAAAACATAATGATCCACAAAATAATGACAGATTACAAGTTGAACCCACCCTATCCTCCTTAGTGAGCTCTTTAAACAAGCATAGATTATTGGGTGATATTCAGTTATATTTAGTGTCGATGTTTGGCATAAGTCACACTGTTTATCATGATCAAAATCGACTCAAACGTCATCAACTGAATGTGGAATTGAATCTGACAATATTCTCACCTTCCTCTGACAATATTCTCCTGAAACAGCTCCTTGACGATCAAGATGATGTTTGAGACGTTGACTTTGTTGATGAGACCGTTGATACTCTTCTTCAGAGCCTCCCAGGATATACGCTGGTACTCCACACTGAAACAGCAGTCTACATGTTTAGGGCCATGTTGGGACTATCTGATGGATTCACACATGCAGGGTTAGAAATTAACTGAAAAAGTGATCCAGTCCACAGTCCAACTGCAGCTGAACTTTACTAGCCCTGAAGAAGATCAGTTAGCCCAGACTACACAACACAAAGTCTGAAAATCATGTCTTCATAACTATTAAGTTTAAGAAACATCAACTTCTTGTGAGTTCATGAGGTTTTTGAGACAGGTACTGAACTCGTACAAACAAAATAAGATGAACAGTAAACATCTTTGTTCTCATCACAACCACATTCAACTTCTAAAATTAATGCCACTGAAACATCAAATAACAACAACACTTATTCACTGAGTATTTCTCGCAAATTCTTTCAATTCATTAGTTTAACAACACTCTTCACAGTCAGATGGAGAGTTATCAGACTGAGCAACATCCTTTGCAATGACTAGAGCAGCAGACAACAGATTGTGAGCCCTCTCCTCAAGTCTGAGAAGGTTTTCTTGACATAGGTGATTTGCATACTTGAAAGATAGTGTTCCTGATTCCATAAAATCAGGTCTCCTTGTCCTCACAGATCTAGAATTCCATAGGTGGACAATGGAGTAGGATCAAATGACATGACCTCTTGGGTTTCGATCAAGACTATAAGGAGGTCTGACAGGTGACTGTCTTTCAGATTGCTCCGCCAGTCTGTCTTGACCCGCCCCATTGCATTGTTTTTACCGAGATCTACCAATGATTTGAAGTTATGGATTCAGTTAAGTTCAATGGCTGTTCTGATGCTACTGTACTGAGTATTGAGTTCATGTTGTAACTGTGACAATGATCAATGAGTCATAAAATATAATGGCATATCGAACGTTTTTTAGTAAGAGTATGTTCAGGATCCAGCATTTCCTTGATAAATCTAGTCAACATGTTTCAGGTGCTATAAATGTTTAAACATGTCAGTTACACCAATAACGGTCCTGGCAAAATGTGTTTTGCAATTCTTAATATAACTCACAAGAGATTGAATTATTATCAGCTTGATATGTCTGTTGTAGAATAACTATATATTCATGCAGAGTCAGCTAAATAAAAACAATGCTTACATCATTGTACATTCAAGTGTTCGCATTCATTCTTTATCATATAAGGTATTGCGGTATTGATAAATCTCGTAATCCACACAACCTGTCGACTGTTTACTTATGCAAATCTAAGCACGATATATTTCATCGCATGATCGAATACAGGACTGGTTGCGGTATGTCACGGCTACTTGTACACACGTTAACTTTTTTTATGACAGTTCCTGGGATGTTTTTGAAGTGGAATTACCCCTTCCTCCATTCAAAATTTATTAGAAAAAGAACCCATTTGTTCAAACGAAGTCCCTTGACCAAACCTCGGTCGTATGCAAAATTCAAAACAGGAAAGTGATATACCATATAATCCACACAGCCTTACTTACTGCAGTAAGATTCACCAATGACAGGTACTTTGTTTACCGAACTCGGTAAAGAAAATCAGCATCAATCAATCCAATGAACAACAAACATTTTGTGAATCACATATTTAATAAGTTTGTAAGCGTGCCCCACTACGATCCATTATAAATTAACTACCGCGATAACATGGCGTATCATCCTACACGGTCGCTCGATTCAGCGGGTCACTGTTACCACGTTCTGAAGTATACCCTTGATGTGCCTGGCCTTTTTTTAGTTTCGTCCAAGACGCAAAAAGCGCTCTTCAGCCAACACTGCTTTAAGGTTAGTTAGCCACCCGGGCTAGCGTTCTGCGGATGTTCTTAGCCCTGTAGGAAATACTCTAGCCACGGGCTAACGGGCGAGCGTTAATTTCGAACCCTGACATGGTACTATACACTGAAACAGCAGTCTACATGTTTAGGGCCATGTTGGGACTATCTGTTGGATTCACACATGGTACTCCACACTGAAAAAGCAGTCTACATGTTTAGGGCCATGTTGGGACTATCTGAAGGATTCACACATGGTACTCCACACTGAAAAAGCAGTCTACATGTTTAGGGCCATGTTGGGACTATCTGATGGATTCACACATGGTACTCCACACTGAAACAGCAGTCTACATGTTTAGGGCCATGTTGGGACTATCTGTTGGATTCACACATGGTACTCCACACTGAAAAAGCAGTCTACATGTTTAGGGCCATGTTGGGACTATCTGAAGGATTCACACATGGTACTCCACACTGAAAAAGCAGTCTACATGTTTAGGGCCATGTTGGGACTATCTGATGGATTCACACATGGTACTCCACACTGAAACAGCAGTCTACATGTTTAGGGCCATGTTGGGACTATCTGATGGATTCACACATGGTACTCCACACTGAAACAGCAGTCTACATGTTTAGGGCCATGTTGGGACTATCTGAAGGATTCACACATGGTACTCCACACTGAAACAGCAGTCTACATGTTTAGGGCCATGTTGGGACTATCTGATGGATTCACACATGGTACTCCACACTGAAACAGCAGTCTACATGTTTCGGGCCATGTTGGGACTATCTGATGGCTTCATAGATGGTACTCCACACTGAAACAACAGCCAGACATTATTAGGGCCATGTTGGGACTATCTGGTCCTGAAGTGATACAGAGTTGAGACGTTCACCACTTCCGTGAAACCCACGAACATGGGTATGGTGCTGACAAACCTTGAAACATAATAAGGTAAACATGGATTCGAACCCACAACCATCTGTTTCTGGCCTGTCTAAGGTAAGCAACTCTGCACAGCAAAGTTTGTTGCCTTGGACAACTGGGCAACCTGAGCCCAACAAGAATTTGAGAAAATTATTTTGAAATGTATATAACTTGAATATCTGCCTACATCTAACACGAAATAAGTTTGTTCATGCATTTAGAACACAGTAAAATGCAAAGTCTATACAAAAGAAATAATACCCCAAACAAGAGTGATCCTCTCAGGAATCTTGTTTGCTTGTCATTTAAATCCACACTCTGCAATATTCCAGCTATATGATGGCGGTCTGTGAATAATTAAAGCTGGACAAGACAATCCATTGATTGACATCATGAGCATCAATCTATGCATTTGGAATACAATGACATGCACTAAGGCAGTAAGTCTAATCACCCGATCCCATAAGTCACTTCTTACAAGCATGGGTTGCTGAAAACCATGTCTAAACCTGATCTTCACTGAGACTCTCCACAATCACAGAATTCTAAATACAATAACATAATACCACCCACCTGCTCTTGTCGGTTATCTGTGCTTGCATCATGCGTAGTTTGGCAGGTGGGATGTAGGCACCGCCTGTTCTCCCTGTCAACACAGCCTTGCCGGTAGCAGCAGCCTTGGCCTTCTTAGCGACTGGCTCCCCATCACCGCCACCAGCGGCCATGGGGTCTGCTTCCCCCACTCTCCTCTTGCGAGAGTCGCTGTCAATAACAAATATTAACATAACTTAATTCACAGGTTCTTTTACAAACTATATCCCAAACAATATTTTCTGTCTTATTTTAATTGTATTGAGTAATAATAATAATAATAATAAGCCATTTGTATGGTGCTGTTTCCATGAATGCAGTCCTACTAAACTGTAAAAATTCTAAGAAACTAATACATGAAACTAAGACTGACGTACCTATCGTTTTCTTTATCCTCGCCATTTCTATCCCTCCTCTCCATTCTTCTGTCGTTCATCCCTCGTCTATCACCTCGATCATCATTCCATCGATCCCCATCACGGTCGTTCCTTCTCCAACGATCCACCTCTCCATCGCCCCTCCGTCTGTCCATCTGTCGTTCATCCCTTTCTTCGTTCCTCCAGCCACGGTCATCTCTTCTGTCATTCCACCTACCATCTCGCCTGTCATCTCTCCTCATCTTCCCACCTCTTTGATCTCTCCGATCCCTGTCCCCACTACCATCTCTCTCTCCCCTATCATATTTTCTCTCATTCCTTCTGTCATTCTCGCGACTGCCACCACGTCTCATATCCCCATTCTCGTTTCGGTCAGGCCTTCTGTCACGCTCACTTCTGTCCTGTCTCCTCCGATGTTTGTCCCTCCTCTCAGATTCTCTTTCTTCGTCCTCGGATTCAGTCTTCTGTTGTTCCATTCTTCTATCTTCATCTCGACTTTTGTCCCTGTTAACAGCCCTAACAGCAATTTCACTCCTTCTCTTTGGCATATCTTCCTCACTGTCATCGCTGTCGCTGCTGTCACTGCTGGAACTATCAGAACTATCATCTGAACTCTCACTCATTTCTTCCTCTTTCTCTCTCTCCCTCTTATCTTCCTGTCTCTTCTCTCTGTCTTCTCTTCGGTCTGCCCTGTCATGATGGGTTCTGCTTTCATCAGACTCCTTTTCAACCGTTCCTTTCTCCACTTTTCTTTCTATCTCACTGCTCCGACTTCTGTCTCTTCTTTTCTCCTCTCTTCTTTCTATCTCACTGCTGCCACCTTTACCACCTTTTCTTTTCTCCTCTCTTCTTTCTATCTCACTGCTTCCATTTCCATCTCTTTTCTCCTCTCTTCTTTCTATCTCACTGCTTCCATTTCCATCTCCTCTTTTCTCCTCTCTTCTTTCTATCTCACTGCTCCCACTTCTATCTCCTCTTCTTTTCTCCACTTTTCTTTCTATCTCACTGCTCCCACTTCCATCTCCTCTTGTCTCTTCTTTTCTTTCTATCTCACTGCTCCCACTTCTATCTCCTCTTCTTTTCTCCTCTCTTCTTTCAATCTCACTGCTCCCACTTCTATCACCTTTTCTTTTCTCCACTTTTCTTTCCCTCTCTTTGCTGTTGCGCTTGTCATCTGTAGATTTTTCAGATTTTCTTTCCCTGTCAGGGCTTCCTCTTATGTCTCCTCCAGTTTTCTCAACTTTTCTTTCAATCTCTTTGTCATTCCTCTTTTTCTCTGCTCTTGTTTCTTTCTCATTACTTCTGCTTCTAGAAGTTCTGGTCTTCTCTTCTCTCCTTTCCTTCTCCCTGCTTACACTTCTGTCATTTTTCATCTTCTCCACTCTTTCTTTCTCAGTACTCCGACTCCTATCACGATTCCTCTCCCCTCGTCTTTCTCGCTCTGAACTGCCATTTCTATTATCCAAACTCTTCTCACTCTTCCTCTGACTCCTGTCTTTCTCATCTTTGCTCCTCTTCTTCTCTGACCTTCGTTCCTTTTCCCTACTCCCTTCATCACTGTCTTCATCTCTTTGTTTTCTCTTCCGAGGTTCTTCCTCTGCCTGTTCCTTCCTTTTCTTCTCCTCATCTCTTTCTTCCTGTTCCTTCCTCTCCCTTGCCACCAGCTCCTTCTTCTCTTTCTCCTTCTTTTCCCTGGCTTCAGCCTTTTCCCGCTCTCTTCTCTCCTTCTCCTTTCTTCTCTCCTCTTCCTCCCGGCGCTGAGCTTCTTCCTCCCTCTCAAACTCATCATCATTGTCATCCTCGAGCTGCACCAAGGTCACTCTGCAATAAAAAAACACTTTTCAGGTGAATCTTTGGCATTCACACAAAAGCTTATCACAAACACCATTTTCACATTTATTTGACCAAAGGATGTTGCAAGTAGGCGTTCGAGGGTTAACAATGTCACTGGTCAACCAACCTGTGACTGAATAGGAATTAATATCAATGTGAGCTAAGCAGGATACACTGAACCAGCAAGGTAAGAGAGAGTGAGTGAGTGAGTGAGTATGGTTTTACGCCGCTTTTAGCAATATTCCAGCAATATCACGGTGAGGGACACCAGAAATGGGCTTCACACATTGTACCCATGTCTGGAACCGAACCCGGGTCTTTGTCGTGATGAGCGCACGCTTTAACCACTAGGCTACCCGACCGCCCCAGGTAAGAGAGAGCTACCATGGTTGTGTTTTCTTTCACACTGCAGTCAGCAATATTCCAGCTTTATCAGTGTTCGCGTTTACCAGTAATTACCACTTTCTTACGGGTAAAACTAGTCTTGGACTGGTAATTCAAATCACTGTCACCCCCTGTGGACTGGCTAATAAAGTACCTTTTACATCTTTGTTGTTGAATGAAATATCGGTGATAATCAATACAGTATATAAAGTTCAAAGTCAGCTTATCATTTATCATCAGGGTTCTGTTGTCTATTTTTAGTGCAAAGAAATAACATTTCACTTCGCTTCAAGGTTAAATATCGATTTGTAGCAACTTAGTCTTCAACCAAAGTTAAATATTCCGGGAAAAAAAGAGAAAATTGTGACAGAACTTTGTGTAAAAGATGTGTAGAACCAAGTTACTTCAGGGATGGTGTCATGGAATTTGTCAGTCACGAATGTACACTGCATTAACACTATGTTGAAAGAATGAAAACCAGGTACTTTTCATACGGTTTTTTTTCATTTCTTTTAGTGTTGCCAGTCCACTGGGAGTGGCAGGTTTAAAAGCCAGGGCCAGACGACCAGTGGTCAATCAACAATCCACACTGTGGGTGTACAATGACACACAATCAGCCAAATTACAGAGGCTGACTTCCTGATCCTCATTCTACCCATCTTCCTGAGGCAAGGGAATAGGCACTCCCTTACCATGTCAGTGTCCCTCAGACGTTGCCCATTTAGTAAACAAGCCTGTCCCTGCTGTCTTCCTTGATTCCAACATCACGGACTATTTTGCAGAAATGCCCACTCAGTGCAGAAATGTACCTCTCTTGCAGAAAATCACATTTTGTGCTTAACAATTATTAAAATGTGGTTACAGAATTTACCAAAATTTTGGACGAAAACAATTAATGCACACATTGAACTGCAACTTTCATATATTGAGGACCAGCTTCAGATTCGCATTGTTAATTTCTGCATCATAATTAGCCGGTTCAGCTGCAGAAAAATGCAACATTCTGCATCAGTTCCGGGAGACAGGTACACATCAAGAGGTAAATTCTGCAAAATATTCTGCAACCATGGAATCGAGGAATACAGCAGGGACTGATACATCATATTTCTAGGATACACTTACCTCTCCTCATCCTTTTCATTACCATCTGATTTCTGTAAATTTTAAAAAGTAAACTGTTATGAAACATAAAAAAATGAAGGATACAACTGATCATTTAGGCCACAACAAATTGATTATATATTTGGAAACACTATCCTTGTTTAGATCACATAGATATCGCATGAATTAATGTGGGCGAATTTACCGATGAGGCACGAGCGGACATATTTATGTAGAAATGTACTTCCTGGTGGGTCAGCTATACAAACATACACACATCCAGAGAAATCGTGAATTTCTACACAAGCTCTTTGGGATTTGTCATGTAAACAGAGTGAGATCAAAGAAATTCTGGTTGCTCACACTTCTGACACCAGTCAAATCTGACAACCAAATAATCAATTAGGCTCTTCTTCAGTATTATACACTCAAGTTCACAAAGTATTAGAAAATTCCAGAATGACAATCTGAAACACAAAAACTATCACCGTTTCCATATAACCATGGTAACTGAGCTGTTACAGCTAGTCGAAGAATATGTTTAACATATTGTTGAAATTAACAAGAGTCACAAACAGTGTTTGAAATTTAACATGAAAGTAAAGGGGCCCATGTCATTGTCCTTATGCTAAAACTTACTGATTTAGGGTGTCCCTAGATTCAAATCGCTTTTTTTATGTTCTTTCTGACATATTGCATGTACAAATTTCTATGCCAATAACTTTTATTTGTGTGAAACTATGATCAAATGCACCTATTTCAGTCCATGACATTTTTTTCAGTACATTATTGTTATAACGCTAGGATAGGGAATAAAAACAGTAAAAAATGGAAATCTTTCCTTGACCAACCGGTTATTGCCATCATCTAAACAGCACATGCCATGTGATCAAAAACACCACTTCAGTTATACAAATTACATTTTCCATTTTCTCTGGTATCGCACTCAATTTTATATTATTACAATTAAAAAGAAATGCTATTATCAATTCGTCGTCTGCAAACTGACGTAAACTAATATTCCCCAAATTTGATTTACACATGCTTATCCTCAACACTATGTACTATGGATTTCGCAATATATACAGGGTTACGCATTTTTGTAAAAATAGCTCAAATAGGTTTTGGAATTGTATTTTAGGGAAGAAATGATAGACAGATAGTAAACTATGACAGAACTGAATGTGCATCGTCGTGTTGTTGGATTTTTGTATATGCATGAATTAGTCACGTGACACCACCTGTGTGGCTTTTCTAAAGTTGTATTTGAGCAAGGTGATTATAGGGTGTGTTTTTAAATATTTCCTCACAAGTCAGTTTTGTTTCATCATTTTTGGATTAATATTTCTCTCTTCTAATGAAAACGAGCAAAAGTGAGACAAGATGTGATCATGTGTGCGTTGTTATAATGGGTAATTGGCGGTAACTGGTCATCAGCAATAACTGGTTGATCAAACATCCAAGGACCACCCTCCCTTCATTTTGAACACTGAGTAAAGATTGATAAAGGTTGGCAACAAGGCGTAAACCGGCTATCCAAGTTACCGTCGACATTTATCACATAATGTGCAAGAGACATATAACACTATGTCAAAGCAAAAAGGGTCCCATGGGCCTATCCCATACAGTAAATCTGGAAAGTTTTGTGACACCATGTTGATGAGATAACCAAAGATCAATCTTACTGTCGCATGTGTTGTAAGTAGAAAGCTACATGATGAAATGGTAACTTGGTGTCAGTCATTAGTTTCTAAAATATAGATGCATGTGTTATTGTAGATGACAATGGAGGTTGTAGTAGCATGTTTATCTAACAGAATTGACTGGCTGGCTTATGTCTTCGCTACTCAGTGGGCAACTTGACAGAATGTGGCAAGTTAGTGAACTTTCATGATTTAGACTTTTGACACTGAGAGACAATGTGTAATTAAGCAAGGAAACTCTGACACCACAATGACATGGTGGCAAAAATAGCTTAATCGGTTTAACTGATCTTACCTGCACAGACGTCTTGGATCTCTTGCCACTCTTTCCTACATCACTTTCCTCATCCGTTGTGCGGACTTCGCCACTCTCTCGGTCACTCTCGTGAGGGCGAGTCTTGCTGGGGGAGCTATCCTTCCCTGACTCATCACTGCTACTGGAATCAGAGTCATCAGAGGAAGAGGAGGATGAAGATGAATCAGACTCCTCCTTACCCCTCTTCTCTTTACTGTCTTCCCTTGGTCGCTTAACCCGTTTGCCCTTCTCTTCAGGATGCTTCTTTCCTTCACTCGTGCTTTTCTCCTCCTCACTAGAACTACTGTGATGTCGTTTCTTGCGAGAATGGGAACCCCTGTTTTTTTCCAAAGATTCCTTTGACTTTGTGGATTTATGCTGTTCACGCTCTGCTCTTGGACTGGATCTGTCATCACTGGAACCATCATGTCTTCTACCTCGATCAGGCTTCTGCTCTGAATGGGATGACCTCTGAGGAGATTTCCTTGGAGATTTTCTTGGTTTGGGTGAAACACTGCTCCGCTGACGACTACTCCTTGGACTCTCCAAATTATCTCCTATCTTTGACCTTGATCTTTCAGACAGTTTCTCCCTTGACTGACATGGTGAAAGGTCCCTCTTTTGTCCATCCGAACCTGGACTTCTGTTCTCTTCCCTTTTACTTGTCCTTGGACGTAAATCAGAGACTGGACTTGGCATTTTCTCTTCTCTATACCCTTGTCTATCTCTTTCAGGTCTGCGGTCTGAGGATGGTCTGTCAGGTCTGCGATCTGAGGACGGTCTATCAGATCTGTGGTCTGAGGACGGTCTGTCTGGTCTTCGGTCTGAGGATGGTCTGTCAGATCTACGATCTGAGGATGATCGATCGGGCCTACGATCAGAGGATGGTCTGTCAGGTCTACGATCTGAGGATGACCTGTCAGAGAGTCTTTCCTGAGAAGCAGCTGGACTTCGAGAGACATTTTTTTGCCTTCTGCTTGGATCTGGACTTCTGCTACTTACAGACCTGTCACTCATATTTCTGCTCGATCTATTTTGACGATCGTGGGAGCCTGTAGATCTTCTAGAGCTATTTTCAGCATGGCTATCATCAGAACTTTTTTGGGATTTCTTCCTTTCAGGAAATTCTGCTCTAACATCTCTGTTTTTAGAGGCTTTAACCCGAGGAGAGGAATCTGTGCTGGATTCTTCATCAGAGTCAGAGGAGCTGCTGTTGGAACCAGATTCGGAGTCATCAGAACTATCTTCTGTTGCAGATGCAGCAGATTTGGCTTTCTTAGTTTCCTCATCTGAGGAATTGTCACTTTCTGAATCATCCCGTCTGAAAACATTACATATGATATCAGTATGAAAATTGTCTCTTTTGTGTTGTCCTTACAAGATTAGGTGTCTTCACTCTCAATGACTCAATTTTCCATTCCAACAGTGTTCCAATCATCTGTTTTGTCATACCCAAATTCACTTTAAAGTTTATGAAGTCCTTACACTTTCCTATGTTTCATTACAGTAACCTGTGAACCGTTAAATGTTACTAGCAGACACCATCTTATTTTTTAACAGTCAAGTGTCAACATTTATCATGTTACACCTCAATAGTGATCATGTGATGAGCCAATATTCAAGGTCAGTGTCAGTCACATGATTTGGGGGCCTACATTGAAATGTACTGTTTCATAACATGGAATTGCTAGTTTCTCAATCGAGATATCACAACATCAGTTATTAGGTCTTCAGATCACAAAAGGTTTATGTTTACACCACAGTCAGTAATATTCCAGCTACATCACAAAGGTCTATCGACAATACATGTTGTCCTGGTACAATCAGCAAGTTCACAAATTGCAACAACCTATTCCTGATCAGTCCTCTCTCACCAGAAACATTTGGTACCAAAGTGTGTATATATATATGCAATACGTGGACAAATTCCCCATGCCTTTGACAAGCTTCATTAGATGTTGTTTTCAATTCAATCATATCAGTATACGATCTGTTCGAATCTATAATAATGCAAACGTCATACCAGCTAGCCTATTCATACCATGACATTTACAAGAAATAATACAGGTTATTCTCGATGTAGGCCCACTTCTGAACATGCTAAACATCTGGATCAGGATCAGGATCAATTAATGTATTTTTCAAAAGTATGACTTTGTTGAGGGCTCCATACATTGTAGAAAATACTGTCAATACTGATAATGAGAGTTTATTTCTTCGACCTTTTTACCATAAGTAGAGTACTGTCATTAACTTTCGAAATAATCGACAGATCAGTCAGTCTAAACATTTTCCATGCTTTTCACAACTTCATCTTTTATCGGAAAACTGGCACGCACATGGTTTCGGGGATTATAGAAAGAAACATCAAGCGACACTGGCTACGATCGACCTGTAACTGTTAACACCGCCATTCAAAAACAAACTAGTTTACCTTTTCGGCATAATAAGTAACAATTCTCTTTCCAAATTGTACGATTTCTTTGCGTTGAGTTCCTATTTCAGGTTAACCGGAAGTCTCGTTTCTTCACGCCGAATGAGCGGGGTGTTTCAAAACTGGATTTGCTTTAACACGAATAATGAGTCAGATGTATCTGGATTTGATTGTATGTAACAGCTCAACTGAGTCATTCCCCTTTCTTCTCACTAAGGGAAGCACCTCTGCACACGCTACTTTTAACGGCGTCTTAAACTAATTTTTACACCGCTTTTAGCAATATTCCAGCAATATCGTGAAGGGGGGCACCAGAAATGGGCTTCACACATTGTACGCATGTGGGGAATCAAACCTGGGCCTTCGGCGTGACGAGAGAACGCTTTAACCACAAGGCTACGCCACCATCTCTATCCTGAATCAAATGTGTTTACATCGCACCCCGCAACCCCTAACTGTTTAACATGCCTTGATCAATTTTCTAAAGACCTTATTTTACTTACTCAAGCCTCTTGGCCCCCATTACTTAAAAATTATAGATAAATCCCCGATACACATTGTACGGTTCATCAGTGTCACTGTGTCGATAGATCAGGCAGAACTCTAATCAAGCATTATTCGACTCCTCGCGGGGGGCGGTCGGGTAGCCTAGTGGTTAAAGCGTTCGCTCGTCACGCCGAAGACCCGGGTTCGATTCCCGACATGGGTACAATGTGTGAAGCCCATTTCTGGTGTCCCCCCGCCGTGATATTGCTGGAATATTGCTAAAAGCGGCGTAAAACCATACTCACTCACTCACTCGACTCCTCGCGTATTCGACGGATTGGTATAGTAGCCTATATACTACTATATATACATGTATATGCCCCCAAACAATTTTCATATGCGCTTTTGGGGTAGCTAGTCTTCAGCATCCCATGCTTGACGTAAAAAGCGACTATGCTTGTCGTAAGAGGCGACTAACGGGGTCGGGTGGTCAGGCTCGATTACATTGTTGATGCATGTCATCGTATCCCAATCGCGTGGATCTATATGCTCGTGATGTCAATCACTGGATTGTCTGGTCCAGACTCGATTATTTACAGACCGCCCTCATATAGCTGGAATATTGCTGAGTGCGGCGTTAAACAACAAACAAACAAATGATATGCGCTTTCATCGAAAACAACATGAATGGTGAACAATATTGTTTTTTCATGCATGGGCGATTGTATCTGTATAAACAGTGTATCCGGATTGTTTCTATTTTGTCCCAAGTACAGCTAGAGCTCTGAAAACATTGATCCAGTGCTTAAGCAGGGCTGACAAACATCCTTCGTTTCAATATAAAGAAATAGCCCTTTGTGTTGAAATTTGAAGATACAGACAAAGACGTATAGCAACTTAATGATTATTTTAAAACAGATATGCTAGTATATTTTGACTTTACGCAGAATTTATGTCTGATGGTTTTTAATAAAGGATTGCAATTTGTACATATTTGGAGTTTTATAATAGCATCGAGATAAATGTGCTGACAATGATAAAATAGCATGTAATAAACAGTGACGGATCCATGATTTAAAAAAAGGGTGGGGGTGAGGCGGAGGTCGACTTGGACCATTTGTACCTTCAGGGGTGGGTGGGGAGTCCACCCAACGGCCTCATAAACACGATATGTAAACCATTATTAATTTTACTTTAACAACCAATCAGCATGTTATCGCGGTAGGTAATGCGCATACACAATGTCATCATATGTTAAAAAAAAGAAGGCTGGGGCCGGGTGTCCACTCCCCAGAAGAGAGGGTGGGGGCACCACCAGAACCCTCCCTCTGGCTCCGCCACTGATAAGTACATCATTCGGACATAAGGGGTAGAGTAAATGAATGAAACCTATAAAAAGATGAACTTGGAAAAGAACACATATTATAATATTATGTCATCTCAAATTTATCATGTATGTGTGCGTGTGCGCGTGTATATAAGATATGATAAGATATATCAATTTTGTAAACCATTAAAAATCATATTGTTCTATAATTCTACACGTATTATATTGTGTGTGTGTTAGAGAGAGAGACAGACAGACAGACAGACAGAGAGAGAGAGAGAGAGAGAGAGAGAGAGAGAGAGAGCGTGTGTGTGTGTGTGTGTACTTCACCGCCATGACCGTAGGAAAGGGATGGAGGCTTTCGGGTTGACCTTTGGAAGAATGGACACTCCCTATTAATCTCTCCACGATTGCCGACGCTTCGCTTGACGTTTTTAAGTCTCGTCGATGTAGGCAATAGTAAAAACAACGAAATAAATAACATATATGGTGATATTTATTGGTGATTGGCCCGCATTTATACTGGAAAATATTCATTACAGCTGATAATAAATAAACAACAATAAAACAGCAAAGATAAGTCTACTGAAATATTTTTTAAAAGTGTCCGTCTCTTTGTCTATGAATTTCTAAATTTATGGTTTGAAAAGAAAATATACAGGTAGAGCTCTATACATACTTGAATCATATTTATATGTTTTTATGCTTGAAATATTATTTGTAATTCAGAGGCAATTCTTATATTGTCCTCATAATTAGGGAAAGTTTCCATTTGGAAAACAACGTGATGATATTTAGAAAAGATTTTAAAACAATTAAGATTTCGGTTTCATTCTTAATTCGTAAACAAAGTCACAATACTGATTTTAGTATGAACCGACTCCGATTTCGACCAATCAGCAGTACGGTACCCCGGGCTTTCCCGCCAGATCAGTGTGTTTACAGTCAGTCTTATGCTCATACGGCTGGCACAAAACACAGATTAACTTCGTTAAAGTTGATGAGTGTATATTCCCGGCTTGTGTGAGATACATTAAGGTAGGAGTGACTACATTGACCTAAAACCTGCAACTTTTCATTGATTGCGTTACGCGATCTGAATTTTTCTTTTGAGGACTTCTGCCACAGAAGCCATCATCTGATCATTCATTGAATCGGCTTGGCCATAACACCTGTCCCTATTCAGACTCTATGGTGTTTGGAGTTCAGTCTTGGTCATTTATGTTACATCAGGTAAATTTGTACACATGCAATACTGTTAAACAACATGAGCAATACATCCGTGGATTTTCTGTTCTCTTTGTATAAATTAGTCTTAGCCTTGAGGCCTACAGCGATTAGCTTGATGGGTTTGAATCATGTTTGATTCATCTATAGCGAGCTTCTTGGTCTATTTTAATGCTATGATGAGCCACTGGGTCCCCATCAGTACGTAGGCTAAAAGTGTTTGTGAGAGTCAAATAACTATTAGCGTATTTGTTTAAGTGTGTGTTTCAATGGAATAAGTAAAACCGAAAACGGCAACATTCACGTTCCTCTACCTTTTACGTACGTTGACCATTCGCGATTGTGATGAAGTTAGAAATTGCTCAGACACGATGCCTTCTATATGAAAATACGGGAAGAGCCAGACAAGTCAATATTGGAACAACCCGTCATCAACATTTGGTTAATGTTTTAACTAGACCTAGTGGTGGAGTAATTAACCAACTGATTGAAAAGGATATACAGGGTTAATTAATGGATTCATCTTGACATTCAGACCAATAATTTGTGAAATATAATATGTTTCACTGTTTCAGATCTCTACAATAAATAATAGTGATATGAAAGGCAATAACCAGTAACATAGTTTACAATTTACAAAACTATGGACGATGGTCAGGACCGAAATTGGCCAGATAGCAATACTCAACATGATGGCCTACAGCATATACAAAATCTGTTTTGTTGCAGCTATCAAAATGGCATCTCAAGTTCAAAGACGTCTGGACATGAACTTTCCTGTCCGCAAAAACACAAGACTACGCTCCAAGTCAGCTGCCTTACAAAATGAAAACGAACAGGATTCTGACCTTGTCCTGTCCCCAAGAAAAAGATCTGGCAGAGGTAGTGAAAACTTGGAAGATTTACAAAATAGATATCGCCTTAACTGATACCTTGATTGCATGAAATAAAATTCCTTTGTTGTTATGTTCAAATTTATAGTTATGCTTTGCATAGATTTCATGATATTGTCGTGGTTATGCCATGGTACCTACTTAATTACTTGTATGTATAGTACGATAAATGTGTTATTTCTTTCAGTCGGACTAATTAATCTGATCTTCGTACAAAGTTGTCACTGTCATGGCTAGCATTTGACTTCACCAGCCATGATCATTCACCACTGAATATCAACATGATCTATTCATTGGAAAGTGTTCATGGTTGGTGAAGGTAAATACTTGATCTATGCTTTATGTAAGAGGTGACTATTTTTCGTCGTAAAGTGGCGACTTACAAGATTGGGTGGTCACACACACTGACTTGGTTGTTGCATGTCATTTTATCCCAAATGCAAAGATCCATGCTCATGATGTCCATCGTTGGATTGTCTGGTCCAGACTCGATAATTTACAAACCGCCATCATATAGCTTGAATATTGCTGAGTGCGACATTCAACAACAAACATACAAATCAACATGATCTAAGACATGAGAAACGTAACATACTTGTTTGGAGTTCACTTAACTTGATTGTGGTAATGGTATGCTTGGAGCTAGTAGAAATGTTGTGTTTTATAGCTCGTGTGTGCTATTTTGTCTTCAGCTGTGCCAGATGAGAAAGTACCAATGTCCTGCTCACCTACGAAGAAAAAGAAAGAGTTGGTTCGAGTGACCAGATCCCGCAGACGTGAAACTCCTGTCAAGTCGTCTCTCATCTCTAAGTTTGGCAAAGACACTGAGAAGGAGCAGCACATTGGTAATTTTCTTGAAAAACTTTACCTGTGTTTACAGTATACATGTTAGGCCCATGTTCATAAATGATAAAGGGCCAGCCCTTACATAAATCACATAAATTTGAATAATGCACTTGTAATAACCACTGATTTATTCTCTTTGCCGATGCAATAAACAATTGCAAGTGTCAATAAAGTCAGTCGTAAGTTGAATAATTGAATCATGTATGTATTTTTCAACGACCTACTCTGAATCACTTCTGAATTGTAAACATGGTAGACCAACTGAGAAAAAATAAAGGGTCTGATCAACATGATCAGTTGATAGTTGAGAAATATATTATTTTATGTTAAGATGATTAAATTGTATTTCATATAATACATTTAACACTATACAACTACCGAATTCGACGTAATAAGCGCCCACACTGATATTTGTTAATATATTGGCTAGTGAACAATCCCAATTAGCACCCCTTCCATGTACACAAGACCTATTTATTCGTGTATAATACGCACTCGTGTGTAATATGCACCCTCAGTAATGGGCAATTAAATTCTGGAAAAATATATCTGTCGTATATAAACATTTCAGGCTGTCAGCATAAACCACGAAATTTATCTTTCAACTTTTTTTCACCAAATTAATATTCTTATAAGCATGATAAGAGCCCCCTATTTCTAATTTCGAGAGCACCCTGGGCGCTTATTACGTCGAATACGGTAATTCATTTGCTGCCCATTATGTTATTTAGATATCAATTGAAGGAATAAATTGAATGTTAGTAAGATTACTCTTGTCATAGTGTAATGAAACTGTTTAATGTCTTCTTCAACCTTTAAATAGCAGCTAGATCTATATATTTTCCATGTTTTGTTTTCAGATGATGTTTGTGTATCAGTAAAACCAATACTGTGTTCGCCAACAAAGAGACAAGAATTAAGTTCTCCAACCAGAGACCAATCTATCCCTAGTGTTAAACCAATATTCCAGTCACCCAGCAAAAGGGACAAATGTGTGAAGACTTCTCTTTTCTCGCCTCTGAAATCAACAGACTTTGACAAATTGTGTCTCGCCTCACCCAAATTCTACAGAAAACCAGACAGTGAAAATGTGGAGCCTGTTCTCCATTCACCCACAAAGCATGTCCGTTTTGCCAAGTCGCCATTTTCTTCTCCAGTTAAGGAAATCAATGGTAGACTTCCCCTCTCCCCGTCAAAACTTTTTAGTCAAAACAATGCCTCACCAGTCAAAGTTAAAAAGTCACCAATCAGGCCGACAGACTCTCCCAGCAAGAGGCAGTTGTTTGCCCCTAGTGATTCTTTACTTTCTTCACCCTCGAAAATGCTTCGCAGGGAAGGATTTTCATCCCCTGTAAAGGCTAGAAGGTTTGGTCTTCTGGAATCACCTTCCAAGTTTCGGTCATGCAAGGAGAACTCCCCCATCAAACAGCTCAGATCTCCAGTGAAGCAACAGAGGACACCAGTGAAAAAGTCATCGGCCATGTTGAAGTTACAGAAAGTTGACAGTGAGTTGTGACTTTAACAGCATATTTCTTACTTCGTAACAAGGGTCATGGTGGGTCCCCGGTAGTCTATTCCCTTGCTATTCCTCTTCCACATTGCATCTCATGTTGATAGGACTGCTTCATTGATGTGACAAGTCTGAAAATACATGCATGACTACTAACTGTCCAGAATTTTTCATATTTGTTACAAGTTTGCAATATGAAAACATGACTTCTTCCTTATTTCATAAAGGGGGCACGGGTGGCCCAGTTGTCTAATGCGCCGCGATTCGTGATGCAGAGTGGAGTCCCTTGGGCACGCCAGAAACCTATGATCGTGGGTTCGAATCCTGGTTCTCCCCGATTGTTTCTAGGTTGTCAGCACCATACCCGTGCTCGTAGGTTTCACCGAACTGGTAAACGTCTAAGACCTGCATCACTTCGAGCTTTCCTCCCACATTAAGCTGACACGCAGTGATATAACTGGAATACTGTTTAAAGCTGCATTAAACCCAACTCACTCTCCTTATTTCATATGAATAATATGTCAGTCTCCAGAAATAAAGCACAAGGACTAAAATTTGATAGACACCAGTAATTATTTAGCCTTACACCGCGCGCTGTGGATGCACCTTGTTCATGATGTGAAATCTGTGCATAGCATCTGTCGAGACCCTCAAGTCGGATTATCGGAAGCTGCTGTAGTCGAAGTGCATGTATAAGTTAAGAAATTATGATGTGAGTTTTGAAATCGCATTGCTCTATTTTACTGTAGACAATTCATCATCTGGCTCTGATGCAGTGTTAAATATGATACTTGGACAGACCCGATGATGACTATTATCAGACATGTCAGAGCTCAAGATAAGCTCTTGGTGTTGTGGGTATTTTACCCATGCATTTTAAAATCATTGGGTATCAGTAATTCCATCTGGGTATTCAAATTTCTGTTACCCACTAGTTTTTACACATGTGGGTATTTAAGTTAAAAATTTAAAAACACTATTCATCTAGTCCCTGCAAACTGGTGTCATGTGGGTTCAGGAGCTTTATAGGACTCAAAAATACCACGATACTTCCACAAGAAAGTGTGATGGCAAATGATCGTGATGTAACTGTCATCGTGGAGTTTGGCAAGGTTGACGGTATGCCCGTTTATAATTTCAAAATAAGTTGCTGATTTGCTAATCAAATACGCAGGGTTACTTCACAATAAACTGAATACGTAAGCAGTCTTAAAATTATCTGCCAGACAGGCGGGCAGGTGGAGGAAAACTTCATGCAGTTATTCCAGACACTGCTTTGGTGTCCCGACTACAAGATTGTAACAAAGTACAAATTTTGATTTGGGAAAGGTAGCAGATGTGTGCATGAAATATTTTAAGTGGTTTGATAGCCATGACAATAATCTTCTTTCGCTAATTGGCTTCATACGACATATTGTGAATCCTGTCTAGAATAGGTCCCCACAACCTACATTCGAACTATGGATGTGCGAATCCTGGCGACTCTCAGAATTAAATGTGCGGATTAATACAGTTTGCACATGGTTTTTAACCGGTGGACCTAATAAAATAGTCAATCCTAAAATATGCAGATATGTAGTAGAGCAGTATGTGCATATATCCCTGGGTCCTTCATTTCTGAGTATGTGCACCCGTTGATCCTTCATTTCAGAGCAATCTGCATCCCTTGGTCATATTTTGCAAATCTGGCCCATACTGATCTTTGATAATGGTCATGGGTTACATGACCAATAATTAGTGAAAAGTCTGATAATATTGTCTTATATGGGTCCCGTGTACCTGTGAATTTTACATGAGGTATGATTCTTTATTTATCTTGGTAATGCCTGTTTAATGAATGAAAATGGTTTATGTATTAACACACCTATCCCTTGTATCAGGCCCAGCCTACCATATAGCCAAACAGTCGCTGCACACAGCCAAGCCTGACAGACTTGACTGCCGGGACCGAGAGGTTGGGGCCATTACAGAGTTCCTGCAGCGCCACCTGCAGGCCATGTCTGCAGGCAGCCTCTACATCTCAGGCGCCCCCGGCACCGGCAAGACTGCCTCACTCTTACACATCATTGATGACTTGAAGGTAAGTCATCATCTTGTTAAATAGGGCAAAACTGACAAACCTTTTTTTGGTTTTAACAAAGTTACAGTGCATTGATCACGAAACATTATGATTGATCGCGAAACATTATGAGACTTGTTGAGTAAATATCCTTATATGTTTGTTTTCATAATTGAAATATCGTCATGTTTGTTTTCATAATTGAAATATCGTCATATGATATATTGTTTAATGACAAAAATAATCTAGAACTACATGTCGCTAATGTTCGTATTTCTTTTTGTCTATGCACCATTCCTTCTGACTTATATTTTTGAAAAAAAGATAAAAACTTCAGCCAACTTCAGTGTATGCACGACCAGATCATTTTATACGTTTAAAATACATTTTGTCCAGGGCTACTGTCAAACTATTCCTAATCGGACATTTTGTACCTATCTCTTGAGATAAGACCGACAGCGGGAAAATGGGTATCTAAATACATTTTGTCCAGGGCTACGGTCAAACTGTTCTCAATCAGACATTTTGTACCTACCTACAGTGGGTACCCGGGTATGGTTTGGTAATAGGAGGATGGGTACCTGGGTAGTAAATTTGGGCTTGTCCCAGCCCTAATATCAATACACGCCGTTCTACTGTTTATCTCTCCAAAAGTGAACATTTGGCCCTTTAACATGTCTGATCAAGCCATTGTTTGTGAAACAATTATTTCACCATTAACTCCTCCCTTTTGCAGAATCAGCATGCCTGCAAGATTGCCTACCTCAACTGCATGATGCTGAAAGACTCGACTGCTGTGTTCCGGAAGCTTCACGAAGAGTTGACCGGACGCAAGTTGCCGGGGAACAGGGATACCATGAAGTACATGGAGAAATGTGTCACCTCCGCCAAACAAAGCATGTATGTTATCAGAGATTGAAAATTACATTAGTCCACCAGTAAAAGACGATTGACTTTTCCTTGTGGACTACCATTTTTACCATTATTTGACGGCAACTCTGTAGCAGGACCAGTGACCTTTCCTTCTGGACTACCACTTTCACCATTAGGCAGCTGGAAAGTTTGTAGCAGATCATTTTGCCGACTAGTGAACATATATATTTCTAGCCCTGGTTATATCATGTTATATGGACATGGTGGACGTGTAGGCACTGTGTATCTTTGCAGTGTTTTAGAGTCCAGGGGTCCTTGGGGTGGTGGGTTACCTCGTGAGGACAAACGTGGGCACGGTGTGCGACAGGGGAAATATTATTCAACCAGCATAAGCCCTTTTCACTTACTTACTTATGTATGTTACAGGGGGCCCCATCGATTCCTATACTGTAAGGGTAAACTTAGAGGATACCAGGTTCCTCCTATATGGTAACCACCATCACAGTTTGAAATGAAGTCTGAAAGTCACGGTTCCTTGTTCAGCACTCATGTTAGAACTCAAAGACTCCTTAGTATCAAACACCAAAGAAAACCTCAAGAATCCCTTTACTAACTGCAGTTTTTTAAATTCACTGTGTTCTTGAGACGATTTGGTCATTTAATTAATATTTTGCAGGCAAAATGATATGGTATTTACCCACAATGAAATATGTTTCATTTTTTCAGAATCATGGTTTTAGATGAAATCGATCAACTTGACAGCAAACACCAGGAAGTCCTCTACACAATATTTGAGTGGCCGTCTCTTACCCAGTCCAAACTTATTCTAGTCGGTGAGTAGCTTGAACTTCTTTGTGGATAAATGTATGAATCATGAAATACACCTGACGGACATGTAATTATTACTGGTGTTTTTGTAAGACTAGATGGCAGATTCTCATACCTGGCTGTTTTTCAAGTATTAATTTAAGCATGTTATATGAGAGGTGATGAAAGGCAGTCTCAGTGTTTCCAACAAATTTCAATTCTCATCTATTAAAATGTCTTTCAATTTTGTAAAAGTCATTTCCCGAGACCTTGTTTAACCATCCGATACTCAATACTTTTCAGGTATTGCCAACGCCCTTGATCTGACAGATCGAATCCTGCCACGCCTTCAAGCCAGACCCAAATGTCGTCCCCAGTTGCTCAACTTTGCTCCTTACAGTAAAGAACAGATTGCCAGTATTATTAAGGGCAGATTGCGGAAGGTTGGTTGATAATATTCTGCTGGCCAACACTGTTTATCAGTTCATATTCTAGGACGATTGTCATCCAAAATGTTCTTCTTTTTTTTTTAAATTGGCAGTTATACAGAAGAAACTTTCTGGAATGTCTGAATCTCTAACAAAACTCCTGTGTTGATTTAGTAACTGTACATAATTTTCGAAGAGAAATACTTACTGCATTATTTTCCCCAATTGTTTTCCCATATGCATCAAATAAAGGTTTGTGGATAAATCCCAGGTGCTTGACAGTTGTGTAAATGTATTGTAGATGGAGGAGGATGGTCTGGCAGTGATTGAGCCGAGCGCCATTCAGTTCTGTGCACGGAAAGTGTCTGCAGTGGCTGGCGACATGAGGAAGGCCCTGGACGTGTGTCGGAGGGCAGTGGAGATGGTGGAGCATGAGATTCGGAGTCAGCCATTGCTTGCAGCAGGTCAGATCATCAGTGTAGTCTCAAGTAGCTGTAAACATGGAAGCAGATTATACCTAATTGTTGTCTTTCACAACTGGTAGAAAGAAAACCCAATTCATCTGGATCATAATGGGTTGATATCACTGTTACATATTTGCTCTTTCTGTGACTTCAGGCACTAGCCTTGGGCCCGAGCCTAAAATACCACAGTTAATAATAGGCCATATATTAACATGAAAAGCTATTTAAAATGTTGCCAATAGACTGGCATTAGATTGTTTTGGTATTTCTTTTCCTTATTGAGATTCTGGAGTAGAATTGGTTCTGAGATCCCCACGCTTGTCATAAGATCTAAGATCCACATGTTTGTCATAAGATACCAAGATCCCACATTTGTCTTAAGATCCCGAGATCCCACACTTGTCATAAGATCCCAAGATCTCACATTTGTCATAAGATCCGTAGATCCCACACATTTAGATTCTTCAATCCCTATGCTTGTTGTAAGGTCTGAAGACCCTAAGATCCAACACTTGTCATAAGATTCCTTGCTTGTCATAACACCCCACACTTGTAGTAAGATCCTAAGATCCTACACCTGTCATGAGATCCAACACGTGTCATAAGATCCTAAGACCCCACACTTGTCATAAGATCCCTTGCTTGTTAAAACACCCCACACTTGTCATAAGATCCCTTGCTTGTTATAACACCCCACACTTGTCATAAGATCCCTAGACCCCACACTTGTCATAAGATCCCTTGCTTGTTATAACACCCCACACTTGTCATAAGATCCCTTGCTTGTCATAACAACCAACACTTGTCATAAGATCCAAAGGCCCCACATGTGTCATAAGGTGGACTTTTGTGGATTGGGTGGCTACATTGACTTCAGTGATGTGGAGTGTAGCCTGTGCTGAAGATATTGTTGATTAAGATGGATGATCTTGTCATTTCAGGTAGCAAGAGTCCCCGGAAGTCTCAGCCCCCTGTTCCAAAGAAGATAACGGTGATGCACATCTCGCGTATAATGTCTGACGTGTACGGGTCAAGTGTGAAGTCTGCGGGCCAGGAGGAGACTGTTCCTCTGCAGCAGAAGCTGGTGGTGTGCACCCTGCTGGTGATGCTGAGGGAGGGGAAGTTCAAGGAGGTGGCGATGGGGAAGGTTAGTATGTCCTAGTTCCCTCATTTTCGTTTCAATGACAGCCAGCAGGAATCAAGAAACTAGGATTTAGTCATAACACAAGTGTGCTGGTGTGCAGGAATTTCTCAAGAGAATCATCTTATCTTCAGCATTCATAGCAATAGTTATTTTAGAATAAAGGGCACTTGGTCAGAATTATGTACAGTCACTTTAATGAGGTTAGTTAAAATACATGCTTTAAAAATATTTGACCGTATGTAAGTATTTGACTTCCTGAATACAATCCAACCTTGGCAAAGTCGGACAAGTCCATTTAATGAATCTGGGGGGCCTAAGTTTGGTTTTTCACTGATATTCTCACAATTTTCATGGCAGTTATGTGTAACTTTTTGCCTAATACAGATTGCAATATCTCGCCCTGTTATGAATGCGATCATTTGTCCGTGGTGTTTTTCTGTTATCATGGTTATGCCCAGCTATAGGGAACAACTCACAACTAACAGTTTTTGTCCACTGGTCCTTATAATGATAACATATATCAAAACCCTTAAATATGGCAAATTTCTGCTAGACCATATGATATCTTAACCATTGAGCAGTTTGGCAAGCCCTTTAGGACTGGTGCCAATTTCTATCGCTGTTTGTGCACTAAAACTGAAAGAGATTCTTGGGACCTTGAGATTTGCTGCTACAGTACTTAAGTCTTTCTTCCTTAACATCAGAGTAAGGACCCTTGACGTTCCTGCTTACTTACTCTATGCATGTGATGCAGTGTTTCCTGACATGACAATAACAGGAGGATATTTGATATTGCAGCTGCATGAGACATACTGCAGGGTGTGCACCAAACGTCATGTGGCCAAAGTTGACCAATCAGAGTTCTTCAGTCTGTGCTTGCTGCTGGAATCAAGGGGAATTCTGGGAGTGAAGAAAGCCAAGGAATCCAGACTTGCCAAGGTAGAAAAGTGTGAATTATGCTAGCAATGGCCTAGGTTGCACGTTCCCCATGGTTGTGTGACAATGTGTGACTGAGGTGTTGTGTGTCACTTTTCCTCAGTGAAACGCACCATGCATGGCAATTGGTCCATTATTTACAGCCTGCTTTGTTGGACTGTTGCTACTGCGATAGAAAAGTCACTCACTAAAACATATTGTATTGACACAAGTTTTGTGCTCATGATGTCAATCACTGGATTGTCTGGTCCAAACTCGATTATTTACAGATCGCCGTCATATAGTTTTGTGTAAGTGTGAGCGAAGCAACTGTCTTCTTTGAGAATAATACAGAAAAGAAACGGGCGGGGGGGATAACCTTGTTGTTAAAGCATTCGTTCATCATGACGAAGACCCGGGTTTGATTCCGCACATGGGTACAATGTGTGAAGCCTATTTATGGTGTCCCCCCTCAGTGATATTGTTGGAATATTGCTAAAAGTTACATAAAACCATACTCACTCACTCTCTAAAAGAAACAATTCTCGCAAGTTGGTATGCTCAGTGGTTGAAAGTCCCAGTTAGTCCCTTTGTGTTGCAAGAATCTGATGATAATTGCTTTGAATCCCAGATCAGCAGTCTGTCACAGCACCATACCCATGGGTTTCACCAAAGTGAACTGTTTAAGACCTACATCACTTCAAGCATTCCACCCACATTCAACTGATACACAGTGATTTGGCTGACTACTGTTCAAAGCAGGCCATACACTCCCACCCACTCTCCCATTTCTGACATTAAACACATTCTTGTTTCAGGTGACGTTAAAGCTGGATGAGAAGGAGCTCGAGCACACCCTGCAAGACCGTGTCCTTATGTCCTCCATCCTGCAGGAAGGGATCCCCAAATAAGGGCTTTCTTTGTCCGGCAACCATGTTGATCTCACCATATGCATTACCAAATATTAGGCGCTGTGCCTAATTCCAATTGTATAGTTGGCAGTTCTTGTTAAATGGTACCTGTTACATGTATGAGTGTGAAAGTGCTGAGCGATGTAATAGTTGTTGATGTAATGTTCACAATGTTTTAGTTAAATGGAGGAAATATTGTTTGAACTTTGAATTTTGAAAGGGGAAAATTGAATTTAGCCCAATTTGTTTTTGTCCCATTTGGCATAAAGTCGATGGATTTGGTCAAATGACAATACAGTAAACTATGTTTATAACGAACTGGCTGATATAACAAACTGTTTTTTGTCCTGGCCATTTGCTGTGTATATGCTTATAACGAACAACAGTTATAACAAACTAAAATTAGGGGTCCCTTTGAGATTGTTATAACCATAGTTTACTGTAGTTAAGGGGGGAAAGATAGATTTTTACAGTAACATATTCGACTATGTATTAACTCACTAGCTTGGTCTGAGAAGGTTTACTATACACTTTCTATATTGATAAGGGGGCGGTTGGCTAGCCTAGTGGTTAAAGTGTTTTCTCATCACGCCAAAGATCTGGGTTTGATTCCCGCCATGGGTACAATGTGTGAAGCCCATTTCTAGTGTCTCGTGCCATGATATTGCTGGAATATTGCTAAAAGTGGGGTCAAACCATACTCACTCACTCATAGTGTCACACTATATTGATTGGTGTTTTCAGTAGCCAGTAAATGAAATTAATTTCATTACACTTTAAAAACATCATGTTTTGATTTATACTCTTTTTTTATTCATTTCTCATGGCTTTTGGCTCTTTGGATTTAAATCTGAACCCCAAAATTTATAAAATATGAAATATGAAATCTACCAGTTTGACGTAATGGACAAATTGGTGGCCTGCAATCTCATGAAATCAGATCTTTTACTCTCTGCGTGACGATTTGACGACACCACTATTCTAAATGATTCTTGAGCCAATCATTTTAACAGACTAGTCGGGTAGCCTAGTGGTTTATTAAAGCCTTTGGTCGTCAGACTGAAGACCCTGGTTCAATACTCGATGTGGATACAATGTGTGAAGTTTGGAAAAGGTCATTGAAGTTTGTGTTTGAGATACAGAAATCAGAAATGCTGGTCTGAATGCTTCCCTCACTCTAGCCGAGAATTTATTAACATAGACGCTGATTGCCAGAGTAGAAAGTTGCCTTGACAAACCTTCTATGGATGTGTACTTAACTCTTCTCGCTGAGAGGTATCGTATTTGAGTCAAGATCTTACTTTGATGAGAAATTTGTGGCATGTCCCATGATTATTTTAGGAATGCTATCCTGATTTTGTGTGGTATTGTGGTGTACATTTGTGCTGATCCAGGGATAAGAAAGGAAGCATGTTTGTATATGATGTATGTCTATGGATGATATTCTAATGTCATAGGTAATAATGAGTTCTTGATGTGGATGAACAGATGTAGATTATTAGTGCTCTGGTTTCTTCAGTTTCCAAATACTCTGATACTGCATACACGTTTTAGTCATAGCCAATTTCACTAAAATGTCTGTGGAGACCATTGTGAGATAGCCAGGTTTTTGCATAATATTTGTTTTTCAAATGAAAAGATTTTGTGGTTTACTTGTTGAAGGATTTCTTGTTAAATATTTCTCTATCAGAATATGAAAAGGAAAATACATATCTGATCATGCAACATCATTTCCTCGGCTCTTACCCCCCAAACTGATAATGAAATATTTCTACAAGAATAGATTTAAAAAAAAGAACAGCCTTACACGTTGGTCTTGTTAACACTTCCCTACCTGAAAAACCCTTACTAACCATTAGGCCTGACTTTTTTAAAAGATTGTTTACAGATTCCACTGACCATGAAATAATAAAACTGAAACTGCACACATGGCAACATATTCAGATATTTTTTTTATAGAACCAACCAGATAGTGAAATGTATTTTGTGTGTGTTATTTTTCCTTCCCAACTTTCCAGATTATTGAAACAAAAATCCATAGACCCAGAAGTAGAACAATCTAGCCTTAGGGAGGCCTTATACACAATCAACCCTGTTTATTGGTATCAGTTTACATAATAGTATTGAAATAACTGGCCCTTTGCTATTTTTGCTTGCCTTGGGCCTAAGGGTTGCTGTTTTGCTTGTCTAAGTCATACCTCTAACATGGGTCAGATTGTTTTGTGGGCAAATGCATCTTTTTTCCCCTGGGTGTTGAAAGTATGCATCATAGAAAGTGTAAATCATTTCCAATTGTTTCAAGATGTTTTATTAGACCGGTGTTCAGATACGAATTGAGCTTTGATATCAGCCTGTGTAATGTCTAGTGATGGAGTGAGTGACCGATGAATGGACTATTTTACTCAGACTAGGAGTACTTCAGCTGAGATGATTGTGATATATGTGAAGTCGTGATGGATCAACTGCATGATCCTAACCTTCACCACCTAATTTAATTTTTATCACATATTTAAGAATTTTTAACCCCCTGAGTTTTAAGATAAATGTTCACATAACAAATTTCTATTTAATTTTGTATCCCTACATTGTTATCACATTCTGTATGCTCTGTAAAATACTGAGTTATGTATATGTTTAGTAATAGTCATGTTTTATTGATGTGGGGAACAGATATGTTGTAAGGTTTGGCAAGTTTCCTATATTTTGAAGTAGCATGTTATTTGTCTACCTGAGGTTGAAGCCATGTTACTTGGTTTACAGATCAAAAGAAAGTGAAATAAAAATATCATTTCCTAAAAATAATATGTTAGATATAAATGTTAATATGTATAAAGTGACAGGAGTGCTGGTTCAAGTGTTAATTTTATCTTTATCCCAAATCTTTGGATAGTTTTTGAATTTTTTCATTTGTGAAATTGGGTTGGGAAAAGGAAGAACTCTTACAATTATGGGAATGCAAACCTACAAAACATGTATAGAACATCTTGCTTTTCTCACTTGACTCATTTTGATAGTCATCTTTAATCAGTTGCTTTGAGAGAAGTGGAGTGAAAAAAAAGGAAAAAGGAAAAAAAAAAAGCTTCTGGTAGGTGATTTTCAAACAGAAATTAATCTTCAGGGAACTAATGGATTTTATGTCCAGTTGGTTCTTAAACATTAAGTATGTGACCATATAATGCATTATTTCAGTTGTAATATCCTTGCCTGGCAAAAATAAATAAAGATTATGATTATTTTTTGCATGATTTTTCTGAATATTGAAACTAGTGCTATATCTGGAACACAAAGGTATCTCTGGGCATGAACTTTGAGGTTATGAAATACATGTATTAAGATCAAGTCAAGTTTTATGTTGATGCAGTGGCAGTATTTTGTTTGCTAATGTCATCAAGTGAAATGAGATATTCCTTGTCATGTACAATGTGAGGTACATTTACATATTAGCAAAACGACAAATTGTACAAACTGTTTATTTTGATTTATGAATAAAGTTGAACCTTACCTGTGGTGTCTTTTTTATGTTGCATAAGATATTTAAATTTGTTGTATTTTTAACTACATGTTCCTGACCTCATTGTTTAAGAATCCTTTTTAATGGACAGTGATTTGTTTCTTGGTTAACTCAGCACATGGCAATATTGGTTATATGATTGCAGTCTGTAAATAATTGAGTCTGGGCCAGACATTTCAGTGATTGACATGAGCATCGGTCCACACAAATGGTTGGTTGGTTTGTTGTTTAACGCCGCCCTCAGCAATATTCCAGCTATATGATGGCAGTCTGTAAATAATCAAGTCTGGACCAGACAATCCAGTGATTGATATCATGAGCATTGATACATGCAATTGGGATCAATGACATTCTTGAACCAAGTCAGCAAGCCTGACCACCCAATCCCATATGTCGCCTTTTACGGCAAGCATGGGTTGCTGAAGACCTATTCTACCCAGGATCTTCATGGGTCCACACAAATGGAAAAGGACATGTGCAATTAACCAAGTCACCAAACCAGACCACCCCTAGAGCTTCACAATTATTAATCTATCAGTATAGCAAATATTAAGAAGTCTACATGAAACCTCTCTTGCCAGTGAGGAAGGAATTTGCTGTGCAGAGTTGCATCCCTCAGCAGTGCCAGGATTTGATGCCTTCACATTATACAACCATTTCACCTCACTTTTGTATGGGCTCCTTTGTTGAGCTGTGATTTGACAAAACTATATACTGTTTGAAGCTTAGATTGACATATACCGCTCAAAAGAAGTTAAAGACTATCTTATTCATTCATATTATCATGGCCTAACATATTAACTATAGTAATATGAAAGAATTTGGTGTTCTTTAACACCTTTGAGTAGTATATTTCGTATACTTGGAAGTAAAAGTACCAGCAGATAATCATTACCTGTTTGAATCGTCAGTGATGACATACAGTCAAACACTGTTGTGTCCAACTTACAGTTGTCTCGAAGAAAAATCTTGGTCCCTGCATATTTCTTCTTCATTCATCATTTTTCGGTTGTGTCAAACTTCGTATAAGTATTTACGTAGGTCCCTTCATCTTCGACTCAACGATGTTTGACTGTATCAGGATACCAACCATAAGATGTTGCTGTTGAATTTGCTTACATCAATGAGTGGACAAACCAGTAGTTATACATGTATGAGTGTGCGAGCAACGTTTATGGTATAATAAACCCGTTGGCGGCGGCTAGAACTCTCGAGTCTTAATTAAGGAGCAACTCCTCCCCCGAAGCACAACAAAACCCTATTCTTCTTAGAAATATATATTTTCACGGCTCGATAAAGATCGGTCGTGGTCTTATGGACGGCCCCAGATCCCCCCTTGTTGTTATTGGAGGTTTGGCAGCACCATTCCCTGCAGGTGGGCGTCACCTGGCAAACTTATGTAAACTGCATCACCTCGGACGTTCCGGTGCTGTAGACGACTTGGCCATTCGTGACCCCATCATACTAAATAGTTGGTTTTGTTTGTTGTTTAACGCCGCACGCAGCAATATTCCAGCTATATATATATGACGGCGTTCTGTAAATAATCAGAATGGAGATATGATGCACTGGATAATCGAAGTGGGGTGCCCCACTGTGTATCTGATATGAATGTGTATGTTACATACAGTGACATACAGTTTCAATAACAAGTATTATCAGCTTGCTGAAATTGAAAAAAAATGTGTCGGGATCCGTTACATGTATGCTTGTGTATAGTGCTTAAAATCTACCATATCGTTCTGGGATACGTCATTAATAGCTAGTGTTCCGCTACATTTATGCATGTGTAAAATAACATAGTCTGGGGATATGTCAGTAACAGTTAGTGTTCCGCTACATTTAAGCGTGTGTAACATAACATAGATTGGGGATACGTCATTAATAGCTAGTGTTCCGCTACATTTATGCATGTGTTAAATAACATAGATTGGGGATATGTCAGTAATAGCTAGTGTTCCGCTACATTTATGCATGTGTAAAATAACATAGTTTGGGGATATGTCAGTAACAGTTAGTGTTCCGCAACATTTAAGCGTGTGTAAAATAACATAGTTTGGGGATATGTCAGTAACAGTTAGTGTTCCGCTACATTTATGCGTGTGTAAAATAACATAGTTTGGGGATATGTCAGTAATAGCTAGTGTTCCGCAACATTTAAGCGTGTGTAACATAACATAGTTTGGGGATATGTCAGTAATAGCTAGTGTTCCGCTACATTTATGCGTGTGTAACATAACATAGTTTGGGGATATGTCAGTAACAGTTAGTGTTCCGCAACATTTAAGCGTGTGTAACATAACATAATTTGGGGATATGTCAGTAATAGCTAGTGTTCCGCAACATTTAAGCGTGTGTAACATAACATAGTTTGGGGATATGTCAGTAACAGTTAGTGTTCCGCAACATTTAAGCGTGTGTAACATAACATAGTTTGGGGATATGTCAGTAACAGTTAGTGTTCCGCAACATTTAAGCGTGTGTAACATAACATAGTTTGGGGATATGTCAGTAACAGTTAGTGTTCCGCAACATTTAAGCGTGTGTAACATAACATAGTTTGGGGATATGTCAGTAACAGTTAGTGTTCCGCAACATTTAAGCGTGTGTAACATAACATAGTTTGGGGATATGTCAGTAACAGTTAGTGTTCCGCAACATTTAAGCGTGTGTAACATAACATAGTTTGGGGATATGTCAGTAACAGTTAGTGTTCCGCAACATTTAAGCGTGTGAAACATAACATAGTTTGGGGATATGTCAGTAACAGCTAGTGTTCCGCAACATTTAAGCGTGTGTAACATAACATAGTTTGGGGATATGTCAGTAACAGTTAGTGTTCCGCAACATTTAAGCGTGTGTAACATAACATAATTTGGGGATATGTCAGTAACAGCTAGTGTTCCGCTACATTTAAGCGTGTGTAACATAACATAGTTTGGGGATATGTCAGTAACAGTTAGTGTTCCGCTACATTTAAGCGTGTGTAACATAACATAGTTTGGGGATATGTCAGTAACAGTTAGTGTTCCGCAACATTTAAGCGTGTGTAACATAACATAGTTTGGGGATATGTCAGTAACAGCTAGTGTTCCGCAACATTTAAGCGTGTGTAACATAACATAGTTTGGGGATATGTCAGTAACAGTTAGTGTTCCGCTACATTTAAGCGTGTGCAAAATAACATAGTTTGGGGATATGTCAGTAACAGTTAGTGTTCCGCAACATTTATGCGTGTGGAAAATAACATAGTTTGGGGATATGTCAGTAACAGTTAGTGTTCCGCAACATTTATGCGTGTGTAAAATAACCTAGTTTGGGGATATGTCAGTAATAGCTAGTGTTCCGCAACATTTAAGCGTGTGTAAAATAACCTAGTTTGGGGATATGTCAGTAATAGCTAGTGTTCCGCTACATTTATGCGTGTGTAAAATAACATAGTTTGGGGATATGTCAGTAATAGCTAGTGTTCCGCAACTTTTATGCGTGTGTAAAATAACCTAGTTTGGGGATTTGTCAGTAATAGCTAGTGTTCCGCTACATTTATGCGTGTGTAAAATAACATCGATTGGGGATACGTCATTAATAACTAGTGTTCCGCTACAGTTATGCATGTGTAAAATAACATAGATTGGGGATACGTCATTAATAACTAGTGTTCCGCTACATTTATGCATGTGTAAAATAACCTAGTTTGGGGATACGTCATTAATAGCTAGAGATCCGCTACATTTATGCGTGTGTAAAATAACATAGTTTGGGGATATGTCAGTAATAGCTAGTGTTCCGCAACTTTTATGCGTGTGTAAAATAACCTAGTTTGGGGATTTGTCAGTAATAGCTAGTGTTCCGCTACATTTATGCGTGTGTAAAATAACATCGATTGGGGATACGTCATTAATAACTAGTGTTCCGCTACAGTTATGCATGTGTAAAATAACATAGATTGGGGATACGTCATTAATAGCTAGAGATCCGCTACATTTATGCGTGCGTAAAATAACATAGATTGGGGATACGTCATTAATAACTAGTGTTCCGCTACATTTATGCATGTGTAAAATAACCTAGTTTGGGGATACGTCATTAATAGCTAGAGATCCGCTACATTTATGCGTGTGTAAAATAACCTAGTTTGGGGATACGTCATTAATAGCTAGAGATCCGCTACATTTATGCGTGCGTAAAATAACATAGATTGGGGATACGTCATTAATAACTGGTGTTCCGCTACATTTATGCGTGTGTAAAATAACATTATAGGCTAGGGATATGTCATTACTAACTGGTGGTTCGTTACATTGAGGCATTTGTAGTGTTAAAAAATAACATGGGTTAATACCTAGTGATTTCATGAAATCCCTGAATTACTTTTTACATATTCAATGACATTTTGCGCAGTTCACAACATAAATTATTTACCACGATTAAACAAATAATTGATAACAAAAGCAAATTTATGTCACATTCCTTGTCATGCCTGAATCAGCTCTTTTTTAATATATATTGCAACAGCTGAAGCTGTCACACTTCAATTATCTCTCGCCAAAGTGGCCATGTACAGGTAAAGTGAGAAAATGCATGATATTACTGAACAGTTGAGGCTGTGGTGGCATCTAGATTTAACATTAATTTTGTCTTAAATCACTTGCAGCGAGTTGTCTTGCAACGCTTGGTAACACTGCAGTTGCGCTTAATGAGTTAAGCTATCTTCTTTGTATATTTCTCAACACCTCAACACAACGATCCCTCAAACTTTGTAAGTGGCAATTGTTTCTTTCTACGACTTGGACTATTTATCAAAGCATGTTTACCTCACTGGCAAGATTGAATTACTTCTTATGAAAAGGGTTTTGTCGCATTTATTTATAGTACTTTATAATATCACTATAACAGCGACTCACGAGTTAATTAATGAAAATTCCTAGCAACTCAGCTTAGGGACTTCATGAAATTCCTGAATATTTTTGGAATTACATGAAGTCCGTGA